GGTTTTGATGGGCAGATGAGTTCGATGAAATATCGAGAACACAGATGGGTAGAGAAAGAAAGGGGCTTCGGCTTGTAGAAGTGAAGAGCAAAGACGACTCAAACGAAGTATCTGAACAACTCATAAACTGTCTCATAGGCATTTACTTGGAACTGAATCAGGTTTCATCAAAGAAAAAAGGGGATGTCGCGTTTTCGAGACGGCCCTCTTCTTGTAGCCGGAAATCAAACACATATACTTTGAGCAAACACTCAAAGTATGATCCTTTTTAACATATAAACGAATAGATGATTAACATTGTAAGAGAAAGAAATTTAACCTGATGATCAGGATTCTGAAATACAAAATTTTTCGGCTATTCCACAAAGACAGTGCCGCTGGTTGTATTCACTACACCGGCTAAAATCTGCAGAGTTTCAAGCAGTTTTTAAAGATAAAACAGGAGTTTGTTTAATCTCGTTCTAATCAGTCTTAGACTCTTAGCTACACATAAAAAATATCAAAGACTACCTTTCTCTGAGTCATGTTACATATGCGAAGATCAGGTATGGAACTGTGTGGAGTTCATAAACCCATAGAAACTGATCCAAAGTGGCAATGGCAATCTTAAGATGACCAAAAAAGAAGAGAGATTTATGACACAAATCCTAATACTTACGCAACAAATCACAAGGAACAAGAAGAGAGATTTATGAAACAACATTAAAGCCAACGACACTTAACATTCACACAACACTCAAACACTTCACCTTCACTTTACTATCAAATTCACACACAAAAGCAAACTCGATTCACAACAACCCATAAAACTTATTGACAGAAACCCAGAAAACTTAGAGTCAATCACGAATTCAAGCATTCCACAAGTAAGATGACACCACACGCAAAAGCAAACTCGATTCACAACAACCCAGAAAACTTATTGACAGAAAACTTATTTACAAGTTACAATAATCCGACAGTTCACGAAGCTAAGCTTATTGACAGAAACCCAGAAAAGAAAAATCAATTTACAAAGTATACATTGCTATAATTTACACCAAGGGACTTGACAGCAAAGATCCTGCGAGAACAGCGCTTGAGGTGAGGGAAGAACGATGAGCAAACCCAAACTAAAGAGAAGTCGAAAGGACTGAAGCTCGAAACCCTTGGTTGTCACTCACCACTTGATACTGAAGCTGATATTCGAAGTAGAGATCGAAGAAGAAGGAGAGAAGAGATTGATTGATTTTTTTGGGTCGGAGCTTTTCAAAGCTTATGAGGATCACTAAGCCCATTACAGCCCATTAGTTATATATACACGCCTCACATTCCACACATACACATACACTGAACAAATCGACCCATTTATGGCCCACTATCAACATGTACACACGACATTTTCAACACACAAAACTCAGGTCGGAGAAGCCGTGGAAACGGAGGCGAGATTCTGTAAGTTCGATTTGACGACAGTATCCACAAACATCCTCGTATCTTCCTCCGTGTTACCTTTTGGTATATCAACAATGTAAGACTCCAACACCACACTGTACACTCTCTTGATCTTATCCTTTTCCAAGACGACAAACTCGTTAACCGATGTAACCGACCGGTAATTTCTTAACCGGTGTTCCCCTCCAAGAACACGAAAACTCAAGATTCGCTTCTCTTCGTCTAGAGCTTCGAGTATTTCAACGCTTGTTGACGCTGGAAGACCAGACACCACGCTGACTTCCCTTATGGTCCCGACGCTAATCTCTTTGACGCCGTTGCCGTTACCTCTGATGGTGCAGCTTTTGATGAAGTGTTTGTATTTGTTTGGATTCGCAAAATCGCGGACGAATCTCCATATGGCACGTGCCGGTGCGTCTACGCGATGTGCTATGAGGGATGTGCACGTGTTTGGCGATCTTGAGAACTTGTGGTGTGTTCGGATGATGGGATCTAGAGTTGAGAATTCGTCTTTTGTTAGTCCGTATGGTGTTGATGATGATGATGATGATGACGATGGGGCCTGGATTAAAGCAAGATTAGAGTTGATCATGGTTTTGGGAGTGCTTTGACAAGAAAATTGTGTATGAAGCTAGGCCTAGGACTGGTTCTCTTGACATCCGTATATATAGATCTACAATTAATGTGTTATTTTATTATATAATTGTATATTATAATGGAGAAGTGAGAGGTTGATATGTGTTTTGACTAATGGAGTTGGGTTGCACTAAATTCCTTTTGATATTGGCTTTGTATAAAATTGGTATATGAAGTGTGAACGTGACATCAAATCTCATTATTCTATGACTCATTGGATCCTTCAGGAGCTACATATACAACACTTTTTGGGGTAGAATACAAATTGATCCATTTAATGGATTCTAATTTTGTTAACTTAATATGATATGCAAGACGTAGAAGTAAGATCAATGCCCTATTAGGGTTAATGCAAATATAGTGGGAGAAAGTGTTTTTTTTTTTCTGATGATTTCTACTTTGCTTAACTATATTTAAAATTCTAATGCCGTACTGCGTAGTCGGTAATTTCCTAATGAAAGGTAAAAATCTGGATTAGGGCTTTAGCTTTTATTTTTTAAAACAGCTAACTAATGTTGTAAACAACGATGCAAACTGCAAGTTGCTCATTATACTGTATTTAACAAAAACCAAATTTCGTGCTGTTAACAAAAATTAATACTCAATTTTGTATTGCATATATCTATATATATATATATATTTGTTGAAAAGTAATCACTAGCATATGCTTTTAATTTTAGGGTGATTTTAATGAATATGCATAAATACTTTGATAATTAGATAAATGGTAATTGATAATTAAAAATTAAGTAAGTAATAAAGAGAAATAAAATTTAATCCTAAAATCTCCTTCTTATTTAGTTTAATTACAAAAATGTCATTCGTCAAAAAATTATGTTAATAATATAAAGTCTCAACTTCCAACATTTGATTAGCATGTTAAACCATATAGCATAATATAAAAAATATATTTAAGTGAGTTATAATTTAATAAAATATGAATTATCATGTTAAACTAGTTAACATATCATGAATTATCATATCAACCAAATTAGAAAATTAGAAAATAATTTAAAATATCAATATATAAAAACTATAATGTTAACATAATTATCATATAATAAAATATGATTTTTTAGTTAACTAACTTTATTAGTATAACAAAATTATGGAAAATAATATTGATAATAATTAAAATAATTTTATTATTAATTACTTACACAATTAATACTATTATTATCACTAACATTATTGTTATTATCATCATCATTTTGGTGTTATCGTTATTAACATTTTCATCAATATTGATCAATACTATCACCATCACTGTTATCAACATTGTTATCCATGTCTAGGTTATTGTTATCATGGTTATCGCCATTGTTACTCTTAATATTATCATTAATATTGTAGTTTTTGCTTTCTATTTTTTTTTCTTCTTCTCCTCTTCCTTCCTTTTTTATACTCTCTTTAGTTTTTCTATATGTGGTATTATTTACAAAGGGAATAAGAAAAGATCGTAATTATTTTAGAAAGATAAGAGCAAAACATGTTTTTAATAGTTATTTATCATAAAGAATAGTAAATGAGGTGAGAAAACTAATTTTCAAGTTATCCATTACCCTTTAATTTTTTTATCCTTAGATGAATTTATGAAAACTAAATTTAAATCACTGTCCATCATGACTTAGTGATCATGGAATATAATTTTTCGAAAAATGAACTACATCAATTTATGACACAAATTAATTGTGTATATCTTAAATAGTTTCTCTTATTGAGTAAATTAATCTTTAGATCTTTTATGAATAACTAGAAGAGAACTTGCGTACTTTTCTTGTGTAAAAAATAAATCTGAATAAGTGAAATACTAATTGTATCTTACACAAACATGTTTTTAATAATTCATCTATTAAAAGCATTTATTCTCTTTTTGTTAGATTTTTGTTATCAATCATTTGTTAACAATTTTTCTTTATTGGTTTCGATACAAGTTATTATCTTTTGTTTGACATACAAAGTTTTCTTGTTTGGTTTCGATACAATGGTTCTATTTATTTGTTTGTCATACAAAGTTTCCATTTGATTTCCTTTTTCTTAAGCAAAATACAACTTTATAATTTAAATCGAAAGATTCCTAATTAACCCACTGATTCAGTTTTTGCTTGGAACAGGAAATTGGGACTTTGATCCTATCATGAAGATTTGACAAGCCTTTAGTTTACCAATCTGTTGGCGTACAGCTCTCTTGCCAAGCCAAGCAAGAGCTTATCGATTCTAGCCCTAGAAACTTTGACAGACATCTTCAAATGAATCCATGTACTGTAACAAAGTTAATCTGAACATTGGAGGATCTCATGATTGGTAACACTTTTTCCCACGTTGATTTTCCAATTTTTTTTTCTCTTCTTCTTATTCTTTTTGTTTACGAATGAGTTATCCGTATGATGCAAAGGTCTCTATTTATATAATTCTCATACCGTGATGTTCGTCAAAACTTTAACGGATTTAATTACGGATACAATATGGTTTTATTTACTGCATGAACTTTTGACATGTCAAAACAAAATGTTCAATACTTTTCTTTGACCGGTTTAAAATTTCCATGTGAGACATACAAACATTTGCACCTAACTGATGATTAAATCGATATTCGGAACATAATATACTTCATTAGGATTCTCCAAAATTTCCGCTACACATCAGAAACAATACACAAGATAGTAGATACTATAAGATGGAAAAAATATATGAATTTAGTTAAAACCAATATGTATGATCTACTCATAAATAGTGGAAATGACATAAGCCACAAAATGTTACAGGTAAAAAAAAAAAGAATTATAAATATGTTATGGGGTGAATAAAAGTTGAGTATTGGGCAGGAACCAATAGTTTCTTGATTGGACTTTTAGCGAATGGTGGCACTGCACGTGGTCATTGGTCATTATGTACGAGTACAAATACAATCATTTTCCATTATCTTAACCATTTGCATTGCATTTACAATTTCATGATGTTACAACTTTTTGTCAACTGTGATGTGCAATAGAGCCGTTTACTCTTCCGATCATGCTTCTTAAGTTCCGATTACGACTCCTACCATCGCCACCGACAAGATCAAACAGCTGGTACAATATCAGATAGCTTGTCCTATTCAAATCTGGCGAACACCAAGTTAGGAGATGGATTGGTATATACTTCAGCAAATTCTTTAGTAAATTTTTATTAATTTGAAATCACTGTCCGTCAACTAATGTGTCGATTCTATCCGTTTCAGTACTCAGGTTGCTGTGATATGTAATCCCGGCATATTCATTCACCGGAAGCGGTTTCTCTCCAGGTTTTGGATCTGTTGAATTTGTAAAAAACCGACCTTAAATCGACAGAACGAAGCTGAAGAATGTGTTCGAGCAGGTGAAACCTGTTAGCAAGTTGGGACAATGGCGAAGACTAGCTGGCCATCGACGGGAAGACATCGTTTTGCTTTCGTGTTTCTCGTAGCTGTCGGAATCTCTGCTCCTGTCTTCGGTCTTCTTCCTTCACTGTCCTCTCCTCAGTTTCTGCCTCTTCCTGCCTTTCCTCTGGACGAGAAAGTAAGCATGTTGATTCTACTTATTGCTTCTTGATATCTTCTCTTTGGCTGTGCGGTTCTGCTTGGTTTAATTAGGAACCGAAATCAATGTGGAAGTGTGGATGGTTGATTTCAAGAATCTGTTGTGTGCTTCGTTACTTCCGATCTAATAGCAATGAGACAAAAGATAGACTTTTGGTTCCTGCCCACTACTGGAGTGGATGCATTCCCTAAAATTACCAACCAAATTATATATTACATGGTTCTCATTTTATGTAGAAAGTTCTTAACTTTCATTTCAAAAGTTGCAGGTTACATCTCGGAATTTTTATATAAAAGATGACATGTTTTGGAAAGATGAGAAGCCTTTTCAGATCATTGGTGGTGATTTGCACTACTTCCGGGTTCTTCCTGAGGTATTGTCCTCTCCCTGAATATCTTGTTTTCTTTTTGGAAAGTAATCCGTATGATCATTGCATCCGTATGTTTATAGTATACTTGATTGATGGATTAATGCCAGATTATGGATGCAGTATTGGGAGGATAGGCTTCTCAGAGCCAAGGCTTTAGGTCTGAATACTATACAAATGTATGTTCCTTGGAATCTGCACGAACCAAAGCTTGGGAAGATGGTCTTTGAGGGTATTGCTAATGTTGTGCTCTTTATCAAGCTGTGTCAGAAGCTAGATTTCCTCGTTATGCTGCGTGCTGGACCTTATATATGTGGAGGTCTGTGTTAAAGTTTTTGCTGTTGTGACCACTTAAGAGTTGGTTCCAATGTTATTACCACACCATGTGGAAGATGTGCTTTTACACATAAACAAGTGCTTGTGATACATGTTCACAGAATGGGATTTGGGTGGTTTTCCTGCTTGGTTGCTCGCTGTGCAACCACCTCTCAAACTGAGGACATCAGATCCTGCATATCTTAAGTTGGTAAGTTATCAGTTAACTGAAGCTTACTGGAGTTGCTGTTAATGAGCTTCCAGGGTGGTGCAATACTAATCAAAGATATCTGCATCTGTTACTAGTTTTGTATTTGCTTCTTTAAGTTATCGTTTGCAGTTATCCGCGATGCTATATGCCGACTTCTCAGTTATCTTTGCGGAAATTGTCAAGAAATTGTAATGATTATGCATTATGTTTAAAAAAGTTGACTTATTCATAGCAAAACATATTACAGGTTGCAAGATGGTGGGATTTTCTGTTTCCAAAGGTATTACCTCTGCTTTACAGCAACGGCGGTCCTGTTATAATGGTTCAGGTACATGATCGAAAGCACTATCTCATTTATCTTGATTTGGTTTTTTGAAATTTTTTTCTTTCTAAAATGATGTCTTTTGTGTATTTCTTTAGACCTGAAACACTGTGGTTGTCTAATTGACCACTGACCAGTGTGAAGCTCGAGCCCGAATTTCTGCCATAAATCTTTTATATCAGCATGTTTATGTACTAAGTGTAGGTTATTCTTTTTGCAGATTGAAAATGAATATGGTTCCTTTGGAAATGACAAAGCTTATCTTCGTAATCTAGTTAGTATGGCCAGAGGACACCTGGGGGATAACATTATTGTGTACGACTTAGTTTCTGTCTTCGAATTTCTTCAGTTTCTAAAATTTTATCCAGTGAACTATGTTATCTGTTACTTTCTGTTTTGGTTTGCTTAGGGTGAATGTTTTTTTATATGTCCTTAAACTCTCAAGAGTTATATCTCATTCTTTTACTTTCATTTGTCGACAATATTATCTATTAGTGTCTTGTACTGTACCTTAAAACCGTTTCCAAGTTGAATAACCTAATTAGCAGTTTCTTTGCTTATTTATCAATGTTTCGTGTTGCTCATAATGATCTTCAGGTACACAACAGATGGAGGTACAAGAGAAACTCTTGAGAAAGGAACTGTCCCATTAGATGATGTTTACTCAGGTGAAGTAGATGCTTCCTCTGCATCCATGATTCATAGTAAACTGATTGTGTTCTCACATTGATATACAACAATGACAAGCAAGATCTTCTCTCTGATAGCTGTTGATTTCACTACCGGTGATGACCCTTGGCCGATATTCGAACTGCAAAAGAAGTTTAATGCTCCAGGAAGATCACCTCCACTTTCCTCGTAAGTCTCTTGTACTCCTTAACCATCTACAGTGAGATAATCTTGTCATTTAGATCCATTGAGCTGTTTTTTTTTACAGGGAATTCTATACTGGTTGGCTCACGCATTGGGGTGAGAAGATTGCAAAGACTGATGCCGATTTTACGGCAGCTTCTCTTGAAAAGATACTGTCTCGAAATGGTTCTGCTGTGCTTTATGTATGTCTATAAAGCTCTTCTTTTTTATTGAGGTTTATCATATAGGAGTTAATGATAATAGTGAGTTTTGTGTATGTGATGTTCAGATGGTGCATGGAGGAACAAACTTTGGTTTCTACAATGGAGCAAATACTGGCTCTGGAGAATATGACTACAAACCAGATCTGACATCCTATGATTATGTAAGGAAACTTCACATCATTACCTGCTGTAAACTCTTAACTATATACCAAAGTAGTTTATTTTTTTTTTTTCCTTCTATTTCAGGATGCTCCCATTAAGGAGTCTGGTGACGTAGATAATCCAAAATTCCAAGGTTTGATCTTATGAAGTCTTATGATTGCTTTTAGCGATTTACATGCCTTGCTTTGTTTCCTTTATCAGTCTTTGTGCTATTTTCAGCTCTCCAGAGAGTGATTAATAAGTACAATGATGCACCACGCTCCACTACCCCATCCAATAAGCAACGGAAAGCGTATGGTCCTATCAAGATGCAGAGGACAACATCTCTGCTTGATTTGGTAAGCATGACGGATCCTGCAGATGTGATCACCACTGCCAACCCGATTTCAATGGAATCTGCTGGACAGGTTTGTAAGATCAATCGTATCTTCCCCTCATATTTCACAGTGCAGCCTGAGCATTTCCCAACTCACCATGAACTGGTTTAATAGTAGAACTATCTATCAACTGATTCCTTGTTGTCATGCTCTTAGATGTTCGGATTTCTTTTATATGAATCTTCATACATCGCAAAAAAGAGTGGGAACATACTAAGAATACCAAAGGTATAAAACCCTTGTTTCTTTTTTTCATCTGAATCGAACAGCAATATGTAAATGTAGATTTTTTAACAATTCGGGAACAACAGAAGGGTCATTTTGTAACGTGATGAGTTGCAGGTTCATGACAGAGCTCAAGTGTTTGTTTCATGCCTTTCCCAAGATGTTGATGTCGGAGTACTGAGATACATTGGTACAACTGAGAGATGGAACAACCAACCTGTTACTATTCCAGCTATTGAATGTACCTCTAACACTAGCTTATTTATTCTGGTAAGAGGTTTCTTGAATCCTCTCAGATAAAATTCTTCATTTCTCGGCTGTTTATCTACCTATATTTGGTGATGTAGATTTATAAATTTTGTCAAACACATTCTTATTCGGATCACTACTTTGCTCCTGTTTCTTATAGGTTGAAAACATGGGTCGTGTAAATTACGGGCCATATATCTTTGATGAGAAGGTAAGACTCATTTTACAGACAGTGCTTATCCTCTCGTATCTGATAAACTTTTCGAGATCACTTTAGCTTGTACATTTTCTCTCGTTATATTTAAGGTTTTTAGAATTCATGGAGGTCTCTTTTCAGGGTATTCTGTCTTCCGTTTGTCTAGATGGTGAAGTTCTCCATGGATGGAAGATGATACCTATTCCTTTCCACAACTTGAATCAAATGCCAAAAAATCTCATCAGTTTTGAGACGCAACATACCAAAAAGACAAGTGAGAAGTTGGAGATTATTAATGGTCAGTGCTCTGTGTTTTTTTCAGCATATCCTTGGTTAAGTTAAGAATGTTGTTGATAGAATTCTCCGGGTTAAAAACTATACCAGTAAGGACATGAATGAGACTAATTGCTTCTTTCACCGATAACTGTAGATGTCAGTCAAAAGGAACCAGCTCTGTTTGCTGGTGAGTTCTTTATAAACAGCGTAGAAGAAATCAAAGACACATATCTATCATTCAATGGTTGGGGTAAAGGAGTTGCCTTTGTCAATGAATTCAACATCGGAAGATATTGGCCGGTAAAGCTCTTTCGTTCTCCTCAAGTATCTTAAGAGTTTCTCTTACATAAGACAAGTTTTCTTTTGCAGTCTGTTGGACCACAATGCAACCTCTACGTCCCCGCGCCACTCCTTAAGCCTGGCCAAAACTATGTGGTATGTCAGCAACAACACGAAATCTAGACCGTTTTGTTAGTTGGGGGGTGAAACCATTTTCTTATTTGGAAATCTGTGACTCTCTCCTCTATACATTCCTCATTGTATCTTTCCATCACTTAGATTTGTTGAAACACTTTTGCAGGTGGTTTTCGAGTTGGAGTCTCCACATCTCGAGCTTTTGGTGGAGGCAGTGGATCGGGAAGACTTCACATGCGGTTCAAATGATTCCAAAAGTTAATCAGTTGTAGCTCTTTAGTTGTGCAGCAGCTGTGTTTTGGTTACAGACTCTGTGATCCATTGGGTATGATGAATATTCGTTGGAACTCCAAAGATTTTTAGTTTTTATAAAAAAATGATAAAAATTTCTTTTCTTTCTAATTACATCTTCTTACAGCCTATTGTCTACATTTTTGTTATTGTTACGCTCTGTAACTTTAATATATCTGTAGTCATTATTTTAAAGAAAAATGGAAAGAAGGATAAAAAAGGTTTGTATGAACTTTGGATTGTAAAATCGTTAATAATTATTGGTTAAGTTTAATATCTAGAAGAAGAAGAAAAAAAAGAAGAATTTTCCCAAATAACTTTTAGCAATTTTACTCACAAGAAAAACCTGAAAAAGGCAACTGATAAAATTATCAAATGTTAGATGTTATCCATAAATTAAATCAAAGATTTGGGATATATCTTTAACAAAAAAAAAGATTTGGGATATATAACATACGGCCCTTTTATTTGCTTGACTAGACAGAAAAATCCAACCAAAATTTGGAAAACAAAAAAACTAAAAACCAACTAAAAATCTAAAATTAAAATCTGATCACATTAAAACTCCTAACAGATAATATCTGAATAAACATAGATAGATTTTAAAACTCAGAACAAATAAGAAAATGGTTATTATAGGTACTCTCTATGTAACAAACAAAACATTGATTCCCCAAAATCGAACCCTCGTTTTTTCTCTCTCTCTCTCTATATATTTCATAAACCGTCTCCGAAAACTTCTCAATCCACAAATCACATCTCTCCCCGCATAACTCTCTCCTCGATCCTCTCTTTCTCTCCTTCTCTTAAGGAGAAAATCAAGGAAAGCTCTTCGGAACCCTAAACCACCATATATCCCCCCCACAAACACAAACCCTAATGTCCTTATCCAAAATCCACGGTGGCTCCTCCTCTTCCGCCACGGCTTGCGCTGCCTGCAAATACCAGAGGAAAAAGTGCACAAAAAGCTGTCTTCTCGCTCCTTATTTCCCTCAGGATCGCCAAAAGCAGTTTCTAAACGCCCATAAACTCTTTGGAGTAAGCAACATCACCAAGATGATCAAAGGAGTCGAAGAGTGTCAACGCGACATCGCAATGCATAACCTTATCTACCACGCTAACGCTCGTGCCGTAGATCCAGTTGGTGGGGTTTACAAGATCATGTGTGATCTTAAGCGTAAGGTCGACTTCTTTCAGGCTGAGCTTAGCTTAGTTCATCAGCAACTCGCTATGTATCGTTCTCTAGCTCCCCAGCAGCAAACGCAAAGGCAAAGGCAAGGGCAAGACCTTTCCTTTGGCTGCTATTCTTCTTACGGAGATTTATTGGAACAAGGAGAAGAAGAATACGTTAATGTCGATGGTTTTGATCAACAGAACCAACAACAACATCAAGACATGATGATGCAGCAACAGCAACAGAGTCCGTTGAATTACGATATGATTTTGGAGATGCCTGAGCAAACCAGCAAGGTTAAGCTTGAGAAGGAAGGAGTCTCTGATCCGGAACAAAACAACTTCTTGAGCCAGATACTCATGCCGTCACAGATCATTTAAAGTCCCCTTTTAGGTTTTTTTTAATTAGTCTTATGGGTTCCTTCTTCTAGTTCAGAGCCTCAGGAATTAGGTTTTCGTGGTTACTACACTTTCTTCTTCTTTAACTTTGCTATAGTTTCTCACAATGTTCAAAAGTTAACAAAGCATTGGTACATTGTCCTCGTATAGTAGTACAAGCAAAACTTATTTACTTGTTTGTTCACTAATTTGGATTTTCGTTTATTACGATGGATTACCGAAAGAATCGTTCTTTTTGAGAAATTGTCCAACGCAAAAACCAGGTCACGAATGAAACGCAAGATATTACTTAGACAGAGATGATGATTAACTTTTCACGCAAGCAAACACAGCTGATTGCCCAAAATAGGGTTCCACAGTTCATTAGACAATCTGATCCTATAATTTCAATGAATAGAATATCAAAACAACTAGAAACAAAAAAATAAGAGAGACGGATATTATCCAACGCAATTCCTCAACAGCCTTTTTCTGGTTGGTACGGATTTGATTACCTTGGCCTTAGTACAAATTATGCTGGGGTCTACGATAAAAGCTCAATCTGTAAACTAAACACCTGCCTTGTTTCCAAGTCTCTCCCGAAGAATCTTCACTCCCATGTATCTGCAAAGATTGACAATTCTTTCTGTTTATATATACTGAAATTTTAAAGGAGAACTCTGATTCATTATGTTGGTATTGATTTCGATTTACCTCCCCATCATCATGACCGTGGCTTGAGGGTTGGTTCCCGGAGACTCGGCAAATGTGGAGCCATCAATAACTCTGAGCCTGTTGACACCGAGAACTTTGCGGTCAGGGCTCACAACTTTACCCACAAGACAACCACCGTGGTAGTGCCAGATTGTGACAACAGTGTCTTTGCAGAACTGAGCCATTGATTTGGTATCGTTCACTTGCTTTGGTCTTAGATTGATGTTTGCCTTGACGCTTAAGCTAAGCATCTTGTGGACGTTTTGCTTATCGCATTGCGTGTAGTTTAGGAAGCGTTTAGAGGTCACCACTTTTGAAACGAGACGGATGGCTTCAACACAGCGTTGGAGATCCACCGGGTGTTTGAAGTAATTGAACGTCACTGAAGGGTTGTCATCTACGTTGGTGTTGACCAAGCTCAAATGCCCTCTAGAGATAGGGTAAGCTAATTTCTCCAAGATGAAACTTCCATTGAATGCTTCATGAAGTTGGTATTTGTTTCTTGAGATGTAAGCTTGTGTTGCTTCTGGTCTTCTCTGCTTTGCAGGAATGGTGGAAAACAACTCATTCTGCAGAAAAATCCAAAGACCATTTCACTCCCTCATACATTATCTGCTACAGAGACACTAATAAGATCGAAGTTATGTCGTTTATGTTACCTTGTCCGACATAACACCATAGTGAGTATGAATGCTCTCGGGGGATTGCCCAAAGCCAGTGCTGGCTTCAACATACACACCCATCTTTGTGATTCCAACAGTCTGGATAAGTGACTGCTCTATAGGCTGCTTAGAAGGCACCAAGATCGTGTTCATCGGGTTATCAGCCATTCCTTTCCCAACATGCTCATTCTCTAGAACCAAAGGAATCTTCAGTCTCTGAAGCTCCCTCTTAGGTCCAATCCCACTTAACATCAGCATCTGTGGTGACCCCATAGCTCCACTGGACAAGATCACTTCACTTCCCTTTCGATTCGAGAGCAGAGCCTGGTGTTGATTGCCTTTCTCGTCTTTGAATATCACTCCTGTTACTCTAGGCCTTGCTCCTGCATCCAAAACCTATCAAGTTAAGATTTTTTTTTTTCGAGCTCTTCCAAAAACCTCAAACAGGAATTTCGTCGAACACTTGGAATGCAGAGTGAAAATGCATACGTACCGGATGTGTCAAAGACGATTTTCTGCACGGTGGCGTAGATCAAGACTCTAAGCTTCTGAGGGTTAGCGTAAGCGAGAAGCTCCGCCGCGGTGTGACGACGGCCGAATCTATCGAAGATTGTGCCGCCGACTTTGGTGCCGGAGACGTGATCGTAAGTGAAGCCGTTGAAAGGTCTGACTCCAACCTCTAAAAGACTGTCTCTCAGAGCTTTCTGCCATAGCGTTAACTTCGGCTGATGAACGATTTCTCGCTCCACCCATGGATACGACTCCTTCACCAGCTTCGGATCCCATCCTGCTCGCTTCACGAACCTAAACCCAATCCGAATTTACCTTTCAATCATTTATTTTATTTTTGATATGTGTCGATAATTAAAACATTTTGTCGATATGTGTGAAAAATTAGTCCTATGGGCCATGGCCCATTATTTACACAACATTCTCGATCGGTGCGTTTTCATAAATGTGTAACATTATGATTTCCCTAATAAAAACAACAAGATCTATTTCAATTTTCACAATCTTCATTTTTTTTATTCATAGAAAAGATAAAAACAAATTTACTACTAAAATTACTTACGCAGCATCGGCTCTGGAGTAGAAACCGGCATTGATACAGGAGCCGCCGCCGAGAACTCTGGCACGAGCGTTATAAACGCCGTCAGTGGAAACAAACGCCTGCGACGCGGATGAAGGTGACGTGTCAGCAAGTCCGATGTGGAAGTTCCTGAGGAAAGAGACGTTTGCGTTTGTAAACGGAACGCCACCTCTCTCGAGGACAAGGACGCTGAAATTCCGCGACAGCGTTGCGGCGAGAGGACAGCCTGCGGTTCCGCCTCCGATGACTATGTAATCGTAGGAGGAATCTCGACCGTTGGATGAAGTAGAAGATGAGGAAGATGATGCGAATGAGCTGGCTTTATCGATGAACGTGTATCTGTAAGGATTAAACTTCAACTTCTGCTCTTTACCTACAAAAAAAAGGTGGTTTTTTTTTTTATTTAGTTATTTAACTTATGGGTAGTTGGTAAAAGTAATTACACCATTAATGTCGTTAGCAGAAGACATAACCCAAAAAAAACAGAACAGTTAAGCGTTAAAATAATACTGTACTGTTAGTGTCCTGATCACACCAGATTTGGTCATGATGAGTCAAGAAACAGAGTTTCTCCTTCGAGAAACTTATTGTAGAGTGATTCTATACTTATATACTATATATATATATATATATAAAAAAAACAAGTTCGGATATAAACTAGTCTTGAAAAACATAGCGTCACAACTACACAGAATCATCAGCGACCAAGAGGAGAAAACAAGTTTACTTCAAACACAACGCTAAGAGGAAAACAGAAGTTAAACTTTGTAATGAGAGAGAGAGAGAGAGAGAAGTGACCTTTAGAAGCAGTGGAGGAGAGAGAAATTGGGAGACAGAGGAGAAGAGCAAAGAGAAAGAGCTTGAGAGCCATTGGAGACTGGAGAAACCAAAACAGATAGCTTTTTTTTTTTAAGTTTATTTTTCTTTTGCCTCTGCTTCAACTTCTTAGGTGGCTTTTCATGAATGGTCTTGTTTTGTGTGTTTCCTCTCCTATAAATAACACTTAGGATCCAACAGAGCAACTACATTAATTACACCTACATACATGTGTCGTTTATACAATATGTAACCATTTATACGAATTACTTGTAATATATACATCGAATCTAGTTAGAAAACATTCGGTAAAAAATTATAGTAAAAAACAAGTTAAAAATATATATGTTGGTGGGTCTACAATTCATCAAAGATTTGATTTTGGGTGTGTCTCAATTTTGTCGAAAATAGCATATGAAAAGGACAAGTGTATGTTACTAGATTAATTATGTTCCCCCCGTATAAATATTCACCTAGTAAAAATTGTTTACTAGCTAGCTACAGTAGTAACTTATTGTTTTCTTCTTTTCTCATATTAGACATATTGGTACAGAGTTAGATTAGACTTATTGTTACAGAATTGGTTATTGCAACTGAAATCGATGATAAGTACCTGTACTTAACTGCTTATTAGAACAATCATCATCAAATTACATTCATCAGAAACTAAGGCTTAACTAAATGGGTAGCTTTCACCGTTTTACCATGCATGGTGATAATAACACTTCTTCTTTTTTTTTGTCCCACGATTCTGTTTTGACTTTTGGGACCAGTTGTGAGAAATGATTTATTACTAGTAGTATACTGTAGGATCATATAAAAAAACAATTTGAAGATAAAAGGAGAGTTGTACAGCTTGTCTATGTCATTAATGGCGATATGAAACGGTTGAAGTAGAAAGTGTGATAGCCGTTGGATCATATACTTCACAGATTCAAAGTGTATCAATTAATCATCTTCACCTAACCAAAAACAAAAAAACAACAAAATATAGAGCCATGTTTTTGGCAACTACTTTTATTTAGTAGCAGATGAAATTATCGTAATTATTTATGATCATAACTGTGAGTTACTGACAAATCTTCACGAGCCGTGTTTTTGACAGCTGATTTTATTGATTAACTTCACCTAACCAAAACTGTACGTTCCGTTTTATCTGGTTGAGCATGTGATAATGGGGTTAGTCACTCACAAGTTTACAAATCACCTTGGAATTAGATTAATTAGTTGCCAAATTATTTCAAAGAATCAAGATTTTAATCTTAATGCTAAATTAAGAGTACGAGTATTTATTATACATGTCACATCGCATCACGTGCGGTGGTCATATAGATAGATCACACGAAATTTTCTCCGACTTTAATTAAACAAGTCACAACTAATGTCGAATTTATCAACGGATGTTTCTTGGGAGGGAAAACTAATCTCATATAGTAAGGTTAATAGTTAATACACCCACAAAGGCTTTTGGACATTTCTTTTTAAGATAGATAATGATCTGAATGCAGGTTTTGAATAATATTCTGGTGATTTTTGAGGTGTGTATTTTTTCACAGAGTTATTGGCGGTGGATATGTAAAGAAATGATGATAATAAATACACACACCAATCCATGAGTTGGATTCTGAATATATATTCAATTCTTTTTTTGAAAAAAGGTTACAAAAATTCACCACTCAGGAGTTAATGTAAAGATTAATTTCTGCTTTTTCATGGGGTTGGCATCATATCCCATGCTTCAATTTTCACGAAATTAGTTATTGAGATCGTACAGTATATTTATAGCCCTTGACATTATTTTTGTTTTAACATTTGAGAAAAATATTTTTCAAAAAAAAAACCATTTGAGAAAAATAATCAACCGATTCAAATCATGCTACCACGCATTTAAGTAATTTGTTGTGTGTTGTACAAAGAAAAGTTCTACAACAAAGCAAAAAAAAAAGGGGATCCTAAAACGCAGCGTTTTATACTCATGAGTAAGCAAGTAAAAACACAAGTATTTGGAGATCAAACCTTTGGAGAGTAGGAATATTCTTTGTTACTCTCCTCTTAATCCGTCTTTGAGGAACTTTTGTGCTCTTGAGGATTTTCTGATGAGGAAGCATTTGAAGAAGCGTCGTTGTTCGGACGATGATTCTGTGGATTATTAGCTGCGCGAGGAGTTTGGCCTTCCGTAGCAAGGTTCTTGAGAAGGTTCATGACCGTGGGAACAAACTTTGCGGATATCGATAGGATCCCTGGAAGCTGAAGAAACCATAGGTAGTAACATCATATGAGTATCACCATTATCAAGAACTCGAGAATCTTGAATCTTGAAATGTTATTATTACTGAAAAACATTTGGCAAACACTTACTGCACCGTTGCGGAACTCGCCGGGGATATCCAGTTGCGTCCATAGGGCTTTCACGAGAAGGAAAGCGACAAATAAGACTCCGAGATAGAGAGGGTTCCTGTTAGATTAAGAGATTTCAGAATCTGCAATGCCATTTCATCAACATGAAACAATCAATACTAGCTTTTTGATGGACCTTAGAAGAGTCATGAACTCGTTGAATCCAAGTACGATCAATGCAAGAATCGCCCATGGAGGGGGTAACCAGTTACTACCACGTCTATTCGCCTCCTGAATTAGTACGAACAACACTTTTAAAACATAAAGATTCATCAAAACAGAGTATATATAGAGTTAACTTATGAGTAAAGTAATCGTTTGTGCCTGTGCAGATATGGCTTGAGCCACTGTATACTCTGTTTCTGACTTGAACTGTCTCCATATAGATTTACATTGGACCGGTGTGACCAAAGTTCTTGATGATGGAACCTACAAGGAGCAAATTCTTTTAGATCAAGAATCAACCGAAGTTTAAAAAAAAAACACATTGGAGCAGAGTCAATACAAACCTCATCCCAAGTGCTTGAAGCCAGTGGATCAGATGATGTGATGCTTTTTGTAGAAGTTTCATTCTTTGTTGAATCCAAGAGAGAAACAGTTAGTGTCTTCTCGATGTTATCAGGTTCATCGCCCAACCGGATCACAGCCATTACTGAGAGCAACTTCAAGGACTGAAAACAAGAAACCACAAATAGGGTTTTGAGACTTCCTCAAGCCTTATAAACAAATGTGAATTAGCAATAACAAATCGTACAGCAGATCGAGCTGATTTAGTAATCGCTCGAAGATCCTCTTTTCCCGTCCAAACACGTGGCATTGAATCAGAATCTTGGCTGAAGATTGTAGCAAACCTGAAAGTAACAGGACCAAATTCAAAACTGGTTTAAAAAACATCACTGAGCACAGAAAGAAGGCTTGCTATGTATATATATATATACCTTTCCTTCATACGCATCAAAACCCTTCCAGCTTCTTCCTTTGCCTTAGATTCTATCACACCTCTTGAATAATCCTGAAGGCTCTTCACCATTCTATCTCTTGTTTCTTCTTCCATGTCAAAACCAGCTAATGCACCACTGAATCCAGAAACAGCAGATTCAGTTTCACGCTGATGAAGCTTCTTTACTGCAGTCCACGTTTCATTATTCGCTCCTTCCAACAGAGCTTCCACCGGTTCTGACAATGCTTCATGAAGCTTTGACTGCAGAATTTGAGACTAAATCAGTAAAAAAAAAAACTCAATTTTCTCAAGCCTTCTTTATCCTTTTTGTTACCTCGTATTTACTGGTAAGTTCAGATAACTTGAACGTCCGCACAGAGGAAATGTGAGCCTCGATGTCACGGACAAGCTTCTCCCGCACTTTAGCTGTGTCCCAATTGGCTTGTTCAACGATGGCACCTGCGCACTCTTCATCGAATTGAGTCATGCAAGACTTGAACCAAGCACTTGAAGCTGAAGAAAACCCTTCACCAATGTCTAAAGCCTTATCAAAAGAAGCCTTAAACTTCTCAAGCATTCCGCATCTTATATGTCCTAATACATCTTGAAACGCTGGATTCACAAGCTGTAAGGTAAAATTAAAAAGTAAGGAAAGCATATAAAACCGATCTCTGAGCGTGGCTGAAACAAGTTCGATTCTCACAAAAATCATTTTTCTTCACGAACATATAACTTTAATAGCATGGTTAAGAGATCCAAGATTGTATTTATTACTTGGAGAAGCTTTTCTTCAAGCTGATGTCTCTTTGAAGATCTGACACCTTCATCGAAGAATGTAGCCTCACCATCATATCTAATCAATTAAAGGACCGTCAAGATCGAATTTAACCATAACCCACAAGGAAGGTTTAAGAAACAATAGAATCCACAGAGACATAGAAAGTTACTAATCATAGCATCTATCGATATCATTACCAATTCAACTATACTGTGTGTGAGTAGCTTGATCAAAAACTGATGTGCTTACTCTGATAAGCAAGAACCAAGAATAGAAGTGAGCCTCTTTCCAAAATTAGAAACTGGACCAGCTTGCACCTCCTCATCCAGTTGCCGCCAGTGCTGTTAATGAAGCAAAAAGGTTAATAAGTGACTATAGGACTCACAAAAAATGAAGAAAAGTGAAAGTCAAGATTTGCAGAAACATAAACCTCGTTTGTAATGAAATGTGCAAACTTCTCATTTGCAATTTCTTCGCACCGCACAGTAGCCACCATGACCTGGAAGCAGAATGAGCTCAGAGGGAGTTAACACAATGTTTAAAAGCTAACACTAGAAGGTACCTTGTGGGCGGGAAGGTCAAGATCTTTATTCTCTTTAATGACTCTCCAGATTTGATCTGCACTAAATGAAAAACCTGAGGCTGGGATCACTCCTCTTCTGTCTCCAGCAAGACCACCCGGTGCAATAGAATGCATGAACCGTTGTCGCAAACTCGCAACCTAAGTTCCAAAACAAAAAAACAAAAATTGACTCTGTAACACACAAACATAAGTTTCTAGCATCTGTAAAAGGCTTGGACTCACACACACAAACACACCTGCTCTTTAAACTGTTCTTCCTTCTCCTCGTAACTGGAAAGAGCAACAACTTCAACCTAACCATCAAAGAGAGCAACAACATAACAATTCCGAAATGTGACAACCAATTCTTGCTAATAGGTCTAGATGTAGCATAACATACATTGAAGAAGTCACTTAGAGGAGTTTCCTTGTGTGCTTCAGGCTTTGGAACAGAATCCCATATCTGCCACAACGAAGAACAAAACCAGTGATCAGACGCCTTTCTTTGAATATCAATTTGGAATTAACTAAAAGTCAAGTCTCTTTAACCTTCTGAATATCTTCTCTTAAGACAGGCTCTAAATTTTCCAACGGTGTCTGCAGCCAAAATCATATCAATATAACAAGGTATAAATCGGTTAGCGGTTACAGATCAGCAATGTAAGAAGAGTGATAAAGAAGAAAGAAGAGAGTGTACCCTGGTTTTATCTCGTATTACAAAGAGCATTGTTGTTTTACGTGGACTAAACAATCGCATCATAACCTGTCAGGACAACTCTAAAGATTCAAACCTAGGGGTAAGAAAATAAAGAGTTTTAAATCTCTGAGCATCACAAACAAATGTACCTGGAAGACAGTTTTCAAGAGAGGTTTATTAGCAGCTTGTTCACGGCCAATATCGTGACACCACCTAAAAAAGCGCACAAGCATTGAGAATAGGTAATGAAATACTTCCTTTCAACAAAACCGAAAGCTATGTGAAAGTTCATCATAATACTAGAAAGTTTCTACTACAATCTTACATGTTGATCAAGACGATATCTGAGACAGCAAGAGCGAACAGAGCACTCTGTTTCTCGAATGCAGTATCATCCTGGTTGGAGAAAAAAGGACACAACTTAAAAAAACCTTATGTAAAAGAAACTCAATCTATGTCACACACTAAACCGAAATGGTAATGAGCCAAAAGAAACCTCTCCTCGCTCCCTTCCATCTGTGCCCTCCAAATCCATTACAAGTGTGCAAGGCTCTATACCGGCACATCTTGCAAGCCAGATACCTTTTGTGGTCTGAGACCTATAGACAAGTTCTTAATCAGGCGACAAACTTTTACACGAAAGTCAAAAGCAAAAACTATATATCCAATGATATCATACCTTCCCTTGAACGCATCCATCTCCATGAAGTTTGTTCCAAACAAATTATTCAATAGTGTACTCTTCCCTGTCAAACCAAAAAATGTTCTGTAAATTAACTTACCTACTTTCAATCAGATTACTGTTAAACGCTATTCTGAATATGACAAAACTCTCTCCACTTTAGAAGAATGCATACCGCTGCTTTGAGGACCCATAATGGAGACAACAGCGTAAGAGAGGCCACATTCTCCAAGTTTCACCTCCTTAATGAAACTATCGATGCCAGAGACGTTGTATACACCATCTCCGTCGATAAGCTGTACAGAACAACACACCTCGCTCTGATCTGCATCCAATATGGAATATGTAGCTCGTCACAGTCAATGGAAACTCATCTTGATCTTCAACAACAAATCGAATCAAACAATTTTCCAATGAAACGAGAGCAACAACTCAATCTTTAAACATTATCTAGACATGCAGATCCCTTTCTGAAACCGATTGCAACGACATTCTTTGTTAAGAGAACAGAGAAAAGGGACTCGTATATATCATATTACAGGGATCTACAAGATGATTCGTTTGAAGAAAAAGCCTAAAAACCAACCCAAGAATAAGGGAATCAATCAATAAAGCATAAATCGGACAATGAAAATTTTTAGACAGAGGGAGAAATAGTACCCATTGTTGGTCTTTCTGAAACCGTAAGTGTCAGTGAGAGAAAGTAAAAAGATGAGAGCTTTCACGCTTTGGGGATCTTCCTCTTCATTCTTTCATGTTAGTCATTTTAGGTTGGAACTTAGAACTATTTTTCTTTATTCTTTTTCCTTCAAGGAATGATGAAAGTTTGGAACTTTAGATCTTCTTCTCTACAAATTTGTTGGGCATGTGGAAACTTACACATCAAAAACCAATCTTGAAAAAAAGAAGTTGTATATCATCAACTCCAATCTAGAACAACAATTCTTCTACACACCAGAAACCCACTCCAAAAATAGACAAAACATTCCTATTTCTAAGCCACATCTTACTTACTAAGTTTAGTGATGCTCCCTTAACTTAATTTTTCAGGGATTTTAGCTTAATAAACTGATTCCAACACTTTCCGATAACCAGATCTAACACGTAGACAACCCAACAATTCCATGGCAACATTCGTTGCCCTTCCGAAGGCAGCAGAGATGTCTCTCTTTTTGAAGGCTAATTGTCTGAAGAAGAGTTCACGAACTTTCAGGAACCTCAGATGCTCTGCTTCGTAGACAAGCTTTATCCCGAAAGAATGAAGCAGCTGCTTGTCTTGTGTAGTGATGATGACTACACTTCCCGGACCAAAACAGTTGAAATCCTCTGCAAGAGCATCCAACTGCTCAAGCTTATCGACGTCGTCTGCCACAAGCAGAACCCTTTGGTTCTTGAGACTCAAGCATTCTCCTGGAATCCTCACCAGGATCTCGTCGTGCAGATGCGACATGTGGCGATCCTGAGAGATCCTTTTCACGTTTTCCAGGAAGCAGTGGCTTTCGAAGTGTTGACGGATGTTTCGATACACGTGTTTAGCGAGAGCCGATCTGCCATTGCCTCCTCGTGCCCATATCCCGATCACTCTCACACTCTTCTTCGAGTTCAAATCCAATAACCGTGAAAGGGCTTTCATGTGTGCGTCAATCCCCACTAGGTTGCTTCCATTGCTTGTTCTTGTTTCAGTAATCGAAATTGATATTTTCTCAGTGATTTTGTCGACCAGCATCGAATCATCCTCACTAAAAAAAAAAGACAAAGAGAAAACGAAAATCAGTAACCGGATCTCACAATTAAAAACTCGACCTTTTAAAGTAAAGATCGAATTTTTATCTTCAAGTTGCGAAATTTTACCAGTCCCATGAACATTTTCCGGAGAAGCTCGCCAAATTGGTCAATGCTTGCCTCCATGAAAGCACTTTCTCGCGGTCTTCTCTCTCCTCGTGCTTCTTCAACTGTTCGGCGACTTCTCCGATCTGCCTCCGTACATGACACGGGTTCACGCCGTAGAAGACTGGCATGACGGTGAGTGAGCCCTTGTTTTCGAAATCCATAATCTTGACGAGTTCGTCGAGGCACCAAGTCGACGCAGCGTAATTCGCGGAGATCACAACGACGGCGAATTTCGACTCCTCGATGGCTCGCACGAGCTCCGGGGTAATCCTCCGGCCACTCTCCAAATCCTTGTCGTCTTTGAAAGTTCGAATTTTCTTTCGGAGCAACTCCTTGTAGAGAAAACTGATGAAGTTGCGGCGAGTGTCGAGCCCTCTGAAGCTCAGAAAGACATCGAACTTCGGGAGAGTGGTTGCAGTAGTGCTAGACATTGTGACCTGATTGGTTCTCTAAGAAAAAGAAGAATCCACTCTCGCTTATTTATAGATCGTGGAGCCATGGTGGGAGGAGTTTCCACAGAGACTCGAGAGAGTCGAGACATGTAGCTTCCTCGCATTTGCTTTCTTTATTTTTTAATATCTTCTTATTTTTTTCGGTCAATTAATATCTTTTATTCTCCACCTGTAACTCTATCAAAATGTAGAGGAAGTAGTTATACTTATTTTCGTATGGGTTGTAAATATTTAAAATTCGCAAAAATGGCAATATACTATTGTGAAAACAATCACATTCAACTACTCTAAAACTGGATTTATTTGCTCGTAAACATTTGTGTTTGGGAGATATTTAGACTATTTACTAGAAAGTTAGAAACCTATGGTGGCAAAATGATAGGTAAAGGGAATTGCGACTTTTGGACGAATTAACAAAAATATCTGCATTTTTTATCACATGGATACGAGTAGATATATTATTACCACAAGTACAATCGTACAAACATGCGTAATTATTCCTTTTTCTCTGCGCATGGTGCGACTTTGTATCAATGGCTGATAATACGACAAAGGCTGCGATTTGTGGTGTCGGGAACAAAGAGAGAAGGGAGGGAAAGAGCGAAAGAGAGAGTGATTTTCTTTGTTACTTCTTTATTTTTTTTAAACCCTTAATTTTCTCCATGTCAACCTAAAAAACAAAGAGAATTAGGTGAAATGATAGTTTTTGAATGAAAAAGTATTAAGACAGTAGTATATAGGAAGGTGTGCGGAAGTAGTAAAATAAATGATTTAATAACGAACATGTATGTTTCTCACATAAGAGATATAAAAGCATAAGAGATAATATCGTGATATACAGATAGTGACAAGAACAGATGATCGCTTGTTTTACAATAATGTTACGTCTAATTCCTTTTCTTTTCCAAGAAGATGATGAGGAAATTAATCAAATCGAGCATATTAGTTGTATTGTGACGTACAACTAACTAATGGCACACCTATATTCGGGTTTAGATGAAACCTTAACTACAAACTAAGCATTAACGAGTAGACGTAGAAAATAGGACTCGATATCTGATTTGCAATTTCGGTTCTGAAGTATCTAATCGAAATTAACATTTTTCTTCTCCATTTAGTTGATTCAGTTTTTATCAGTTGTGTTAGTAGCATACTCTTTAGTTGTGTCTTCTTTTAAATTAATAAAAAAGTTAGGTGTTGTTCGTTTCTTCGTCCGAATGGATGGAAATAAAATCTTATTTATTTTACGATAAAATTTGAACAACATTTAGATAAATCATTTATATAAGTTTTGTCTGAATGAATCAAATAAACAAAAAAAAATTGAAATGCATACATCAGTCTAGTAAATGAGAAAGTGAATAATCTGTCAGTGGCTCAGCGCTTTCGAGGCTTTGTCAGTTTTGGTTGCATTGGATCATCATGTAAAAGTTCAATTCTCTGTCTGAAAAGTTAGCAACTTTATGCCATCTGTTTTAATTTATTGAACATATCGAAACATCAAAAATAAATAAAATACCCAATTTGTACAGACAAATCTTTTTTAAAAATGGTGTATTCTTTATTTTTCATATCAGGAAGAAGTAAAGAACAATGTAACATACAAGTACAAGTGGATTAAATCCAGATCCAAAAAATGGCCTAACATCATTATTAAGACTAAGGAACAAACACATCAATTTAATATTCCTCAATCTAATCAGTATAAACGAACAAATAACTAATTTATTTTGACCTAAATCTACACTTTGTATATATCTATAAAAGGCTTTTGGCCCTTTAATCAAATGTATCTAAAGACTATAAATTACCTTACTTAGTCTTTCCCTAATCTGACCTCTACCACACAACAAAGCCACTAAAAATTTAAGTGTCGAAAAAACATCGATACCAGAGAGATTCATGGCTCCATATGTAGACCGCTCGAAACCAACAGGCTCGTCTCTCTCTTTGAACGCTAATGATCTAAAGAGCTGACGAACCTCGTAGCATCTCAAGAGCTCAACTTCGTAGACACTCTTCACTACCGATGAGATAAGCAACTGCCTATCTTGTGTGGTTACGATGATCCTACTCCCTGGACCAAACCAGCTGAACTCTTCCGCAAGTGCATCCAACTGTTCGATCTTGTCAACGTCGTTAGCCACGAGCAGGATCTTCTTGTTCCTTAGCCTTGCTTTGATCGCGTTGAGACACCTGTGAGAGCTCTTTGTGTTCAAGCCTTCTCCTTGCATCTTGCAGAGAAGCTCTTCTTGGAGGTGAGATTTGCGGCAATGTAGCGATTCCCTTCTCACGTCTTCGAGAAAACAGTGAGCTTCGAAGTGATGCGAGATGTTCTCGTACACGTGTCTAGCGAGTGCTGATCTGCCAATGCTTCCTCTTCCCCAAATCCCAACGACTCGGACTTCTTCGTTTGAATTGAGATCCATCAATGGATACAGTTCGTTCATGTGCTGTTCAATCCCAATTAGGCTGTTACCGTTGCTTGGTGTTGCTGAGGACATCATCTTTGATATTTTCTCAGTGATTCCGTCGACCAGCTTCGAGTCATCTTCCCTGAACAAAACAAAAAACAGAGTAACACTTACCATTAATACCAAAAAAAAACAGAGTAACAAAAACAAAAAAGGGAGAAACTTGATAAACGATTGAACAAATCCATATGTGAACAAGAAGATCCATCAAATGTAATTATGGAGATTTTACCAATTCTTTGAGCACTCGCCAGAGAGACCAGCCAGTTTGGTCAACGCACTCCTCCAAGATTTGACCTTGTCTCTGTTATTTCTCTTCTCGTGCTTCTTGAATTGTTTCGCGACTTCTCCGATCTGTCTCCCCACGTGCGACGGATCAACCTCGTAGAAGATCGGCATCACAGTGAGCAAACCCTTCTCGTGGAGTTTCAGAATCGCTCTGAGCTCTTCGAGGCACCAGGAGGAAGCTGGGTAATTCGCAGAGACGACAACGATGGCGTATCTCGAGCTTTTGATGGCTTGGCGAAGCTCCGGTGAAATCGCACGGCCTCTCACCAGTTCCTTGTCGTCCATGAAAGTCCGAATCCCTTTCGCCTCTAACTCCTTGTAGAGAAAACTGACGAAGTTCTTGCGAGTATCTGCGCCTCGGAAGCTTAGAAAGACGTCGAATCTCTGAGGAGTGAAAGATGAAGAAGACAAAGACGATAGTGATGACCTGGATTCGAATAGCCGCATCGATTTAATTGTTTTCTTAAAGCAAGATAGTTTTTTAAAGACAGTGATCATCTTTATTCTTCTTTCTTTTTGTAGAACTTTTGAGAGCATGTGGCAATGTGTTGTAGCCAAGAGGAGTTAAAAGACACCATTTTATAAGAGGAAGAGGGAAATTATCATTGAATTTCCAAGAAACATTCTATAATAAACAAGAATTGTACACGTATTAATTTTAAATTATGGTAGAATCAGAAGAATATGTATCTCAATCTTGTTCGCTAATCGCTAGATACTCTCATTTTTATGTGAAGCGTTCAATGAAAATGGTGGACTGAAATACTACTATATTGTTTAGAATAAATATTCTCTATATCCGTAATACTATTGTTTTGTTTGATATTGCAATAAAAACGTGTATATAGATCTGGACCTGGTGATCAGTTATTGTTAATTAATTTTCCTTATAAGAAACCAAGTAAATTATTCCTTAACGTTTTGTAATCTTCTATCTATTTTATAATTTTCATAATAAGTTTGGTCCAGCCGCCTCCTTGGCTAAGAAGAAGTTGAGTTTATGTTTTTGTGGTGTATACTGCTGCTTCAAACTTTTCATGGAAATTTAAAACTTCTACATAGTATATTATACTTATTTTGGTAATTAACTTAATTAACGCGCGGTAGTGACATACAATTAAATTTCCGAGTAACATTCTTTGTGAATTATCTTAATGGGAAATTGGAATCATTGTATGCATTTTCGATTAGGATACACTTAAAAGAATTCAACTAGTGGAAATGGAATTAAAAACAATAGTTAAATTAAATAATGCCTTAGGGTGTACTTTTTGTTTGAATACATAAATATTTTATTTTGCAGTCAAATGTGAAGATGTGGTGATCGTTTTTCTGTTACGGCAAAATAGGGTTGTGAAACTAATTATTCGACTTATATGTAACGCCCGGGTCGTTACATTATAAGAAATCAACAAGTTAAACTCTAATTTTTTTTTTATCTATTCATTCTCATAAACTTTAGTCCAGCCGCCTACTATGAGTTTATATAAGTGGCTAAACATTTCATACTGCTTAAACATTTCATGGAAACTTTATAAAGAATATCATATATATGATAAACATTTCATAGAAACAAGAAATATTATATTATATGATTCGAGCTATTATAATAAGAAATAAAATCAAAACCAAAAAAGATAAAATCAAAATAAGTGGCATGGTCCTTGACGTACCGTACGTACTTATAGACACCGTGAAATTGACGCTTAGAAGGTTAAAGCCGATTTATTTTTAAAGTCACCATAGAATTGTTCTACCTTTAGAGACAAGTTTTACGTGTGAATATCAATATAGTCTTAGAAGTTGAAAGTTTAAACCATGTTAATTTTTCTCAAAGTTCTTGGATCTCTATATTATTCATATATAGAGGTGTCGCAATCAAATATTCCAAAGTGAAATTTAATTTTTGTTTAACACATGCAACGTCACAGATATTGGAGATCATCTGGATATACTTTTTTATCGTATCGTAGAAATTTGAATTAAGATAATCTGTTTGGTGCCTAAATATAATCGTTGTTGAATTTTTTTTTACATATTTTATTACGATTTTTGTCGTGCAGTAGTCACTGAGTTCGTAAGTCGTAACGTAATTAACGTATGCTACTATACTTTGCCGAGTCATACATTCGTCGGCAGTACTGCTACAGTATTTTGTTTTACTCAATAAAGAAGTCAAATAAAGTTTTTTTTTCTTTTCTTATACGTCATGGTTTTTTCTTTTCCTAATTAAGAAATAAAGTCAGAGCTATTACAATTTTTAAAGATGAAAGAGTCATGAGCTAAACATTTTTAATCTGAATTATTCAATTTGAAAAGTCGTTGTAAATGTGAATTTTCTTATTCAATTTTGTAGATGGAAAGGATTGTTCAAAGCTTTTTAACGAAACAACTTTCGTATGGGAGGAAAGAATTGTTCAAAGTTCTTCAAACTTCAAACGATGATCGAACGTATATAATTGATCTGCAGTCCGTATGGGCTTTCTTAAGTTTATATTCAGCCCACTAATGAGTTAATCAGCTCTAACATCCGATGATATATTCGGCCCACTAATGAGTTAATTAGCTCCAACATATCTTTTTAGCAATGCATAATCAAGAGTCCATCCAATAATGAATAATATAACAAATGGGCCATTTTTAGTTTTGAGTTTTGATTATCTAGCAATTACATGTATTTTTCATTTTTATGTCTGTAAAGTTCTAAAAATGTTCATAGCCAACTGTTAAAAGATCTAAAGATTAAAGGCAAAAAGAGAGCCCAAAACTTGGAGAAAAGTATAAAGTTTTTGAATTTGTTAAGCGGAGAAATGGATAAGAAAAAGAAAAAAAAAGTTGCAATTCGTTGTACTTTACGACAGTTCATGTTTTTTTCTTCTGAATTTATGAATATAAAATCGAGATTAGTTACTCGAATAATCATCACGACGTGACAATCACACCATTACAATTATCAACATTAAGGAGCTAAGCTAACCTTTGACATTTTATGATTAGGAGGACAATTATCACAAGTACGCCAACACCATCGTATTCATATATTTCTACTAATTCGTTTGTTGACTTCGCGACCCTACAATATTAAGTATTAATAGTAGTATGCAACGCTAACTAACAAAATCAATTATTAGTTGAAATAAGCTACCAAATAGACAAATTTAGAAATGGTAATTTGTTTCTTAGCTATAAACTTTTAATTTAGTGTAGTCTGTACCCAATTCAGTACTAAAGCATTAAAGACATAGTGTAGCTAAAATTAATTATATGAAAAGGCTATGTTTTAAATATAATATATATAGCTCACTACTTACTAGCATATGATCTAGCAACAACAATTAACAGTTTTAATTTTCAACCCAACAGGGTACTATAATGCTGTCGGTTCAAATTATTTGTTTCCTATAACTTTAAATGTATGTCATAATTCTTCGTATGACATCTGATAACTGAATAATTATTAGATGTGGACCATTTATAACATGTTTTATCCTTTTGACCATAGTTAGAAGAAAACAATGAGCATATTTAGATTTCAAAGTTTATGTGTGTGTAATTAAATTTTTTAGAAACAAATCCATTCCAATTGCAGTTTTTTCCTTTTGGCCGTACTAAGAAGAAGAAAACAATTAGTAATTACAGAAAAATCCATTCCAATTGCATTTATCTTATGACAGAGATAACTGAATAATTATTAGATGTGGACCATTTTATATTTTATAAAATGTTTTATCCTTTTGACAGTAAGATTTTATAAAATGTTTTATCCTTTTGACAGTAAGAAAAAACAAGGTTTATGTGTCTTTTTTTTTTATATCATTTTATATGTAATAAACAAGTTTTTAAAAAAAAATCCATTCCAATTGCATTTTTAACTATATTGAAATTAAATATTTTTTTTGTTTGGAAAAAAATTGCGCGTCACTGTTCTTCTTCTTCTATCTAAGCGGAAACCAATTGTTACAGTTCACAAGTAATCTCCCCCTCAAGCTTTCTCTCTCTACCAATTAAAGCATATCTCTTTCCTCTCTCTCTCTCTCTCTCCGTAAGACCCGCTCTGTGTCTAATTTTCTTCGTCGTCTTCCCCCTTCTCGCTAGGGTTTTGATTCCTTCAACACAGACCCACATCATCTGCGTTTCTTCTTCTTCTACCTCTCTCTCTATACGATGACCTCGACTTCCGCGAAGAACAACGGCTTGTCAGCCGCGCTTGTCTCGAATCTCCAGGATGTGCTTTCGAAGAGAAGAGGCGGGAGCAGCGAGGAAGGAGTTGGGAGCGTTGGATCGGCGTCGGAGGCTCCGTCTACTTCTGATTCCGTCGATGTTGCGGCGGCGGATGAGGGGATCGACGACTCCAAACCCATCGTTTTAGTCACGAATGGCGATGGGATTGATTCGCCAGGGCTCGTCTCTCTCGTGGAGGCTTTGATTCACCAAGGGCTCTACAATGTTCATGTTTGTGCTCCTCAAACGTGCGGTTTCTTCTTTTTGATTGTTAATTTGGCTTGATTTGTTCTTCTTCTAGTTTTGGTTCATTTCCTGTTAAAGTTCCAAAATTTTGGTTGACCCAAAAGGCCTGTGAATCGGAATGTGCAGGGATAAATCGGCTTCTGCTCATTCTATGACTCCTCGAGAAACCATTGCTGCAACTTCCGTTGGTATCAAAGGTGCTACAGCGGCTTTCGAAGTTTCAGGTATGTTGGTTTTTGATTAAATGGTTATTAAGCTTGACGAATTGATAAATTATAATGTGAAAGTTGGAGTCTTTGTTGAAATAAGATTCATTTGAAAAGGGTCATTATACATATCACATATGGTGTGAGTACCGTTTTTGTTCATAGGCTTTGAGGTTTTTTTTTTTTTATATCGCAGGGACTCCTGTGGACTGCATCTCATTAGGATTATCTGGTGCGCTCTTTGCTTGGTCAAAACCAATACTGGTTAGCATTTGTAATTACATCTCATAAGTTGACAATAAGATTATTTTGGTACTTTGTAGTCTCTGCATCTTTGTCTTTTGTTTACTTTCTTCAGGTAATTAGTGGAATCAACCAGGGATCAAGCTGTGGGCATCAAATGTAAGTGTTTTTCGTCTTGCATATAACTTGTTATTCGTTGTCTGCTCTGTGTAGTTCTGATTTGAGAGTCCTCCAGGTTCTATTCAGGTGGAGTTGCTGGAGCCAGGGAGGCTTTGATTTCTGGAGTACCCTCGTTGTCAATATCTTTGAACTGGTGAGTGTATCGTTGAGTTGCGTGATGATACACATTTGGAACTGTTGGCCATAATTTTTCTTATCGGTTATAGGAAGAAAGATGAAAGCCAAGAAAGTGACTTTAAGGATGCTGTTGGTGTCTGCTTACCTTTGATAAACGCAGCTATCAGAGACATTGAGAAAGGGGTTTTCCCTAAAGATTGTTCTCTCAACATAGACATTCCAACCACACCCTCATCAAACAAGGTTTGTATTTCTAACCAAACTTCTCTCATAAATTGGCTTTCTTTGGTTTTTTTTGGACTTTTGTATGCTAAGAACATGATCTATGCTTGCGATGGTTTACCATGTTATGTGAAACTTGAGCCCCAATGGCCAATGATTAAGGGAAGTTGACGTTTCATGTACATATGAATAGGGTTTCAAGATAACAAAACAAAGCATGTGGAGGCAGAGTCCTTGTTGGCAAGCTGTTTCAGCTAACCGTCACCCTGGTGCCGGAAATTTCATGTCCAACCAACAAAGTCTCGGAGCTCAGCTTGCCCAGCTTGGCAGAGATGCTTCAGCTGCTGTGAGTTTATTCCCTTTTCAAGGAGTTTTAAGCCTCGACTTTGCTCTTTTTATATTAGTTGTTGGTTCAGAAGGTCCAAGATTCGTAAATTCGACTCTAATAACTTAGATACCTGGCAATCTCAGGGGGCAGCTCGTCTTTATAGCACCCAGAAGAAGAGTATAGTGGAGGTTGAATCGGTTGGTGTTGCTGGTAAAGTTGATAGCCGTGTTAAGAAGTACTTCCGACTAGAGGTAAAGAATTTTTTTTGAAGCGTTTCTCGTAAGAAACCCTTTGGATATTGTATTTAAGATTCGGACTTGTATTGATTTGCAGTTTCTTGCTAAAGAAGAAGAACACACAGATGAAGATTTGGATGTCAAGGCTCTAGAAGATGGCTATGTAAGTTGGCATGATCATGCTTTTTTCTGTATCATTGATCCTACAGCTATGTTGCAGAATGTTTCTTGTTAGATTCTTGAATCTGTAAATGTTTCTCTAAGGAAAATATATCTGGTAATGACAGGTTTCTGTGACTCCAATATCTCTACTTGCAAGAACTGATTCGGGAACACAAGCCGCAGCATCAGAGTGGATCTCCAAATGCGTTAACGCTGATCAATGAAAAAGGTCATACTCGTAAATTATGTTACATGATTTGACCAAAAAGACAGACTCCAACAAATCTGGTAACTAGATTCTGCATTTGTTTGTACTTGTGGTCTTGTTGTCATTTAACCCTTTTGTTTTATTTTATTTATTCGATCCACCTGCAAGTCTCGTGGGTTTCTTTTGTTGGCTTGTTTGTTTTGTCAGTAGATCTGTTTGGGAATGCTTACCTTTGTAATTGGGAGAAAAAAAAGAGTCTGTTTGCTTTCTTTTTCTCTTATTCCAAAACCATACAAACATTATATTGAAAAGAATGGTCTTTTTGTTTTGTATTACCAAATCATGTCATAATCGCCATTGCACTTGTGTGTGTTATCTTCATCTGCTTATCTAAAAACACCAAAAGAGTTCATAGAGAAAAATCTTACATTATACACCACGATCGACAACACATCTATCACTTGAACATTGTTGTTCGCATTTGGAGCATCAACACCTTCTGAGGTGAGTTTTTCTTCTTCTCCTACTAATCAGTTTAGAGGAAAGATAAACGTAGGCACTTTTTCTCTTATGCACCTTTTCTTCATTACTTCCGTAATAGCTCTTTCTTCGTCTCCCTCGAGTTTTTGCAGTTCCTTCTCCCAACACTCGCCATCCTTCTTTCCTTGTAGAGAAGAAGCGATGATTTTAAGAGACAGAGGAAGGAAACCAGCGACACGAACAGCACGAAGTGAGAGTGATTCAAAGCTAGCTGGAGGGTGTTGCTGGTTAAACACAGTTTGAGAGAAGAGTTGAAGAGCCTCGTCGTATCTCAGTGGCTGGACCTCGTAGATAATGCCCCACACCAAAAGTCATGTACCAATTCCTTGTCCTGTGTAACAAGGATGACTCTGCTTCCTGGACAACACAACCGGACAATGTCTTCGATGTCCTTCGACTGTTTGATGTTATCTACACAATCAACGACTAGTAAACTTCTCCGGTGGGAAACCGTTGATTTGATAACATCAGAGGCCACAGTCAGACTCCTTGTCATTGCTTGAGGACCTTCATGAGTTTCTTCTGAATGTGACTCATCGGTGTCTTGCTCGTGAATCTTTTCAGCGTTGTCTACAAACACATGCCCATGGAAGTTGCTGCACAGTTCTTCATACGCACATCTCGCTAGTGTCGTCTTGCCAACGCCTCCTTGACCGCAGATTCCAATCAAGAGGACTTCCTCGTTGGATTCTAGATCCAACAATTCGTACAATGCTAGCATATGACGATCCAGTCCAACGATTTTGGTTGCCAATGAATCGATCTGCTTGTCTGAGACAGCACGCAAGAAAGTAGCTCTCAGATTGATCTGCTTTTCGAATAGAATACGCATGACTTGATTTGTAATCGTTTCGATCATCCTCCAATCATGCTCTCAGATTAGGAGTTGCTGCAATATGACTTTTGCATATTTTAATTTTCGTAATTACTCAATAAGGCAAAATTTTATTTGGATGGAATCATTAATAAAGAACTAGGTATGGTGAGACTAGACAATCTTCATAATAATCATATATTTTCTTACTTCGTATAAAAAAGTACGTTTGACTGTGGACCATTTTTTAGATTCACAATGTCTGGTTCATGCCAGAAGAAGCCTCTCTGTTTGCATTCCAGATGATGAAAATGAATCAGGAACGACAATACTGCTCATGGATTCAGATCATTTTGATCCAAGAGGACTAATTCTTGAAATTGTCAAAAGGTAAAACTTTATCTTCTATGCATAAATGTTTTCAAACTTTCAAACGGAAAAAGAGATGCAGTTTCATACGTGTACCATCCTATGTCAACTTGTTGCAGTTTTCTCAAAAGCAAATGGAACCATTTGAATCGTCAAGGTTTTTAATAGCCTCACAAAAAACATGGATGAACCTTCCTTGGACTAATGAACGTGATATAGACGTAAGTTTTTTATATATTTTTTTGGTATTGTAATAACTCCTTATGAGGCCTGATTATTTAAACGCTCATGGAATTGTCTTTGTCTTTGTTCAAGCAGATTTCGCTAGAGGAGGTGGATGAGTATTATGACGTTGGTTCTACAATTCTTTTCGCTATTGAAAAATTCATCAAAACTGCATATGATAGGCTGTATTATTGCTCAAGAATACTGCTCCTGATAGGTTGTATAATTGATCATTAATTATAAGTTTCAAATATTGATTATATATATAAACTCATCTAACATTTTTGATCTAACTTGGCACAATTGAAAATTTGGTGTTTTGTTCTTTGTTCAAATTGAAATTTTAAACTTAAATTTTGATAATGAAGATATAGCCTTTCTGCATTTCCACAAAAGAATCCATAGGAGGAGACAGCTCTTTGGTGATCCATGTCTGATGCATTACGCTGCCGCAAACCTGAATAGTTTCTACAATATTCGACAAAGCAGAATATCCAGATTTTATGGCGATTATTCCGTTAAGAAGTTGCTGATGAGCGATGTCTCACCACATATGCTGAATCCTTTATCCTATGAAAAAATCAAAAACAGGCTACATATGAAACTCAATGTAGCTAATGATTTTTTCTAAAAAGGGAACACAATGTTGAAATAAACTAAACCCAAGAACTTGCGTCTAATTACCCTTCACAACAACGACCCGGTTGTCAGAGCTTGTGCCAACCCCTAATACTTTGACCACATTTTTGTGGAGCAGTTTCATACAAACTGAAAGTATCAGTATCCAGAACAAGGCTAACTTCTAAGTTCTGACATCAAGCCAATCAATTTTGAAATATTCTACCTTGAGAGAAAATCATGACAATACAGTTTGCTTTTAGGCTCAAGAAATCTGATTGACACTGTTTTGTTGCCCCAAGTCCATGAGGAACTGTTTAAGACATGAAGAAGCTGACCATTCAGCTCTATTGTTTTACGTGTTGTTTCCACATAAACAGAAGCAATTTCTTCATCGTTTTCCAATGGCTGCTGTATAATTAGGAGTAAAATTCTAATTTAATTCTCTATTAAAGTAAACATCCAAGTCTAGAAAATTCTGTAACTATCAGATCATACCCGATTTGTGGTTCCATAAAATCAAATCGCCGAAAAAAATAATCCATATGATAGTATCAGTGTTCTTTTTTTTGGAGTAAAAATACTGTATCAGTTAGTTGCACAAATCGAATTAACGGGAACAAGAATTGACACGATCTGGTTGATTTTAAATTTAGTAAAAACAGCTAGGTGTTGGAAAGAAGATATTATCATATGGATTTTTTTTTTATAAAAAATTTAGATTGGTTTTAATGATTTTCATGAACTTTTACATTTTCTCACTGTTTATTTTTTAAAAAGGGGTTATTGGGAGAGGTATTTATGTAGATTTTGAGATTCCATCATTATTGGTTTATTAATTTTAAAAATTCTACTAGAATCCATTATTATTGGTTTAAAGATTTTTAAATTCCATCCAAAATCCTCTGTTATTCAAAAAGTTTCATTTTTAAAGATTTTATTCTATTCAAATATTGTGTTATTGGGATATTAATTTTAAACAATTTAACTCATTAAGCAAGATTTTGGATGACTTTCAAAATATTACATATATAACTTAGATTCTCAAAGTCATTATAATAAAATATTTTCATATATTTTCTAAATAATCAAACTCTTTCCAAATTCAACAAAATTTTTTAAACAAATTTAACAAATCTCTCAACTCTTAAAATCAATGAAAATTTTATAATTCCATCTCCTAATAACTCCTAATATTAATTTAAATTGATTAATTTTTATTTTTAAACCGAATTAATTATTAGTCTTAACTCTTAAGTAACTTATGCACAATTTGCAGAAGCCCAATTTGCAGAAGCCCATTTATCCAACTAGATGCAAAAAACCCACCTAAAGTGGCCTAACTATTGTTGCTGACTGAGTCTTAAGAGAACTATTTAATTAGAATTCGGAACTGCCTATGTTATGGAATCAGGGACTCAAGGTGGTTGAGTTCTGTTATAAGGATTTTTTTCTCATTTAATCCGAAGGAGAATCACTAATAATTTCACACTCTTTTAATTCATACAATACATAACTCCTCTGGACAATCAAGATCATGTGTGTTTGTTAATGCTTCTCTTCTTCTCTACCATCCTCTGTTCTTCAACGCCAAGATTACTTCAGCAAATCCATGATACTTCTTGTACGTGCAACTCTTTATTAACACAACAAATGCTTAATTTGCATTTGGCGATATATTTTTACATAAAATATCATTCTGTGATTTATCTACTTTGTCGACATTCGTAGATTCCGACCAAATTCTCTTGTACATACCACTAGTGAGCTCTTCTTTAATACATTATTTTGGCGTTTTATGCAAAATTATCCTATTATGATTTATAAATTAAATATCTAAAATTTATAAATCAATTCCTTTTTATTTGTTGTTTGCATATTTTTTATAAATTATAAATTAAATATTTATCAAATAAATAAAATTACATAATATCATAACATAAAAAACTTTTATTTTAACAATACTGTTACTATATTTTTCCCTCAAATGATCAATTAATACATTTGAAAATAAAAAATAAACTTTTTTATCTTTGATTTTTCTAAATCGACCAAGAAGTGAACTATTTCCATAATACTTTCATATATGATTAATCAAAACATTTCAAAGTAAAAAATGAGTCTTTTTATTTTTTTATCTGTAATTATAAGATATTTTTTTCTAAAAATGAGTATTTCCATTTATTGCCATTTAACCTAAAACTGATCTTGCATTTCTATTTCATGCATTGATATCACAAAGTTTTGTAAAAATCATAATGACTAGAAATGTAAATCTTCCAAAAAATTAAAATATAAGTTTTTTAACAAAAAAAAAACTATATTATAAATTGCAAGACTTTTCGAATAGGTCTGAATCCAAAAATCCACTTGTCCGAATGTGCTTGGCTGGTTAGGTCCATTATTTTTGAACTTATATATCAAAACTCAAACTTAATATAATACATAGCCGAGCCGGATCGGATTTCATATATTTGGCCCTACTTGATTATTTGTTTAAATAATAGTCATTATTATGTATTGAGAATCCTCTATTCCGGTGCAGTTTCTGGAGCTAGCGAGGCTTTGATTTTTGGAGCACCCTCTTTGTCAATATCTTTGAACTGGTGAGTATATCATGAAAATGCGTGATGATTCACATTTGGAACTGTTATAATCCCCAAGGCAGCACAAATTCTAGTTTACCATTGAGTTTATTTCTTGGTCAAACTTTTCACCTGTCCCAAAAATTTCTTTATAGTTTTTAGTTCAAGAAGCTGTCAACATTTTCAGCCAATTCATAAGCAAGTTGTACTTATTACAAACGTTCTATACAACCTCGGATCACCATTGAAACTTACACATGGGCTCCAGTCTCTACGGAGATCTCTCTGCCTACTGAATACAGCGAGTATTGACGAGAATTAGCTTAAAAGGCGCCAACCATCAAATATAGAAAGGAGAAAACACACAATCAATCTTAAAATACAGAAGAGTTTAGTGACAAACAGAAATTTACTTGTTCGTCTTATTTTCAACCATTTGCACAAGATTACATAAAAACATACAAACGTTATTTTTGAGAAGGGGGAGATCAAATCAAATGATCACTTAAGAGCAAAGCGGTAAAATGGGGAACGGTTTGCTTCATCGACTACAATGTGTTGATCCACTTTCATCGGACGTCTCGGTGCATAGTCAACTGCTCCCACATACCTGCAAATCTCCGTAGCGTAGTTATTATGTGAAGCTTCGAGCCTACGTAGTGTGCGTATCCATTCATCTTTCTCCTTATCGCATAAAAACGATCCCAACATTTTGAGGGCAAGAGGAAGACGATTCGAGACTTGGACAGCACGAAACGAAAGAGCCTCGAAACCAGGAAGAGGGTTTCTTTGCTTGAAAGCAAACTCTGAGAAGAAAGCAAGAGCTTCCTCATATTTAGGACACTCAAGCTCGTATATGTGTTCCACTCCACATTGAGTGAGCAATGATCTGTCTCGAGTGGTTACGATGATTCGACTTCCTGGACCAAACCAACTCGAGTCTTTCACTATACCTTTTAGGTGATTAATGTCGTTCACACCATCAGCAACAAGCAGAACTTTCCGGTGTTGGATCATTCTTTTTATGGTAGTATCAGAGCTCCCATGGAAGCTACTTCCTTTTAGAGCTTGACTAGCGAGATCAGTCACTAGTGAATATGGTTTGTAGCTACTATCTTGTGGCCGGATCCTGTTCGGAATGAACAATAAATGGTCCTGAAACAGAGGTGAGATCGTACCGTAAAATAGTCTTGCAAGACTTGTCTTACCTACTCCTTCAATTCCACAAATACCAATTACTGGAGATTCTGCTCGCACTGTTAATGCGTGCAGATCTTCAACACAAGAGCTTCTCCTAGTGTCAGTATCGTCTCTTAATGATTTCCAAAACAGAGGCTCCCTTTTCAAAATTGGATCTAACCTGAACGCATCCGCTAGCTTCAAACTCCTAGCAGGGCTTAGACCAGTACTAGTCTGATGATATCTTGATGCGGAAGATGTCAGAATATCAGAAACGAAACGAGTAACTTTATCTACCAGCTCTGAGTCATCCTTGCTACCGTTTCAACAAACACAATTGTACTAATTAGTCTCTAATTTTCATTAGATCAAAACCAAAATTGCCCAAATGTATAGAGATAACAGGAAACAAGGTACCAGTCGCAGGAATAAAATCCAGATTTGTTAATAACGTGACCGTCAAGCCACTTCTTCACAGTCTCCAGGGTCTCCCGCTGACTCCCCTGCATGCTGTGTGCGTTTTTTCCTGCATTTCTTAACATATTTGAGATATCCCAAGGATCAAGTTGGAAGAAGATAGGCACTACCGCAGTCAAAGTTCCTTTCTTCTCACACTCAATAATCTTGGCCAAGTCATCGACCCACAGGTCCAAAGACGCCTGGTCCTTTGATCGTCTGGTCTTTGAGTTTTGAAGCTCTTGTTACGAAAACAAGAGATGACGTGACATACACGACAGCTGAATTCCAAAATGAAAGTCGTCTGTAGTACCGGGTTTCACCAATAATTGTTATAAAATATTCCATCAAATGATCTCGGTTTATTGCTTAAGAGATAGGAATCTCTCCTACGGATGAATGATTATGACAGAACAATAAATTTGATTAAGTTATAGTTAATTAAAGGCTAAGTTGGCATGTTAAACCATTTAGAAATCAAAATTTCCCCAATCAAATCCATAAGGTCAAACAAACATATGGTTCTACCGAACACTCAAAAACCATATATTATTAGCAACCTCCCCGCGTTAACCTCAAACCTCGGAATTATTCGTGACTTTTTAGTTTTAAAATAAAAAATAAAAGATGTAACTCTCATGAACGCAGGATTAATAATTAGCATTATCTCAATCTGACTATAATGTTTATGTATTTATAATATAAGCCAAACTGTCACAAGCTTGAAGAATTCAAATTACCAGCGTGTCGCGCCCATTTACAACGTGGAAATGCGAAATTTTTGTTAATAACACGTTGACTTGAATTCGTCTTTCACCAGTCTTCTCTATCTATCAAAACTAACGTGATCGTAGTTCTTCTTTCAATAAAGCTTCAAAACCAAGACTCTCTTCTTCTGTACAGACCAAATGGATTCTTCTGTTTCACCTCGTGTCATGAAGCAGAAGCAATACGATGTATTCCTCAGCTTCCGAGGAAAAGATACACGTAGAGGCATCGTCAGCCATTTGCACAACGCACTTCTTATCAGGAGAATTGATGATATCTTCAAAGATGACCAAACACTCGAGATTGGCGACTCCATTTCTGAAGAGATTAAGGAAGCTATACTGAACTCCAAGTTTGCTATTGTCGTTCTCTCCGTGAACTATGTTTCTTCGACTTGGTGTCTGAACGAGCTCCAAATGATAATGGAGCTTCACAAGGAACAAAAACTCGTTGCTGTTCCAATCTTCTACGACGTTGATCCTTCCGACGTTAAACACCAGAGAGGAACCTTTTCCTTAAAACGGTATACATGTTCCAGAATCATGCGAGTACTTTCCCGCAAGAGAAGAAAAACAGCAGCACAGGTTCGAAAATGGAGAGAAGCTCTAACCCAAGTCGGAGGAACATCAGGCAAGGATTCTAGAGCTTGGTGAGTTCTCAGTTTTCAGTGACATTTTCCTGTAAATCATTAGTAATTAGTATACACTATAATGGGAATCAGAAAGACTAAGTAGGAACTTAAAGGTTAAATAAAGACAACCAACCATGTAGGATTAATTGTTAGTTGTTACTCTGAATGTGCAAATTAGCCTTCGGGTCCTCTATGATTCATGAAGATAATAATGTCATCAGGTGATATGTACCGGCAACGTTCATCTTGGTTCTTCTCTGGTTCCTGCATAGAACATATTATTTCTTTTTCTTTACTTGAAAAATATATTTAAAATTAAACCTATCCAGAGCAAAATGCTTTACCATTTTTATTTTCGTGTGTTTGTCCTCCATGTTAATTAGTGAGGACGAGGCCATGATGGTTGAAGATATTGTTAAGCACATTGCACGAGAGCTGTCCGCAATGCAGCCAATTCAGATGGGTGATATCATTGGAATGGACGCCCACATGGAACAAATCGATCCTCTCTTGGATATGGACTCGACAGCGAATGAGGTTAGGATGATAGGTATCTGGGGAATGGGAGGCATAGGCAAAACCACGATTGCCAAGTGTCTCTATAAGAAATACTCTCCTCGGTTTGCTCATCGCTTTTGCTTCATCGAAAACATTAGAAACTCTGCAGAGAATGGCCTCCCAGGTTTACAAAAGGAGCTTCTTTCTAAGATCATTTCGGATAAGGAGAAGGGATGCACTATTATTAAGTCAAATCTTAAGAAACTCAAAGTTCTCCTTGTCCTTGACGATGTGGACAACGTGGAGCAGCTTCGTGCCCTGGCAAAAGAGACTAGCTGGTTTGGACCAGGGAGCCGAATCATTATAACTACTCGAGACTTGGGGTTGCTCTACTTCTACGGGATGAGATTTGTTTACCATGTAAACTTTTTGGGAAATGATGATTCGATCCGAGTCTTCAAAAACGTTGCTTTTGATGGAGGACGAGCTCCTTCCGATGTCTACGAACAACTATCAATCCGCGCTTCTAAGCTTGCTCAAGGGCTTCCTTCAGCGCTAGATGCCTTTGGCACATATCTCCGCCAAATGACCTCTATAGAGGCGTGGGAAAAGGCATTGAGTGTTCTTGAAAAATTTCCTCCTCAAAGTATCATGGATATATTGAGAACTAGCTATGAAGGTTTAGACAAGCGAGATCAAGCTGTGTTCCTTCACCTTGCATGCCTCTTCAACGGAGACACTGTCCATCGTGTAACCACCCTACTCGATGATGGTGATATACGGATCAAACGCTTACAAGAGAAGTCCCTCATCGATATCTCACCCGATGGATGCATCGCCATGCATGTCTTGGTAGAACAAGCGGGGAGAGAAATTGTGCTCCAAGAATCCAAGTACAAGCTTTGGAGACAAAGAATCTTGTGGGAGCCTGAGGAAATTGTTTCTGTGCTGCAAAACACCACAGTAAGTGTACTAAACATTCCACATGTGCTTATGCTTGTGTTGTCTTACTGTCAAGTGACTCTTGGTGATTCTCTCCTCAGGGTACAGCAACAACTGAAGGTGTGGCACTACACATGTGTGATATGCTTCGCACTGTGTCTATCGAGGGTAGCATTCTTAACGCAATGAACAATCTCAAATTCTTCAAGACCTTCACACATTTGAATGATACAGAGTCCAAGTTACAGTTCTTCTCAGGAACCGATAAACTTCCCAAAACACTTAGGTTACTACACTGGGATGCTTATCCAATGACAACTCTGCCTTCTGAATACTACCCCAACAGTCTCGTTGAACTCAATCTGCGTCACAGCAATCTCGTGCGGCTCTGGGATGGAGTCCTGGTAAGTTAATGTAGCGCATTGCTGTTTAAGTCTGATGTTAGAGTATCTCTGGGTTTTCACTGTCTTTTGTTTTTCTTAAATTCAGGGCTTGGATCAGTTGAGGAGACTAGATGTTTCTGGCTCCAAGAATCTGACCGAACTTCCAGATCTTTCAAGGGCCACGCTACTCGAGGAGTTGATAATGAAAGACTGCACGGGACTGAAGCGAGCTCCGGATTCCATCGGTCGCTTATCTTGCCTTCGAAAACTCGATTTATCCCACTGTGACGGCTTGATGAATCTTCAAACCTATCTATCAGAAAAGACTGTCCTTCCAGAACGTGGACTAAGACGACGCCGGCAAATCATATTGAGGCTTCCCGGAGCAGTAAAGAAACTAAGCTCTCTTGCAAACCTATCTATAGAGGGGAAAATACACATCGGCTTGTGGCATCTCAAGGGAAACGCAGAGCACCTCTCTTTCATTTCCGAGCAACAAATCCGTGATGAAATGATAACGATGCCAAAGGTAAAATCTCCGATGGTCACAAGCTTCTACGATTTTAAATCGCTCAGTATCAAGCGGTTTAGCTACACCGAGGATGGCTCCCCTTTCCGTTGTATTAGCTTCTCAGGTTTCCCTTGCTTGGCAGAGTTGAGTCTTATCAACTTAAACATCAAGAAAATCCCAGACGACATCGGTCTATTGCATTCACTAGAGAAACTTGACCTCAGCGGAAATGATTTCAGGAGTTTACCCACATCAATGAAGAATCTTTCAAACTTGAAATATCTCAGGCTCTCTCATTGCATCAATCTCGAGGCATTTCCAGAGCTGAACGAGTTGCAGACGCTTAAGCTTTCCGGCTGTTCCAACCTCAAATCACTGTTGGAACTATCTCATGCAGTTCAAGATGTAGGCAGATACATTTTGCTACAGCTTGAGCTTGAAAACTGCAAGAACGTACAACCATTATCAGATGAGCTTAGCCATTTCACCAATTTAATATACTTGGACCTAAGCGGACATGACTTTGAGGCAATCCCCGAAAGCATCACAGAGCTTTTGTTTCTGGGAACTCTCTGCGTCAATAACTGCAAGAAACTCAAATCAGTGGAAGAGCTTCCACGTAGCCTCGAGCATCTCTATGCGCACGGATGCGATTCCTTGGAGAATGTCGCCATTTCCTCAAACCATTCGATCAAACACCTCGATCTCAGCCATTGCTTCAATCTGCAACAGGACGAGTATCTGATTACTCGGTTTCTAAACGGCGGATATAGCCAAGAGGTAAACTTTATGCTTAAATTCGAATCTTTCTTAATTTGTAATCCTCTGTTGTGAAACTTTATTCCGATTTTTTCTTCGTAGGTTTCACAACGAACGCTTTGCTTACCCGGAACTAGAGTGCCCAGATATTTTGATAATCGATCCTCGGGAACATCTACGAAGATCAGCCTACCTCCGATTACGTTTACACCCACACTTGTGAGCTTCGCTGCCTGTATCATGATTTCTTGCGAGAAGCCCTTCAATCTCGAATTCCCGGCGTTTAGTTATGATTGGAACTGCGAAGATGACGAAGTGATTCGGATTAACCTCAAACCAAATCTCTATCGTTCATCGGAGAATGAGGAAGAAGAGACGGTTGCATCACATCACCTGGTCATCATCCACATCCCAAGTAGCATAAACACCGAGAAAATCGAAGAGTTTCGACTCGAATCACATCTTCAATTTCCAGATGAGTTTCGGTTTCCACCCGGCGAAATAAACAGTTGCGGAGCTATATTAAACCAAACCATACCGATTTAATTTCGTTATGTCAATTTCGGTTTGGTTTTTCCGGTTCTATTGTGTTTTTTAATTAAAACCAAAATAAACCAGCAGTGGGGACATTTCCCAAATTGAGAGTTGCGGTATCATTCATCTTGGCCTCCTTCGATTTTGGTCTAAAGAAAGGTGATTAACTTTTGATTTTGGTCCCTAAGCGAGATGAGTACCAGCAGCAGCCACGTGTCTAAATTCGCATGGATCATGAAAGGGCTCAAGCCTATAAACATAGGAAATTAAAAAAAAACGAATTAAGAAAACATGAAATATAGCCATTATTATGTTTTGGTTGTTCCAAGGTTAATGGAGGCATGACTATGCTTGACTTGCACTAAACCTTTCTTTCATTGCCAAAAAAGTTAGGTACTTGATTAAGAGAACCCATCCTGAGTTTTAGTATAATACAATCTTTTATTCCTTTCTCATTTCACATTTTTACATTCTTACACTTTCCTTAAACTACGATACTGGAAAATAGTTGTAATAAGCGTATAACTTGTTTATTCTCAACAGAAAGAAGTCCATAACTTGTTGTAGATTAAAAATTTAAAATTGAAATTTTATTTCCATGATTAAAAATTGTTAGTTCTAAAGAGTGTGTGTGAATCACGAGATTAAGAGCGCGTGAGAGATAGATACAGAGAGAGGCGGCTAAAGACTAAAAGGGTAAGGACCTAAGGGCAATTAAGGACGGTTCACACAATTTTAAAAGCTTCATATACACTGGAAACGACAACACACTTTGGACAAAAAGCTAAATAACAAATTAGCATTTTAAAAGCTTCACAAAAACTAAAAAATATAACAAAGCTAACGTGGCCAAAGATAGCTAATACTTTTTTGGCTTCATTCTTAGATTAGATTAATTTCGAAGACATCATACAAGCCAAAAACTTCATTATATTCGAAATATAATATGGGGGAAAAGTATAGGGACCTTACATACATTATTGCCAAAGTGATAAAACAAAAAAAGCTAAATTACTAAACGAATTTATTGAGATAAGAATCGTTAGCTTTTTAATTAAATAAAAAATTCTTTAGTTGTACTGTACGTTTTACCTTTCCAGATTTACATTATCAAAAGGCAAAAGAAAATACTGTAATCGTATTAAAAAAGTATTACTTCACTTTTGAAGATATACAATAGTATCATTTTGTTATTTTCCCGAAATTAAATTTTGAAATCATTTTTAGGGAATTTAGGAATCTGACATACTAAAAAAAGATTTTAAAAATGCTTTTTTGGGTAATTGATTCTACAAGGTGGGGGATAGGCAGAGCGCCAGAGAGAGAGAGTCTTATTCTGTGTTTTGGGTAAAGTGAACAATAAATTAAGCTAATAAATGAATAATGAAAGCACTTAGGACCATAATTAAATTAACCAGAAGTTGAAGGTTTGTAGTGGTGCTCATGGCGATGGTGGTTTCTCAGGATTTCGTAAGAGAGAGAAAGCAATAGACGGAGACGAAGAAGCAGAAGAAGCTCATACCAAAACGAATACAATAACACTCTGATTCACTGACCGAGAGAGAGAGGATTTACTTTGTTCTGTAAATACAAGGGAGGGAACATGCAAAACTGATCTGTGTCCTTGTTCTTCGTCGTTCCATCGAAATACTCAAAGGTTCTTCTCTTCACTCTATCTCTCTCCTTCTTCATCTGTAGTCTGTGCGCGAGGGATCTGATTTTGCCATTTTCTTTGTTCGATTTTTTGGTGGCGTGCGATTAATGTTTACTGATTTGGAAATTCTGCAAAAATTTTCCTCTCAAGTCAACGCCTTTTTTGCCAAAAGTGATGACGAGCACAATATTTTTTTTTCTTGTTTCTTGGTCGGAAAATTTCTAATTTCGGCCAATCGTCGCCATCTCTGCATCATTTGGTTTACCAAAGATAGTACTCTTATCGTTTGTATCGAATCAGAGTTCGTTTTGGATATGAATTTTGTTTGTAATATAATAAAAAGCCACACAATTTTAGAAACTCCCAATCTCTCTTTATTTTTTTTCTATTTCTAGGTTTTTTCGCCCTTTCTTGTATTCATCGCTTTAAATTTATCGTCTTTGCCCAAAAAAATCTAATCTTTTGAATCAACCCTTGTTGAATGATATAGGTTTTTTTCATAAGACTTCATCTTGCGAGGAGTAGCTTGTAAGAACGCTATGCATCAGATGAATAAGAAAGATTCCACTTTGCCATACCTGAACACTAGCATCTCATGGGGAGTGGTTCCAACTGAATCCCCAAGCTTGAAGGTGGATCCAAGGCCTCAACTTTTACAAACCACAAAGCAAATCAGTTTTCATGAGCAGGATTCATCTTCAACCCAGTCCACTGGTCAGTCTTATACTGAAGTTGCAAGTGGTGAAGATGATATTCCTTCCAGACAAATCTCGTTTTCAGTTAAATCAGGTAAAAATATTGGGTTCTACTCAGTTGAATAGACAAGGGGATTTTAATCTTCTATGTTAAATACTCTTGCTTGATGTTTTGACTTAGTCTTGATTGCTTATCAGATATTAGATTGTTGGTATATGTTCAAACCTCGGTGTTATGTTTGTCTAGGATCTGAAGAAACTCAGCGAAAAGGATTTGCAACTCAACCTAAATCAGGCTCGATGGCAGGATTCCCGAATATTCAGTTTTCTCCTGCACAGGTAGTATTTTGTGAATCTATGAATCAGTAACAATATAAAAACATCTGATTGGCGGACTGATATATTATAACATATACATGATACAGGCTTTCTCTTTTCACTATGCTGATCCACATTACTCTGGTTTATTGGCTGCAACTTATCTACCACAGGCACCGGTAAGTACCACCTTCATTTCATATATGTCTTGTTCTTCTGGTATAGTGCGTTTAGTTTGATTATGCAGTTCCATTATGTTTCAGTTTTATCCTCCATGAGACCTCAAGCCTCTTAAACTCTTTTGCAGACATGCAATTCACAAATGGTGGGTATGGACCGTATGGTTCCTGGTCGAGTTCCGCTACCAGTGGAGCTCACGGAAACTGAGCCAGTCTTTGTCAATGCGAAGCAATACCACGCGATCATGAGGAGGAGGCAGCAACGTGCCAAGCTCGAGGCTCAAAACAAACTAATCAAATCCCGTAAAGTACATATTTTCTTCACTATATAGAGCATCCAAAACAAAAGTATCTCATTAGGATTGCTATACTCATCTCTGTTTTTTTCTAATTTGCAACAGCCGTATCTTCATGAATCTCGACATGTTCATGCTCTTAAAAGGCCAAGAGGATCCGGTGGAAGATTCCTAAACACCAAAAAACTTCTTCAGGAATCTGAACAGGCCGCTGCTAGACAACAAGACAACAAAAAGGCAAACATGTCTAGATTCGAAGCTCATATGCTGCAGAACAACAAAGACCGTGGCACAACCACTTCTGACTCAGACATCACCTCTGTTTCCGACGGTGCTGATATCTTCGGACACACTGAGTTCCAGTTTTCAGGTTTCCCAACTCAGACGAACCGAGCCATGCTTGTTCATGGTCAATCTAATGACATGCATGGAGGTGGGGACTTGCACCATTTCTCTGTCCATATCTGAGACATTGGATCTTGGTGCTGTTTCATGTTCCCATCCAAAGGGGAAGTCATCCTTGGCTACTACTAGTTCTTTTGCTTCTTGTTACTTGTTAGTGTTTTCATTTCACATGATGTATGTGTTAGACATCACAAGAACACGACCAAGATCTTCACTTTGAACACTCTTGCTTGTCTTTTGTCTTCTCTTACCATGTTTGTGTAAACTTGTGATATGATTGTTTTAATAGACTTTCAATTCCTCTTGTTTCATGATTTATCTTCTTTTATCAATGTGTCGGTAATGACGAAGTCTCCGGATTCTGTAATAACATGATAGAGAAAAACACAGATTCTGCTTTCCACTCCATAGATTGGCGTCAAGAGACATTTAGATTCTTGAATATTTAACAATTTAGTTGACAATGTTTAAGAAATATTTTATGAAATAATCCAGTTAATACATAAGACTATTTCTTATTCCTGGATAAACTTTCTTTAACTAATGAAAAGAGGTTGAAAGATTCTGCTTTGAGTCTCATTTATCTGTCTGAGAAGATATCATCATCACACACACTTAAAGATACTTGAAAATATTACCATTTCTTTGGCACGTTCATGAATAAAATATCAAAGCCGTCTCTACGAGATATTTCCTAATGAAGAAAGTATAAATTATTTTGATAAGGCAAGAAGAAACGTAAGATCCTGCTCCGAAATACGTTGACTTGTATGACAGATACACACTTGTGTTCCTGAAATACTAACAACAATGATAATACATTCATTATTTACTACTATGAAAGTAGATGACAGCATTTTGAATTATATAATGTCACAATCAATCCTGTAAATCACTTTCGTAAGTGATTCATGAATTACTATTAATTATATAACATATATTGCCAAATCAAATCTTGGCGTGTGTCTTTCATTGATGTAAGAGTATGCCAATTACCAGATGAAGTCTTAGAAGCCATCCTTTGATACTGAATCAATCATACCGGTTTACCAGCACGGTAATAGTGAACCAAATCCAATCGCAAATTGAGGAAATTACATTTCTTTATTTAGAAACAACTGAATTTTAGCACATTCCTTACATATGACTGAAAAGAAAAGAAAACACCAGAACTGCTAGACAAGAACAAGACAAGTAGGAAAAATGAAAACATTCCCATCAAAGATTTTTTTCTGTGGTTTTTTTTTTTCATTTGTTGTTTATCACTATGATTTGGAGCAAAACCCGTCATGGTTCTTAGCTGAAAGCCGTTTCAAGAACTCGTAGGTAGTGATCATAGTCGTTGCAGACATTGACATTGAAGCACATCTTGGTCCCAATCCTCTGTAACAAGCCGTCCATCCACCTTCCCTAACCAGGTTTCTCACGGTCAGTCCAATACTCGGTCCACGCTTCCCGCTGTTGTTGCTGTTACTACTACTATTACTACTATCTTCCCCATCAAGAACCTGCAGTCTCGTCTTGATCGTGTCGAGTGGCATTGTAATCAGAGCAGAAACGCTCCCAGCAATCGCAGCACTCACTCCTTGAACAGCCATTATCGTCTTGGAGTCTGGTTTAATACTATTGTTCCCACTCTCTCCGTCTTTCTTGCAGACATAGCAACCAACTCCACCCCAAACCATCCGCTGTGCAACAGAGTAAGACGCCCACCAAACCGCGTTAGACGGTGCGTAAGTCAGAATCGATATCCCGAACCCTCTGTATAACCCTTTCGGTCCATCCGCGCGAACAATCTTCCTGAATGCATCGAACCCGTTAACATAATTACACCTCGACGCATTCACTAGACCTCTGCTCCCTTGAACCATAAGCCTCTGGCTCACCACATCAACAGGAGTCCACACAAGCTGAGCAGCCATCGCAGCCGTCAAACCCCCGACGGCATTAGCAACCGCAGCGGCTTTAGCCTCAGTGAAACCTAAGGTAACAGCAGCAGAGCCTACGTTACTCTTGGTGACCTCCAAGGCCGTCATGTACAGCGCACGAGCAGGGATCGTTCCCATCAAGGAGGTTCCGAATCCTCTGTACAGTCCCCTTAAACCTTCGTGCCTCACGAGAGTAAACGCTCCTCTGATACACGAGCCTTGCGAGTGGCACACTTGTTGCCGAGTTTTCATCAAAACCGCAGGGTAAAGAGCTCCAGATACCCCTGAAAACAAAGCTGCGCCTAAAACGAAAAACTTGGATTTATCAAGCATCTCCCAATTGATATCAGCTGGAATATGAATCTCTTGTGCCGATTCTTCCTCGGCCGTACCCAGATTCATCTTCGCCACTTTTTTTTTAACCCAAACACAGAAAAGACGGAAGAGCAAGAAAAAAACAAAAAAAGTTCCCCCAAAAAACTTGTGTTTCAGTGCTTTTGAGCTACAAATCTCTCTCTATCTGTACAACTTTTTCCTAACCTCGAGAAACAAACGTCGCCAATTTCTATTTACAAACGGAGACTGTAACTTATCCCCAGGATTAGAAGACCAAAATTTCTAAAAAAGGAAGAAAAAAAAAATTAGATTTCGCCGAGAACGGAAACGGAAAGATTCAGAAGGAAGATATCAAACCAAGAGACGACGGCATTTTTTGCGCCTGTGGAACCACGTCTTCGATCCAGAACGATCACCAAAACCATGCGGATCTAACAACATCTCTGAACGATTCCAAAACAGAACCGATGAATCGACCTTACCGAAGAAACGATCATCCTAGGGAAGCTCACCGCAAAACCCGTATCCTTGGCCGGAGATATCTAATAAGCACCAATACGAGACGGCTGAAACTCAAAACGAGAGAGAAAGAGGAAGAGAGAGAGAGAGTAATCGCAATAGAGCACGAAAATGAGACCTTATACAGTTATACTGTTATAGAGCGAGACTAGGGTTCCGTTTTTTTCCCGTAAATAAAACGAAATTGAGATTCCGGTTCCGGTTTAGATATATCGTATAGTACTAACCGGATTGTATTTTCCGGTTCGTTATTCAATTTCTCTCTTGTAACAAAACGCAATGTATGGTTTTTCACAAAAATTATCGGTTAATCGACGTAACTAAGAAATAAAAACCTGAAAAAACAATAAGGTTTTTGATTCAATATCAGATTTTGTTTTATAATAATGTCTCCTTAAGCAACTTGGGAGACAGATTCAGAATTAGTAATTGTTCAAAAAGCATTTTTTAAGGAAATAAGGAAGAGCTGCAGAAAACCAGATGCTGGCAGGTGACACGTGTCAATCACGACTAAGGTTAAAAGAAAAAAAAGAAAGAAACTGAGAATTGGTTCGATGCAAAACGGATTACACTGTGATGAAGATCGACGGCAGCGATGCAGATAAGGTAAATGTCAGTCATCAAAAGGGACGGCTAAGATCTTCACCTCGAATTAGACGGAGAGAGGAGAGAGAAAATGGATCCGCTTTTGTGATTAATGGATAAGATGACGTGGTGTCCATATCCTTGGGACGTTGGGCGGAGTTTGGAAGGAAAGGAAGGAACGAGCAGAAGTCAGTGTGTATAGAGGCACGTGATCTTTCAGACATCACGTGACCCTTTCTGCACGATTCTTCTCACAGTCCCACATCATACCTCAAAAGCCTTTTCTATAAATCTCCACCATAAAGAAAGAATTTATAGATTTTATCATTTCATAGAGATGCTAAATTTCAGCAACAGTAGTGAGTGGTCCTTGAACAAGAAACCACCAAAACACCAACAGAAATAAATCTGATAGTTGTTGTATCACATAGTGACATTACTTGACAAGTATTAATTATTTGACTATCAAATCAAATTTAGTATTTGCAGACAACACTTACCAAAACAAAAATGCGTTTCTTTTTCTGGGGTCAACATTTATGCATCGTTATTCATTCTCTTCAATGTATTAGATGTTAAAGTTAGTGAACACCCTGATTTGCCAGAGATTTTTTCCTCACATCATGTGATTAGTTAATTACAGATTTGTGATGGGCTTCACCAACCATGTTACCATCCTAACAGTGTTGGTCCAATATGGACATTTTAGCCCACCACAATTTTTATTTGTAAGGTCTTAAAGCATTTGATTTTAAGTTTAAATTAAGCCCAAATTCTTTAAAAAAATTCAGTTGTAACTTTATTAAAGGCCCAAAAATGTTTGTTGACCTTACTTTTACTGGGCCGGGGCTGATGGTAACCAGCGTATGTGTTTGTTATCAACTGCATCACATTTGGTGAAATGTTTCAACATCTTTCTTTCAACCTCTTCTATAGTTTTATGAGTCTGACCTGACAAAACACAAAAAAAGAAATACGCTCAAGGATATGGCTCAAAAAAGAAATATGCATTGTTGAAGCGGTTAAAGGATTCGAGATCCAAGACAGCCGCAGATCATCAAGGCATGTAGGTCAGGGAGGTATATGACTTTATTGTGTTATACAGTTGTAATGGTCCATGAATCTGACCACGACACAAGAACATAGTATGAGAAATTGTCAGCTTAAGGATGATTAGTTACCGGTATTCCTGCTTCGTGTTCAACCTTAACTTCTGCTTTTGTCCTTCTTTTTGTGTTTCTTGTGTTCATTTCTCCCAAAACATTTGAAGTCTTGAGTAATTTTTTTAGCACACTCAGTTTGGGTTGGTAAGTATTTCATAATGCTCATTCCATTTACTGTATATTTGACCCAATCCGTACCAGAGATTCTGTGGAGAGAGAGGGATGATCCACAAAGTCTCCTCTACTTGCCCAAAAGGAAAAGTGATCCTCACTATTTATATTTATCACTAATTTTAGAACAAAAAATATGATTTTAATGTGTCAAATTTCAATTTTGTTCTTTCATCTACCCTCGCAAATTTGGATTCATATGTAGGTAGCGGCATTAGAAAACACATTTAGCTATAAGCTCCGTTCACTGATTTGATTCAGAGAAGCACGCGAAAATCACACAAAAAAATTATGCTCAAAATAACAATACTAACATGAGAATACCTTACATGTGAATTTTTGAACTCAACCATATCTTATGCTATAAATTTATTCGTTCATCTCATAAAAAGTGTTCAATAAAGAATTAAAGTGAATGATGAATCAGCTGGTACCTTAGTTATACACTAATGTTTCTCTGATCCATACATAATAAATACATCCTCTAGAAATTGCATTACTTGGGTGGGATCTAAAAGAGTAATTAAATCTCTCATACATGGTATAATGTTAAAGATTCATTTGTGCACACTACGAAAAGGACCCTAAGAAGATAATGTAAAATAATAAATAATGAAGAATCAACATTACTTTATTTGTCGGAATGTGGAATTAATAAGTTTAAATGAATTTGGAGTAGCATTTTTAGATTTTCTCTCAATATTTTAGTATAAATGAAATTGTTTGCGAGAAATGTGTCAACAGTCTTCACTCCCAGTCAGCGACTTTTCTCACTTTACTCTCTCTTTCTCCCACCATGGCTTCCGTCTCTCTCCTCCACTCCGCCACCTACTTTCCTTCCCACTCTGAAACGTCGCTTAAGCCTCATTACGCCGCCTCATTCACCGTCCGATGCACCTCCCTATCCTCCGCCTCTCCCGCTGCTCCCTCTGAAACCCCGCAGAAGCACCGCCGTCCCGCCGATGAGAACATTCGAGACGAGGCTCGTCGCCGCCCTCAGCTCCAGAACCTCTCCGCGCGCTACGTCCCCTTCGACGCTCCACCGTCGTCCACCGAATCCTACTCCCTCGACGAGATCGTCTACCGCTCCCAGTCCGGCGGCCTCCTCGACGTCCAGCACGATTTCGCCGCCCTGAAACGCTACGACGGCGAATTCTGGCGCAACCTCTTCGACTCCCGCGTCGGTAAAACCAATTGGCCGTACGGATCGGGCGTCTGGTCGAAGAAAGAGTGGGTTCTCCCCGAGATCGACGACGACGACATCGTCTCCGCCTTCGAAGGGAACTCCAACCTCTTCTGGGCCGAGCGATTCGGGAAACAGTACCTCCAGATGAACGATCTCTGGGTGAAACATTGCGGCATCAGCCACACCGGATCCTTCAAAGATCTAGGCATGTCGGTTCTTGTTTCGCAGGTGAACCGCCTCCGGAAAATGAACAAACCAGTCATCGGAGTCGGATGCGCCTCCACCGGTGATACCTCCGCCGCTCTCTCCGCTTACTGCGCTGCCGCCGGGATCCCCTCCATCGTGTTCCTCCCGGCTGACAAAATCTCCATGGCTCAGCTCGTCCAGCCAATCGCAAACGGAGCGTTCGTCCTCAGCATCGACACCGATTTCGACGGGTGCATGCATCTGATCAGAGAAGTCACGGCGGAGCTTCCGATCTACCTAGCCAACTCGCTCAACAGCCTCCGTCTCGAAGGGCAAAAGACGGCGGCGATCGAGATCCTTCAGCAGTTCAACTGGGAAGTTCCCGATTGGGTCATCGTTCCCGGAGGAAATCTCGGTAACATCTATGCGTTTTACAAAGGGTTTCATATGTGCAAAGAGCTAGGGCTTGTTGATAGGATCCCCAGGCTTGTCTGTGCTCAAGCTGCTAACGCAAACCCGCTTTACCTTCACTACAAATCCGGGTTCAAAGATTTCAACCCGTTGAAAGCGAACACAACATTCGCCTCCGCGATTCAGATCGGTGATCCTGTTTCGATAGACAGAGCTGTGTATGCGTTGAAGAAATCTAATGGAATAGTTGAGGAAGCTACGGAGGAAGAGCTAATGGATGCAACGGCTCTCGCTGATTCGACCGGTATGTTCATATGTCCGCATACAGGAGTGGCGTTGACGGCTCTGATGAAGCTGAGGAAAGCTGGAGTTATCGAAGCTACTGATCGGACGGTGGTGGTGAGCACAGCTCATGGGCTGAAGTTTACGCAGAGTAAGATCGATTACCATTCCAAGAACATAAAGGAGATGGCTTGTAGGTTGGCGAACCCACCAGTGAAGGTTAAGGCAGAGTTTGGTTCGGTCATGGATGTTCTCAAGGAGTATCTCAAGGACAATGAATCCAACTGTTAGAAACTTGCTTTCGTCTTTTGTTTTGTTTCTCACGAAACAATTCAATGTCCTATATGATATTGAACTAATGAAATTGGCTTCTTTGGATTCGTGACATTGAAGAACTAAATAGTTCCGTAATGCTTCACATTAATGTACAACTGACTTTTACATGCGCTCTACCAAATACTTAATTTTCCTCTACAATTTAATTACACTCTGTTTTTCCTATATATATTCTAGTTTTATCAGGAAAAAAATAATAGCTAGCTAGGAAGAAATTAACGTTGCATTGTATAACAAGTTAAAAAGGTGAAAAACAGAGAGCTAGTTTTCTACTCTCTCTGTTTCATATTAAGTGTCGTTTTGACCTATAATGGGTTATAACACATTTAAGGTTTAGAATCATCAGGTCCGGGTTCGGGTCCTCAATTGGATCTTCCTTTAAAGTGGCTGAGCACAGCTCATGGATTGAAATTTTACGCAGAGTAAGATCGATTACCAATTCCAAGAACATAAAGGAGATGACTTGGAGATTGGCGAACCCACCAGTGAAAGGTTAAATCAGAGTTTGGTTCGGTCATGGATGTTCTCAAGGAGCATCTCAAGAACAATGAATCTAAGTGTTGAAACTGCTTTGAACCGAAACAATACTAGTCTCTTATGACATCTCCATGTCCTTCTACGATATTTGCTGTGCTTTATTAGAGGAACTAATGAAATTGACTTCTTTGGACTTGTGATATTAAAGGACTGTTTAGTTCCGTGATGCTCGCTACTCGCTTCACATCAACGTACGACTGACTTTTACATGCGCTCTACCAAATACTCATGACCTAGTCTTTTACCTCTACGATTTTTTCTTCATGTTTGTTTACACTCATTTTTTTTTATCTTTGTTAATTAAGGGGAAAAAAACCATTTTTCTTTTAACACCAAAAGAACTCAGACTTCAGCTTATAAACATTGTAACTCAATAAGAAAAACTGAAGTAATAATTAAAAAGGTTGCTTTGCATGACAAGTTAAACAGTAAAAAACAGCAAATAGCTAGATAAATTGTGTCACAAGTAAAAAAAAAAAACACCAAAAAGCTATAGAGAGAGTTTCCTACTCGTTATCATTGAAGGTACTCTCCTAACCTGATGAAAACTAGGTCTGTTTCCATCTCTTCCTCTGCCACCAAAACCTCAACAGAGTTTACAATGCCCATAACCGCCACAACGACCACCACTAAAACGGCCTCCAAAAGGCCAATCACCTCCATAACCAGAAGGACCACCCTTAAAACGACCACCGGTAAAACCAAAACGACCACTACTCTCCTCTTCATCAGATTCATCACTAGTGCTATCTTTCTCAGTAGACTTTGTATCCGCTTTAGCCTTTTCCTGGGCAGGTTTTTCATCTTCATCACTATCCTCATCTGAGCTGCTTGAAGTCGCATGATCAGAAGATGATTCATCATCGGACGAACTACTCTCTGCCTTGGCCTTTACGTAAACTTCATCGATTTTAGCAAGGGCCGTAGTAACAGGAAGCTTCTTGGCATCAACTTTCTGACTCTTCGATGAGATATATAAATCCGCCTTTTCCATCAACAAATCCACTTTTTCTTCGATCCGTTGAAGACGATCAGCCAATGCTTCCGTTGTGCCAGTCACCTCTACCTTCTGCTTCTTCAGATTTACTTTGGTCTCCAAATCATCTTCCGTCGCTCTCTTAACTTTCTTCAAAGGCTTCGCGGCCGCAGAGACTGATTCACCTTTAGTGGCAGATTTCTTGCTAAACTTGCCCATGGAGAAGTTGATGATAAGAAAAAAGACAAGATCGATTGCAGGTTTTTTAAGAGGCAAAAACCCTAGACTGCTGCTTAAGGTGTATATTAGGTTAGATCAAAGCAAATCACAATAACTATTTATATATATATATATAGATTTTTGTTAACCCTGCTGTGATGGGGCTAAAACTGTATAGAAAATTAAATAAATGTAAAGAAAATTAAAAAAGGAAACAACACAATTACTCAATTTTTTTTTTTTAATTGTCGGCTTAATCGGCAAAAAGGAATGGACGATTAAGTAAAAAACAAAATCCAAAAAGAAAGTAACGTCTATACGCTTGGGCTAGGCCTATAATGGGTTATAACCCGTTTAGGATTCAGATTCACCCGGTCCGGGTTCGGGTCCTAAGTTGGATCTCCCTCGTTTGACCGAGTTCATCTTCTCCAATTTGAGTCCAGCTCTGAATCTCGCGATGAAATCATCGGCTTTGGTATCTACGTCGGGGCTCGGACAGAACATACCGCCGGCGACCTTACCGTCGGCTGACTGAGCTACATCCGGATCATCATCAGGTTCGTCTGAGCTTATGCTGATGTTGCTAGCCATCCTGACGTAATCTCCACGCTTCACGAACTTCCACGCCGGCATTTTAAACGGCGGAGGAGGAGGCGGCGGTGGGATCGGCATCAATGGCGATTCGCTTCCAGTGCCAGTGAATTGGGTTACTTTAGCTGGCGGATTGGGTTTAGATGTTCGTGATTCCGACGGAGCTTTGCGAATCTTGGCCATTGATGCGCGTGATTCATATTTTCGTTCTGGTGGAGGAGGTGGAGGAGGCGGTGGATTTGAATAGGTTCTCTTGCTTTTACCCTTTTTGGACGAGAAAAGGCTCTGGAAGAAAGGTGGTGGGGGTGGCGGCGGAGGAGGATGCGGCGGCGATTTTGGTGGCATTGAATAGTCAAACGGAGGATCAGAGCCGAAGAGTAAATCTAGACCGTCGATGCTCTGTTGCCGTTGCTTCTTCTTCTTTCTCCGTAACGCAATTAGAAAGTCCTTAGTTGCTCCGCCTTTCTTCTTCTCCTGTTTATCGCTCTTTTGATACACTATCGTCGGAGGTGGAATCGGTATCATCGGAGGCGTCGCCGCCACAAAATCAGCTCTCTCCTTCTTCTCTTCCTTTTGAGCAACATCTTGGTACACTCTCTTTGTCTTTCTCCTGGCAGGCTTAGACGGTGGAGGATCACGAGGTGGAGACGGCGGAGCAGAAGGATGAGACAGAGGATACGGTGGAGCAGAAGGCGGATAGAGTGATGGCTGCGGCGGATTAAGAGGCATCGTTAGCTCCTCTACTACTTCACTCGCCGCCGTCGCAACGGCTTCAGCTTTCTCAGTGTCGGAACCGCCGCTATGGCCTTTTCCTTCTCCTCCTCGATCGCCGCCGTCTGTTCGATCTACATCGTCCTCCGGTTTAACCTCTCGCCAGCTCTTATAATCTTGATTTTGATAGATCGGATCTGTACCTTCATACCGGCATTGACTTACACGTGTATCATCGTAAAACCTCCACCGTTCATCGGTTTCGAATTCTCGAAGCCTCAGATCTGGATACGAGCTACTACTCCGTATTCTACTGAACCTCTTGAACACCGTCTGATCGGAATACTGATCTCCGCCGCGATCATCGATCCAATAACGCGGCGTGGCACCGTTAGAGACCCGACCACGATCAGTGATCGACGGAGAGCTCGAGAATTTGTTGAAAGTATATCCGTTAATAACCTCATTGTTTTTACTGACTTCTTCCTTGGTATGATTGCTTTCGTCGTTACCGGTGTTGCGGCTGAGGAAACCGCAGATGACGGCGAAGAGGACGAGTACGAAGTTGAGATAATCCCAGCTTTTGCGGACCAAATGAGGCCGGAAGATCTGTGAAACAGAGGAGAAGAAAGGAGGGATAATGAAGAAGACTATGAGGATCGCAGCTGCTCCGGCGAAGAATACTTGGGTGGCGATTGTGGTTGCGCGGCCGCCGAGACTAGCGGTGCGGCGGAAGTAAGTGTTATTGCGGCGAGATTGAAGCCAAAATGGCGTAGACGCGTCTCCTTCTTCGTCTTCCATACTCTTTTCTCTTTTGTTAATTTTTTTAAAAAAAATTGGGTTTAGGCTTTTAGAAAGAAGAACTTTTTGTTGGGAGTAGGTTGGCTTTCGAGGATGCCGTAATGTTTGCTTTTATGCTTTGCTTCTGTTGAGATTTCTTATGCTTGGGGAGCTGGGTTTGGTCTTTTCATATGGATTTTTTAATATATTTATTTTGTTGATTACTTGCTGCTTTACTTTACACATTTCTTACAAAAAATATGTATTTGTCTTGGAGTGTATTACACATGTTACTTAACATATTTTATAAGAGAAAAATTATTCGGATAACTAATGAGTTTTTGTTGAATTTATATTTATTTTGATAACTTGTAAGATAAGCTGGAAAATGGTGATGTTTTACTTGTGAAAGTTGGAAATGGAATTTCGAAGGCCTAATATATAATACAGCTGGATTACATGAAGCAAATACAAATTGGTACGTCAAACAATCAAAAACTGTCAACGGAATCATATGTCTAACGTGTTAATAAACACGTTTTCTCTATGAAGCTGAGGCGTAATTAGTCTTTTAACATCTAATTTCAAATAATAAGCTGCCGATGTTTTCTTTTATCTAAACCAAAAAAAAACAAATGATAATTAGCATTTGGGTCAAAAGGGTAGAGCCGGTGCTGTCGTGGCTTTTACAAATGGCCAAAACCGTCAAAATGCAATAATTATATTATCAAGTTTTGTTATCGTTTCCCATACAGGAAAAAAAATGATTATCTAAAATGATGTCATTATCGACTTTCTCTCACAAGCTGGATTAATTAGATTTTATGTGGCGCCAGGAAAGAGACGTTGAAACTTGAAAGTAAGATTTAATTTCACATTAAAGTACGTACTTACATACAATATGTGCGGTTTGTTTATATATAATGTGTTCGATTTATATTTGATATTAACCTTTCGTAACGATTGATACAAAACTAGACTAAGTTATGGAATTGGAGCGTATTATAAAAATGAGAAACATAAAAAAAATTAAAAAACCGTGAACGGCAGGATTCGAACCTGCGCGGGCAAAGCCCACATGATTTCTAGTCATGCCCGATAACCACTCCGGCACGTCCACCTGTTGCGCTATCACTGCGTCATATAGTAATTATTATCAAGCATGTTAAACGCTATGCTTTCATTTTACATTGAAGTTGCAGAAAAGAAGAAAAAGACACAAAGGAATCTATCGAAAACGAGGATAAAAAAAAAGAAAGGCAAGAGGGTTAATGTGACATAGTTTCAATTACAATTTCATTAGCCACATCTCAAAAGATTACAACATATTCATCTACTTTAATACCACAAAAATAAAAATAAAGACATATCTTCTTGGCCTATCTTCATCTTATACTTACGAATCCAAATCCCATGAGAAAAAGGAATGTACTTATAATTAGCTATGCATCATCATCATCTTCTTCAGTCTTTACTTCTCTTCCCCAACCCACATTTCATATATTTTTTTTGGTTTTTCTTATTTTTCCCTCCCTCTAACAATATGTAAAGAACTTGTTGAAATTAGATCCGTTACGATCTAACATATAAGAAAAATTTGGAACTTACCCCAGTAAAAATAAAAAAGTAAGTAAGCGTACTGTTTTCGCAAATCAAGCTTTCAAGCTCTGGTCTTTAACTTCCTTTGAGCTTTCAAGTCAACGACAATGATGGAGATGTTGTCTTTGCTTCCTTTCTGAAGAGCAAGCAAGGAGAGGAAATCAGCGGCGGCTTGGCAAGCAGGGTCTGCTCCTTTGCCTCTCTGCGCTAGAGGCGGCGCACCGTGCTTCCTATGCCACAGGCAGATCCGTCTCTTGGCTATTTCGCAAACTTCTTGGTTGTCCATCACGTCCCAAAGACCATCACTGGCTAGTATCAGACAGTCGTCTTCTCTTGACCGCGGCATGAACGTCACTTCCGGTTCCGGGATCACATACGGCTTCAGATATCTGTCACCTGCAACACATCCAGAGGAGGAAAACAACGCCGAGGATCTAATGTTTCTTGAAGGAGCAGTATATTCATTCTCAAGGTAATGGTTTTGTGATCCAACTCAAGACACTCATAGATGCATTACTACAGGTCATTAGGAGAAAGCATGACTTACCAATGGACCTAGACATGGCGAGAACACCAAATACACGAGCGCCTTGCCATTGTATAACTTTCCCTCCAGCATTCTCTATTCTTGCATATTCATCCTCTCTATCTGGCTGCAGAAAACAGGAAACAGGTTTTGAGAAAACTTCAACAGCTCATTCAATCTTGGATAGAAAGCAAAAGAAAGAAGCTTTATTTGTTTGGTTTACTTTGTGATCGACTGATAAGGGCATGGCTGCTTTGCCACGATACAGAACCGCCCTTGAATCGCCGCAGTTAGAAACTATTATATGTGATGAGCAAACCAAAGCAACCACAGCAGTTGAACCTACAGTCTCAGAGGCAACAGCCTCAAGAACCTTCTCAGAAGAACCAACAACATCTCTCCCGATTTTGCCTCCAATCTCACCATCGACGTTTAGAAAACAGCTAGTGAAGACCTTCTCCCACTGGACCTGCCTACCCTCTCCCGTGTTCCTCATGCATAGTTCGTCTTTTATGCGCTCGATTTCTTCAGCCAAAGCAAAATGGAGTCTATCTCGGCAATAGTCAGCAACCTACAAGTCATCATTACGCAGTTCAAAGCTATAGACTTTAACGGAACATCTCAAATTCAAAAGCTTTTTCTTGATAGAAATGGTGAAGATAGCATTACCTGATAGCCTCCATGACCATCATAAACACCGAAAAAATGACCCGTGAGGTGAGTGAGACTTGGACTCATACCCTCATGATCACCCATTAGCATTTTGATGGGTAGCTTCAGAAAATGAGGCAACACCGCAAAGGCATCCTCCATCTCAGATCTCTTACCTTGAATAGAAACAGTGCCCCAAAGAGGTATACAATCTAGCTCATAGACGCTCCTCCCTCTCGCAAGATGACTGTTACTTTCTTCCGGCAGCCTAATGACAACCTCCGAAGCTGTTACACCTGAACCATCTCCTCCTATCTGTGTATCCTGACTCGCACCGGCGATGACAACCTCCGCGGTGGGAACCTGCTCGATGCTTGACTCGCCTACGATGATCGCTTTCGTAAGAACTCGACCGTTATCTATCTCCATTGCTGCATCAGACAAGCTCAACTCAGAGCCGGCGTTAACAACTAACAAGCCCTCACTTATGACTGCACTGTCATCCTCCACAACGGATAAAACCTCGTCTTCATCCACAACACAATCATTAGCAGTCTTCAACGAATCCGGTTCACCTCGCTGACCAGCCTCTTCCGGTTCCGGTGCATCTTCCATCGGAGAATCAGTCCCTCCGTTGCAATCAGGTAACAAGTCAGCTGCGTCAGTAACGTTCTTGAGCTGAGTGATCTCTACAGGTGATGAGTCACAGATTGTGTTAGCCAAGCTCAGAGTCATTGCAACGGCTGGAGTCATCTCTTCCATCATCTCCCAAAAAACCAGAGATTTCCCCACTAACACACAAGTAGAAATCGAGTATTGCTTCAAAGCAGAGAAATTTCAAAGATGGACACTTTTAAGACCATTCAGTAATTCTCATCTTCTTCGATTCCTCTAAGTAATGGTTCATGATCTTCAAGAAATCCTCCTCCATTCGAGTTTTCTCAGCGACCCTAGTGCCGCTTTGTTCCATACACTAGCTTAGCATAGTTATAAACACCAGAGGACGAATCAAGGAAAACAGAGTACCGGAGATTAACAGATCTGGCGGATCTACACGACGGGATCCTCTGTATTTCCACTGGATTTTTCTTTTACCACTCTTCGCTGATCTTGCAAAATCCTTATCTGTAACCTCTCGATTTCAGCCTACAGAGAGATCGCAAGAGACTGATTAAAAAACTTTCGAATCGTTTATCCAAACGGTCATGTCAAAATTGAAGTGTTATAAACACACAAAATACAAAACAAAACAAAAAATAACGGAAAGAGGAAGAAAAAAAAAAGAGAGGGAAAATCAACGATATCAATTACAAGAAAGCCCTACAGAATCGAAACATCACCTCCCCGAATCATACTGGAACATGGGTTCTCCTGGATCTAAATAACAAAACCAGCTTTTTAGCTTTACCCCAAAATAGAAAGATGATGACAAAAAAGGAAATTAAACTCTGCTCTTAAGAAAACTAACACACGCTCAAAACAAGATAAAGAAGAAAAGAGATTCATAGCAACAAATCCTCCGATTAAAAGCTACTCTACACGAACATCATAAATAAATACAAACACAAGAAATAAAAAACAACATTAAGAAAGAAAAAGAGAACTTACCAGTTGAATCTTAAGATATTCGCATCTAGAATTTTTTTTTTTTTTTTGAAAAAGAGAAATCAAAAACGAACAGAGAAACAGGTAAAGATGGTCTTCTTTGGTTTCTCCCTTGGATTTTTCTCGCTCGTGCTTTGCTTAGAGAGAGGCTCTCTATCAGCGAAAGAAGAGAGAGAGAAGGGAATATTGTGTGGTATGCTTTTTCTCTCTGTTTCTTATTCTTTTTTCCCCTTTTTTTTTGGTTTTGTGATTAATATACAAAATAAACAAAAAATAATTGATTTATTACAAAAAGGATTAGAGAAGGGACACGTATACACAAGTCTTGCATCATTTTAAGAACTTTGTCCTTTTTTTTTTGCCTCCTTTTTGTCCTTTTCTTTTTAGGTTTCTTTCTTAAGGTCGCTTCAGGCAACACCTGTCGATCTACCAACAGCAGATCTTATTTAATTTCTTTTTCCCCCCTATTATATAACTTTTTCTTTAAAGAAAAAAACAACATGGTAATATAAGCTTCTGACCATGCGTAGTGATTTCGATAATTCAAATACGAAATTATTTATGACATTGATAACATAGTTGGCATCTGTATAAATTTTAACTGTTTTTTTCTTTTGTTAAAGATAATTTCAAAAAGAAATTTCGTTTTTTTTGTTATAGAATAAATGTTTCCATAAATTTTGACGCGTAAAGCACACATTAATTTTAAATATGATTTATAAGATGAATTATGACTATTAAAAAAATTTATAAAATAAACACATAACATATAGAAAAATGATATATGGATAAGTGAAAAATAATTTAACATGGATAAAATCATGACATGTTATATGTATGTATTAATTAGGTTCATATAAGTAAATAATAAGTTAATAATGAATAGATAGAATATAAGAGATTGGGATATGAATGGATGAAATCAAGACGTGTAGGCAGATATATATGTATTTCTTCAGCATAATCCAGTTTTTTTTTTTTTTTTTTCATAAAAAATTATATTACTTATTGAGTTATATTTATTCAGATTAAAAAAAATGAATCACTTAATAGATATATTCTATTTTACAAATTAAAATTTTGATTGGTATGACATATATATATATATATAATTTATGAAATAATTGAAAAAAATGTTAGCAAAACAAACTAAACTAAATAATTTTTTCACTGAATATTTGGTTGATAACATTCATATTTCGTTTTAAATTTATATCATTCGTATGTTTTTTTCATTTAGAAGTTGAAACCATTGATTTCCTCTAAATCTGGTCACCTACATACTTGATATAAAAAAAAGTTTTGTTCTACCACACTCTCTTAGACAATCTTCAATGCATTTTATTACAAGGTAAACATAACACTTGTCTATAAGTGTATTACAAAGTAAAAATAACACTTGTCTATAAGTCTATTACAAGGTAAAAATAACACTTGCCTATAAGTCTATTACCAGGTAAATATAACACTTGTCTATAAGTCTACTACAAAGTAAAAATAACACTTGTATATAAGTCTATTACAAGGTAAAAATAATTTGTTAAAATAAGTAAATAACACTTGTCTATAAGTCTATTACAAGGTAAAAATAACACAAATTATTATTACTATCCATGAAATAACTGGTGTAGGTAAAATTAGTTTTCACGGTCATTTTTTTATGGGATTCTCTCAAAAGTAATCATGTTTCGAGAGACGTATATATAAGATATGGTGATATGGCTAAAAGAGAGAGAAGATGCAAGACGACAACTGAGAAAAAAAATTTGGTCGTTACTTTATTTCTTTTTCTTTTTGGCCGTGTAAATGAGAAAATGCAACGTGTTTGTTTTTCTCAAAGTCAAAACTCTCGCAATAATTTCGATTTTCTACCTGCCCACGTGGCTATCTGATTGCTCGGGACGAAGATCAGAATATTTAATATTGTTGTTAAATATCAATGGTGTAAGTAAATACGACTGGGGCTTGTTGTTGCTGTTGTACAGAGTTTTACACAAATGGTGGCGTTGTCTTATACTTCTTCCGTTTTAAAATATATGATGTTTTAGGGTGACACATAGATTAAAGAATTTTGCAAAATACTTATTTTAATTTTTTTATTAATTAAAGAATATGTTTTTAGATTAGAAATTATCTTAATAATAAAAGGGTAAAAATGTCATTTTATGTTACTTTTTGCATAGAAAAAAGAGAACATCATATATTTTTGAATAAAAAATAAAGTCTAAAACATCCTAAATTTTAAAACGAATAGAGTATAAACAAAATGTGTTAAATTTTATTTGGTATTATGTATATGTACTTATAGCAAAAACAAGAATTAACGAGTAGATACAAATCCAAGAGAATAGTGAATACAAATCCAAATGACAGTGATAATTTAGTTTTATGTTGTCAGGCAAAGAATTTTTTGTTTATGACAAATATAAAAACACTATAATAATTGTGAAGCAAATTGATTAAATTAAACAGGCAGAAATCAATACAACAATAACCCATAAGTCTTTACATGTGTTGACAACTCAGCTTTTTGTGTTATTAGAAGCTGACACATCAGCAAAATATTGAACCAATTAAAAAATTTCATTAATAAATTTCATCTCAATATTTTGACACATATTTGACAAAGAATGAGTATTTTTTTGACAAAGAGAGAGTGCACCAAATTTTAATTAATTATCAAAAGAATGAGTATTTTTTTTAATTAAGTTATTGTATACTTATGAATGAATATTTGAAAGTGTATTAAGTTTTTGAAAGCAAATATATTATGTTTAAAGGTATCAGAGATCTGATCGAAAAAGTTGTCAACCGCCTAAATCTCGACCAGTGACTATGATTTAATAGATGAAAGAAACACTGATATGATTTGGAGAATGGGAGGAATAGCGGCATTATGAAGCCATTTTCGTAGTTGCTAGACTTGTTTCTAGCATATGTGAGAGAAGAAGAACTGAAGAAAAATAAAGTTATAAGATCTGAGGTCAATTAAATACGAGCTTCAAACATTTGACATGGTTATTTGGTTTCTTTCGATATATTTTGTAGCTTTTTAATTTCTAGAGCTAAGGTAGCGATCTGGTCAATATATAAACTTAAGCTATAGTAAATATGTAAGCTAATGTGAATTGTTGTTTCATTTGTGGTTTTTTACTAAATATTTTTTTAATGCTAAATAAAAATTAATGTTAAAATAATTATTTTAGTTAGTGTAAGAAAAATATGCATTAAAAGTTTCATAATTAAAAATATGAATATAACCTGCGAGTAGAGAAATTTATGATCATAAGTAAACTTATAATAGTAAAATACGTTTTTTTAGTTTGGTTGAAAAATGCGATTTCTCGATTTTACCAGAAAATATGATTTTATCAGTTTAGAAAAAAAAATACAATTTTTCAGATTTCGTTAGAAAAGTATAATTTTTGATTTTTTAAAAAAATATGATTTTAGATTTTTTTATTATTTTAAATTTAAGAGTATTTTAGTCATTTGTCATTTTGAACTGAAACATCTAGCTCCATCAAAATGGTCCAATTTGGTTCATTCAGATAATTCTCATAAATTTATCTAAATCTTGAAAAATCATCTAGATAATTCATCTAAATATTTTTTTATTTTGTTACAAAACAAACAAAATTCTCATTTTTATTCAAATGAACCATATAGATAGAGAAATAAATATGGCATAAATCCAAAACTTATGCTAAATAAAAAATAAATATAATATTTATTTATACTGTAAAAAAATAACTTTTTATTTTTAAAATATATAAAATTTAGAATAACATAAATACCTAGTATTTTTAATAAATATGTTGAAGAAGTGTAAGTTGTAATCACAATTCAATCGTATATATAGGATTATGTTCTAAGTTCTAACGTCAACATTTAATACAAAATTAGTCTTATACATCCTAACTAATATTACTACATCAACTTATTAATGCTTCTTGGTAACGAATAATCTCGAAACGGTGCTTTATTTAACAAGCTTGATCAAACCAGCAACTTCCCAGAATATCGTTTTCTAGTTTCTAAAGATGAGTTGTGATAAGAATTTCCCATATTATAAGTTTGTTCACAATACTGTTAAGTTGTTTGAGAAAAACCCTCCAAAATTAGCAGACGGTGCAAAACCACTCCTGCTCCATCATTCACAATAGAAAATCTGTTTCTTTATTGTTTGTTCATCGTTCCTTCTCAGAAGGGCGGAGCCAAACGGAGGAAAAAAAAAACACAGTCGATTTTGGAAAAAAAAAAAACCATGTATTCGTATCATCATGGTTTGCGTATGAAGCAGGTTATTCAAGTTTCTTGGGAACCAAGTCTCTAACATGTCTGCAAGAAGAGTAGACAATGGCGTAATCACGGCGATCGCCATTGATAAGGACAAGAACAGCCAACACGCCTTGAAGTGGGCGGTTGAGAACATCGTTGTCGATGCTCCACAATGTATCCTTCTCCACGTTCAACGTAGGCATCTTTCTTTAGCTCATCTTCATCATCGAAAAAAAACACAATCTTAAAGAAACCCTATAATGAGAAATCTGTTTTTGCAGAAGGAAACACAGGAGCACATTTACAACATGACACTCAAGACGAGGTGTACGAGTTCTTTCTTCCTTTCAGAGGATTCTGTGCACGAAAAGGAGTTAGTGATCCGTTTCTTCTATTAGCACACAAACCTACTTTTTGATTCATTACTTAATACACATTCCTTCTCAGATTAAGGCCAAGGAGGTTCTTCTTCCCGATATTGACATCGCCAACGCTATTGTCAACTACATCACCAACAATTCAGTTTCAAATATCGTTGTTGGCGCATCTACGCAGAACCCCTTTTTCAGGTCTCTTTCTTTTCCTCTGTTCACATTCTCATTGTCATCTCAGCTTTGTTAACATCAAGTCTCTCTCTCTCTCTCTCTCTCTGTGATGATCAGGAAGTTTAAGAGTCCAGATGTTCCCACCACTCTGCTTAAGACGGCTCCAGAGACTTGTGCAGTCTTTGTTGTGTCAAAAGATAGGCTTTTAAAAAGCAAACCCGCGAGTAAGCCTCTGAAAATTCCAAAACTACAAAATCTCTCTTCTTTGCTGTACAGTTACGAGCCAACGAACTCCTTCAACTCCACTGATTCCGAGAGGTAATCTCAAACTTCTGTTCCAACCATTATAAATAAGCCATGGTTCTCGTTTCAACAGGATATAGTGAAGAATGTCATTTTTTTTTTGTTTTTGTTTACAGGGAATCATCTGTATCTACCCATCACAACAAAGCGCAGTCAGATTTCATCCAATCCAATTCACCTCGCATCTCGTCACCACAATCTCTAAGTGAGTTTTCTCGGTCAGAGACTGATAATAGCAGTTACGGTGTGGTATCAACTGTGAGTTCTTACACCATCTCTGATAGTTCCACTACCAACGGAAGCTCCATCTCTTCCACATCAACGGTTAGTATCATCACATCCAAATACATACTCTATAGCCTTTCAGTTTCTTACTGTTGTGATATTACAGATAACTGATGCACTGGAGAGTCCACGTGCGTTAAACTTCGTGGAACAACAGGTGAAGTTTTTAATTAAAGAACATAAGATTTGTAGAAAATGTCAACATGGTATTGACATGGTTTATGTTCAGAATCAAACTCTTGAAGCAGAGGTGAGGAGACTGAGACTCGAGTTGAAGCAGTTTAATACCCCAAAGGGAAAAGGCACTATGAGCCAAAAAGAAAGCGTAAGATGTTCTTACACTCTGCTTCCATGTTGTTTCCTTTAGTTTTCCTTGTGGATGAATAATAATCAGGTAATGAAAAACATGTAGTCGCAAGAACTTGGAGGCAACGAAATCCAAAGTGTAGACGAAGCAATACAGCTGCCTAGAGCATTGTCTAAGGAGAGGCAGACAAGGCATTCTGCAATCCAAGCAGCAGAAATAGCAAAGCGTTTAGCGAAAATGGAGAGCCAAAAGAGAAGATTACTAGAGATGCAGGCCAACTTGGATAAACAGAGGATCGTGAATAAGGTCTCTTACAGGCGTTACAGTATCAAAGACGTTGAAGGTGCAACCAATGGTTTCTCAGACGCCCTAAAGATTGGTGAGGGAGGTTATGGACCTGTTTACAAAGCTGTCCTTGATTACACTTCTGTCGCTATTAAAATATTGAAGTCCAGTGTCACACAGGGCCTGAAACAATTCCAACAAGAGGTAGTGTGTTTATTGGTTTAATATGAAAATCCTTATTTTGTCTTCTTCTTCTTCTTCTCCTGACTCAATATATATATATGTGTCTTCACTAGCTTGAGGTTCTGAGTAGCATGAGACACCCTAATATGGTGATCCTTCTTGGTGCATGTCCTGAATATGGTTGTCTTGTGTACGAGTACATGGAAAACGGAACACTTGAAGATCGTCTCTTCTGCAAAAACAATACACCCCCACTTTCGTGGAGAGCAAGGTTCAGAATAGCTTCTGAGATCGCCACAGGGCTTCTTTTCCTTCACCATGCAAAACCTGAGCCTATAGTTCATCGTGATCTGAAGCCAGCAAACATTCTACTCGACAGACATCTCACTAGCAAGATCAGTGACGTTGGTCTAGCTCGCCTTGTACCTACCTCTGTGGCTGATAGCTTCACTAACTATCACATGACTTCTGCAGCCGGTGAGAACCTCATCTTCCATCTCTTGTTTTCGTTGTCTTAACATGGAACCACAGTGTTGATGTTTGTTTTTACTTTTAACTTTGGGTTATGGGAACAGGTACATTCTGTTACATCGACCCTGAGTATCAGCAAACCGGATTGCTCGGAGTGAAGTCTGACCTTTACTCTTTTGGTGTGGTGCTTCTGCAAATCATAACAGCCATGCCAGCGATGGGGTTAGGCCACAGAGTAGAGATGGCGGTTGAGAAAAACAAGCTCCGAGAGATTTTGGATCCAACAGTATCAGACTGGCCTGAAGAAGAGACTCTGGTGTTGGCTAAATTGGCTTTGCAGTGCTGTGAGCTGAGGAAAAAGGACAGACCTGATCTTGCTTCAGTTCTCTTGCCGGCTCTGAACACGCTGAGAGAGTTTGCAACAGAGGATCATGAAAGGATCCAGGAGAGAACATCTCATGTGATACACACTCACAATTCAGCCCCGGTTCCTACCTCTCAGGTTAGTTTCTTACAACCCCTCTGTTTTGAGTAATTTTAACTAGAAATCGAACTTTAGGAAATTCAACATACAGTAAGAACCTGCAGTTTCTAGTCTTCTTCATCACTTCTGTTACATTTGTCTATAATAATGATTCTCACACAATAATCATACAAAGTATCAACCAAATTCCTCAATTCAAAGAACTTAAATGAAAATGAATCTAGATGCTGATCAAGAAACATATAAAAACCAATTAGATTTATATATTGTCAAAAGTAGGTGAATTGTTTACTAGCAGAACTTTCCCAATTCATGAAATCATGTCTCTGCCCTGTAGAGAGAAGAACAAATGAGAAAATCGTATTGAGTATTGACAAAATAAAAATGGAAATTCGACGTAGATCAACCAGAAGCCGACAGTGAGAGTACCTGAGAGCAACAGAGATCTAGATCCGGTCAACACTCGTAGTCATTCCGTACCAAGAAGAAGTCGACACCCAAGATCAAACAGAAGCAAGAGCAAAGGCAATTATCGTTGGTTTTTCATGAGTTGTGCTCCATCCAGAGTTCAGTGGGGTGATCTACCATAGTGTGTGTGAAGTTCCGTATATCTTTTATATGAAACACTTTCATAACTTTTTGACTTTTGATAATGTAAAATGTAATGATTTGTTTATTATATGGAAGAATGTTTTGCAGGAAAATGAACTTCTGTAACAGAGCATATTTTTCAGGCAACTTGCAAACACTGAAATTTCAAGACTTTTTAGTAGGAACCAAGACAATTACTCGTCTGAAATAAACTAGACGACCAGAGGCTATTGAGAGACATACAAAAGCCACAAGACATCAAACAGAAGACAGTCCAGTGAGATAGAACCAGAGGAAAATAAATATACAATCTTTGAGAATCAAGAAGTACCATTTATACTCACTCTCTCCTCGATGATTGATCAACACAATAACCATACGAAGCAATATCGAGCATAATAAGAAACGGCATTACATTTATTAAGACGCTGAGAATAACAGAGAGAAGAAACAATGATGTGAAACCATCCCAGTTAACAAGAAATACTTTGAAACAGAGTCTGATACAACACGTAGATCAAACATTAGCATGAATCACTAAACTCATTAGAAACTACGAAGCAATTGAATCACTTTTTTATGAGTACAGTATAAATAAAAATGTTTGGAGGTTATTCTTCAAAGTGATCTGCATTTTATGACATACAGATTTGTACACCTTCGAAACCAAAACAAAAAGTTTTCATTTTTTTTTTTGATGATTCCAAAAGACATACGAATCCTATCAAATTCCACTCCCTATCAAAAATTTCAACAACGACGAATCTCCTTCAAATGGGCACATACCGCTTCACGACTTGCTTCCCTGCAACCACAGCACCAGCCGCTAATCCACCGAGAGCACCAGCCACAGCCGCGGATCTCACTCCACGCGCCGCCCTAAAGACTGCTCCGGTCCCGAGACCAGCCACCACGCTTGTCCAAACATCGTCCCTGTCGGTGGCAGCCACGACTCCACTCTCGATCCCTGCGTAGATCAGACCAATGATCCCAATCTTATTCCCCCAGGTTCGACCCGCCTGACCAGAGGAGTTGAGGATCCTGTTGATCTTGAGCTTAGTGGTGTCGCCAGATTCGAAGCTCTTGACTCCGGTGATAACCCCAACGGCAGCGCCGCCAACGGAGCCGCCGAGGTAAGCGGTTCCGGTGTAGAACGTGAGATTCTCACCCCAAGATCGACGCTGCCTTAAGGACTCCTCCGTGAAGAGGAACTCAGGGGAGGTAGGAAGCTTGTAAAGGTACTGAGATTTGATTGGGACATCGTAGTTCTGGTAAGGATTGTAAAGACGTGTGTTTTCGTCTGATCCGTGATCGGATCTGTTATTGGCCGCCATGGACAGAGAAGAGAGATAAAGAGAGAAGGTGGTGGAGAGAGAGAGACGTGAGAGACGACCGAGAAACGTGTGATGTAAAGCTCTCTCCGATGTTTGGTTGCGGAAAGGAGAAATGAAACTTAACTCAAATGTTTAGGGTTTTTAGGGAAACTCTTCTGTAAGTTGCGAGAAAAAGACCGGTCCTAGTTGTTTCCAGATTCGCTTTGATACTGTTACGATTCGATTTTGACCCCTATAAGTTTTTCGTTTTCCCAATTAAACCCAATTCTGTTTCTTATAGACTCTCGCTTGCCACATACTGTATACTGATATTTTTTATTTGACCCCAGAAGTTTCATTTATACCAATTTAACCCGTTTTTCGCTTTTGAACTTCTCAAACCAAATTTTTTTTTACCAACCAATTCATCGTGACAACAACGAAATTAAAAGTATTTAAGGGTTTAAATCGAATTGCTAGGGTCGAATTTTAGATTTTTTTTTTTCGTCAAAAGTAACCAAACCTTCTCGCAGCCGCAAGAGAGGGCAGAAAAAAATAAAAAAAACTTCCGGCGAATTGTACGGCGAGGAGTCGTCGTCTGACTCCGATTATACACAGGGTGTGTGTATACATACACATTCGCGACGACAAGTGGAGAGAGGGCACGAGGTAAAAGACACAAGGGTTAGATGGGAAACCAGAAATTAAAGTGGACGTCGGGGGAAGAGGAGGCGTTGCTCGCCGGAATTGCAAAGTACGGCGCTGGTAAGTGGAAGAATATTCTCCGGGATTCCGAATTCGCTGATCAGCTCAGTAATCGCTCCAACATCGACCTCAAGGTGTTTCCTTTTTTTCTCTCTCTTTCCCACATTGATCTCTTTGATCCATACATAACCCTAATTATCGACTTTGAGGCTCACTTCGGTGTGCACTGTGCAGTTTGTACTTAGTCATGTGGGAACTAAGTTTAAGATCCTTGAAGGACAAATCTTTTGCCCGGTCCTGTGGTTGATAATCTTTGTTCATTGAGTTTCAAACCAGATCATGAACTATTACCTTTCATTCTTCTGTCGCCTCTTATCATTAGTCATTAGGATTTGTTGATAGCTGTTATAGATATGAATGTTTTTCTTAATTGATTCAAAGTGTACAAACCTAAAGTCAAGCTTGGTTGAATTGGAGCTTTGAGGTGGAAAGGGCACTACTTTGCTTCGTTTGTTTTCATGCTTCGTGATTAGAATTCTAGCAATGGCGTGTCTAACTTAAGAATATGAATCTGTAATTTTTGTAGGATAAGTGGCGTAACTTGAGTGTTGCTCCTGGTAGTCAAGGCTTAAGGGATAAGGCAAGGCCGACCAAAGTCAAAGATGAAAGCGTCACTCTGTCTGAAGTTGCTACCACTAGTCAACCTCCTAATGCTAACTCTTCTTCTTCACCAGCTACTTCCCTGCCACGCAGTGCATCTCCTGAGTTGAGCATTGATAACAGTGCTAACAGTTTAGTGGATAATAAGAACGCTCCCAGGTTTGCCTTTCTTTTCTCTTCTTCTGTTTCTCGTGCTTAATAGATTAGCTGATGCATCGCTAAGCTTCTGATGAGTTTCTAGTTTCAGGTATGACGGGATGATATTTGAAGCCATCTCTGCTTTAGCGGATGCAAATGGATCTGATGTCGGTTCCATTTTCAGCTTCATCGAGGTTAGACAAGTTTCTCTTTGCTCTTCATTTTGCATTGGTCAGAAGTCAGAAGAACCTTGCTGTGCCCGGTTTTTAAAGCTACTCACCATATACATATGAGGGAAGGGGTAGTTATGTTATTTGCACATGTTAACTGTATCTACATTAGCTTTTGCAAATGGCTTATCGTACTTGAGGTCTACATGTAAGTTTCAGTATGACAGTATCTTGGTCAGGAACAATGTGTTAGGCACTTCTGATTTCTGAACATATATACTATCTTGTCTAGCCTTCTGAATATATACACTTAGTACCTTTTCCAGTTCGAATGACGCAAATGGGCCAGTGTTTTTACTTCTATTTATAAATATAAGAAGGTTTTAAATGTACTAATATCAGCAAATTTCATAAGATTCGTCCTTCCCATAGCTGAGTTCTAAAATGTCAAGTTTTGCACTTTTAATCGTCTGTACTTTGATAGTTGTACTGAAGATGTCGAGTATATTCCTATCTGAACAAATGTTATAGTTCTCTTGATTCTACTTAAGTTGAGGTCACGCTTTGTTATTCTTTTTCTTTTATCCCTAGTGACTAAAACTTTTCCTAATGGACCTTATGGTTTACTGTGGAAAGAGCAGCCAAGGCATGAAGTGCCGCCACAGTTTAGAAGAGTCCTTAGTTCAAGACTGAGGAGGCTTGCAGCTCAGGGAAAACTTGTGAAGGTTAGCAACTTAAAACCTGTAAGTCTTTTGAAACTCACTTCTCTTTCTTTCGTGTCACATTCTCCTTTCAAAATTCCAATACAAAACAATTTTCATTAATGGCGCGTATATAACCAACTCGTCCATCATATCTGTGTGAAACAATGAACTAAACAAGTGCATGGGTCAAGCTTCTTGATCTGATGCTATGTTATAAAGAATCCCGCATCATCATGTTTCTTTAAAGCCTTCTTCTCACTTCATGCCGTGTCTCTTTATAATCTCTGTGTTGTTTTCATCCAACGCACAGCAGCTACAGAACTTCTATAAGATACCGGAGTCATCAGGAACAACGATAGCGCCTGTCCCAAAGCTAAAGGAGACAAGTGTGAAACCGAAGCAATCAAACAATATGGCTCCCGCGGTTACACAAGAGATGATCGAGGAAGCTGCAAGGACCGCTGCATGTAAAGTTGTAGAGGCAGAGAATAAAGTAGATGTTACCAAAGTAGCAGTAAGAGAGTTGAAGAAGGTGACCAAGCTTGCAGATGAAGCCCAACTTCTGCTGGAGTTAGCTAAAGAGATTCATGAACAATGTAAAACCGAGACTCAGCCATTTTCTCTTTCTTTTTCACATTTAGGAACATCAAGCCAGAGTATGAGTGATGTTAACTTTTTTGGGTCATAATGTTCTTTTGCAGGTTCTCGTAGCGAGGTTGTGCTCCTGGCTTGAGTCTATGAGCTCTTCAGTTCGAGGCCTTTGATCATCAGAAGTTGTGATTTTCAAGACATGAGCAAACTATAGCCACAGTGTCTCCTCCGTTTAGTTGTTGATATATCTAAAAAAGAAATAATTAATTTACTAGGCGTGACTCTGTTTTGTGAGTAAATTACAGAGGCTCATCTTGGTTTTTTTTTTTTTTTTTTTTTTTTAACTCCTGAACCCAAAAATGCATTTATATCGATATTATTTAGTGAACTTACTCTCATATTAAAATTCTGATTTCATACTATAATGCTATTTTTGGGGACAAAGATATTCGAATAATAAAATTAACTTTTGTTTTGTTTTCCACTTTCATGATGGAAAAGGATCAAAGAGAGAAAAAGTCGTAAATATATTAAAAATTTGGGAGGGCAAATCGGGAAAGAAGAGAATTAATGTTGTTTTTCCTTTTTTCCTCTTAGAAAACCTAAAAAAAAGCACATACGACCGTAATAAAACGGTGGAAGTATATAAAGAAGCAGCAGTCATCAACAGTTTTTCTTCTTCTTCAACTCCACGGCGCAGATCCGAGGAGTTTTTTGTTCTTTGTCTCTTTTGAATCTTTCTTCGCTCTCGATCTCTCTTCAGTTTTTGTTTCACAGCAGGTTTGAATCTCTCTTTCCCTTTTTATATGATTTGTGTTTGGTTTCTCGTTTGCGCGTAATAGGATCTATGTAGGTTTTGGCTTTCTTTGATTCGTTGTTCTTCTATCCTAATGCAATGCTTATTCGTCTGTGATTGGTTTTTGTACAATGTGTATTTTAGCGTGAGAGTATTGGTTATTGATTTCTTGGTTTGTACGATTGACATGAAGAAGATGAATTTGTTGTTTACATCATAAGAAAGAAAAAAATTAAAGCTTTTATGCTTGATTTGATTCTGTTCTATCTCTGTGCTTCTTGTCTCATGTCGTATTATTGGCTGTAGTATCATATCTGGTCTTGTTTTTGGATCTGAGAGAACGAGTTTGATTATAAATTGAATGTTTGACTTTATCTTTTCTGTTATGTTTTCTCCAGTCATGGCAGGAATGGCATCCGAAGGAACCCAGTACGATCCTCGTCAGTTCGATTCTAAGATGAATGCGATGTAAGTTTAAATTTACTTGTGAATCATTCTATAACAAAAATCACACTAGCAATAAGCACTGAGTGATATGATTATTTTGTTGCAGACTCGATGAGGGAGGAGAGGAAACTTTCTACACGACTTACGACGAAGTCTGCGATAGCTTCGATTCTATGGACCTGAAGTCGGATCTTCTCAGGGGCATTTACGCCTACGGTAAGCGAGATCTGTCCTGTCCTTTTTGAGAACACAATGTAGATGCTAGGTTCTGTTTTCTTCTTTTGATTACTTCTTTAATATGAGTAATCTATCCTTTGTTCCAGGTTTTGAGAAGCCTTCTGCGATTCAGCAGAGAGGAATCATTCCGTTCTGCAAGGGTCTCGATGTGATCCAGCAAGCTCAATCTGGAACCGGAAAGACGGCTACTTTTTGCTCTGGCGTTTTGCAGCAGCTTGATATCACGTTTGTTCAGTGCCAAGCTCTCGTCTTGGCGCCTACCAGAGAACTCGCCCAGCAGATTGAGAAGGTTATGAGGGCACTTGGTGACTACCTCGGTGTCAAGGTTCACGCCTGTGTCGGCGGAACAAGTGTGCGTGAGGATCAACGCATTCTCCAGTCTGGTGTCCATGTCGTTGTTGGAACCCCTGGTCGTGTCTTTGACATGTTGCGCAGGCAATCTCTCCGCGCTGATGCCATCAAGATGTTTGTTCTTGATGAAGCTGATGAGATGCTCTCTCGTGGTTTCAAGGATCAGGTTTAAAATCTCATCATCTACAGTTTCATTTTCTCTTACAGTATCATTTTTTTTTTCTTACGATTTGGTTTTGTGTATTAGATATACGACATCTTCCAGCTTCTTCCTTCCAAGGTTCAGGTGGGTGTTTTCTCGGCAACGATGCCACCAGAAGCCCTTGAGATCACAAGGAAGTTCATGAACAAACCAGTCAGGATCCTGGTCAAGCGTGACGAGCTGACTCTTGAAGGTATCAAGCAGTTTTACGTCAATGTCGACAAGGAAGAGTGGAAGCTCGAGACACTCTGCGATCTCTACGAGACGCTGGCCATCACTCAGAGCGTCATCTTTGTGAACACAAGGCGTAAGGTTGACTGGCTTACCGACAAAATGAGGAGCCGTGACCACACGGTCTCAGCCACACACGGAGACATGGACCAGAACACGAGAGACATCATCATGCGCGAGTTCCGCTCTGGATCTTCCCGTGTCCTCATAACCACTGACCTCCTTGCTCGTGGTATCGATGTTCAGCAGGTCTCTCTGGTCATCAACTTTGACCTCCCAACACAACCGGAGAACTACCTTCACCGTATCGGAAGAAGTGGAAGGTTTGGGAGAAAGGGAGTGGCGATCAACTTCATGACAACGGATGATGAGAGAATGTTGTCTGATATTCAGAAGTTTTACAATGTGGTCGTTGAGGAGCTTCCAAGCAATGTTGCTGATCTTCTCTGAGTCTCTTGTTTTGTTTTTTTTTTCCTGTTGCGGCGCGGCTGGGTAATTTCTTTTTTTACCGAGACTGATTTTACGTCTTTCGCAGTTTTCCCATGTTTTTCTTTTTGTTTCTTGCTTACTTAGAGTTATTTATAGTTTTCGGCAAAATGAGAAGAGAACTCATCTCATAACAACTTTTTGTTTTTTGGAATTCAAGAATTTCGGAATTATTTTATAACTTTCTTTTTAACGTGACTCACAAGATTACTCTATGACTGCAAGTAATTTATGCTCTGCGGTTCAAATTCATCCTGATAATTAATTTTTACGGTTTGCGTCATGACCAAAACTCTGGTTAAATTTGTTTGTTGTAGTTTGTGTAAATCAAGTTTCGTCCAAAGCAAATAATTATTTCGAAAAAAAAACTAGGAGTATTTCGAATTAGAATCCCCAAAAAAACTCCCTCGAATTTAGAAATTAAGAAGCAGCGGCCATGTGTAAATCCGAAGGACATGAGATCTTACAAAATTTTCTTAGGAAGAATAAATAAACGCATACCTGTACTAGGTACTGTAGTAATTAATCTCTGATAATGTTTTTTAGTTAGAACATACCTACAAACATACGATATACCAAAGAAAACTTAGATTAACTGATTACGAATCAAAATTAATGACTGAAATTTACTTCATCTCCGTTAGAAAGTTTACAAGAGACAAAAAGCAAAAGAGAAAGAGGTTGGAGATAAAACCAAAAGGAACTCTCCTTTTTCTTCTTCCTAAAAGCAAAAAGCCAATCTCTTGAGGTTGTTTGCAAGTGGAGATGTTCAGATCTAAGTCATGCAGAGAAGAGATGAGAAGCAGCAGCAACACCAACAAGTACCCTTGCCTCAGCAATGGAGCACCAAACCCAATATACCAGCAGCCTCTTCCAGTGATGCTGAGATCTTACAGCACATCAACTTATAGTCCACACAAGAATCCAACAACGGTGAGAGACAATTCCAACAATAAATCCAAGAGAAGCAATAACAAGGCGAAGAAAGGGTTAAAGGGTTTGTGTGACGCAGAGGTTCAGAGGAAGAAGAGAGTCGCTGCTTATAATGTGTATGGTGTTGAAGGGAAAGTGAAGGGATCTATGAGGAAAAGCATCAAATGGTTTAAGGAGACTTGTTCAAATGCTGTCTATGGTTTGTGGTGATCCAACAACAAATCTTTTCAATCTTTCTTGTCTTGTTTCTTGTTCCTTAGTCTCGCTGGTGAGTCAGATTCCGCTGTCGTAGACTTTGATGATATGAATGTTGTAACAATAAGATTTTCAGGCAAAATCATTAAGCTATGTTTAATTGATTGTGACCACCATTTAAGGCCTTAATTGCATTCACAATATACTTTCATTTATCGACATGGACCGAAACATGATAACATGCAACAGAATCCCTTTAAGGGCTCAACTTGACATATGACCTAAGCATCTCTCGTGTCCTCTTTAAGGCAAACAGTACAGTTATTGCTTACGTACGATCGACTTCTTTCAGTATTTACCAATAAAAAGACCATTTACCCTCACAATTGTCTGAATTCTGAAATATGAAAAGATGCAGAATTGCAAATGTACGAAAACCCTTTCTTTCATTTGTACCTTTTTTTTTGGTGTGCAAACATTTCAATCCCTTTGAAGCACGAAACATTTTAACTTTGCAGTACAAAACGAGACAAACACAACAGGGACAGTGAAAAACCAAGGGAGGACCTAAGTGTTTAATCTTTGATATCACCCTCTTTGAGTTTGCGTTTCTCTGGAATCACTTCTTCAGAGTCTTTCGTTATCTTTGTTATTTGGGAGTGCATACAAAGCACAAGTAAAGTCTCCCTCCCTGTGAACACAAATGCACGTCAAACAAGGGGAGAGGTTTTCTTTTTGTCTTTTTAATTTACACTTGTCCCTGGGTTTACCATCATTCATTGGGCTCCCCCAGCGACTAAAAATGCAGACTCTCGATCCCTTTAAGATTGGACTCGTAGCTCTTCATGACTGAAGTATTTCCCCTTGACGGTGATAAGAGCTTGTTCTCAGATGAGACGATAGGGGAGCCTCGACCACCTTGGATCTTTTGGTTGGAGCCTGATCCAGCTTCCATGATTCGAGGGTTTGATGGCTCAGAGTCGGTTTCAACAACTGCAGCCTCGCGGCTACTGGATACAGCAGCGCGCCTTGATGATCCAGTTGCGCGGAGAAAGCTAGAGCTAGATAACTGCCATAAGCAAAACAACTCAGTTAACCATCTATATCAAGGACAAGAATCCAACGGATACCTGTAACATGTGGGAAACTTTATGTACTCACTCACCACTACATCTTTAGATATTGCAGGATCACTTGAAACTGGTGCCTTTTGTTTAGCTAAGCTTCCTGAGTTAAAAATTTGTCCAGAACTTCGTCTAGGGTTTCCTGGTGACCAGCCAGAAGGTCTAGCTTCGTCGCCACCTGCAGTGGAACCAAAGAACATATCAAAATAGGTAAAAACCGTGTCCCTGTAGAACAGAGGATCATAGTTAAATGCCTAATCAAACATGGAAAGAAACCACTCAAAAATCAAAATAGATGGAACAACCTGATGGCCTTTCAGCACTAGCAATAGCAGGGGGGAGGCCAGAGCTTGGTCCAACGCCAGGAGCCTGGAAGAAAGATACGTACATCAGCGGAGTTAGAAAGATGAAATTTGAAAAAAGAAGAAAACATGATTCTTACATGGTGGCGGGGAGGAGGAGTGGAAATCTGTGATTGCTGATACTTCAGGATCGTCCAATCAAATACATAATCAAACTGGAAGCCTAAAATATGAGCAGAGGAGGACGCAAATTTCAAATTAACATGTTACTTCACTGGTTCAAGTTATATGTGCTTCACTAGACTAGAATTAACAAAAGTGACGAGTGCACCAGACCTTCCCGAATAAACAGGTCACGGAAAAGCCGTTTCAGGTAGGCATAGTCTGGTTTGTCATCGAACCTCAGGGAACGGCAATAATGGAAGTAAGACGCAAATTCGGATGGATATCCTCGGCATAAAGACTAAACGAAGAAAATAAAGCTCAATCAGTACAAGACCATACGTATCACCAGCACAGGCCTTGGGAGTTTATTTTACCTCAATAGATGTCGATACTTTCTTTTCACTGATTTTCTCATACTTTTGCTTCTTATTCCCAGCTTTCAGTCCTTGCCAAGGAAGACTGTATTTAATTGGGTAAGTAAGCCAAAAGTCCCACGATTATGAACCAATAGCAACATGGCAACAAGGAAGGTAAGAGAGATTACATACCTTCCTTTTAAGAAGTACATGAGAACAAATCCAAGCGACTCCAGATCATCTCTACGACTTTGTTCTGTTAATACAAATGACCATTGCTATTCAGAATCACGTTTTTAAAATAATCAGGAGGTTAGAAAATAAGTGTAACTGGTATACCAATGCCAAGGTGAGTGTTCATGCTGGCGTATCTAGCAGTTCCAGTCAAGTTTTTGTTTTCCCTGTGATACACAAGATATTAGGATTATAATTGCTAAGCTGATACATCATATACTTAAATTTTATAGTCCAGCATCACTAGTCCAATATTGTGCGCACATAAGTAACAGAAGCACAGGATCTACAAGGAAAATCACAGGGCTGTGGCCAACCTATACGGAATATGCTGATGATTTGAGTCTCTATACTTCTTTGCCAGACCAAAGTCGATGACATATACCTGTAATCGGCCAACACTTTCATTAAGCAGATGATGATTGAGTAAAAAAAAAAAATTCCTACAAACAGCCCATTTCAAAAGTTACCTGATTTGCACGCCTCCCAAGACCCATAAGAAAGTTGTCAGGCTTGATGTCTCGATGTAGAAATGACTTTTGATGAACAAACTCAACGCGATTGATCTGATAAAAAAAAAAGAATGATACCCTAAATATTTTGGCAATATCCCACTCAACGTGACAAAACAATTTTCAGGCAACAGATATGATCCTACCATTTGATCTGCAAGCATTAGTACAGTCTTTAGTGAAAGTTTCCTACTACAGAAATTGAATAGATCTTCAAGGCTAGGCCCCAACAAGTCTATCACAAGGACGTTATAGTCCCCTTCGACACCATACCATTTAACGTTTGGAACGCCGGCTAAAATCAAGGAAAGGAAAGCAACCTCTCTTGGATAAGAAAGAAGAAATCACAAAAACGGCAAATGTAAACAAGTATACAGAACTAGGTCCTTACTTCCTCCTTGTAATACTTTATACAACTTTGATTCATACAGCAACTGAGGATGCTTAGTTTTCACATTTTCCTGGAAGAAGGAAAAAAAAAAAGATACCGTCAGTACATATACACCAACACACATCAGCCAAAATAGGATACGATTTGTCACATAGCAGAACAACAAAGGAACATGAAATCAAACATGAGGATTTGATTGAACATATACTTAACAGTCCGATCCAATACAAAACAGAAACAGGTAACAGAAAAAAAAAGCAGATTTATAACAGACAACCAACGTTCAATACAATGATATGGTAGCTGTCAGCCTCATAATTCTTCATATATAGGCCACAACAAACTTCTCAAAATTTTCAACAGTTGGTCCCACCAGTTGCAGGTGATGTTGTCGTGGACTCTAAGAGCTAATTCAGCATTAATTACACACTATCTTCCCAAGAATCAATAATAGCTCTAAGTTCTTACAAAAAAAATTCAGGATTCTCAAACTAGAAAGAAATTTCTCAACACCAAAAGCATTGATTTAATTTGAGTACTGAATGAAAACATTCATAGCAAAATCAAAATGAATGAAAGGAAGAACTTAAGCTAAATTACTACTAATAAACTCAATAAGCAATCGCATGAACAGAATACAAAAAAGCAGTATATACCTATGTTTTTATTCCTTTTCCGTATAAACACAGCACCTAAGTTCTTAAAACAGGTTAAAGAAGAAAGCTACAAGCTGAGAGAGACCAAGCAAATAACATAAGACTTGTAAACATATGCCACAAAAATCACAGCTTTCATTCATTCTTTATTTAATGATGAGGATATATGTCCAGAAGTACCAAACGTAATAATAGACCTCACATTCCCAAAACTAGGTTATTATCTCTACTTCAATGATCGATCTACATCTAATTCAATTAGCCACCGAAAAAGAGTTTAAAAAAAAAACCATCTGTAATCGGATAACTTACAAGCTTAATAGCCACTTCTTCATTTGTCTGGATATTGGTACCTAAAAAAAACGCAGATATTTAATACTCTTAGTAATCAAAAAACGAGATGTGAACTCGAGAAGAAGAAGAAATAATCAGTTAAGGGCATACCAAGATAGATCTCTCCAAATGATCCACTGCCGATCTTCCGTCCGAGCCGAAACTTGTTTCCGACTCGTGGTTCCATCAAATCACAAGCCGATAACACTAGAAACTAGCTCTAAACTACCGAAATCCGATTGCTAGCCACCACCAGAAGCTTCACCTTTCGCCGGAAATCGAGAAACCCAGAAGAGGAGAAGAAGAAGAAGGAGGAGATAAAAACGAGATTGGAGCCGAATATTTGAGGAGTAAGAGAGAGTAAAATCCAAAAAAAAAAAAAAAATCAAAAACGGATTGAAGTTAGTAGTTGCGATTGATTCCGATTGACTTCCGGTGACAGAGCGTCGACATCTCTCCACGCGGCGAAAAATATCCCCAAAAGGGAAGGGATAGACACAGAGACGGTAGAGATTAGAGAACATAAAAAGCAAAACGCTAATTATATTTTCTTCTTTTCTTTTTTTTTTTCCAACGAAAATTAATTATTGCGGAGTTGTTGGATACTTTCAGTGGGCCGTATAACTGAACGATTGTTTAAATGTCGGCCCATAACTATAATTTATTCGCCAAACATTCTCAAATTTCATGAACCAACAACGTAACAAACACGCAACAACTTTTGGGTTTTCATAACCTAAAAGTCATTTGGTGGATACAGAAACACCAATAACTGAAGCAACAATAAACAAGATCAACTAAACATACAATAAACATAGATATATATATATATATATATATGAATAGAGTTAATTGATTAGCGAGAGGCACAAAGGAAAGATGCTTTGTTATGTTTTTGCATTGTGTCCTAAGTATACACAAAACCTAAGTATGGTGCACAAAAGAAAGAAAGCATGTAAAAAACGAATGAGAACCCCCCAACAAGTAGAAAACCATCAGCTGCTACTCTTTACATTGATCTCCCTCTATAAACTCTCAAACAAAAAACAGCATCAAGACCTGTCTCCAAGGAGGTCTTATGCATCAGAGAATAGGGGACCCTTCAGAAAACAAAACCTATACACAGGCTACAATAATCTAGGTGACACTGCATCTTGCGCTGAGAAATGAGAGAGATTCGACTGTTTCTTGTTCAGTTTCGACCTAAGATGCCTGATTTTAGCGTCGACTCTAGCTGTGAACCCGATCTTTGTCTTCTCTCGGGCTTTCGTACGCTCTCGTGTCCACAGCCTCGCGTCCTCGACATCTCTTTTGTAGTATCTGATCTCTTGGATGATATGATGATCCAACGGATTCAAGAATCTCTGGAAAGCAATGTGAGCAACGTAAGGGAGCACTGCGGTAACTGTGACCAGCAACGTAGCCATCCAGTAGATAGGAGCAGGAGCAAGAATCTGATCAAAGATCCTGTAGATGTTTCCAGACTGACTCGGGGGAGCCATCCCGTAGAGCGCGACGAAGAGGTACCAGAAACCGATGCTTCCCCAGATCAACACGTGCTGGATCCAGGTGAAATGGGACATGGTCAAGGCGATTTGAACATTGACCGCCCATATTATGCAGGTGAACATGGTCGTGCCGACAGCGTCCATGTCAGCTGTTTGGCCACCCGCTCGAAAAGCTTGAGAGTAGATGATTCCGATGTTGAGGAAGAATATGACAAGAGATGAGTAGACGCCATTGCACATCCATCCAAGTATTCTCGACCAATCAAAGAAGAGGTTCTTTGTGCCTTGTTGGTATAAAGCCGGGAACTACACAAGCACAAGCAAGAAAGTACATGTTTTTGGTAAGCAAAGATATTCTTGAAACGATTTAGTTCTTGAAGGAAGATATATAAAGCTTACTTGCAAGCAGATCTCGGAGGAAACATCTTGTTCAAAGACACCAAGAGCAATCACCGGCAATGATGTTAGGACAACATTGAAGAGCAATAAGTAGTAGTCGTTGTACACTGATTGTCCGGAAAAACCGGTGAAAGCCTCAAAGTAGAAGAGAGTGAGACCAAACGCTATGTTTTTGTAGAAGAAATAGCAGATCTGTATGTAGAACAACATAATGTTAGGAACAAACTACATGTAAAGACTTAAAGAGTAATCAAACGGCCATAAGAACAAGTTATTACCATTTGTGCGATCCTTTTGTAGCACCAGTGTCCATGGACGACGAGTAATCGTTCCAAAAACCGGAACTGTGCAATCGAAAAGTCACTAGCCATAACAGCCTGCAAAAGTAAGAAGGTTCAGCAAAAATGTCGAGATGAATTTATCTTAAATGCACTCAAGAAACATGAAACATGGCTGAACGAAAAAGGAAAAAAAAAATGAACCTGCATTCCTTCAACCCCACTAATTCCTACACCAATGTCAGCTTCTTGAATCATCCCAACATCATTTGCACCATCACCTATGGCCAATGTGGTTTTCCCGGTTCCCTCTTTAACCAACCTTGTTACCTACATTTTGGGAAAACAAAACAGGGAAGTTTAGAATTCTCTTCTTGTATGAATGGAATCAAATGAATAAGGGAAGGCGGATTTACATACCAAAGCTTTCTGCTTGGGAGACACACGACAGCAAATGACTGATGCACAATCGACCGCCAAAGCCAAGAACTGATACTTCATATCATCTTCCAACGTATAAGTTAGAGTTTTCCCGTCAATGATCAAAGCAAATGCAGCGTGTGGATCCTTCTCTAGCTTCACCATTTGTACAGCTTTAGTGAGTTGATTCAAAATGTTTTCTTTCACAGCCTGACACATCAACATAGATACAAAGTTAGCTTCGAAATCGACTGTCAATAACTTGCACCATAAAAACTCGTTTTGACGTACCCTTTTCGAATCTTGAGATCCCCCATCTGGATTTATTGATGTTATGCAAATCTGTCTCATGCCTTGCCGAAGTAAACTACAGGCGAATCTGCAGTTCATAAAAAAAGATAAACTTGTTCATAAAACTCACTAGATAAAATCATACTATATATTCAAGGTAATGCAGTGATTCTAACCCAATGTTGATTGCTGTTTCCATCTTGTCCCCTGTTAAAACCCATAACTTGAGGCCAGCTTGAGCAAGTTTATCTATGCATTGGGGCACCTAATTCAAATAACAAATAAAAAAGAAACTCAATTTACATAACCAAGATCAAATACGGCCTTAGTGTGTCTATGCAATAACACAACATACCCCTTTCTGGAGTTTGTCCTCCACAGCAGTAGCACCTATAAGGATAAGTTCTTTTTCAATCATATCCGATCCCGCCTCAAGAAGCTCATCTCTATCAGATCCTATTGAAGTTTTAGCCTTGAAAAACTCAGCGTTCCAAGCTGAATATTCGTCCTCGTCAAGCTTTCTGTATGCAAGTGCGAGTGTACGGAGCCCGGCTTCTCCATATTCAGTTAAATGCTTAGTGGTAGGTCCCAAGTATGTCTTCCCATTCTTTGCCAACCGATCAAAGATGATGCTGTAAAATTACAAGAAGAATAAAAAAATAGATTCTTGATGTGAACAATGTGATTCATTGCTTGTGAAATGCTTAAAGATGTTTAATTTTGGATGCTAACCTGTCGGCTCCTTTGCATAGTAGAAGAATCTGCCCTTCCTCATCGCGTACAATCACTGACATTCGCTTTCTTTTGCTCGTGAACTCCAACAAGTTCAGAACTTTATACTCCCTGAAATGTTTCTAGTACTCACTCAGGATATGTGCAAATAAAAAAATGGTTAAAACACAAAACTTCTTCAACTATTTTGCTCACCTTTCGATTATTTGCCCTGAAGAAGAGGACCTCTCGCGGATAAACACGCTTGACTGAGTCCTCTTGCAGAACTCAAAACCAAACTCTCTAGCAGCAGCAAGAAAAGAAGCCTCATCAGGTGACTCTGCTTCATAAGTGTACTTTCCAGTCTCCTCGTTGAGCTCGGGGATAGCTGTGTGACAGATAGCCAAAATGCGGAAGAACTGCAAAATGTCATCAGGTTGTGATTCCCTCAACCAGTTCCCATTCATGAGTCTACTATCCTCGAAACCAAACCCCTTTATAGGAACCCTAGGATTGTTATAATTGTTGTCCCCTCCACTTTCAATCTCGATCTCTTGCGTTCGGCTACTGTCCCATGTACCGTAAACTTTGGTCTGAGACTGAGGAGTACTCGATATCTCTCCGTGCTCTTCAAGATCCACAGCCATCTGCTTCGCAGCAGCGAGCTCTACTTCGCTCGAACGCACGCCATAAGAAGTACCAGCGATAGAGCATTTCAAGAAATCCATCTGATTACATGTCAAAGTTCCCGTTTTGTCAGAGAGGATAGTATGAACCTGACCAAGCTCTTCGTTCAGATTCGACGTGCGCGCTTGCGCAGGGACACCACTCTCATCGTCATACATGTGCAAGTCTTGGTTGATGAAACTTGCTTGCCAGACTTTGACAACCTCAATCGAAACATAAAGAGAGATTGGAATCAGATATCCGTAGAGCAGCAGAGCAGTGATGAGGTGAACAACCCCGGCGTAGACTGGACTGACCGGATTTGATATGTCCTCAGGAGCATCAGGTCGTAAGTACCACATTTTCGGCATGTGGAACTCTGTCTCCCAGGCGAATCCTGATGAGCTGATGCAAGAGATTAAGATAAGTAGGACAAGAAGAGTGTAGATGATGTAGTCCATTGTCCTTTCGATTCTGCTTCTCTTGGAAGGAGACTTCGTTGAGTTCTGCATAACTTTAGTATCATGACCTGTAAATACCACAACTCCATAAACATAGGTCGTGTTCCTGAGCTTTGAGTCTCTTAACAGAATCTGACTTGGATCCAGAGGATATGTCTGCCGCTGATACTCTAAGTTGCCAACAAATGTGTAGAGACTCGGGTTTGGATCTTCGCATTTAATCGTCGCCATGAAGCTCCTGAAAGATTCGTCGTCGTCTAGTGGCAATGACACTTCCAGAGATCTCTTCACTTTCAAGTTTGTTTCACCGTCCAAGTTCATAGTCTCAACGTAGCAAATCCCATCCTCGTAACTCGACGACAGAAGCAGCAAATCAGCAGGGAAGAACTCATCTTTCTCCACCTTCACAATATCCCCAACGCTAATCTTCTTCCACTTCCTCTGACGAAACACACCGTCGCTTCTATGAACACACGTCTTGCGCGCGTTGATCTTCACGTCTTGCATAAACCTACGCCAATCTTCTAGAGCCTCTTTCAACATACTAAGCCCAACGACAAAGACCAAAGGAGCAATCATGCTCCATTTGTTGAACGGCGAGAGAGGAAACACCGAGAGGATCGCAGCCACCAAGAAGTAGAGATTCGCGGCGCGGTGGAACTGCTCGTACAGTGATTTAGGGAAGAAAGTTATCAGGTTGTACCTCGTCGTGGAGACATAGTTAGAACGGTATCTCAAAGGCTTCTTCTTGTGCATGTGAGGCTGGTTACAGAACACTGTCCGGCTAAATCCCGGACCTTGAACTGGTTGAGTGTCTTGACCTTCAACTGTACTAGGCCTAAGACATCCAAATGTGTAGAGATTGCTTAGTCGCAGCTTCGATCTTATTCTACCTCGAGCCATTCCCTCAAATGTTTTTTTTGACACAGGAGAACAGAAAGCCAAAGTTGTGATCTTTCAACAGAGGCACACACTTAGTTCCTCAAGACTCGGATTAGTGCTTCACGTCTTCTTCATATTCCAAGCAAATTGCTGGTTTTTGAATTAACCCTGTACAGAAGATGAAACAAAACCCATTTAAATGATTTTTCCATTTTGATATTTCTGAGACGTAATTAAAAGTGTCTGAGATCATCACCCCAGAGACTTTTAAAAATAGGCAGAGAAAGACTGAAACGACACAAGCACCAAAGAGAAAGCTCTTAACGGAAGGAGCTCAAATCTCGGAAGCTCGTCACATATTTTAAAACGAAAAACTATGGGAAAAAAAAAAACAGAACCAAAATATACTGAAAATTGGTCAACAGGCTCGAATTCAAATGAAAACAATTTAGTTGAATCGATGAAAAAAAAAAACCAAACAAGAAAAAAAATCTTTCAAATCTACCAAATATGATGAATTTACGAAACCCAGGGAGGAAAGAAATTTACCAAACACCAATTATTTCAAATACATTTGCCTTGTTAGTACAAGAAAAGGAAAACAGTATATGAAATCCCAATTTGATTCTTTAACTCAGATAGATAACGATTAAGCTGGTGATAAAGAACACGCAAACGCAATTGACAGCTGTAAAAAAAGCTGGGATAAGATCCCTGAACCCGGTAACAAGTCAAGCACAATGGAAGACCCAAAACGACGAGAAATTTCAGACAGGTTAGTGTAGATTTGTCGGAGAAGTAGAGAATAAGGAGACAATACCAGATTCTGTTGATAACATGACGAACTAGCATAAACCCATTACAGCAAATAAGCTGATTAATCGCCTAGAAATTGTCGGCAATGGTAGATCAAGAAGCAGGAGCACAAAGCAAACACGAAAAGAAAAAATGCAGCTTTTTCTCTCTCTCTCTCTCTTCTCTCTTCTCTCTCTATCTGCTGTCTTTTTCTTCTCTTGCTTTCTCAGGAGACCCAAAAAATGGAGGAAAAACAAAAATTAGAGAAAGGGTTTTAGAGAAAGACAGAGATTTGTTTTTATGTCCGAAATTTCACTCGTTTTTATTTTTCTTTCTTTCAAGGACTGCAAATCTGAACCAGTGCAGGTACTTTCGGGTCTGCTTCTTCTTCTACGTCTTCTCTCTCTCTCTTCAACTATAATCTAATTAACTTCAATTTACAACTATTTTACATATTAAAAAAATACATAAAATACTCTAATTGGTAGATACGTTATTATCAATAGACGTATGCGGTATGCCATTACAACAACAAAAAATATATATAGTATTATAAGTTTTAACTTGTGAGAGTTATCTCATGCAAGTAAAGAAAATAATTAATACAAAATCTGGAATATAAGGTATTTATGACCCAGCTGTAAATTATTGAAGAAAAAAAAAAGTTAATAAACCGCGTTCAAAAAAAAAAAATTGTCTTAAACCGCGTTCAGATTATATTTAATATTTTCAGTGATCATTTTTATTTAATTTGTACGTGTGAAGTTCTTAGTTATATCCACATTAATTTATTTTATGTAAATGAACTATATTCCTCCCATTTTATTAAATAGTGATTGTAAGAAAAAAAATAAAAATCATAGGTTTCATTACTCAGAAAATACGAAATAAAAATTCTTGTTTTGTCCCGACAATAAAGAAAAGAAATTGGAATTTGTAGGTCTGTGATTTGATGGAAAAAGGAAAGGTATCTTGGTTCAGAAAATTAGGAGAGATGGTGGTGACGTTGCCTGTTGCCACAACCTTTTTCTCTTCTGCGACGAAAGCAAACTTTCAGGGAGTCGTTGAACCAATCCGCACCGTTTCCTTTCTTCTTCTTTTTTTTTTTTGATAAATATATCATCAAATCTTCCTATGTTATATTAACCATAAATGGGGACCCCCTTTATCATCAAAACGGAGAGAAACGGTAATTAATTTTATTTACTACTGGTCTTTACGGAAATTTCTTTAAAATACCAAATTTGTATGTTTTTTTTTATTAGCAACCAATATTCAATTCCAAAGATAGAACACTTTTTTATTTAAGAAAGGTTCGAAGAATTTGAGGAAGAGATCCTAAATGGTTTAGCAACATTCATGAACATAAATTTTGCGGTATATCGTATATTGCATAATCTAATTTATCTAAACTCAAATGTTCATTTTCACATATATTATATAAACAGTTTGAATACAAAAACCAGTATACGGTTGACAGAAAAGGCATCTAGAAGCATATTTAAAATGTTCGAACTTTAAAATTTAGTTATTCGAATATTTCAATCAGGAAAAAAAATGTAATGATATGAATATACTATTTTGGCGATAAATTAATTACAAATATATATGTTAAACTCAATCAATTGCTTTTTGGGCTGCCTCTCGCAACTTCTATTTTCGATACTTTTAATAATTAAAATATGTTTGTCTCCATGCAAACGTCTAAACAATTGAAGATAATTAACTACATTGCTGAAGAAATTGCTTCTAGAATCATACAGTGAAATTTCTATCAATTAATAATGTTAAGAGCATAATTTTTTTTTTAAAATTATATATTTATAGAAATTTTAATTTATACATTTATTATTTACAAGTTTTGAGACAGGTGGGTTGTTTTGGTAGCAAATTATAGAAAGAGTTCCAGATCATTACTGATTATAAAAATATTTACAAGTATTTAAACGTCTAAGCAATTAAAGATAACTACATAGCTGAATAAATCGCTTGTTCCATGTGTGATCGATGCCTTAGTGATTCAAGAAATGGTTTTTTTTTTGTTTGACAGCATATTTTCACTAATTAGAATGAATATATGTAATGGAATAAATGTGTAAAATGCATATTTTCACTAACAGGGTAGGATTTGGATACACCGTGCGTGATAAATTAGTATACTACAGAGAGAATTTTATAATATTAATGACTAGAATGATAGTATGATACACGACTGAAGGAAAAAGACGTGATGGAAGAAACAAAGCTATGAATGTATTTGATTTTTACATAGAGTTTAATAACAACGTCGCTGTGGTCTAACCAACCAGATATTTATACCTATATAGAGATAGAAAACTGTGCAATGACACGTTTCATACGTGTATTTTTGTTTCATATAGATCAAATTATATAGGTGGATTGTAGATGAGATTATAGACGTTCAATCTTTGGTGTGGACTTTCAATAAAGCATTTTTTTTTGCTAAATTATTAAAGCATATTTGTGGACAAAATGAATGAGTAATAGTCACAAGAGTGTCACTAGACAAATCAAAGCTTCTTTTTTTTTAACAACACTAGGGAAATCAAAGTTTAGCTGAATTAAAAGTAAACCATCCTTTTTAGGAGATCTGCTATAATTTAAAAAAAAAGGCACCTTAATTTGGAGTTTTGAATAAAAACGTAATTAGAAAAACTTACCATGCTAATTATATCTTGAAATTTTAATACTAGAATTATATATTTTGAAACATAGATTAATATTAAAGTTCAGAAAAAAAAAACATACATTTATATTTGGATACAATGATTACAGTATACTTAAAATCACGTGGACAAAGAAATGGTCGTGTTTACAAGCTTTAGATTTACGGTCCAATTTTTGTTGTGTGCTATATATAATTTTCATATTGTATAAATGTCAACGTGGAATATTTAAGGTTTTATTTTCTTTTTCAATCAGAAAAGCTTTCAAGTTTACTTTGGTTCGAAGGATACTCACATGGGATCGGTCCACGTCCATGATTCTATAGACCTTTTATCGAATTTTGTACTTTGTTTTTCCTTTGCACACGATATTGACCACTTCTTACTATTTTCACTAACTCTTATGGACCCTATCGCATTTGTTTCCCTTTATTACTGTGAGGGTCCCATCCTATAAGATGATTTCCCTTTCTAAATTTTAAACCTTTTTTGAGTAAATTCGGAGAAATACCTCAACTAAAAACGAGAATCGTTAAAACTCAGAATCATTATAATGATATATTTTAGATTGAAACCGAAACTTACTCTATGTTTGTGGAAAAAAAATGTCACATGACTTGGACTAGCCGCTGTGATGTCGTCGTCAAAATACCTTAATATTGATCATTTCACCCAACAGCTCATCGTATCCGTTGGTTTGATTGACTTTTCTACCGGAATGGTTTATGGTCCGTTTAGAATCGGACGGCCAAAAATCGAAACGTGGAGGGAGGGAGTAGGACCCACAAAGAGGTGTCCCACAACGGAATAAACCGGTCTATTTGATCTATATAACACTAATCAACGTGGTGGTCCATTTAACGTGCAGCCCAACACGGCTTAGAGAAAGCAATATCAATGCGCCAATTTTCATTCGAATTTATTTATTGCAATCTTGGCATATTATTATTATAAAGTGTCCAAATTTTAGTAATTTATTATACATTTAGTTGTATTATTGTATTACGTCTGTTGTTTTTATCTTATTTTCATATGGGTCTGTCGGGTATTAATGCGACAAATATTAAAGAGAGAAGGATATAAAGTAATGAACTTTCGAAGACTTTATATTGGAAAAATAATTTGTTTGATTGATAGTGTTAATATTTTAAAACTCGCAAATCCTCAATATTTTTCGTATTTAAGAAACGTTTAAGATTTTTTTTAATATCCACCGGACGAACACACAGGTGTCGTATGCTATTACGTACATTCCTGTCCTAATAGGACATAAGAAATCTAGTAAATCATCTAATTATTTGGTCCCGCCGTATTTATGTGACTGATGAAGTTTAGCCAAATTATATTCTGACACGTTCTCGAGTATATAATGTATGCAAAACTGTAAAAAATATATCATGTAAGCGATTATAATTTTTTTTACTTTTTAGTAATCAAAATTAATTCCTAGTAGATATTTTATCTTGAAGCTAAATATCCGAAGCTATTATTATTAAGAGTTTTTATAATATCAAAGTTTGGATAAAAACATATCAAGAGAAGAATGAAAAATCCAGAAATGCTATAGTGGTGACATTTGTAGTTTTCTTGGTGGAGTATTTCAATTTCCAAAATGATGGGGAAGAAGTTAGGCACATCGCATTCATAAGAGTATAAAGACAACTATGTCAAAAAAAAAAAAAGAGTATAAAGACAACTCTCATAATAACAAAAGAGTTGTTTCGTTTGGTGGGCTATATTCGTCAATACTTAGAGGTCTCTTTTCATTTTTTTCTCACTCTCTTTATAGCAAACAAACAAAAGTTACAAAACAAAATATAGACCCAGAGGATTTATTTGAGTATTGACTCCAACAAGAAGGTGTCAAGAAACGATCTTCGTGTCCTTAGATATTCTTTTGCAACGTCTCTCTGCAAGGCCTTAAGAGTCTTCTTCTTTAGAGAATGTTCTTGTCTGAATTTATTTGTTTCACATAGTTCTAAAGACCCCTCATGAACATACGAATAAAACAAGCCACCAAAACTTTCTGACCAAACAAAGAACTCAAGAAAACAATAAAACAACGATGCATTAACATATGTACATTGGCGCATTCTGATTTCAACGTGACAAAGACTTCCTACTTAGTAATTATTACAATATTGGCGATGCAACATTCTGATTCGATTAGTAACATGAAATCGAGTTTGTTGTTTGGATCTCTCACATATGCATATCAATACATATATGTACGAAGATGTAACGAAAGTTCACTTCTTTGAAGAACGCTTAGGAGTAACAGCACCAACGATGGCTTCGACCTCTTCTTTGACGCGTTCAAAGAAACCAGGTCCTTTAACATCATCAATGGCTGTGTGATGGTGACTGTGACTCCTCGACTCTTCATGATGACCCATTGCCTCTATTTCTTCTTTGACCCGTTCTAACACATTAGGCGACTTCACAGTCTTCTCCTCTTCAAAAACCCATAACAAAAAGAAAAGTGATAAGTGTGTGTACACACTAACGAGAGTTACAAGTCTATGTAGTATAGAGAGATTAGTTATAACTCAAGCAAGATCTCCCTAAAGATACTGGAAATAATACTCTTAACAAATCAAATGAAGGCAGAATATTTTATATTCGTTCAAAGACAACACCTACGAGAAAAAGCGACTAGATTTACATTTCATTAGAGTAAACAACAGAATCAGTCGGTCTTTTTCTATTGTTTCGTAAGTAGATTGTGAAACTGAGGAAATGAATCGGAATTTGGATCAAAGTCTTCCTTTTTTTACAGAAACTCAAAGAAACCCATAACAAATGAGATCTGATCGTTCCGTTGTGTGTGTACCTGATAAGGAGTGTCGGTTTTGATCCGCCATGGATGGGTCTGAATGAATCTCCGCTAGGTGGATGATCTTCCTGCTTCCTATGTTCTGGTTCCTGAGTCGGTGCCGTTTGCTCTCTTTTGAGATTTTAACCGCTAGACTCGGATTCGAACCGGTGGTTTAAAAAGAAACCCGATTCTAGTGGTTATTTAATGGGCCTTGTTGGTCATAATGGGCTTGTTGTTTGTAAACGAGCCAACAAAAACCACGGTAAGTGTAACCACCACCACACCAGTGTGGCTTACGAGATTCACGGTCAGTCTAACCACCACGACCAAAAAAAGGGAAAGCAATTGATTGCAGTGTCAACAATCAAAGTCAAAGTCATGTTACATATGTACTTGTGGTTCACAACTCACATACGTAATAGAACCTTGTTGGGGCATCACGGGCTTCTCATTCATTTGTAAACGACCCAATATAAACAAACCACCACCAAATAAATGGGTTATGAGATTGAAACAAACACTTGCAAAACACAAATTATTTGCTCTGTTTTGGATCGGATCAGAACAAATCAGTCACCGACTTTAATAATTTTTGGAAGGCAGCGAAGACCAAATTTCGTTTGATCTCGTCTCTGCAGCTTTGTTTTTTGCTTTCTCTTATTCACCGATAACGACGATCGTTGATTAGGTAATTGAAAGGAAGTGAAATCGCCGATGAGTTCTTCGGAGAGTGGAGAAAACGAGTGCCTGAGCTGGGCTGCGAGAGACCCATCTGGTCTTCTCTCTCCTCATACTTTCACTCGAAGGTATGGATGATTCATGATTTAGTGTTCTCCTCTTCACTCATTTCAACCAGTTTTTGACATAAAAAACAAAACTTTCATCCAGGTCTGTGACGAGTGACGATGTTTCACTCAAAATCACTCACTGTGGAGTGTGTTACGCTGATGTTATCTGGACGAGGAACAAACATGGAGACTCTAAGTACCCTTTGATTCCTGGGTATGTTTTAACAATATCTCTGACTCTTCTTGAAGAAAAGAAAAAAAAATCATCAATTTCACCTTCCTGTTCGTTTGTTTTTTGTTCCTCTCCAAGGCATGAGATTGCTGGAATAGTTGATAAGGTTGGGTCAAACGTTCGTGGATTCAAAGTTGGAGACCATGTTGGTGTTGGAACGTATGTTAACTCGTGCAGGCAGTGTGAGTACTGTAACGAAGCACAAGAAGTCAGCTGTGTGAAAGGGCAAGTCTTCACTTTCAATGCCATTGATTACGACGGCTCTGTTACTAAAGGAGGCTACTCCAGCCACATTGTTGTTCATGAGAGGTTTATAATCAGAGCTTCTCCTCTTTCGCCACTTCCATATACCTTTTTCGAAAAGTTGTGTGCCTAAATTAGCTTTTATCGGTACTGGTGTTTTCATTCAAATGATGAGTACAACAATAGGTACTGCTACAAGATACCTGTGGACTATCCGCTGGAATCAGCTGCACCGTTACTCTGTGCTGGAATCACGGTTTATGCGCCTATGATACGTCACAACATGAACCAGCCTGGTAAATCTCTAGGGGTGATCGGGTTAGGTGGTCTTGGTCACATGGCGGTTAAGTTCGGTAAGGCTTTTGGACTGAATGTGACGGTTTTCAGCACCAGTATATCCAAGAAAGAGGAAGCTTTGAATCTGCTGGGAGCTAACAACTTCGTTATCTCCTCTGACCATGACCAGATGAAGGTAGAGGAAGCTTTTATTTACTTATTCTTGTGATGATCATTAGAAGTTGAACATATATATGATTTTTTTTACTTGCAGGCACTTGGGAAATCTCTAGACTTTGTCATTGACACAGCATCTGGTGATCACCCGTTTGATCCTTACATGTCGCTTTTGAAGATCGCTGGAACTTACGTCCTGGTTGGTTTCCCAAGTGAAATTAAAATCAGTCCTGCCAATCTCAATCTTGGTATGCGTTTTGCAAGAAACTTTTGTAATTTTCAGTTTACGTACGTACACATTAAGATGCTGAGACCTTAAGGGTTTGGGACAGGTATGAGGATGCTCGCGGGAAGCGTAACCGGAGGTACTAAAATGACTCAGGAAATGATAGATTTTTGTGCAGCACACAAGATTTATCCGAATATAGAGGTGATTCCCATTCAAAAGATAAACGAAGCTCTTGAAAGGGTGGTGAACAAGGACATCAAGTACCGTTTCGTGATTGATATCAAGAATTCTCTCAAGTAGAGAACATAGATGTGGCTCATGTTGCCTAATAAAGAAACAGAGGATTTAGAGGTAACTCTTAAAAAGTTTATAAAGGTGATATCCAAAAACTTATATCTTACGCCAATAAAAGCAGAACATGTACAATGGAGGTTGATTACCTACTGCTACAATTCTTACTTTTGTTCTTTGTATTTTGTTTTCATTTGTAAAGCAAATAAATGGAGATTATTGAGATACTAATAATCTCCACAAATTTGAGAAGACTCTGTGGGCTTTTTGAGTAACCCACAAAATTGGGTAAAAGGAGACAGAGATTCACAAATTGGGTAAGTTGGATTGGATAACTAAAGGAGAAGACTCTGTGGGCTTTTTAATTGTTTTTCAAGAGTTATAGGGTGAAAAACTAAGAAATAAGAAGTAAGGTGTGCATCTCATAATTATCGCTATATATATGTACCGAAAAGCAAATTTAGGAAGATTATTATCACGCGAGGCATGAGAGATATAATTATTTTATTTTTCCAACACGCGTCATTTATTTATGACGACGAAAGCGATATGTCAATCTTACCGTTATTAAAAATATAAAAAATAAATGTTCCTTCTTTCCCCAAAATTTCAAATTTCAAATGCTTCTCTTCTTTTAACATTGCAAACTTTTGTCTACATCCATTCTCAGGCAACCAAAATTCGCCGAAACTTTCTTCTTCTTCTTCTTCTCCTCCCTCTCTTCCCAAGAAATTTTTACACTTATATTCTCGGATCTGAACTTTCTCCGCCGGATCTGATTCCAAAACCTGTGAAAGTCTCCAACTTTTATTACACATTTGAAGAACAAAGGTTTCAGTTTTGAGCAAATGGGTGGCTCTGGAAACTGGATAAAATCTCTGATAACTAACAAAAAACCCGTCACTGATGATCAGGTAATCTCCAAAAGCTCTCTCTTTTTTACTCTTCGATTCGAATCTCTGTTTTCTTTCTCATTGAACATAAATATTTGATCTTTCAGTTAGGTGATAAGAACAGCAAGAAGAAATGGAAGCTGTGGAGGACTTCATCAGAGAGCTTCATATCTTCCTCAAAGGGTTTTAAGAGCCGTCCTGGTAGCTACGGGACTCCTTCGCTGGGCTCAGATCCGCCGTCTTTCTCCGCCGACGATTCCTTCACTGCGGCTGTTGCTGCTGTTATCAGAGCTCCTCCGAAAGATTTCTTTCTTGTTAAGCGAGAATGGGCTGCAACACGGATCCAGGCTGCTTTTCGAGCTTTCCTGGTACTTCACACCTTGATTCACTGTTTAATTTTGCTTAACGATTGTTAGTCTCCTTTGGTCCAGAGATCTGATTGTATGTAGAACCTCTAGCTACAATGGTTTTATGTCTTTGTGGTTGTTTACTTTCACAAAGTTGGAAACTTTGATCAAACCATCAACACATGAATGGAATCTTAAACTAAGTCGAATTCATTTGAGAAACAGCTCGTTTGTTTCTTCTCTGAGGATACTGTGGTCAATGTTGTTGTGTCATAGGCAAGACAGGCGCTGAGAGCTCTGAAGGCGGTGGTTAGGATTCAGGCGATATTCCGTGGTAGGCTAGTCCGGAAACAAGCAGATGTGACACTTAGGTGTATGCAAGCTCTTGTTCGAGTCCAAGCACGGGTACGAGCTCACTGCAACAAGGTGCCTTCAGATGGACCGGAGTTGGAGAAACCATCTGAACAAAAAGATGATCCTGCTAAGCAAGCTGAGGTAATGATATCAGAGACATGAACTCAACAACTCTGAGGTAAAACGGGACTAAATTATTAATACTTTACAATGATGTCTTTGTTCAGAAGGGTTGGTGTGATAGCCCGGGAAGTATAAATGAAGTGAGAACGAAGCTACAAATGAGGCAAGAAGGAGCAATCAAGAGGGAAAGAGCTATGGTATATGCACTCACACACCAGGTAATGAATTCAAAGCAAAGATCACATGTTTTTTATAAGAATTGAATCTCAGTGCCCCATTTGTGTTTATTGAGTTTCTCCAAAAATTTTGGCAGGCAAGGACGTGTCCAAGTCCAAACGCCAAGGTGAACAAACAAGGGAGTCTCAAAAAGAATCAGGGTTCGTGCAAGAGCAGTCCAGGTTGGAATTGGCTTGACAGATGGGTTGCAGACAGGCCATGGGAAGGTCGGTTGATGGAAGGTCCTACAAACTCATCAGACAACGCAAGGAAAAGTGAGAGCAGTGTGTCTGAACATGACACCGTTCAAGTCAGGAAGAACAGTCTCACAACCAGAGTTTCGGCTAGGCCTCCTCCATTGTCATCATCTGCTACGAGTTCCGAGTCTTCTTCGACATCTCAGTCCCCAGTTCCCTTCTCTGGAAGTTTCCTTGAGGAAGGAGGGTACTACAGAAAGCCAAGCTACATGAGCCTGACACAATCTATCAAGGCTAAGCAGAGACGGTCAGGATCTGCATCGTCTTGTTCCAAAACACCCTTTGAGAAGAAACAGTCAATGTCTTACAACGGAGATGTAAATGTAAGGCGTAGTGCTGGTTCGGATCCATCGTGCAACCAGTGGACTGACCTATACCCACCAGCTCAAGTAACGGGGAGACATATGTGGGCAAAGAGCCAGAGAGGCTAGGCTAAGTCATCTCAACAGCTTGTTGCTCCCACGAAACACATACAGGGAACATAGATACAGAAGCAAGCAACTTCTGTGCATCCTTTAGATATGGTTTGAAAATTGTAATGTCGTTGTTTGGCCAGTTGGATCATTTTCGGATTACTTTTAATGTTACTGAAACAATATGTTCTTATCTCTTGTCAATATGAAACCAAAAGGCCAAGGGCTTCACCTTGAGACGTGACATTTTAATAACACAAGTGTTCATAAGATATGGTAACTGACAAGTGACAAGTTATACTTTCCGTTTATTCTTCTACTTACGGTACAGAGATTCAAGAACATAATGATTAGAACTCTTTATGTGAGTTTTAAAAACTGTTCACATACAGAAATACATACAATACATGATGAAGTCTTTGCTTACTTGAAATCATTCTGGATGATGATCAGCTGTCTTATTGCTTAAGTGGAGCTTTCTTCTCCCGATCTGCAATTCTGGCGGGCGCGTTTGAGTGTGCCTTGAAACGTCCCCTTCCTCCTTCCTCTCTCTCCTGAAAATTCAACCAGCATCAACATTTGATGTTAGCATTCTCATCATGAGACAGAGATCAGAAAAATGTGTGTGCCTCCTCTGTACCTTTTTCTTGACGATTTGAACAACATCCTCATCATCAAGACGATGAGCAAGACCGCAATGTTGAGGGTAGTGCCTAGCGCTTGTGCCCCAAACCAGTGCATACTTCATATCTTTCACCAGAGTCCTGTGGACGTGGTTACAGAAGTCTTCCACTGTGCAGCCACCTCTATCCTGAGGCATGACACAAGCAAATGACCAAATATATCATTTAAATCCGCAAGACAAGTGTAGAGGGTATGTTATACTTACAGCTGAGAGGACAAAGGGCTCATCGAAATCTGGTTGCTGGCCTTGAGGCTTTGAGTAAACTCTCACAAGTCCCATTTCGTCCCACATTCTTGCAAGTAGCCTGTCTAAGTTCAGCTGTTACAAGCAACACAATCTTTCACAATCTATATATATATATATATATTCACAAGTTTCAGACTAAACAGGAATCAGACCAGTTTCAGACTAAACAGGAATCAGACCGAAGACCTGGAGAAATAGAACTTGCCTTAAGATTGCAGCTAATAACAATGGAATTTGGCTGGCGTGCTAGCCTATCCACGTCATCGATTCCAACAACATCGATCTTGTTGTAGACATATACACACTTGATATATTTGCGGTTGCCTTCAATGACATCAATAAAGTCATCCACCGTAGCATCTTCACGAAACAGAACCTGCAAGATTCATTACTAATACTCATTACACATCTCTCTCAACAAAAAAAATACCATCCCTTTATCATAGAAGATTTAAGTAAGGAGCTAAGTACCTCAGCGTTGTGAATCTTGTATTCATGAAGAATTTGATAACAGAGCTTCTCATCAATGCGAGTCAAGGGTGCGGTAGTGTTGAAAGATATCCCACCGGTCTTCTTCTTCTTGAAGTATATCTTTTAAAAAACAGAGAAAAGCAAAACAACAAAAATGGTAGCACATGAAGCTGATGCAGCAGTAAAGGTCAAGCCTTTTCTGAATAGAAGATAGAAAAGGAGACCATTGATGGAGATGAGCTTTTACCTGTGGAGGTTTTTTGTTTAAACGCAGACCTACTGCTTCAAGTTCCTTAGTCAGTATCTGCCTGTGACCTTCACTCTAACAAGATTTTGGAAGCACAAATAGAAATTACATAACAAACGAAAAAAAGAAACAGCGAAAAAGGAAACAAGTGAGCAGCAAAAACCAGAAGTCTTACCTTTGAGGCATCAAGAACCATCAACACAAGGTCTGAAGACTTTGCGACAGCAATAACCTGAGAAACAAACAATTTCAATCTAAGTTCAGTTCATAGATTCCTTAATATTTTTGATTCGAGAAAAAAAAAACTGATACAAAGGTGTAGGGAAAATGGATTTAAACCTGCCTCCCTCGTCCCTTTCCTTCTGAGGCGCCTTCAATAATCCCAGGAAGATCAAGCAACTGGATTTTGGTGCCGTTGTAGTGAATGACTCCAGGGATGCATGTAAGCGTTGTAAATTCATATGAGGCTGCTTCAGAATGTGTGCCAGTTAACATCGTCAAAAGCGTGGACTTTCCTACACTGAAAATTAAATCCACAAAATCCCAAATTAGGATTCTAAAGATGGAACAAATACATATACATGAATAGAGAGTAGAGAGTATCTTAAGATGGACCTTGGAAAGCCTATAAGTGCAACACGTCCATGGCCATATTTTGTTACCTCAAAACCATCTCCACCGCCACTAGAACCCTGTAAGGTAGATTTTAATGATATTCACAAACAAACAAACAAAAATTAAGAGTGAAGAAAGAATCTAGAATCTAATACTCTGATCTAACGATAGGAAGATGCGTTTTACTTTTGGAGGCTCTAGCAGTTGTGTTCTGAGCTTTGCAATCTTTGCCTTGAGCTGACCAAGATGATACTCTGTCCATCAATACTTTCATTAGCTAGCAAACCATTTCTTCTGCTATTATTTCCAGCAAATATATGAAAATTAATCATGAGACTTATGTCTAAATGTAAAGAGAAACCTGTAGCTTTGTTCTTCTGCGTCCGAGCCATCTCGGCTTCAATTTCTTTAATCCTCTCGATGATTCCCATTTTTTCTTTCAGAATTTCCTGCCACTATTGTAAGGATTGCGGTATATCTTCACTAACAACCAAGAATAATCAGACAGAGAGTTGTGCAAAAGGCTCATAAAAACTCACCTTTTTAGCTTCGATTGTCTTTAAACGAATAACAAGTACACGTGTTCCGATCAAACGAGTTTCGAAATGCAGAGTACATGCGAAGCTCTGCAACTTAGCCTTACATATGATTCTTGGTACTAACAGAGCGAAACAACATAAAAATAAAAACATAAACAAAAACGAAGCTTTTTGCATTAAGAAAAAGGGGGTTACTTGATGAGTGATGGTGATCAGAGGATGGTTCTAGAGAAGGCGAGAAACATAGATACATGTAAAAAAGGTCTGGGTCAAGAAACCATAGCCAGAAGAATTATGGATCAAGTTGCAAAAGGCCCAATTCAAATACCATACGCAGATTTTGGCTTTAGGAACAGAGTATTGAGTATCAGATTCTAGAGAAAAGAGACTTTCTTGATAAATGTCTCGTATATAACCAACAAAGCATCCATAAAACAAGTTACAAGTTATCTCATCTCACATATCTCGTCTCCCTTACTTTAGTTGCTATTTTACAAAACTCAGCTACGAAGAAGTTGGATATCGTTTCCTTTTGCCCTCTCTGTTGCTACCTCGAAACAACCTTGCTCATCGGTGGAACCAGCGATTGCTTCTCCGCGAGCTCCCTCACCCGTAACAGAATCTGCATAGGAATGTTCATCGATCCATGTTTCTTGAAACTTCCCTGGAAACACAGCACCATATTCACTACTAAGCACATCCAGTTACCAGCTTAAAGCATCAAAGAGAGACAGAGAGAGAGAGAGGTACCATGCTGTTTGAGGGACTCTGAGCAAAGCTTGCTTTCAGAAGATTTCGCCATTTGTCCTATAAATCAACAAGGATGATGAAACAAAGCCAGAACTAATAAGATATGCCAAGAGGGTTGAGAGAACTTGAATCACCTTGAGATCTACAGAGGTTCGATATGAATGAGATGAAAAGGAAAGCTTTTTGATTTCAGACCACTTCCCGGCTCCATACTTGGACACACCCTCCACTAATTTTGTAACCTCGGACAGAGTCCAAGCTCGATGATGCTTCCTTCTAAGTCCCACCACACCTTGCATGATTGGTGCGCCAGTGTTACTGTTGTCATCCGAGCTATTTCCAGACGAGTCCATGTGCTCCGGCTCCATGTCTTGATCAACCTCCGAGAGAATATGCTCCTCCTCGTTGTTGCTGTTGTGACTTGTAGCAAACTGCATTTTGCAAACCAATAATGTAACGAGACACTGTATTCGCGAACACCAAATTCTTCTGAAATACCAAATTTTTAGCACCAATATAATACGTGAGCCTTACTTCTTTGTGGACCGGTCCAGAAGGCTTTACCACTGAACTTCGGTTCACAACCTCACTGGTTAACTGAGATAGGCTCGGGCTCAGATTCCGGTTACTCTCTCCTGCACTAGCTCTCGCTTCCAAGCAACTGGAGTGACATTCCTACACAATGTAGCATTATCCTTACTAACATTTCGACTTAAAAGGTACGCAAGAGAGCATACACATATATGTGCTTAATTACTATATTTGAAAAAGAATAAACAACCCAAAAAAATACCATAAGAGCCATAATGTTTTCTCTTGGACGGCTTCTCCGGACATGAGAGACATAAGGAACCTCAATCTCAGATCCAGCAAGGGACACCATCCTGGTGACTGTAACTCTCTTCCCCGAGGAGACGCTAATAGACCTGACCTCGGATTTTTCGGACGGACTCTGGTCTTTTGAAGGAACCATTGACTTGTCGTTTTGCTGTCTTTCACCGGTTTCTGAAAGTTCTTCAATGTATCTTCTTGTAGGTTTCCTAACTCTTTTCGCAGCCCTCTCTTCGCAAGAAAAATCTTCAGTTGCGCAATAGTGGTTGTTGACACTGAGACTATGGCCACAAGCTTTTGAATTTCCATTCATATGATCATTACCAGATGGTGCATCTTTAAGGTCCCCCATATCCTCGCTAACATCATTGGACTTTTCTTGATTTCCAAGTAGCTTGTTATCTTTGATGGTCAGGTTAGTTATTGGCACATCACAGGAATTAACAAGTCCCATTGTTATCCTCCTTTTGAGCCACGTCTTGTCCTTAACAGTCGTCTCGCGGCCAAACGTTGCCCTGAATGTTTCTTGCAGTGCTTTAATCGATAAATTATCCAAGCAGATCTCGCCTCTAACTAAAGAAAAATCAGGCTTTTGTGCAGCAGCAGGCAATGCAGTTTCTTTGGGACTAGCCGCTGCGTTTGAGCATGGTTCAACTGTGTTAGACTGATTCATATCGCATCCATTCTGAACATTTGATGAGACAAGAAAGGGTTCCTGTAGCAAAGCTTCATGGTGGACTTGATCCTCATCAAACAATTTGTTTGCATTAGAACAATAGATGTTGGCTTCCGGAGGAGTAGAAGGCACTTGAGATCCATCTATCATGACAAGCCTCTCTTCCTGTTCGACCTTTTGCAACATCTCCTCGTTAAAACACTGCAAAAATCTCAAAGTTGGAGCAAAATCTAAGGAGTAAGGCCATCTACTATCTGACAGAGTTCTTATGAAATTCGAGCATTTAAACATTTAGAATCAGAAATACGAGATGGTAGTTGTCGAAAAGGCACAATGCTAGAGAATCAAAATTCTGTTTTGCAGTATGTGTATAATGGGACTAACCTCAAGTCGAGAATTCACCTGCTCTGTATATGGTTCCACATTGTCAGACTGCAATAAACCTGAACTGATAGCTGATTTTTTCAAAAAAATGAAAAATTATCGTCAAGATGTAAGTAAACCCATAACTGAATCCATGAGGAAAAGCCACAATATCACTAATAGAAATAAAGTATGTGTGAATGTAAAATGGATTGATATACGTCTATAGCTTGGTTCTCCATCTGATTCGCATCTACTAGGATGATGTTTAAAGAAGTGCATCTGCAAATACAATGCATTCGCTAGCACAGAAACAAATGTTTCCCCAGAAAGGAGTATAAGAAGAACTACACTAACATAGGCTTTAAAGCAAGAGGGGTTCAAAGAATGGTAAGAAGCAAACCTTCAGAACTTTCTAGCTGAGACAACCGAGAAGATAAACCTTCCGTGGGAAGGTAACCTAAAGTCTGACAAGCATCTGTTGTAATATGCACATCTGTCTCGTTGACCTCCAAGATTTCTTCATCCGTCGCAGGCACTAGCCTTCCATCTCCTGCAACCTAACCATTTACATAAACCACCAAAATTAAGATTATGAGAAAGGCTTATACTTATAGTCATAGTAGATGAAATTTCTAAATCCAAGGAGAAGGCTTTGAAGGCGTTCATATACACAAACAAAACTTTAGATGCTATATCAATCAAGAGGATCGATAATATCGGAGACATTGAAAAAGGACACAAGTTGTAACCATTACCCGGACAAGCTTGTAGGTAACAGGGTTTCCAATCTGGTTTGCTGAAGAAAATGGTGTGATTCTTGTCTGAACATTGCCTTCAAACATCTCTCTGCAGTCGTCAGCAGTTCCAACCACAGTTCCCATCGCGAATCTTCCAACACAAACACACAGCCTGAAATCTCTTAAAATGGAAATTAAAAGGTCAATATATATAACTTGAACAAAGCAACAAGACAATCTTTCACAGAGGTTAGAAAGTTTTTCACAATGTGTAGTACAAAAAATATTACTACTTCACAAAAAAATTGCATTAACTTTCTTCCATTAGATTTACCAATTCGCAGTACAATTTCTACCAGCAACCTAAACCAAAACGGATCCACATTCATTCCTAACAGAAATGAGTACTAAAAGGAGTCTCTTCCTCAGCTTCAACGAGAAAGTATCTATTTTTAACACAAAAATAAGGCCTTTGAATACAAATTTGAACTCCATATCTTGAAATTCCAAAGAATTCGAATTTTTTTACAATTGACAGACGAAGAGCTTTGCTGTTTTCACAGCCAATTGCAAATTTTCTTATTCCATCAAATTTCGAAAGCCAACACAGAATTACAGTAAAACCTTATCAATAAGGAACGATATCAAAGATTTATAAGTACAGAAACAACAACAACGAAAAAAAGGGTGGAATTTTAATGCTTTACCACCGGAAACTGAGTTCGTCGCCGGAGAGTGACAATTACAGCAAAAGGCGATTACACTTTCCGGTGACCTGAGAGCGTCGGAGAAGGATTCATGTAATACAGTCTTGGATTATTTGAAAGGAGAAAACTTCTTGGATAAGCGAAAAGGCAAAGAGAATTGGAAAATTTAGGTGCTGCTTTTTGTTGGCTCGCTTTCGGCTTTTCCAGTGCGCAGAGCAATTAACAAGTCCCGGACTCGAAAGCGTTTTATTAACTCAAAATCTTTATATTCTGCAGTTGGAATCCGTCTGTACTTATTTATATGACTTAATGTAGCTTTGGTCTGAATATTGAAAACATTGCCATGTCAGTAAATAGCTGAATAACGCCAAAACATAATGAACTACCACCCGTTTTGGGTCACGTGTACATAAACACCGAGCTGTCTTGTTAATATATATTAGGACTACTTGCCGTCTAAAAGCTTTCAAAACGAAATGAATGAATTTTTATGAAGTAGGAGTGAGGATATAACGGTTAGTCCAGTGTCCAGAGATTTAATAATTGCTAAATTTACATGTACATGATTTGTTTTTCTTCAGAAAAGAGTTTGGTCTTTTACAAACTAAACCAAGAATACACTATAGAAACATTTGTTGCTAAATATGTCCTTGAGATCTCATTTGTGGAACTGTTTTTTTCTCCTGCAACAATGGTCTTTTTGCTGCATCAGGAATTAAAGCTGCATGCATGATTAGACCTGTTTCTTCTGCAACAATGGAAACTTGAAAAGACATGAACACAAACCCATCAGCAAGCAACCGAGTCCAAATCTTGTTTTTTGATACTCCTTATTGAATGTGTTTGGATGAGGAAGAGTGAATCAAATTCCAAAACAACCATGTTACCATCACTGTGATTAATTCAAACTAAGCAGTAATCAAGCATCAATCCACACAAAGTGGGACTTAGAGAGAAATCTAAACGTGCAACTGAACATAATGTGCTACTTTTGGAAAACAAGTCTCAAGAGATTGAAATGCTTGTATTAAAAGAAAGCGACAAGACATCAAATCAACCATTGGAACATGATAAAAGAAAACATATGTGACTGATGTATGGTGCTTCCGAACTCCCAAGAACTTGGACATAGAGAGTTCAGAGAGACTATTAAACTCCATTTTAATCTAAGCATTGTCTCTGGATCCTCTTATACCATCAAATCTGGTGTAAGGATAGAGTATAGATGGATCAATGCTAATTAAGAAAATAAACAACATATAAATAGATCATCATAACAAAAAGAGAATGAAATCTCAAAAGCAAGAACGTTAACTACTCTGAAGTAATTCAGAACAGGACTACATCATTACTCGGTCAAGCTATAAATAGAATGAAACGAATAAAACATACTAACCAAAGAGACTCATCGAAGATATTACCAAAAAGAGAATGAAAACTAGTACCAAACAAGAAAACAATTATCATCAACTGATGAAGAAAGCCTCAAAACTTATATCAAAATCACAAAACACCAAAATAACGTTGAGATAAGGTTTGCAAAATGAAAGGTAGAGAGAGAAAGAATGATAATAAACTTATCCGATCCAACGGCGGATATTAATTTATTTTGATAAATAAATAAGAATAATTATTCATCCGGGTTTAGGGAACCTCTTTCTCGTCTAGAGGGTTACAGTGAACCTCCTTGAGATTACAGTAGTGAGGTGAGGACGAAACCTCTTATCTTTCAAGTTGCAGACATGGCGGGTACTTCTCTTCCTTCATCTCTCCTCAGCCAAGGACCCTCTGTACTCTTCTCTTCTTCGAATCAGTTCTCAGAAGCTAAATCTCGGATTCTGATCACATCTGAGAAACGATGTCTTGTTCGTTGTTTCGCTAAGAAGAAAATCAGTTTTGTGGATCAGATCCTCGATTACATCGAAGGTATTTTCATTTTCTCTGCACATTCAGTTTTCGATTTCATGGAAATTTGAATTTTGGGTATGGTAAAAGCCTAAGCCTTTTGTTCGTTCGGTATGTGTTTTCTTGTTTTAAGGTGGTCCGAAGCTTAGGAAATGGTATGGAGCGCCTGAACTTTTGCCAAAGGATGGAACTTTAAGTGGAGATGATGATGAACTCGAAGGTATAAACCGTATAATCAAACAAAATGCAAGTAAAATACCCAAAATAGTTGAATGTGAATGTTCATGACTTTAACATAACTCATATCTGCATTTGTCTATCTCATTTGGAACCTATGGAAACAGAGGAAGAAGAAGGTGATCGTGATGGAGACAAAGACGCTGTTTTCGTAACGGATGGAGACAGTGATTTGGGTCAGGTGTGTGTTTACAGGCTTTCACAGAGTCATCATACACTGGATGCAACAAGATGAATGTTGTAAAAAAATAAAAATGAAACTGAGAAGTGTTAATTTTTAGCTGATGTAGATGATTATACTGCAACTGATTGTGAAAGGGACTCGGGTTAAAGCACTTGTGAAGGACAAAAGAAAGGCCTTGGATGCTTTTGGAGCTTATGTTGAGGTTGGTTCACTGAATGTACACTTATGGTTCTGTCTGTTTGTTTCTCTTCACTTTTTGTCAAACATTCAGTGGGAAAACTTAAATTTGAAACTGTGAAGCTGACGTCTGGAGATGCAAGCGACGAGCGTTTCTTAAGGAAAGCTTTTAAAGGCGTTGGTGCAATCATATCCCCAAGCGTATGTTTTAAGCCTTGGTCGTTTGTTGATCCAGTTCTACCATTGATCTAAAACATCAAACATTTCATTCTTTCCTTGGCAGGAAGGTTTCTTATCGAATGTCAAGAGTTTAAGAGGTGTAAAACATGCAGTTCTCTTGTCTCAGGTAAGGATACATCTCCATGACTTTGCCTTTTGTCATACTAAATTCTTATTGTATGGGGATTTAAATATACAAGTGTTCTTGCAAGGCTTTGGAAATCGGAATTGCCTTTTGTTGGCATGTTTTGTGTCTGTGAGATCATGGTTTAATGAAGCTGCAGTTGTCTGTTTATGAAAGCAGCGGCGGAATCCAAGCTATGATGAATAGCAAAGCGAAAAAACTGGCCGAGGGAGATGAAAACGCCGTTATATCTTCGAGTGTCCCTTACACAATCATCAGAACAGGCAAGCTCGAGAACAGCCCTGGAGGGAACCAAGGCTTCAACTTTAGCGCGGTAAAACCATCTTAGAATTGATAAGATGAAACATGTGTTGAACTTCACAGCTTGGTTTCAACAGCATTTTTTATGAATGAAACAGGGAGCTGCAGCCAAAGGAAGCATAAGCAAGGAAGATGCTGCTCGTATTTGTGTTGAAGCTCTAAGCGTTGTTCCACCAACAGGGTTGATATTTGAGGTTAGATAACACTCTTTGATATTGATGCTGCTTCCAGTACAAAGAAGCATTTTTTTTTTTACTGATGAAGCTACTGATTCGGTCAGGTTTCAAATGGGGAAGAGGCCGTCTCTGACTGGGAAGGACAGCTGATGAAAGTGATGCAGAGGCAGAGTGAAAAGAAGTAAAGCTTAAAAGTTGAGATGAACAGAACATCATTACATTAGAGATCATCATTGTCTATATCTAAAACATCTGCCTGTTAAAGAAAAAATTCAGCATATTTGATGTGGGTCTTAATGCATTTTTTTCTCCTTCTGTACTACTAATTAAATTATTTGTTTTCGTTTCTGTAAGAATAAAGTACCATGGGTATTATACCAAGCATGAGATCTTACCAAAGTAAGGAGACCCTACTGTATATACATCCCTTCACTTTAGTAATTTTATAAGATATCTACAAGTAAGTTGATTGGAAAATGGATGTTGTAAAAAGAAAAATAGATGGTGTGAGTGAGGCTAGAAATTGATTACAGAAAAAAGTTGCAATACATGAAGAAGTGAACCAAAAAGTTGGCTGGATTCTCTTGTCCAAAAGCCACATAAATAAAAAGAAAGCAAAAAAGAAGCTTTGTGTTTTAAAACAACTTGGAAACTTTGTGTCAAAATGGAGAAGAAAAAAAAGAGAGAGGAGGAATAATGTACCTAACTAAAGTTAGAACTACAAGTCTCTGTTGTCTTTTTGACTTTAAGGATCATGCAAGCACAAACAAAGGCAACAGTGATCATCATCCTTTATTCTCTTTTATAGCCTTCTTTTGTTAGATCAGATTATATAGTACACTTAAATTCCATTTCCCTTTTCTTATTCTAATTGAGTTTCATACTTTATTTCAGCTAAAAACAAGGTTCATATGAACATTTCTAAATTTTGAGTTTCTGCATTAAAAGTTTTACAAGTCAAATTTAGAACCAAAGAAATCACAGGCTTTCTCTCTATACATCTTCTCTGAGGACCCTTTTGAAGTGCATGAACATGATTAGAGAATTTTTAATCCAAAAGTTGGTGAGAGAACTTAGATTTTCAGAGATCTCAAATGTCAACAAAAGAGGAACTTCTTTTATTATCTCAGAAACAAAGACATGAACATATTGTAGATATCATTTCAACAGAAATTACAGAAGCGGCACTGTTGTGAAGACCCTCAAGCAATACACAAATATGTATGTTCAACAACAACAAGAAGTCATTCCTTAAACCCCACACTCAAATTAGCACTGAATCTACAGAACACAAAAGATTTTTGGATCTTTAAGAACATCACCCGGATCTAAATCTCTTTTGGTGGCTGGCTTTCCCATCAGATTTCAAGGTCCCAGTAGATTCCCCTTCTGATGAAGCATCTATCGATCTAGCGAAAGAATGAGAGAGATCTCCATAGAGACTTGCCACTGTTCTGATATTGTTGTTGAGCTCTCTTATCAGACCAACATTTCGACCCAAGTGATCCGCTTGTTTCGACTCGTGGTTCTGATTGATCTCGTTGATCAAAAGCCGGTTCTGATCCAGAATGTCCTGAACCTGAACAAAGCTCTTTTGGAAATTCTGCAGCAGTTTGCCATCCATCTGGTATCTCTCTCCAAATCCAGAAAACACATCACCTTCCATTCTTGTTTCCACCAAGCTCAAATCTTGATTGATCTTGTTCCTGAGATCAACAGTATATATTTCAGTTAAAACCAAAAGAGGGTTTAAAAATCTACAGACAAAAGTCACAAAACATAGCTTTCTAAAGGGAAAGAAAACTCACATCTAACAGAGTTTATTCTTCTTCTTCTTCTTACGTTGACCTTGTCTATAAGCTCTTGATCTCACATAAAGATTCCAACTTTTCCAGTAGCAGAAAGCAAAGATAAAAAACAAATTCTTTTCTTTTTCAGTTATAAATCAATCTCAGAGCCCTCAATTTCGGACAAGATACCCATATCAATGTTTTGTGAAAAGAGATCTATATATAGATAAAAAAGAGAAGAAGTAGTAGCTCTTCTATAAGTAGACTAGGCTAGAGATATTTCACCTATAGTAGAAACCGATTCCACAAGATTCACAGCAATATATAAATTAAGACCCAGAAACCAAAATATGAATCCCTAAAGCAAAGCAAGATTTTTTCAAAAGCTTTGATTATATACAAACAAGGAAGAAAGGAAGAAGAAAAGAGAAGATTTTTTTGTTCTTCCTCCAAATCCGGTTTGCTTACCTTGAAAGCAGAAAAGAACAAAGCTCCGGGAACAGATGATAGCAGAGAGAGAGAGATGAAATCGAGATAATTTAATCTCGGGAAATAAAACAAAGAATCTTATATCTCGAGAAAATTATGTGACAATTATTGGATGCTGGGAAAGCAAAGAAAAAGGAATCTACTTGTCGTCTGTAGACAAACAGTCTGAGACAGAGAGAGATTTCGAGAGGAATATATATACATAAATGTTCTTATCTTCGAAAAAATAAGATCTTTTTGGGCTGTACTTACTCTGCATCTCAAACTTTGTAGAGGGTCATGGGGGTTTAAAGGTGTGCCAGTGCCAGACATCTGGAACGGATAATTGTGACCCGACCCGTATGATTTGTTTTTATTGTTTGGTGTCTTATTAGACCGACCCGTATATTTCAGGTAAATGACTGGCTTAATGCTATCCGGTCGTAGACGGTAATTGTATTAGAGGTGGGTATTTCGGTTTACTTATGGTTTTGGTTCGAGTTCGGTTTGGTTCAGTTAATTTGGTTATATTAAAATTTTAACTGAATTTAATCAAAATTAATTCGGTTTAATTTCGGTTCGGTTTGATTTTATATAGTTTGGTTTGATTCGATTTGGTTTGTTTAATTTGATTAATACTTAATAGTTTGCAAAACAAAACATTGAGTAAATACTAAACATAACGTGGAAATCAAAATAAAAATGTAAACTGTCTTAAACAACAAAACTCGTAAAACTAAAAAAAACTCTAATTCAAAATCACACTTAAACTTAAAAGAAAACCAAAACACCCACTTTCATCATATTATAGTATTTATATTACATCTATAACCTAAAAAATTGCAACAAATCAATATTAACACAAAAATTTAAAGCTAGAAATTTAATAATTAATAATAAAGAAAACATATTGATTTTTGGTTCGGTTTGGTTTAAATCCAAACGAACCGAACCATTCGGGTTGATAGAAATCCCAACTAAAATGTTTTGATATAGACTTCGTTTCGGTTTGATTCGGTTCGGGTTCAGTTGGTTTGGTTTAATTCACTTCGGTTAGATTTTTTTTCTCACCCTTTGTACAATGTTTAAAAGTAGTACTAATTAATTATGAAGTGTTCTCCTTCAGTACCATTTATGATTTATTCATGTATTTAAAATTAATATCCATACTTTCATTAGATTAGAAAAAACTTCTTATTTTGGATATTTCATGAATGTAATTGGGATAAAAATTGCCTAAAATTTTAGACAATGTTTATATATTTAAATATTCAAACGGATAATATGAGTATTTTATGTATCTAGCAATAAAAAAAATGTCCTGAATCAACAAGTTCATTTGAATAGGACTATAGTGAAAAAATCTCATATTTTTTTTTTAATAATAATATCCTTACACAAAAAGTTCGAGGAAGTGATCAAGTACTTCTACACGAACTCCATCGTCATAACATAATGGTATATACACAAATTACTTAGTTGACCACGTAAACTCATACGCAAACTAAACAATATTTGGCCGAAAACTGCATCGATCTAAACCCTATGAGTCAACTCTATTAATATATGATGCTACCACATAGGCACACGGAACAGTAAAATAATGTCGTTCAACATAAATCGGTGTATCATGTAAGAATCGACTTTTATTGATAGATTGGATAAATATAATAATATTTGGATATTTCAGTATATAAATGATTAAATGTTGTCTTGGATAATTTTGATTTTTAAATAGGTCATTTTAAAAGTACTATTATCCTTACTCCGAAAAAGTTTGAGTCCAACAGGAACTCTTTGCAAGAGCAAAACCTGAAAAAAGAATTAATAGCGACAAGAAATAAGAGAAAAGAAGACGACGTTAGTATTGAAAAGAAAGAGATTCTAGACATCTAGTAAAGCGTAATTGGTGTTTGAACAACAAACATAATCTTACTAATAGCAATGAATTAAGTCCATAAAAGTCCCCTTTTTAAAAGTCGAAGATGGGAGCAAGCCAGAAATGCAAAGGAATAGTAAGTTTCTTGGACCGATCAGCTGCGAGCTTCTTGAAGGTTTGGGCCGGGAAGTCGTGGCGATCAGCACGACCACGGTCGATGAAGCAGACAGAGTTAGGTTTGAAGAGCTCACTCCGAACAAAGAAAATACAGAGATCTCTAGTGTCATCGGTGCAGCACAATGAGCCATGGGACGTGAAGTCGATGCATCAAGCTAAGGAGAAAGAAGTCACAGGAAGGTGACTCTCGTACCAATTATTTGATCCGGACGCACCATCCAAAGAGTTCCAACTCTCTAACTTTGACAACTTGGGTAGTTTGAGAGGCCTAGTCAAAACTGCTAATCTTTTTGATATTTCCAACAAATCTAAATTTTACAGGCGACAAATTATTTTAAGATTTAAAATTCGATTTTTTTTTGTTAATGTATAGTTTTGAATTCCAGCATGCTCGGAAAATGTCCATTACTTTTCGTTTTGCAGAAATGTGGCTTGGAACACAAGTTATCTATCCCAAACCCAATGCATTCCAATCAGTCAGTTTGTTGGGAAAATTATACATGAGACGCCGAGACATGTTAATGTTTCTCATAATCTCTCTGCGGTTATGATTTGACCGTTAATTTCGCGCCAGATGAAATACATTAGATTAAGATAGCTAATTTACTATTATTGCATAAAGAATATTCTTTGACAACTTGTGTATTAAGTTACTACTATGGTTAAAAAGTCACACAGAAGTAGAAGTCAGGAAACACCTAAAACAAACGAGATAATCAAATTGTTAAGAGTAGCTGGTGCTTCAATGTTCACACCGTGCCCTATTTCCTTCAGTATCTCTAAACTCGAGTTTGGCAAATGCCTGCCGCCAAAAATTATGAATAAAACAACATAAATAATTCATCAACTTCTCTGACATATCAAAGAAGTTTGTTATATACATTATGCATCACTATATTGATTTACCTTTGCAAACGATATCCATGCTCCAAGGGAAAGACCTCATCCTTATCACCCCAAACGATTAACGTTTTCTGAATAAATCATCCAATTTATACTATCTTTAGTTAAAACTGTTGTTAAGGATCAAATTAAAGATTTCATATAACAACAAAAATATTATATGACCTGTGATATTGCAAAGAACTCTGGTTCTTCTTCTCTTTCCAGCAAATTCTTGGCTAGCTCAACAAGTTCTTGCCGATTTGTATCATACATCGCCTTAAAAGAAAAGAAAAAAAAAAAATCAAAACTATTAAGGGGTCCTTCTCAAATTTTCTAACGTATGGGGTCAATATTTGAATAAAAATAAATTACGGGACGGAATTGGTAATTAACCAAAAATGAACGGGAAAACAGAGAACTTACAGCGATGAATTGGGAGAGGATGAAATCTGGAATCCAGTCAAGGAACGCGATACCGGTATTCATGGAAACCCTAACCAACAGCCGGAGATCTCTCGGATTCCTCGGCACAAGAATATCCGATACCTCTCCGCCGTGTTTTTTCATCTCCGTCATCTTCTGCTGTTGCGTGAACCCGACTCCACTGCTCACGATCACCAATCTATCGATCATCTCCGGCCAGATCTTCGCGATCCGGTACGCCACGAATCCTCCGTAACTGATCGAGTAAACCGCCAAGCCTCCTCCGTCGCAGCCCAGCCTCTTCAGACCCCCGACGATGCTCCTCGCCTGAAACTCGACGCTCCGGTCGGTGTTTCTCGAGTACGATCTCCCGAAGAAAACGAGGTCCGGGATGAAGAGATTGAACGATTTCGATAGACCCGAAACCTGATGGATAAACTGCCATTTCGAATTTCCTCCGTAGCCGTGTAGCATGACGAGATCTGGCCGGCTGATTTTGCGGTGGCCGGAGACCCAGAAATGTACGGTGGTTTCTCCATCGTCTAAATCGACGGTGATTGGGCGCAGATCGCAGAGAATTATGAAGTATAATGATAACAACGCGTCGGCGAGCTTGATTAGGATCGGGTAATCTAAATTATCGAATAAACACAAAACGAGTCTCTGGAAGAGAGTTATAGCGATGGAGATATAGCGACGGAGAAGATGAACAACGAGTTTCATGGAAGCCATTTGAGATAAATTATGGTGACGAAATGTTGTCGATCGAGTGATGTTGCATGTGTGTCTCTCTGTAAGAGAAGAGATGGTTATGGTTAAAATTAGATAAACAGAGCCTTTTCAAATCTGTTTCGGTTTAACCCGATTTAGTCTGATCCCGATTCGATTTAAAATTCTGATTAATTTAATTTTCGCTGGTTTCATTTGGTAGTTGACATAACGTGTGGCAATCTTTGGACACCTAATCTGACATTACCACCGTGTCCGTGTGTTGCAATTCGAGTAAGAGAGATTCCTTCAAGAAACAGAGAATACCAAAAAAGAAAGAAAGAAAAAATGGACCTTGCTTTGGTTTACAATTTTCCCGCCAAAACTTCACTTATGGGCCAAAGCCTAGTAGTTGTTATATTTTTGGGTTATTGTTAAATTTATCACAAAATGCTTCTTTTAACATATAAGAAAGAAGGTATCATCATTGTTGTACGTTTTAGTTTTACTCCACACATTTGCGTAACATATAACAAAAATAGAAAGGATCTTATAAAGAATCTTTCTCGAGCTTCTTTCTGGCTGTCAAATAGTGTCTTGTAATGGTTTCGTCACATGCGCCTCTGGTCCACACTACACTACAACACAATACGTATCAACATCTCCTCCTCGTATTTTCTACGTCAACTTAACCCAACTTGTGACTAAAATTTTGGCCTTTCATTCATAACACCAACTACCTAAAGTAAACGAGTGTGTCTTATTGGCGTGATTTGCTCTCTCTTCTACTTACTTGAGCCACAAGCTTTGCAAGAAGAAAAAAATGAGCTTGATGTCATCCATCGTTAATTTTTATCTGTCTGCTCTCTGCTCTTCTCGCCGCCGTACGAATCCACCGGCTTCTCCTTTACAAACAACAAGAAATCTTGGTAGCCAATTAAATATCAGTGTCGACATCATCATTAACATCATCATTGATCCAATGATGCAGAACAGGCAGGCAAATAAAAGAGGCATTTTGTTTCTATCTTAAGAGTGGTCCTTGTTTTCGGACGTCCATAATGGTTTTCCAAAAGCTTATCTCCGTCTTTCCAATGTTCACCACACAGTTTATCCACCAGCCTCTCTATATAAACACTGAAGAGAAGAGAGAGGGATAAAGCAAAAAAAAGAAGAAGAGACATTCAATCAAAATGTTGCGCATTATCTTCCTCCTATCTCTCCTCTTTGCTCTATCCAATGCATCTGTTCAAGACTTCTGTGTCGCGAACCTGAAACGCGCTGAAACCCCAGCGGGATACCCTTGTATTCGTCCCATTCATGTCAAAGCCACGGACTTTGTCTTCTCCGGCTTAGGCACTCCTGGGAACACCACGAACATCATCAGCGCCGCCGTAACGCCCGCTTTCGTCGCCCAGTTCCCGGGACTCAACGGTCTAGGCCTCTCTACGGCTAGACTTGACTTAGCTCCTAAAGGTGTGATCCCAATGCACACTCACCCTGGTGCCTCTGAGGTTCTCTATGTCCTTTCCGGCTCCATCACCGCTGGGTTTGTCTCCTCTGCCAACGCCGTCTACGTGGAGACGCTTAAACCGGGACAGGTCATGGTTTTCCCGCAGGGCTTGCTTCATTTCCAGATCAATGCCGGAAAATCCGCTGCTGCAGCCGTTGTCACTTTCAACAGCGCTAGTCCTGGTCTGCAAATTCTTGATTTCGCGCTCTTTGCTAACAATCTCCCCACTGACCTCGTCGTGGGTACTACTTTCCTCGACCCTGCTACAGTCAAGAAGCTTAAGGGTGTCCTAGGAGGAACTGGCTAAAAGAAAAAGACTTGGTGGTTTTCTTCTCTCTTTGGTGGATTCTTGTCTTCTCTGTTTTGTTTTGTGTTCCTTTGTAATTCTTCAAAAACCCTGTCAACATTATTACATTGTATGTGAGTTTTTTCATATTTAAGATCCTAAGTTGGTCATATTATCTCTTGGTAAAATCTGAATCTAAGCATTGACCTCTGTGAAAACCTTCCAACGGTGAAACTTAGAAAAAAAAACAAGATATGCTAACTTTTGGGACCAGACTCCTCACATGGGTTTCAGTGGTCCCAAAGTTTAGATCGGTCCACTGCGATTATTCTACATGATATGTACGACACTAACCCTAAAGGACCATACAAAAAGGAGACATGATGCGTACAATCCTCCTTCAGTCTCTTGTTAACCTAGATCTATCACAAGGAATCAACAACACTTTGATGATGGTTCTTGTTTCCTGACAGATTTTCCTAAATCTATCATCAAATTTGAGAATCTATGGAACTTTCATTAACGTTATTAACAAACAACCCCAAAATTCAGCTTTTTTTTTCAATGAAACGACTGGTTCCAGATTGAGACCAGAGAAATCTGTCTGAAAGATTCAATATTTAAGCTGAATTTTCATCAGAACATTTGGATTACTCAGATCTATAACAATAATTTGACTTGTGTAAAATTTCACAGCGGAGAGACAGTAAAAGACTATAAATTTACAGAAAAAGAAGGAGGACTAAAATTGAGATGACTTAACTCCAACTGCAAATATCCGGAATGCGATTTCGAAAACGTTGATTACAGTGACGAGATCCAGATCGCAAGAAGAAGATGACTAATCTCTCTTTGTGTAGCTCTAAGTGTAAGGTTGAACTGATTCAGTGTCTATCGTTGACCTTAAGAAGAAGCTGTCTTCTTTTGAGAAGCAAGAAAGCAGCAACAACTACTTGCAAAGCCGCCGCTACGCCGGCGAAGAAGAACCCCACCGTCTTTCCTTTGTTCAGCTTCTGCTTCCGAGGCCGTGGATGGTTTTGGTTCCTTCTATGCCTCCATTTTTTTCTTCGGTGGTGCTTCTCGTGAGTCGCCTTGTTACTCTCGACCCTCACCGGAGGAGGAGGCGGGAATCTTGGCGGTGGTGGAGATAGTGATGGAGACGGAGGAGGCGGTGGAGGAGAAATGGATGGATCTTGTGATTGTGAGTCAACCAAGATAGAAGCAGAGATGAAGAAGACGACGAAGCACAAAAGAAACAGACTCAAACTCGGTAATGGCGGTTCCATGGAATAGAAAAACTCAAAAGCTGAATAATTTCAGGTGGATTCGAGAAATTACAGAAGAGAAACAAAGTGAGATTTTGAGGGAAACAGGGATATCGAAAATTTGGGGATTTTTACTTTCTTCCAGATTGTTGCACGTCAACGAGCTCAAAATCTCAGAAATTGTGAAATCAAAAGTTCAGATAGAACGAACTTCACAGCCTGATTTGCTCCGATCAGACCAAAGCCTCGAGAAATCAACAGTTGTGAAGAAGAGAGATACTGAGAAATAGGAGAGATTGATCAAAAGGAATCGATTTGAGAAAAGAGAAAAGAGAAGCAAATCCAACCCACGTTTTCAATTTGGGCCGTTTGGATCATCTTTAATATTATTATATCAATAAGGCCCATCATCACATTTCTTTGGAATCTGAAAAATTACATATACTTTTTGACCCTAAAGTACAGGGTCCATAAATTTCATCAGTTTGCTAAATATGTGGTGTTGGCCTATTTTCTCCAATGTTTTTTTTAACTAAACCGAACAACCATAAAAGAGTTTCACGGTGTACCGGGGCCGGAGCTGGTCGGAGTTCGTTTGGCTTGGTCGCTATTAATGATGGAAGAGTTTGAACATATTCTCTTCACATCGTATCTGCTTATATCGAAGTTGGTAACAGCGTTTACGCCTCTGAATTTTATTGCCGCGATATCGTACGCTTCCGCTGCTTCTTCTTGCGTGCCTTTCATCACAATAAATATATTTGATATTTAAGTCAAGAAAATTGTATATATATATAAAAATACCTAATGTAATTTAATCATATATATATAGAAGTGGGTCTCATACTAAATGTGCCAAGGTACAAGTCCTTGTTCCCAGCGACTCTCCCAATTCTAGCTTGCCATCTTCCGTGTTGATGATGCCTGAATGCGTCACACATGGTTATATATGTACATGCTATACATAATGTATATTTGCATATAATTTCTCAATAATATATGCAAATCAAACCTTGTGACTCCTCGGTAAACCGAAGCTCCCCTCGAAAATCCACTGCTGTTCCTATATAACACATGAGAAATTCGACGCAAAATGTTGGTTAAATGAGTATGTATATAGCTTCATAAATATCAAATATGAATAAATTATATGGTAGGCACCGAGAAAGAGTGATTTTGAGGTTGATTTAATTAACTACCTCCTCAACATTGCAACAAATTCTTGTCTAGTCATGTTGTTGAGCTCCTCGATCTCCTTTTCGTAGTTACTCAACTGAATTCAGGAGCGTCAACATAAAGTTTCCATTACAACTCAACTCTATATAATATTTCATCAAAATAAACTCAATAAGTTCATAAAACAAACACATTCAAGATTCAGGTATCGAAATACATAATAAAGTTGTTAGCATGTTGCATGTAGAGTGTATATAATATTGTAATTTGTAAACGTATATTACATAATAATATAGCTAGAACTAGTGGTGGTAGGGTCAGAAACTTACAGGGAAATTTAAGTGAGTGGTGGGACCCCAATATTTCATGGCCGCTAAATCATAAGCCCTCGCCGCTTTCTCCTCCTCGTCATATCCTCCTGTTGTAGTAGTATATATTAATTTAAAACATTGTTTAATACCATCAAATAAAAAAAACAACAAGCTTAATACTAGTGTTTAGACCAAAACTAGGGCAACAAGAATCATCGAGGGATCGCATGCAAAATAAATCGTTCAAAGAAATCGTTCACTTACCAAGATAAACTGTGATGATACACACCAACGAAGCGAATAGGAAAACCAAAAAAATGTTAGAAAAAATATTGATTAAATAACAAAACCATTTATATTCATAACTATTATTTATATTTGTGTTTCTAACCTTGTCTTCCTTTCCTCGCCTGTCCTTCCTTCTTACAGCTATTGTCCCATAAGTGAGCTTCATATCTCCCTGTCCATCTATGTCTGTGCGTATATCCAATATATGTTGACACGATTACATAAAATAAACACTAGAACGACATATATATTTAATTGCAACACGTCACACATCCTTGTTACGAGCAAATTTGAGGCATCGACAATTTATATAATTACGTACGTACCTTGTAACTCCACGATACTGAGAAGTTCTATGTCCAGAACTATCAGTCGACTTGTGAGTAACCGATTCCTTCACCAGAAATTTATCGACCAATCTCTTTCGCTTCTCATCATCTACCTTAACCGGTTCTTCGACTGGTACAGACACATCTGGTTCGTTTATCATTTCAGAACCAACGCCATGGCTCATAGCCAACGATAGCATCGAGCCGTTGGCGCTATAATCATGAGTCTCTTCGTTACTATAATGACTAATATTGCTCGTACTACCCTCTTCATCAGGTACATAGATATTCGAGAGTGGACATGTTGAAGGGCCTGGCCTTAACCAAGATTTGAAAACGGAGTCCGAACCGACGTTTCCGAAAGCTCCATAATCATGGCTTAGGTTCGGGTATTGTGGTGTAACTACGGTTTGTTCGTGGAGAAAGTAACCGGGCGGGTTCAATCGGTTAACCATGGTGGTGCAGTTGACGTCGGTTTGGGTCTGGTCTCTGGGACACTCAGTTTGATGCTGAGAGATCGAAAAGAAATCATCTAGTTTTGGCACTTCTTCGCCATGATGATGATGATGGTCATGGCTAATATCATATCTCCAGGCTATATATAGAAATCAAGTAATGAGTACTAACAGTCGCATACAACAACATATAGTGCGTATATATATAGATGTGTGTATGTGCGTACGATGAGGATGATGTGTCAAAGGACCGGTGAAGACTAGAGAACCATCGGAACGGAGAGGCACGAGGGAATTCTGCTGATCAGTGAATCCATATAATCCGTCGTGTCTATGTTCTTCTTCGTCTTCCTCTTCTTCTCTATCGCTAATTCTCAAACGAGGTGTCAAAGAAACTCCAAATCTTTTGTTCATCTCTCTTTCTATGACCTCTCTCTCTCTCTCTAGCTACCAGTCTACCACTATATAAGGTTTCGTGTTTTATATGATTTGTAGTCTCATACGTGTGATATATTAATGTTTTTCTAAGGCTGATTAAAGCATTGGTATCAAAGGAATCACATTAAAGGACAAATATTAGAGTTACGTAGATTTAAATGAGAAAGGAAAATGCGAAATAGAGTTAAAAGACAAAACAGGTGGCGGTGAATTTTTGTCGTAGCATGAAGAGGAAGTTTCTCTCTATTACGCTTACACATTCTTTTCTGGGCACTTGCATCTGGCTTTTATAGGGTATCGTGCCTTCTTCCTAATTCAGTTCTTTAATGTTACAATTTCATGACTCTTTCATTAAATATTTTTCTTTTTCTTCTTGAATTTTAATAACAACGTAAAAAGAATCTCTCTGTTTTGGATGTCTGCTACAAAATCTATATGTTCCAAGGGCGTTTTTTAGTAAAAAATAATAAATGCAAGAAAACTAGAAATAGAAATATGTATGACTAGGTTTTGTAGACGTTTTCTTGAGCCGGAAAGATGACCTAGGGTTTCATTTATGGCAGATTCATCTGTCTCTTCTTTAGATGTAACAGGTTAAATGGTTTCCACTGCTTCTAGATTTCTTGGCTTATAAGTAACTAAGTATCTTTTTAGACATGAAGGTAATTAAAAAAGTTGGGATTGTTAAACCTCCTTAACGTAGATTATATTTTTTTTGCACTAACTTGGTACATATAAGAGAGGAGGCTCTCGAGTCAAAATGTGCCAAAATGAGATTGTGACAATTATTGCAGATGCTTGCTCTTTATTTCATAAGACTAATCAACTTATTGAAGAACCTAGTCATAAAAATTAAGAAAACAATTGCATCCTTTTGCATTTGATTTGACATTCAATATAATTTACGGGCATGAGAAATCCTTAAAGACTATATTTTCTTTTATCAAATGATTCTTCTTGGAAGCTGAAATTACCGACTATACGAAAAGGTTGAATACCTTCTTTCCAAGGTGCTGTTTTTGCTTCTTTATTACCTGTTGCTGTTGTTTTTGCTTCTTTGTTACCTGTTTCAACACAGGGTAGACCAAATAAAATTTTGTAGTGAGAATTTCATTATTTGCGTAGCAAAATATAACTAAAGTTCATCAATTTTTTTTTTTCAGTAATCTGCCACCACAACAAAAAAAATAAATAGTTTTCCTCAAAATCCTAATTCTTTTTTCTGTATTTTTTCTTTTGTGCTCTACCATCTTCCTTTAAATTGATGCTTGGCCCAATGAAAGAATTCTCCAATCTTTGAAACAGACCAGGAGCAGCTCTTTTTAAAATATTTTCACATATGAAAAATCTCAACAAGTGAGTACGGTCTGACCGTCGGGCTAAGAGATTAAATGGTTTCCACTGCTTCTGGATTTCTTGGCTTGTAAGTTTGGATTTTCAAACCTCCTAACGTAGATTATATTCTCTTTCGATGCCTCTCGTTTTTGAATTTTGATTTAAAAAAATATATATATTTATAAATTTTTTTTTCACCTCGAGAATTGCAAGTGGAACACTAAATTGGTACTGGTACATATAACAGAGTAGCCTCTCGAGTCAAGATGTGCCAAAAGGAGATTGTGACAATTATTGCAGATGTTTGCTCTCTTTATTTCAAGTCTCTTTTGAGACTATTCAAGTTATTGGAGAAAAAAAAAAAGTGATTGGAGAACCCATGTCATGAAAAATTAAGAAAACAAATGCATCCTTTTCAATTTGATTTGACAAAATTTCGTATTTGAGTCAAGTGATAGAGCAACCAATTCGACATGTGACACTGATATATATTCTAAAGTTCTAATGAAGTTGTGGTTTTGGCTTCTCTCATAATGACATTTAGGCTGCTGTCGTTCTTCAGAGATGGAGCAGAGATGCTTGAGCCGGAAAGATGTTCTAGGGTTTCATTTATGGCAGCTTTCCTCTGTTTCTTCTTTAGACGTACTGAGGCCAATAGATTAATTAATGGTTCCGGTGCGTCTGGATTTCTTGGCTTATAAGTAACTAAGACAATCTAAATATATATGGTGCACCAAAGTTGGGATTTACAAACCTCCTAACGTAGATTGTATTCTCTTTCGGGAATAGACGAGGCCGAGGCTTTTTTCCTCACTAGTCGATGAATGAACTTGGAGAGCTGAGTCGGTTTTTGTTTGACATTAAGAGTAGCTTGCCCAGCAAGGATCAGAACAGTTTTTTTGTTTTTTTTTGGTTTTAAAGGATCAGAACAGTTTTGGATGATTTAATAAGAACACAAAGTAAAAAAGGTAGATTTCATTCGCACAACGTCTATAACTAAAGAAACGCTTTGTAAAAATGGTTATTACCAAATCCAAGACTGAATTTTTTATTGAAAGAGATGGTATAAATAACCATCTGTTCATCACTGATCAGTGATGAAGCAGAGTACTCCTCTTTGGAGTGTTGTTGAACTGTTTGATTACTTTGATTGACGTAATCGATTTGGGCTTTTTAGGCCCATGGGCCAACTTCTTGAAACTGGACCGCCGTTAATTTCGATTTTTATAAATGCTTGTCACTAAATTAAATTATTTTCCCGATACACCCCATTTGGGAAATTTTCTGCACGCTAAAATAAAAATCTATATAAAAACCCTACGCTCTCCGTCGTCTTTCCAGTCTCACAAATTTCTTCGTATAAAATCTTCCTCAAGGGAAAATTTTCTATAAAGCTCTTCAGGAAAAAAAATATTTACTAAATCTCGAATTCGAAGAAACTCAGCCTAGGGTTTCCACACCCTTTTCTATTTTAGCTCCCACTTCCAGAAAAAAAAAAAAAAAAAAATCCGATCCCTGTTTGTAGCACAATCGCTAGAATCCTTACTTCTGGGTAAGCCCAAAGATTCGCGTTTTTTCTTTTCTCTTTCCGCTTCAAAAGCTCACACGGGAAGAGAACGGTGAACCGGAGCTAGCTTCGGACCCGGCGGCGATACTAATTTTGAGGCATTGTTGACTTATGCAATAATCGGACTGGATTTTGAATCTGGGTTTTAGGGGTTTTTTTACTGGGTTTTCAGAGGGATTAACCAACAATGGATGACCTTGAGAAGGCGATACTGATTAGCTTTGAATCTGGTGCCGTCGATTCGGCGTTACAGTCCCAGGCTATTAGTTATTGTCAGCAAATCAAAGAAACTCCATCTATATGCAGTATATGCATCGAGAAGCTCTGGTTCTCTAAGCTCGTGCAAGTTCAGTTCTGGTGTTTGCAAACGCTGCAGGACGTGTTAAGGGTCAAGTACGGATCCATGAGCTTGGATGAGCAGAGTTATGTGAGGACGTCTGTTTTCTCTATGGCGTGTTCGGAGGTTGTTGACAATGAGAATGCTGTGAGGGTTGTGGAAGGACCGCCGTTTGTGAAGAACAAGCTTGCTCAGGTTTTGGTTACTTTGATTTATTTCGAGTACCCTTTGATTTGGTCGTCGGTGTTTGTTGATTTCATGCGTCATCTTAGCAAAGGCCCTGTTGTGATCGATATGTTTTGTCGGGTGTTGAATGGTTTGGATGATGAGCTGATTAGCTTGGATTACCCTCGGACGCCTGAAGAGATCTCCGTGGCTGCTCGAGTCAAGGATGCGATGAGGCAGCAGTGTGTCCCTCAGATTGCTAGAGCATGGTATGACATTGTGTCATTGTACAGGAACTCCGATCCTGATCTTTCTGCTACTGTGTTGGATTGTATGAGACGATTCGTATCTTGGATTGACATTGGTTTGGTTGCGAACGATGCGTTTGTTCCGCTTCTGTTTGAATTGATTCTGTCAGACGGATTGTCTGATGACGTCCGCGGCGCAGCAGCTGGGTGTGTCTTAGCCATGGTTTCTAAGCGGATGGATCCCCAGGCGAAACTGCCTCTTTTGCAGACCCTTCAGATAAGTCGCGTCTTTGGTTTAGTGTCGGAAGATGTTGATTCCGAACTTGTGTCAAAGATCTCTGCTTTGCTTACTGGCTATGCTGTTGAGGTTCTAGAGTGCCATAAGCGGTTGAACTCAGAGGACACCAAGGCCGTCTCGATGGATTTGCTTAACGAAGTTCTGCCATCAGTTTTTTACGTCATGCGGAACTGTGAGGTGGATTCTACTTTTAGTATCGTCCAGTTTCTCTTGGGTTACGTTTCAACTCTCAAAGGCCTCCCTGCACTAAAGGAGAAGCAACTGCTCCACATTACTCAGATTCTCGAAGTGATTAGAATTCAGATTTGCTACGACCCCATGTATCGTAATAACCTTAATTCACTGGATAAGATTGGGTTGGAAGAGGAAGATAGAATGTCCGAGTTTAGAAAAGATCTCTTTGTCTTATTACGTACAGTGGGACGTGTTGCTCCTGAAGTTACTCAGCATTTCATTCGAAACTCTCTAGCAAATGCTGTTGAGTCGTCGTCCGAGAGAAATGTCGAAGAAGTAGAAGCTGCACTTTCCCTTTTGTATTCACTTGGAGAGTCTATGACGGAGGAGGCCATGAAAACGGGATCTGGATGTCTGAGTGAACTAATTCCGATGCTCTTGACCACACAGTTTCCTGGTCATTCTCATAGACTAGTTGCACTAGTGTACTTAGAAAACATAACAAGGTACATGAAGTTTATTCAGGAACATTCCCAGTACATTCCCAATGTTCTTGGTGCTTTCCTTGATGAAAGGGGTTTGCATCACCAGAACGCTCACGTAAGCCGTAGAGCTTGTTACTTGTTCATGAGAGTCGTGAAATTGTTAAAATCAAAGCTTGTTCCATTCATTGACAAGATCCTGCAGGTAAGGAATTGCGTTTCTCTTGATAATACCCATTTCTGTAGATCTGATTGATAAAGTTTGGTTAAATATTTTTCTAACCAATATAAATTTTTGGAAAAAATCAGAACCTCCAAGATACGTTGGCCCAGTTGACGACAATGAACTCTGCATCAAGAGAACTTTCAGGAACTGAAGATGGCAGTCACATTTTTGAGGTTATAACATGTCCCTTGAAGCTGTTGCTTTCATATTGTACTTTTGAGTTGAAAAAAGAAACTTGTTTTAGCACCGTAAACTAATATCTCTATCTCCCAATGCGTTTTACTGTAGGCCATTGGCTTAATCATAGGGTTGGAGGATGTCCCAGCTGAAAAGCAGTCAGATTATCTGTCTTTATTGCTTACCCCTCTCTGTCAACAGGTTTTGGTTCCTACTATTCTCTTGTTAGCATGACACTAGAGGACATTGTTTATGATCAAATGTACTCAGATTCTTTCCATATGATTGTACCAGATTGAGAATGGACTTGTGGAGGCGAAAGTCACTAGTTCCGAAGAGTTTCCTGTAAAAATTGCTAATATCCAGTTTGCTATTATGGCAATCAATGCTCTCAGCAAGGTTTGTGCTCCGTTAATTAAGTTTTTCCAGAAAGACATCGCTCTATATGTGAAATTTGTTTACTTGTACTTCCAATTTTACCCTCTTCTGGGCTTTGTCCTTACACTTTTGTTTGTTTTCCAGGGCTTCAGTGAACGTCTTGTTACTGCGAGCCGTCCTCGAATTGGTCTCATGTTTAAGCAGGTTTGTAAGAAAGATGAATTTATTTTGTTTCTTCTCTTATCACTCATCTAGATCACTGTTCTAACAATTGGTAACCTTCTCCTAATGTAGACTCTAGATGTGCTTCTAAGGGTTCTGATTGAGTTTCCAAAGGTTGAGCCTTTGCGGAGCAAGGTATGAGTTTAGTTGTATGATAACAAGTAGAATTATTGCGACCAGTAGTGATACATACTCTTTTCGATTAGTTGATTTACAGTTCGGTGATGAGCTTGTTCCTCTTCTCTGCAGGTCACATCATTTATACATCGTATGGTTGATACCCTTGGATCCTCTGTGTTTCCTTATCTTCCCAAGGCGTTGGAACAGCTACTTGCTGACAGTGAGGTATAACTAAAATTTCAAAGCTCACCTTATATTGTTCAATGCTCCACGTCTTTCGTTTCCTCACATTGACAAACTCATTTTAGTCTAACAAACTAATCTTAGTGCTCGCATGGTGTTGCAGCCAAAGGAGATGGTTGGTTTCCTGGTATTACTCAATCAGCTTATCTGCAAGTTCAACAGTTCTCTCCTTGATATAATGGAACAAGTATATCCCGTGGTTGCTGGTAGGATTTTCAATGTAATTCCAATAGATGGGTTCCCCTCACGCCCTGGGGCTGTTACTGAGGTATGTTTACTTATTTTCCTTTTTTTGAACTCAGCTTTTAATCTTCATGTGTCTTACAATTGTGAATCTGAACCTGTTGATGTCGTAGCATCCTTTATATCCACAGTTATATATCCTATTTTTTCTGTGTAGGAAATGAGGGAATTGATAGAGCTTCAAAGGACGCTGTACACATTTCTTCATGTGATAGCCACACACGATCTTTCATCTGTATTCCTCACCGCTAAAAGTAGGCCGTACCTCGATCCGATGATGCAGCTGCTTTTGAACACTTCTTGCAATCACAAGGATATTACCGTACGGAAGGTTTGTAACGCTCTTACCCTTCGGTTACATTTTCACGCAATTTTGATGATCTTTTTTGTACCCTTACTTATAACACTTCTTTTATTGTTTGCCATAAAACAGGCATGCGTGCAGATATTTATTAGGCTTATTAAAGATTGGTGTGCCAAGCCATACAGCGAGGAGAAGGTCTGCCCTCTTAATAATAATCTTGTACACTATCTTTTCTTCATGGAAGTACCACAATGTCATAATTAAGAATTGTTTGCTTTTCAGGTCCCAGGTTTTCAGAATTTCATGATCGAAGCTTTTGCAACAAACTGCTGTTTGTACAGTGTGCTTGATAAATCCTTCGAGTTCAATGATGCGAATACTGTAAGCATAAGAAACTTCACTTCTCTTTGCTTTTAGGCGTTTCATCATAGTCTGGAGAAATATTTCCACAACTGACTGGATTCCACAACTGATGAACACAGCACGGCTTGTTCGGGGAAATCATCACGGCTCAGAAGGTGATGTATGAAAGATTTGGTAATGCATTTCTCATGCATCTTATGTCGAAAACTTTTCCATCAGCACATTGTCCACAAGATCTGGCGGAGCAGTATTGCCAAAAGTTGCAGGTTCGATAACTTTTACTCCTTCAAAACTAGCATACAAGAGATAAAAGAAACCTCCCTTTGTCCTGTGCTTAAGCGTAGTTTCTCCTTGTCCTGTTTGGTATTCAGGGTAATGATATTCGTGGCCTCAAGTCATACTACCAGTCTCTTGTAGAAAACCTCCGGCTTCAACAAAACGGGAGTCATGTTTTCAGATAGCATTAAAAATACAGATGGTTCCATAGAAAGGTCTCTCAGGTCAATTCTGCTGCGAGCTACCACTTCGAACTCTAAAAGGTTTGACAACAAAGCCCTCTTTCTTAATGTTCTACATTGAAGGATTGAAGCAATGTCTGAGATATATAATGTTCAGTATCTCTGCAGGTTTCTCGAGATGTAAATATCATTGTCAAAGTCGTACTTCAGAGGCAACAAGGTTCGTTCTCACCATCCACAAGATCAATCTTATTAAAAGCTTGATAAGAGATTCATGCTGCTAATGTTGATGGTTTTTTTTTTTTTTTCAAATGCCGCAGTTGTACCTTACCAAAGAAACATGTTATTGGTTCTCTCTCCAAAGTAGTTTTACCCGAACCAAGCAAGGCCTTGCAAGTTCTTCGAGTGCACAACAACTCCTAGCCGAGATATGATGTTTTGTTTTTCTGCCCTTTGTTGTGGGATTCTGTCTATAAAGCCTCCTCCTTTTGTCCTATCTCCAAATTTTGATTATGTCATAATTTTTTGCATTTGATGGTTGTTGTTTCTTGTCCATGAAGATACTTAGAAAACTATGAGATATAAAAAAAAAAAAAAATCAGAGGAACATAAAGTTTTGGATGATTTTTGTTGTTCTTCCATTTTAGTTATTTAATATGAAATTATTTCATTATCTCCAAAATTTGAAACGCATGGCTCTGTTGGTTTCGTATCAAAATGAATATATACCTTTGATATATTTGAATAATTATGCTACATCAAAGTATATTCCGGTAAAATGACATGGCCAGCCATAAGAATCAGATATCCATTGTCTTTCCTCTGCATCACTTAAATGATTGCTCATCTCTTTGTACACTTCTCCAACGATACTGCTTTGCTAATTTCTGGAAGATTATCATCATATGTGGCCATGAGGAGGATTCTCATGCCCGTAAGGTAAAAACATATCTCTAGTGACCGTTATCTAGATTTGAGATTTGATGTGTTGCTTTAACAAAAGTACTCTAATATGTACACCCTAAAGGCCTAAACCCTAAGTCTTATCTTAAACCCGAAATCCTTAACTCTACCAAACCTAAACTAAAATAGTCTAATTCTTTTAGGAGTAGTGTTGAAAAAATGCAGTCTATTTTAAATTTAATTTACTTTTCCAAATATATTTTCCTTAGATTCCAAATAGTTTGATTTTTGTTTAGGTGTCGTTGAAAAGGTCTACGAGGGAGTACAAGATTGTTTCGGCACTTGTATATGTGTGTGTATGCACAGACGTAATGTGTTGAAGTATAAAGAACATTATTTTGTGGCAGCGTGATTTCAAATCAGAAAGGGACTTAACGAGTTTAATTCATCTACGGTTATTGTGTTTATATTATATCCAAAAACAAGAACACAAATACACGTGATTGATTATCTTTGCTCTAATAAAATATCGACGTAAAATGGATCAAGGTCAAAAGCAATCTCTAATTGATGCCACAGTCCGCGGCTGCCACAAATATATTGGGATCCAGCAATATATTTCTCTTATAGATATTGAAACACCTGAAATCATGATTACATTTCTCTCTTTTTCGTTTTTTAATCTTACATACACTGATACACATATCATGTGGTATATATATGGTAAGAAGAAGAAAAAAAAATGAAGTCAAAAGTTTTTTTACATTCAAATTCAATATTTCACTGCGAATTTTGTAATATGTTTCATACTTGACGAAATAAAAAATATTTTCATCCATTTCGTCATTTTGTTACATACTTGCCGGTCTGATTTAATTACATGCATTGATCTCATTCACATTAAAATCCATATATATATATATATATAGTTCTGTAATCATTTAAGTCTAGTGCCACTTGAAATTCCAGGTCAAATTAGTTGAACCAACCTAGTTAGTTTAGTTTCAACTATATTTTGAAATCCATATACTGTATGTATATTTTTATGATGTACATATTGAAAAAATATGATATAAAAATAACATAATTTAGTTTACTTTTGCTTCTCTAGAAGCAATTAATAAATATCTGAGTACATCTAATGATAATAATATGAAATAATTATATAGTATTTTCCATATAAAATTATAAGTTTTTAATGAATATGTACGTCACGTGCTAAATGTGTCAGTGGACTGTGAATACAGTTGACATCTTTTTTCCCGCCTTATAAAGACAGTTCACATCTTTATTTGAGCCAACTTTGTGTCTTTGATCACTATATGATGTATCAATTTCTCATTAAACTATTAACGATTACCGAACTAAAGTTTTTCCTTTTTGATGTATATATATAGTTATATAGTATTTTCCATATAAAAACATAATGAAATGCTACATAACTTACATACATAATTTCCAGGTCTCCTTAAAAATCAAATTCTTCAAAAAAGACTCTTTGCTACTATCCCTTTTTATGTTCATAACTTGATGTAGTTTATAAATTATAAGTTTGAAGAAAAATGAGAGACTAGGTACGTGTATATACGAAACTTTTCAAAAAAAAATTGGCGATAAAGTTGTTGCTCTGTCGCTCTCAGAATGTTTTAAAATGTTGAAAAATATATTAATGATGATGAACAAATTGACCTTAACGATAAGCAAATCTCGGCTAGCTTCGTATTAACTACTATTTGTTCGAAAAAAGTATTATGCATTATCTCATACGGCCACCACGTAGTAACATAACCAATTTAGACTTGATTCGAAAATAATATACGAAACAAATTTCGAACAGAATTTTCTTGCGCATGCATGCAACCATATTTTATGTATATGAGTATGACACGACACAAGCATATTTAGTGGAATTCTACATTTATATCATTTTTCATTGAACGAAAAAAAAATAATACTTGAATTATCTTCATCTCCAAAAGTATGAAACAAAAAAAAGGCACATCAGTATGATGATCATCTTCTGATGATTCTATAAATTCCGTCATTTATGAAACATAGGTGAAATCATTACAAACAAAATTTACCACTTTTTTTTATTGGTCGCAATAGTAGGAAATAAAATACAATTGACCGACTTTTAATATAGGAAATCATATTTTATTTGATTTTAACAACTCAGCCTAAGGGAGAAAACAGAGGATGCAAATGGTATTATGCCATTGTTTCAAGTCAATGGTGTGGCCAAAGCCAAAGCCAGAGGTATTGGGATTACATTCCAACTTCAGAGAGCGAAAGAGACAGAAAATAATCAAATTTATTCTTTTTTGTTGTTGTTGTTGTGAAAGCCAACTTATTATTATTATTGTTGAGAGAAGTAACACAATATACTTAGCAGAAGCAACATTCTTCTAGATGAAAATGAAATATATGATACATATATAACAACTTCATTAACAACTTACAAGTGTATGATAATAGCCAATAAGCAAAACAAGAATGAGATGGCTTAAGATAGTCAAAGAACTTTCTAAATAGATCCAAACCTGCCTCTGAAAATGTCTGCTGCGCATTATAATAACACACAGCTAAGCTACATATTTCATCAGAAATATTATTATAACCACCCAAAACATTAAATTGGAATGAAAAAAAAAAGAAGTAAACAGATGAAGAAAAGTAAAAAAATTGGACTAATAATAAAAACATAAAGTTTGTTTTTGGTAGTTCAGGAAATTATGCTACTTGATGAATAGCTTTCTAATTCAAAAATTTTAAGGTTTGAAATTGAAAAAACAATAAAGAAAAGAGCGAGTGTAAGAAAAATCTTACACATTTGCATATTATAATCACATTTGATTATGTTTAGTGGCTAATGCCTCCTTAGATGTCTTTTCAAGACTACAGACTTACTTTTTTGAGTCTTCTTCACCAATCTCTCACCTCTCTCTCTCTCTCTCTCTCTCTATCTAATTCCTCACTAGGCCTTTTCAAAGAAGTTTCATCATCTCCTATATATATTTAGAGAAAGAAAACCATTAACCATATAGAAAGACAAAAAAAATCTTCTGAAAGAAACACAGAGAGAGAGAGAGAGGAAAGATTCTTTCAGATGAAACCAATGAGATTTTCTTGGAAGAATATATGTCTTCCCATAAGCTGCATCAACAACACAAACCAGAAGACAGTAACAAACCCATCAAAGGAAAGACTTCTTATGCTCTCCAGACAAACCTCTGTTCGAAGCAGAGTCTACTTGTCCGATTTCAGCAATTCAACCATCTCACTCAACGACTTCTCAAACTCTTTTCTCATAGACATTCACATATTCACCTATGAAGAGCTCAAAACAATCACACAAGGCTTCTCAAAGTATAATTACCTCGGTGAAGGAGGATTTGGGGAAGTCTACAAAGGGTTTCTTGATGATAGCTTCAGGACTGGTTTGAAAGCCCAGCCTGTCGCTGTCAAGGCCTTGAAACCAGAAGGTGGACAAGGCCATAGAGAGTGGCTGGTAATATTTCTTTACTCCATCTGCATATTGATGAATTATATGTCAGCTCATATGAGAAATGGGATCAAAGTAACTAAGAAAAAACGTTTCTTTAACATTATGCAGGCTGAAGTTATAATCCTTGGTCAGTTGAAGCATCCGCATCTTGTGAACTTGATCGGATACTGCTGTGAAGATGCTCACAGGCTTCTAGTTTACGAATACATGGAACGAGGCAATCTGGAAGAACATTTATTTCAAAGTGAGTAGGTTTATATTACCAAAATCATACAAAATCCGGAAAATTACATGATTGTGATAGAGAGAGATGAAGATTACTAACAATACGATTACATTTTGGTGCAATGCAGAGTATGGTGGAGCCTTGCCTTGGTTAACAAGAGTGAAGATTCTGCTTGGTGCTGCCAAAGGCCTTGAGTTCCTTCACAAAGAAGAGAAACCTGTCATTTACAGAGATTTTAAGCCTTCTAACATCCTCTTGAGCTCGGTATAATTCGAAAGCTTATCTTCCTAACTTTCATTTCAGTATACCTATTGTCATGTCAAATAACTTATATCTTATCTCTGAAACTTTCAGGATTACAGCTCTAAGCTTTCAGATTTCGGCTTAGCCACAGATGGATCAGAGGCAGAAGACTCAAACTTTACCAAAAGTGTAATGGGCACAGAAGGCTACGCCGCTCCAGAATACATCTCAGCAGGTTTAAGAACATAATGATAAGTCTACTTGTCATAAATCACAACCATTACACTCTTAGCTTACATGTTTCTTGGTCCGTTTCAGGTCACTTGACGACTATGAGCGACGTGTTCAGTTTCGGGGTGGTGCTTCTGGAGATGCTAACAGCTAGAAAAGCAGTGGAGAAGTACCGGTCACAGAGAGGGAGGAACCTAGTGGAATGGGCGAGACCAATGTTAAAGGATCCCAACAAGCTTGAAAGGATCATAGACCCGAGTCTCGAAGGGAGATACTCGCTTGAAGGCATAAGAAAGGCAGCTGCTTTGGCTTATCAGTGCCTGAGCCACAACCCTAAGTCACGACCCACTATGACCGCTGTGGTCAAGACCCTAGAGCCAATTCTAGACCTCAAAGACATCCAAAACGGACCGTTTGTGTATATTGTTCCAGTAGCAAGTGCAAATGAGGTTCATCATGACATCAAATGTAAGGATGATGATGTCAAAGTTGCAAAAGAGGAAACAGAGAAAGAGGCAAAAGTCCGCCCAAGACATCGAGCAGGTCGAAGGAAGAGACGTAAACACAAGACAATGAGGTCTCGTGCCGTATATTCAGACACTACTCTGTACAAGAGTCTAGGAACCAGTTTATACACCCCAGCAGAGTAATTAATCGCAATGAAGATTAAAAATTGTTTAATTTTTCTACAAGTACAGATACTATTAGGAAACCATAGTATACAAGGCTGTGTTAGATAAATGAAAATAGCATAGGATTCCATGAAATTCTGCAGGTGTTGTGATAGAAACGTAGCTTAAAAAGTGAGCTACATAGATATTTTAGCAGTGAGTCAATTTTTCTCAATTTTGATAACCACAGATGTATAAGTCTGAATTGTATGCGTGTTCAAAAGGGACAGTATTACTTGGATTTTTGTGCCACCAGATCAAATCCTAAATTGACTGTACTTCACCAACAAAAGAATTTCACTGGTGTAAAGCTTTTTGTTCCCTAGTCAATGTTTTAGAATATGGGTACATACGCAAGCATGTTCCAGTATTCAGACAAAAACAGTATCTATATGAAGCCAGATTAGATTACATACCTTTGGTTACGAAGAAAAACTTGTTAATCCCACCAAACCCCACTCAATGCCGTGTAGAAAAACTCTTCCGTCGTTTGCTTTCGTCTCCTCTAGTTTTCTACATGGTCCAGATTTGACAAACGGATACAGAGAAGCAGCCATTTGGTGGACTAGTCTATTTCTGTGGAGACTTCATTACCTAACAGGTTAGATGTCATGTCACTACCAAAAACTGAACTATAATGAATCGGTAAAGTGAATCAATACAGAGAACTATAATGAATCAATACAGAGATTTATAATGAATCAATATATCTCGGGTTGATTGAATATTTCATTCAGCTACCATTACACCTAAGGCTCTTTACAATAGCTAATGGTAGTAAGTTGTAACACTAGAAGACTCATTCAGGATTAATCCTCAGGCTTGAGTAGCTAGCTACACACTGAAGCAAAAAGACTTGCAACTAAATGTATCTCCAATTAGTTCAACTTCTTCTTTCTTTTTCTCCTAGGCTTCTTTTTGAACACTCGGTTTTTAGCATCGTCGTCAGTTTGATCTCGTAGCCAGTCCGCATGGTACTTCTCATCATATGGGACAACTTCCCCATCGATGAATGGTTCTCCTGCAAAAAAAAAAAGATAAAAACTTATGCTTTATGAAAAAAAATAGTGCTGCAGGTACTAAACTTAAAAGGGTGTCCACCAAAGAAACACAACAGTATCATGTGATTGCTTAGAAAATGGGTGCAACATTCGACTTCTTCATAAGAAAATCCAATCACTAGAAGAATCTAGAGGTTCATACAAGCAACCAAAAACAGAATCAAAAGACAAAAGCAGCAAAATCAAACCTCCATATCCACTGTCACCATCGACTATAAATGAATCTGGTAGAACCCATTTAACATCAGGCAGAGCTGCGATCAAACAAAACATAAGCCCACAGTTACAGCATTTGCCACTGAACTAGGAACAGAAATGTAAAAAAAATCCAAAGAAAGAAGATGAAATTTTCAAAGGATCCGTGTCGATCGATACATCTTATCTTGTAAGTCAAAGGTTCATGAACCCTGCAGCCAAATGCATAGTAGTACTTTGTGGAGACAGAGTATATCGATTTCTTGGCTTCTTCTTCGCTGCACACAACAAGCGCAACCACAATCACATACCACAAAGCTTCGATTTTTATTTTATTGTATAAGAAAGTTGAGCTTTTGGATTGCAATTGTATCTACTAGAACACCACAAAACGAGAATCCGAATTTGATTTAACTGAACTACGAGGATAAAACAAAATCGAATTAATGGAAAGTCTTGATGAATTACCTCCCTAGAGCCATGGCTAAGGTTTTGATAAAGCCTCGGACGATGTCGTTTCGAGGTGGGTATCCCTTGGGAGACTTCATGAGCACCAGCCAGTGCTTGTAATCGCATCCTTCGACTAAACTCGGCACTCGAATTAACTCAGAGCAACGAGTCACATCCGAGTTAACAGAACCAGGACTTCCTGAGAACAGAGAAAACAGAGAAAGACGAAACGGGACGGCCGCCGTCAAGTTTAACGGCCTTCTGATGATGCTCGCCATTGAATAATACACGGCCAAACGTAAGACGATGAAACCTCAATTAACGTCAGACCCTCCCACGTCAGATCGAGTGTCACTTTCGTTCTGCGTTTTTTTTTCGGTCTCATGTTTTTTTTTTTTTTTTTCAGAGTCGTAAACCGGTTTATGATTTGGTTTTGGTTAAGTTCATAGGTTCTCTCTGAAAATAGTGCAACAATAATAATAATCATGGATAGTGTAATATAATAGTGTAAATGATTAGCCAAATTTAGATTACTGATTAGTGTATAAATAATATAATAGTGTAAATGCCCCTAATTACTGAAAATATAATAGCCACCACATCTTTGTAGTTTTTGCAAATGATTAGCCAAATTTAGATTATTTAGGTACTTAATTACAACTTTTGAAACAACAACAAAAAAATCATATTAATTATCCTATACTATATAATTAATTGTTGTATTTGCTTCAAAAATATGCTATTTATTTACTCATAGGCTCCCAATATTTAAATCGATACGCTATTAGGGACGCCTCTACACGTAACTCCCGGTTCGGAACTCGGAGCCATTAACTCGTACGGCAAAACTCCGGCCCCACACCGATTCCTACGGCTAGGATCACGATTCCTCTTTTCAATCTCCTTTTCTATCCGTCCGATCTCCGCCGAGAATTCATAAAACGCATCGACGATCTCAGCGTCTCCGGTCCAAATCGACGGCTGCTGTCTCTCCCCGATATACTCCTCGTCCGGCGAATGCGTCGACAAGGTATCAACCACCGCCATAAACTTCGTCGTCTGCAATAAACTCGGCATCGACGAGAAAAAAGACTTTTGCGGATCCTCGATAAAACTCGCGAACTCGGGATCTGACTCGTCGGGAATCAACCGTCGCATCAACGGCGGTCGATTCGGGACGTAGCCGCCGTACGGATACTGACCGAAATTGAGAGCAGCGTGTTGTGCTGAGGCGAGCCAGACTATGGTGGTTATGACGGAGACGAGGTCATCCACGGTGGAAAGCTCCGGCCACCACTCAGCGTCGCGGTGGTCAGCGTGACCTACGTTGATCGACTCGGAGTACCAGGCTTGGAGCTCTGTGTCGGTTCGGATTAGGTTCGGGTTAGGGTAATAACGCTCCACGTAGGTTCGGACCCAGGTTTGGATGGCGGACCATAGTAAGAGACCATCGTTGGCGTATGGGTAATCCTCGACAAGTAGTTTTAGTCCATGTGGTTGTGTTGGGTCCGGAACAGCCATTCCCCTGAAAAAATTAAGAAAATTTATAATGAAACAATTATTAGATTCTATACAATAATTCATTATTATTAAAATAAAAACAAATTTAACCAGACAAAAGGAATCCTATCTTAGTAGTCACTACAATAATATATCCATTACTATCCCCCTCTACATTATTATGAATTTGAATCCATTAGAAATGATTCTTACATTTTAATATTTGAGCCATATACATATGTCATATGTCATGAAGAGTATATGCATTAATAGATATTTTTAACACTAAGTATAGATTAAATCAACAAAAAAAATAATTATTGACACATTACCTTCGGATGAGATCAGCAGGGAGACCTTCCATATCGAACCGCCATCGATTCTTGTAAGCAGCGGCGCTAATCTCCAGACCGTATTGGCCCGCCGTGAAACATGACTCGATCACACCGTCCGCACTAACCAAAGTTTGTCGAGCCACGGCATTGATCTCCAAAGTGTATCTCATGTGAGGATCCAACAACTTGAATATAGGATGCAGAGCGCTCAGTTGTCTATGAGCAGCCAATATAAACGGCTCCAAACACGCATGAGTGCGTAGCCAGTGGTTGACAAGCTGGTGGACGCCAGCGTCATTGGACCCGACGTGGGCCTTTGCGAGCTGCCAAGTCCAGTTGGAGGTTGCGTCTACAGGAGGTGTAACCACGCGCTTGGACTTTCGGTTAGGGCCTGATTGAGGAGGGAGGCTTAGCTCGATGGCTATAGGTTTGAGTGTACCGAGACGAGTCAAGAAGAATATGGTTCGAGTTGCGTAAGCCTTGCGTCCATCCAACGCATTGATTCGGTCTAGAAATGGTAAGTATATGTCGTGGTAGTCCACCATAAACAATCGGTTCGTCTCTACCGCCTGAAAAAAATCAATAAAAGAAATATGCATTAATAATTTAATCAAACGTTTTTTTATTTATCTGTGTAAGCTATTGAGACCATTATCTGTATTCGTACTTGTTGCACGGACAAGCCGTCAAGGTGACCGATGATGTGGTCTTCGGTGAGAGCGGAGTGTAAGTCTGAACCATAGATCTCGGGGTCAAGATTGCTGACCGGTGGATAAGCCGTGACTCGTTCTATGTTGACTGGGTTGATTCCAGCTATGGCTTGGCGTGCGAACTCGTCATCACGAAGCCATGCGTATTTATCCTCTGCATTAATATTAAAGGTAAAAGGAGCCATTAGAGAAGTTAAATTATATAATAACAAGATCTAAAGTAAGCAGTTTTGAGAACTAATAAAACAAAAACGCGCTTTTAATTGAATTGTTCTCAAACTAAATTTAACTTTTAGGTACACAGCTAATAAACAAATGAATTAAGCACGTGAAGCATGTTTCTTTAGTGAAGGTTCACTGTTTTGGTTTTCAAGGACACAGATGATAAAACTATAGCAAAAAGCATAATTTTTCGTTTTTTAAGGATTGGTTCATTATTTAACAGCATGTGAATATGAGATGGCACATGTGTTACTTAACTCACGAACCTCGAAATATCATAAAGAAAAAAAAAATCAACGACATACATAATTAAATTTTAAAATCAATATGATTAGAATAAGTATATTGAAGTGCTTACTTGAAACTATTTTGGGAGTATCGTATCTGAGTAACCCTTCGCTAGATTTTTGGAGAGTAGTGACGATCTTAGGCAAAGGGAACTTCTTGAACATATCATCTTGAATCCCTAACTTGAGAAGCAAGCCTTCTTTGTAAAGACTATCTATCTCACCAAAGTTAGCAAAGTCTTCAGCCAAAATGCTGGCTTTTAGCGAAGGTATTAGGTTATGTAAGACCGCCTTAAGCCTACACGCAGCAAAAGTGTCCTGCTTAGACTCCTCGAACTGCTCATCTCGTGGCACATACATCGGTAATGGTTTCTCTACTCGTCTCTCGGACATTAGATCTGTATCTGTGGAAGACCGGCCGGTTCGACAGCGTCTAGGGTAAGGAAACTCACGACCGCCAAATGTCGGACGGGCTAGTTCCGGTGATATGTCGGGATTTCCTATGTCGTTGTAGACATCATAGTCGTAGATTCTGTCTGATAATTTTCTTTCTCCTTCACCATTTCCTCTTAGATTCTCCAACTCTTTCTCCCTTAGTGTCCTTAGACCGGACGGTGTCTCGCTCGGCAAATAAGGCTGCGGAATTGAATTTGTAACGAGACATTTAATTTTTCGATCCAAAATACAAGTAGTTGAACGTCACGGTAGTTATTTAAGACAAGTTTTGGACCCACCATGACATTTACTAGTATATGATGAATTCACATTTAATGGGGTTTGTTGATGGTTTTGAATTAACATTTAATTAATTACCTGATTAGTGAAGAAAATTCGTTTTGATGGGTGGTCCTTTTGGGATTGGACCCATGAGTTACAAGGGAAATGAACAGGGCCACATGCGAAACCTTCGATGGTGATGCTCTCAAGGAAGAACTCTTTTTGATGTTTGTTCGTCACCGTGATGGCTCCCGGCGAACCGAAGGCGGAATCCACCGTGAACTCCGCCGTGTAATGGACTTTCTCCGCTTTTGAATTCGATTTCTTTGACCAATCTTTTAATACCGCCGCTTTACTCTTCTTCGGCTCATTCGTTTCTGTTAAAAAAAAGTTTGAGAAAATGTTGTGGATAATTAGCGGAAATTACAAAAAAAAAAAAAGAATATTTGATAATATATTTTTTTTTTGTTGTTGTAGTGACTTACTTGGATCAACTTGAGTGCTGATAAGCTCCAAGACGACATTTCTACCGATTTTATCAGTAAAAGCATCCAAATGCTTAACCAGAGTCTCTTTAAAATCTTGCTTGTTCTTGTTCCTCACCGTCGCAACCGCTCTCACCTTAAACTTCACCGCCTTCTCCTCTTCCTCCTTCTCCTTCTTTTCTTGATTCCTACCGACAGTGCTAATACGCAGCGTTTTGACCAAATCCTCGCTGATCGCCGCCACGACGCTTCCGGAGACAGCGGCTCTCATCGGTCTCGGGTCAAAAGGGTTGATCGAGAATTGCGTTCTCTGCGTCCTCTTCTTGATGGATAAACGCGACTGAAACGGAGAAGAAGACGACGCGAGTGATGATCTCTCAAAGATCAGACGAGAACCCATAATCTCTTTAGCTAGAGCCATTAACAACTTGTGAATTAATTAATAAATAAATAAATCTTGAGTTCTCAAAAGTGATGAGATTTGCAGAAAAAGGTTGAAGCTTTCACAAAGAAGTTGAGAGCTTTATTTGGTGCGTTATGATGATTACAAATAATCGGCAGGTGATAGCTATTTATATATGCCTGAAGCTTAGAGAGAGAGAGAGAGAGAGGAAAGAGAAATCTTGGTTCTCCGTCCACACGTTTTTTTAATTGGAATATTCGTAGTTACCTCTTTTCTTTCAGTCAATCACCACATTTTTATTCCTCTGGTAACAAAAAGGACCCGAATTTTTCAAAATAGATTTTCTGAATAATACGGACACTTTAAAGTTCCAACTTTTTATTTGAACTGAATGTTCAACTCAAGTTTTTTAGTATTATTGATGATGATACCTTACTTCTTTTCGAAAAATACTTTTGCATCACTAAATTGTCATTTTGCTACAGTAAAATTTTAGAAGACTATTTTTTTTTATTAAACAAAAAATGATTGATGTTCTTTATTTTTTTTTAAGCTTGTAATTGTGAGTCAAACTGAGTTCCGAGTCAGACACAAACGCGTCTGAAAAGGTTAAAGGAAGCAAACGAGAAACCATAAAATGACTCGGAATCTCTTATAACTGTTGAATGACAATTTTGCCCCTGGTCTTTTCCGTAAATGGTGATTATATCCCGGGATCGTCATAGAAAGTTGACCATGGCTTTTAATGGATTAAAAAATGAAAAAAAAAAAAAAACAGCACAAGTGAAGTGAATAAATAATTCGACATCGAACTTTGAAGATTGGTTTGTGATAGTTTGATGTAACACTGTTTTATGAAAAAAAAGTATCAAATAATTACAGCGAAATAATTTAATCGTAACCCGAAATGGTGTTTATATCCCGGGCTCGTCAAAGAAAGTTGATCATGTCTCGGACATATATATTTTACACGTGAGAAACATTAGAAAACTACCATTGAGTACCCTATATATATATATACTGTAAGAAAAACAAAATATCGAAGTATTGTATTTATACGCACGTAATCACTAATAAAAATCATAAAACTAAGCTAATACAGTATACATGCATGCAAACTATATACAAGATGACGTTTCAAAAGTCCAATAACACTCTGCTCGCTTTTTCTGGATTAAATTCCTTTTCTTAATTAGTTAATCATGTTATCTGATTCTTTTGAGGAAGCTCTTCTGCAAACACATATATATGCATATTTAAATCCAATTATCCAAAAACAGAGTATAGAATCAACTTTACGTACAATTAGTTAACAATGCTCACACTACTTTTAAGAAGGGATAATCTTTCCTCTGTAGAGTTTTCAAGGATTAAGAGTATGTATAAGTCGGTATAGGCTTATAGCCACCATTTTGGTACAACAAGTTGCTCACACGCCGCCTCTTGGGTTTGGCCAATGTATAGTCTCGCTTTATGTAGATAATTAGTTTAAGAAACTTCCTTAAGACTTATAATATTTACTTATTAGTCTATAACAGCGCCTACTAAGAAGAGAAGCATATTTTAGCCTCCCCAAAAAAGAGAGAAGAGAAGCATATACACGTTCGTCTAGGTGCTCCCTTTGTATAGAGAAATGTGTGAATGTGTATAAGGAATGAAGGATTTGTGCTTTTTATCTTATTGACAACTTTAAAATTGTTTGACTAAAATTCTGCATAGACCATCCAAATAGTTTGACACGACTAGTCTACAATGGCATTTAGACTATTTAGTTCAAATAGTTTCTTTAGTCTCGGGAGAATAATCAGTTGATAAAACATGTAACGGATCTTAAAACATATGATGAGTCGTGTTTCATCAAACGTAGCAGTGAAATCGAATTTCGATCCAACTAGCTATATATTTGGGGAACAGAAGTGAAACAATTTTGAGCTACAGAGCTATGGTGGCTCTAAACAAATTCTGTATAATTGTTCTTTTTCTCCAACGGTTTTGTATTTGTTTATGTATTTAATAATTCGTTTGTGTTTATATTAATCCTTTTGACCAATTAGTGTGGTAGATGTTGCGGAAGCATGGTCGTATTATATTGGTCAAGTATCAAGGCTTTGTCTCCGGCATCGTGAACAAGTCCATGCTAAACAAATAAACAATCGCTAATTCGCTATGACTTCCACGAAAGATTATACCTACAAAGTCAAAACAAATACATATATATATATTATATCTATGTGTCTATTTTTTCTTACACCATAAATATGTTTGTTTTTTTAACCATATATACGTGTGTGTTGTTGAAACACAAAAACCTTTATATCAATATTTATTCTGCATATATATATATATAATGTATACGCTGTCTCTAATTTGACAATATCGTGGTATATTAATACTCGTTACCTTTGAATAATATCATGCCACTTTAAATAACTGTTCATTTGAACTCTTTCTCACACCTAAGAATTTCAATAGCAAATATTCAAGGATTTGCCTTTTTTGGTTGTTGTAAATTTTCAAATTACAAACAAACAAAAGAATGCAAGCACGTGTCATATTTTTCGTGAATGCCTTTGTGGGCCACGCAAGATCTAGTCCCAATTTCATTTTTCAACTAATAATCTGGTCCTTTTTCATCTTATAAAATATTTATTTGAAAAAAGCGTATATTGTATTTAACCGGAGTAGCCCTGTTGTGAGATACAACACGATTTAAAAATGGGTTAGCAACCACACGAGAGTAGATTTGGTCTGTTTTATGGGTTGAGAATTGACTCCAACGTACTAATTTCCTAAGTATATACTTGTTATCAACGATCTCCGACCAAAATAAAAAACGAAGCAACAAAATTGGCATTATGTGGTGCAGTGTGGCACCGTCCAAGAAGAGTAGGGCTCCAAAACAAACGGAACTGGCCAACAAACTAAACTGGAGCTAATTACAATATTGACACTTTTCTTTGCATCAAAGACTAACAACTTATGATAGTTCATTTCATTAAGCGAGTTCATGAGAAAAAATTCGCATCAATATACGAAATGTAATGAAATGAATTGTTGGCTCGTTCTCAAAAAAATAAAATATATATATATATATATATACGAAATGTAACTTAGATCAGATTTACATAAGGATTATGTTCGAATCAAACTAAATAATATTTTATAACTGGATCAAAAAGAAAAGAGAAATATACAAATAACTATATATATATACTTCCACAGTTGAAAATATGTGCCTTTGAAGTTTTCTTTGGTACATTTCAACAGCAAAAGATGATAGCTTAAATACTAGTAATTTTTAGGAAAAATATACCTCGTAATGTGTAGTTCAGAAATTTCCCCCGCCAGAGTTGACTTCCACCGCCGGATATTCAAAAGTGGATGGCTCCGGACACTCAAGAATCGAGGATTCCATTGCCGGAGACAAAAAAATTGATGGCTCAGCAATAATTGCAGTTCAACTTCATCTTCTACTTTTCTTATTGTCTAAGTTCTTGTTTAAACACAAACGAAAACATAGAAAATATTTGTAGAAGAATATAGAGAACGATATATATAGAAGTAAAGTAGATGGAGAAAAATTGAGAACATAACATATATATTAACATCTCCGAATATACGTTTTTATAGAAATTAGAGACGTAATATGTGTTTCTCTACTTCTTACAGTAGACACAGAGCCCCAAAACCACCCTCATTAGAATTAATTAATTAACTCTTGATTAATTATAGCTAAAACATTCCAAAATGCAGACTGGCTTAAATGATTGAATCCAACAACTTCTTTGTCTTGTAGTAACTTGTCTTCTCTTTCTTTCCATATTTTCCTTATTTCTTCAGTTTGGTTTGAGAAACTGAACAATGATGAACCAAATCCCTTCCCTTTAATTATAATCTCCCCAAGAGGTTCCACATATCTCATAACAATGATGGATAATCACTCGAACTTGCTCTATTCGCGATGTCAAAAGTGTCCAGAGCATTCAGATGGAAAATCGGGTTTGAAAAAAGTTGGAGCTAGCTAAAAACAGCCAAGTCAAATTCTTCAAAACCCCTACAATACGCTCAGGAATCTCACCTTCTGTCTGAAGAGAGATTGTGAAACCTGAGGACAAGAGTGGAATGCATGTAAGACCGAATCAACAAAACCATTTAAATTATTTTATGCATATTTATTAAGTTCATTTAATCAATTCTAAAGTAAATGACTAGAAAAAAAAATTGCGATGATGATATACGTATGATTCCACTATTTTACAAAGTGATTAGTTGAACTAATCATAAAAGTTTAAGTATTTGGTTGACTAAACCCTGAAAATGATGGTGCCTATGATCAACCCAATCTTTCAACGAGAACCTCTCAAACCACACATTTCGCTCTCGTTTCTATTTCCCAATCAAACATAGAAGTACTTATGTCTTCACGTTTCAATATGTGGTGTGTATTCTAATGATTAATCAATCATTTCTTCTATACATTCGTGAATTCAACCTTTCATAGCTACTAACTTCGAGTAATTCTCAACTTGAATCTTCTCGATTCTAACCCTTGCAATAAATGTTGTTGCTTCAGCTCGCGTGCAGGATCCTTATTGTCACATTCCTAATATTGTTGTGCCAATCTATGATCCAACTTCTGTAACCTTCAAAGACTTAATGATCGAATCAGTTTCCTCCTTTTTAACTTATTATGTCATTTTAAACATACATATATACCAAAGCAATACAGTAAAGTGTATATGCCCGATACGCAGCATATGCATATTGATATTGTGGTAACTCCTAGCCAAGAAACATAGAAAATGAAACTTCAGAGTTCATTTCTCTTTTTGACTAAATTTATTGTTAACTTGAGACTTTCAATACACATAAATAGAAACTTGTGTTGTGTATGTCTTACTCTTTATTTATCGCATGTAATCCCAGCTTCAATTGAACCCTTCCTTCCACCTTCTAATTTTTATTCGTCCCTTCTTGGTTCGGTTTGATTGTATATCCTAAGAAGATGTGTAGCAAGTTGAAGGAAAGCTTATTTGTCAAGTAGACGAAATGTCTAATCGATGTAAGTTAGCCAATTTGTGAGTGCCTACACGTTACAAATATGCCCAAAAAGACTCTTTTTTGAAAATTTCTCATCATAGAATAAATTCCAAATTTTAGAAACTACATATTGTGAGTTAGTGAATATTGGATTACCAACCCATCTACTTGCTTTTTTCTATTCTAAAAAACATACATCAAATGTCATTTCTCGATTCATACGTTACACTGTAGTCATTTGATCAGAATAAATAAAAAAGGTTTTTAAAAAAAAAATCAGTGTCTTGTCTAATGGTGGCTTAATTAGAAGCACCTTTTTTCATTTCTATTGTGTGATAAAGAATCATCATAAAGATAAGCATGGTCCTACTTACCTTCGCCGATTTTTGATCATACATGTCTTTTCTAAATGATACTAAATTACTACGAATCTTCTTTTTTATCATCTAGATTTAATCGAATAGTATCAACATTATTTTGTTCTTGTTTAGCTAAGCACATAATGACACAATTCCGAACCTTTAAAGTTATTAGCAATTGGGAAAAAAGAATAAAGAAAGAGAGGTTAAGAAAAACACACAGAGCAAGAATTGTTCTTTTAAAGCATTTTAGCCCAAAACTTCAACCAAATGTACACAAATCCGGCAAAAACACATTCAGAAACCAATTTTGGTTACTGACGAAAATTTTACAATCTGAAAACCGGATCCTTTCCAGGTGGTTGTCCCTAAACCGACGGTTATTACCCGATTTAAACACTTTTTTTTTTTTTTCCAAAGATGAGCTTTCTCTAAGTCAAACTGGCGAAACAGCTATCAGACCTAGCCAAAACATTTGAAACACAATCATCATCTTCGTCTTTAGAAGGACTACTAGGCATTGACCTTAGCATTCTTGGAGAATCTAAGCTTCTTCTCAAGATCTGTCTCATCGCAGAGATCAAATGTCCTGTCGGATTCGGAGGTGGGCTTGAGGATTTGAACTTATAACACATGTTCATGTGTCTAGCCATGGCTTCCTCTGTAGTTAGCAATCGTTTTGTTCTTACAACCTCGTACTTGACAGCTTCAGAACAGAGACCACAGATCCATTTCCCCATGTAACGCTCTCTGATCATCTCTATGTACGACTGTGTACACTCCTCGGTTAATCCGCAGCAGTCACACGTCACCTGCTCTGGCTCGTCGCCGGATACTTGTGTAGCCGATGCCGGAGATGGCTGGTGAGAAACGATTATTGCCTCTGGTGTTGAAATTAGCATTGTTGGGTCATTTATGAGACTCGTAGTCATGGTTTCTCGACTGTTCGAAGATTTTGACCAAACAAAGGGTTAGAATCACATTCAAGATTTCATATCGTTAAAACAACCGAAACAAAGAATAGAATCAAGAAGAGAATATTTACCAGTAGAAAGAGATGAGAATGTAACGCAAGTTGCTTGTGATCTTCCTGTTTGTCTCTGTTTTCTGAAACAGAGGAAAGATTTTAAAAAGAAAAACTTTTTTTTTTGAGGGTTTTCTTTGACGAAATTGGGATTGCTACTATCTTTCGTTTTCCCACTTTCCGTCTTCTAAATTCCCTTCTTCTCGAAGGAAAATTTCACAAAACAAAACCATTGCAAAAACAGTAAACTTAAAACACACAAATGAAATGTTTTTTTTTAAATGTTTTTTTTGGCTCCTCTTGATATCAAATCAAAAATTACCCTTTCTTTACGACACGGAAAAAACCCTAGTAGTTCATAAAAATCCACGAATCTCCGTTTCAGAAGAAAGAAAGAACCCAAATTGGAAATACTTGGAGAGAGAGAGAGAGAGAGAGAGAGAGAATGTGCAGGCGAAGAGAAGCAATGATTGGTGTTTTAAAGGGTAGAAGAAACTGTGGAAAAAGGAAGAAGAATAGTATAAGCCACGTCAGCTATTTTGATATTCTGATAGCTTAATCCTCACCGTCTATCTGGAGTTAGCCAGCTGGCGACGAGACCGACCGCTTCTCCAAACATATTCACACAAAAAATGAATTAAATATGTTTTCTTTACTTCAGCCGTTTCGGTTTGGTTTTCGTTTGACTAACTTAGCTAATCAGAAATCGCCATGTGGTACGTGACGCCATTTTCCAACCAATTTTATTGTTCAGCTATGCACGAAACAACATATTGTATACAGTTAATCATGGCATTATTTTTGCTAATATTAAATTTATGTACTAGTTTTGAGTTTTATCTTAAGGAGGATTTGTTTTTCTTTAGTTAGTTTATTACCAGTAACTTTTACTCAGTCCGTTTATATTAATTGGTGTTTTAATTAAACATTTTTCGAATTATTTGTCGTTTTATATTTTTAATGTCAAACTTTAATAAAAAAATTCACTTTTATTTTTATTTTATCAGTTTATTAATTAATAATATATCAAATAAAATATATTAAAAATCAATACAACAATAACCCTTGTGTTTTTCTAGTCTTTCTAGAAAAAGACACATCAGCATTTTCAAAATTTTGACACATCAGCATAAATGAAAAACTAATCAAAATAAAACATTAATACACATCATATAATATTATTTGACACATAGATAAATTCATTTTTTTTTCCAAACTCATGAAAAAGCCCACTAACTAATAAAGACATATTAATTAGGGAGAATTGGCAAAATGTCTAATTTAAATTTTTAAATTTGAAAAGTACACTATTAGTTATATTTTTAAAAATAACACTTATTTAATATTATATAAAAACAAATAAGTTTTTCTTTACCTAGCTTAAAAGAGATATTACATATTTTAATAATTTAAATTAAAATTCGAAATTATTAATATTAATTTATTTGAGAAATTTAAAATCTGAAATAATTAATTATAATAATAATTTATTTTAGACAATTAAAATTCGAAATTATCAATTTAAATATTTAAAAATTCATTTCTAACAAAAAAATAGTTTATTAGTGTATTAATTAGATATTTTTAAACTAAAATTATTTTGGTTTATCATAAAGTTTCTAAGAGTTAGATCTAAATATAATTTAGTAAAAGATCAAATCAAATGATATATAAACTGCAATGATGATTCAAATTCCAAAATTATGTGTCTTCATTCTTTTATTTATTTTTATATATTTATTTATATTTTTAATTAAGATATTAATCAAATTCCAAAATCAAGTGTATTCATTCTTATCTTCATTTTATATATTTATTTATATTTTAATTAAATATTTAAAGTATTACCAATTTTTAGTTAGATTAGTTTAGACATTTCACTAAAAAATTAAGCATAATTAAAAAAAAATGAACAATTGTGTAGTTTTCAAAATACAATCTCTTTTGAAGGTATTTTTTCCAAATTTTCTCTATTAATTAATACATCAATTTAGTGGACTAGTTTAAGAGTATCTAAATTTAGTCGTAACACTGATAATTTGTTTTCAAGATTGGAAACGGCTACATACGTATGCATCAATATAAAATCAGTGTAGTAGTGTTTGAGTTATATACTTATATTTTTTCATCCATAAACTATATACTATATGTTCATTCTATATATACGATAAATATATAATGAATTCTATCAAATTCATCCGTAACACAGCCGTGAAGGTCTGAATATCACCACACACTCCTTCTAAAGAAATAGAGATACAATATAGGACGGAGTGGAATTTTCAACATAGCCTAAGGTGATCAAGGATATATATTTACAATCGTATCTGGTAAATGAAGAATCCATTTGCTTACAATCGTATCTGGTAAATGAACCGTTTATAAAACTTGATGTTGATTAAATTTTAGTAAAAGAACTTAGATTGAACTTCACCAAGTTGGACATGGTATCCTATTCTCCAAATTTATGTTCACATATTAAAGATCAGTTTATAATATATATATATATATATATCTGTGAACATAAACTTACGTTTTCTAACCATTTCGAAATTAAACAAAAATTGACGGGCGTTAAAAAAATAAAAACCATAGGTTTAGTCGGTTTGGACAAGTTAGTCGATTTAGAACATTTTGCTTACCGGCACCGGTTTCAGAGAATGTCAATTTTGTAACTTTAAAAATAATGTGATTAAATAAAATTTCAAGGAAATAGAGTAAACTTTATAAAAAGTCAACTCATCGAAAAAGAGATATATATCATTTGAAATAGAAACAAAATAGTACAATTTTGATGGAAAATTGTTGAAAATATTAAAAGAAAAATTATTATTATTTATTAGAAATTCATTAAAAATTTACAATTGTAACTGAAGTTAAAGAGCACCAAAAAAGCAAAATTTGAAAATTAGTAGAAGAAAAATGAACGTTAAATGATAATGGCTGAAAATACTAAAAGATAAGAAAAATGAATGGCTAAGTATGACAATTGATTTATTATCATTTTTGAAAGTAAGAGAGACATGATTTTGTCTAAAAAAGAGAGTGACATGATTATTTATAAGAATAAAAATAATAGAAACATAAGTGTTATAAGAAGGGTTTAGTAGAATAAATTAACGAAAATCAAGACAAAAAAGATAAGTCAAAGATAACCAAACTCATTTTGCACTCAATGTAATACTAAGATAGACAAATTACATGGCTGTTTAGTTGAAAATGATATCATAGATGATTAAAAGATAGTGAGTTATACCAATGATCGAATAGAAATACGGAGACTGGGAAAGAAATGTGATATTCATAGAAGAATTAGTAAGGAGAGCAGCTAAATTATATTCATTAAAAAATGATATAATTTTGAAAAATATACTGTGAGTAAAAGAAAATAAATGTAAACAAATTCAAATATAAATAGATAACATGTTAGCTTTGAGTGTGGTTTTATGAATAAATGATGTATTCAAATTAAAAAAACTTAAAAAATAAATAGATATATTTTTTAATGATGTATAAAAAAATTAGACGATGTTAGAGAATTAGAAAGAAATGTAAATTAAACAAAAAATATAATAACATTCTTATTTGATTTTGTTTAAAATAATAATTGTTTTCAAAATCTTATATCATTGTATAAAAAAATAATAATAATAATAATAATAATATTAAAAATTTATTAATTATATATAATTAAATTTTAGTTAAATTATTTATTTCTGTATCTATTTTTATTTATTAGAATATAATATAAATTAATAAAATAAACTATAAAAAATTCTGCAGTATCACGCGGGTATATACCTAGCTATTTTTAAAAATATACTATGAAATCACCTTAAACGACACAACTAATATAAAACGGGAATGAGTGAATGTTATACTAATAAATATATACGATCAAATCAAGTCATTAGCTGTTAATTGCGTGTTAATCGTGGCAACATTTAGCACCTTTCTGTTGCCAAATGCTCCAAAATCCAAACCCAGTGCGGTGTCTTCAGCAGTAGCCAATTATTGATTATAAACAATAATTGAATTATTTACTAGCCAAAAATTGACAAACCATGAATTTTGTTTTCGCAGTAAACCACGCATAGTTTCATTTTCATACACGAATTAATGATTTTTAGTCGAAATAAAAATTTGAAACTATAAAGACATGTCATCAACTCTTATCCAACGGAGTAATTACTGGTTAATTAATTATATTACACTTCGACTGTGTTACTACACTGCACGTACCTTGTTAAGAAAAAATCGATAAATACATCTAATTTCGAGAAAGGAGTGTCAAGAAATCAATTTTGTGAGCGTATATATGCTTACACCATACCCTCCTATAAATGTTATTCTCAGAAGTGGCTTGCAAAAAAAGAAAATTTAGAAATATTATTATGCAAAAGACATATATAATGGCCACGTATATAATTCATTTTTTTTTTTTAGTTGAATGATTGCGTGGAATAATAATTAAACGAAAGGATATGCCTTGTTGGCGATTCCTTATAGATCCAATATACACCTTATGGCCAATAAGGAAAGAGCAAGTTGCAATAATTTTTTAATGATTTCCTTGTTACTTTAATAGTGATATTATTTGATAGAATAAAGAAACAGTTGATCGACGTTGACAAAAGAAAAGCAACAGATCGACGAATATTTTGCCAAGCAACCGCAAATAGAAATAGCCAAACAAATTGTTTGGGTTTGGCCGATTCAGGTTCAGGTTCAGGTACATAGAATGATAGAGATGTATGGTTGTGCATGTACTAATAGTATTATGCTATATTACTATTATCAATAGAGCTAATCCGAAACAATAAAATTAAAAGCCAAAAGCAAATAGATAAACTTCTAACTGTATTTCACTCATTATAACTCAATGTTGACAATTAATGATTCAGGTAATGTATAGTTACTTGGTTATAGACTTATAGTTATGCCATCGTTAATCTTTAGCGTCCATTCTAGTATGTTCTAGAAACATATCTTAGGAAAAAGCATGAACTGTGAGATCTTGCACGTTAACTTCATCCAGCTCGAATCTGATATACGAAGCAAACATATATTTATAGACAAAAAAAATATTATAAAATGTCAATTATGAAGCCGTCATATCAAAAGTGTTCACATTGATCGGATGGGAAATCTTCAAAGTGTGTTTCACGTGTATGATATATTCACACAAACCCATACATTTACAGAGACAGATTCGTGGATGTTGTCCTTGCATTTGGAAAAGAATGGCCTTTCAACATTTTAATTTAACTCATGTTTCTATATAGTTCGATGACGAAAAAGGGTCGTGTTAATACTTAAGATTAAGAAAATAGTATTTGGAAATTTTAAGGCTTAAGTCTAGGATTTAGTGTAATTTAATATAGGTCAACTCCAAAACTGGATGCGTTGTACGATAACAATATACAGTAGAAGAAGAAGAAATCAAAGATATATTATGTAATTCACATCTAAAGTAAGATGTTGACGTGACTTGACTAATGCATAAGAAAATCTGACTAGAGAAATTAAAGACAAAATTAGTTCCGGAAGTGAAGGGCCATGAGTCCATCACACAAAAGCAGAGCCGTCAAGCCAACAAAATTCCAAAAAATAATTTTTCACCGTTGATCAGAAATATAGTAGACTGAGTTTCTAACATCTACATTTTTAAAAAACATGTTCAAATTTTTTGACATTTACTTTTTAGTCGAAACTTTGTAAATGAGAGAATATAGGCTATCTTTACAAGAAAAAAGAAAAAAAAAACTTTATAAGTGAGAATATAGACTATATCACCTTTCAAGCTACAATCATTTTAGAAATTTATAGTTTCTATTTTTAGAAGGAGAAAAGGGTAGCAGATAAATAAAGAAACATTGGTTTCTTAAGAACTAAAAACAATAAAATAATCTAGTTGATATGCATTTGGTTTCGAGTCTTAAGAGGTGTTATTGGTTCTTGTATTTTAATGGATTCGAGAATCCAAATCAAATTCAGTGTTATTGGTTCTTGTATTTTAAAATTTATATTGAAATACAGTGTTATTGGTTCTATGATTTTAAAATCTATAATGAAATACAGTGTTATTGATTCTATCATTTTAGAATCTAAATATTATAAGGATTTGAGTTTTAATTGAATTTGAATGGATTTGGAAGGATTTTCATGACTAAAATACAAAGACTCAAATACAAGGTCTAACCTTGATATTTGAGTGGATTTGATTTTTTTTCCATTTTGTTGATTTTAAAATTAATAAATTTATCAAATCCAAAGAAGATTTATAAATCCACCAAAATACAAGAACCAATAACCCCTACTTAGTTTTATTTGATCCTTAAAACATCCAATCTAAAAAAGTGATATTGGGCCTCGTCTTAGGCATCTGAGACCAGAATGAGTAGTGATATTGGGCCTCGTCCAATCTAAAGAGTGATATTGGGCCTCGTCCTAAGCATCGCTTTGTATCTTTATTTTGTTGTATAGTGAATACGAGTGGCTGACAACAACAAAAAAAAAAAAAAAAAAAAAGTGAATACGAGTGAGTGATTTTCTCATGTATCGAAATATTTTTATATTAGAAAAACCGGAATTATGTAAAGTAAATCTCCATAAACTTATTAGTAAAACCCTGTTTTTGCTTTCGGGATAAAGAAGAACTAGTACTATAAGCATAAATCATTTAATTAGTTAAAGTTTTCCACAGAAAATAATAATCAATCAAAAGAGTTGGTAATGACACCGCACATACCTGTCGTCTTACAAATGATTGTACTCATCTCGTTAACCGGGAAGTGATTATTTTATATACAAAGAAATAAAGATTGTTTCACGCTTATATTATTTCAGTCGATGACACGTAGCTGAAAATACAAAATTACAAATGTTATAAATTTATTGCATTGACTGGATTATCAAAAAGATAAACAATAAAACAGCGACATCAAGTAATATCATAACGTCGAAAAATAAATAAAAATCGGAATGTCAGCACTGTGGTTGCCCCGACGACGACTGGTTAGTGGTTACAACTTCATTTTATAAATAAGGTAGGACCGACTCAAATCTTAGTGGACCAACGCATAGATTAAGTAATTAAACTTAGGCCAATGTTATTAATTATCATATTATGGGTATTTAGTAATGGAAAGCGTGGCAGACAGCAATCCGTTAAATCAGGTTTTTCTCAACTCTTAAATTAAAAAAAGCTAACTTTAATTTTTATATATCTTTTCAAAGAATCTATTTATGCCAAATAATTTGGCTAATTATGCAAATGAAATGTGTAATCAGTATTAGAAACTCTCCGATAGGGATGAGTAACGAGTATAAAGTATAAACCACGTTAAATTTTCAACCTATTATAGAAATCATAGCTTAAAATTAGAGTAGACGCATATTCGATATATGAATATAAAGCTGTTACTATAAAATAAAATCTAAAGAAGTTTGTTTTGTTGGTAATAATTGTAATTTATTGTACATGGCCTACATGTCTAATGATTTGGTTCGCCGAATGGACATCGAGCATCGTTGTCCGATCTCGACGTGGAAATTCTGAACATTTTTCTTAAAACATCTTTTTATTTAGCAATCTTTATTTATTATATTGCAAGCAAAAGTGATACTGTATATAGTCAAATGTTAATGTATAACTAAACTTTTTATATAAGGTGCGATATTTTTTTAAGAATTCTTATAGATACAGTATGTAATAACTTTTTGTGAGTACTATAGTAATAAACTAAAAAGCAAATACGAAATCCACAGTACAATTGTCATGTAAATTCTTTTGGGCCAAAACATTAAATACTGATAGTGAGACATTTTTCTCTTCTGATAGACTGTAGAAAAAGTGAAAAAAATTAAACTACAAAAATTTAACTGATACTATTCTTTTAATTATTAAAGTTAACTTCTGTAATCTTGAAGTTAACATTGATATTCTCCAAGCCTCCTAATGTTGCATAATAAACCCAAATTTTAGGGGATTAATTTGCAAACCCACAAATTGGGAATATAATTTTGTGAAATTGTATAAGTTGGAGAATTATTTTTTAAATTATCTGTTAAAAAAATAATAATCCGTGACTGTTGTGGCGGCAGGATACTTTCCACGTGTAAACTAACCATTGGATAACACATCCCACTTATTAAAAATCTGATGTTGCCGTTCCTTTCACCGGCCGATTTAAATCCCCCTTTAATCACGCACCTAAAATCTCTTCAGTTTCTCACTCTCCGCATCTTTTTTCTTTCTTTTTTTTTTTGCTCTCATCACCGCCGGGAAAAAAAAATCCCGCCGGAGAAAAATGTCAGAAGATTTCGCAATTCGAGTGGAGCAAGGTCTTAAGCTCGCAAGACGGATTTACTACGGCAAAGGCATCACTCCTCCTGCAGTCCCGGATCCTCCTCAGTCATCGCCGGAGAATTTTCTTCCGACGGCGATTACGGCCTATGCTTCAATCACAGATCCGGTGGCGGTGGATAACGCCGACGTGCCTAGCTACCAGCCGTACGTGCACGCACGTTGCGATCCGTCGGCGCTCGTGCCGCTTCAGATGCTCGGGATAGAGATGAGAGTAGAGTGCTGGCTCGACACGGCGATAGTCACCGTCACCGGACGGTGGCGCGTGCACTGCGTTATGCCTAGCAAACGCTTTGACTGCTGCGTCGCTGTTCCCATGGGGGAGAAGGTAATTTTCAATTTACAGCAAAAACGACAAAATCTACTTTACCTGTCCTTACCTTTTATAGCATAGCTTTACAGATATTTTTACTATTTAAATTCTATATATTCATTCAGACACTGAGTCACTGAGTTTTGTCTTAAAAAAATGCGTAATTTTCTAGATATTTTGTGGATAATTAAAAGACATTGATGTTTTTTCGGATTAACAGGGTTCACTTCTGGAAGCTCAGATTGATGTTCCGAGCAATGAGAAATCTTACTTGACCAAACTAGTTACAGAGGAAGAAACCTCTGATTTTGATAATGTTCACAGAGACAAAGATTCACGTTTCTTGAAATCTTCAATCTTTACTTTCAAGATCCCACATGTTAGTTTACCCCTCTTTGCTGTAGATTCTGATAACGATATAAAAGGAAAGTGGAAAAACAATGCTGAAGAAAGCTTTGAATGTTTTTTTTTTTGTTTTGTTATGAATAATAGGTTGATGGAGGATCCATCTTTTCGGTTAATGTGAAATGGTCTCAGAAATTGGTCTACAAAGACGGCAAGTTTCATCTGAATATACCTTTTAGATTCCCTGCTTATGTGACCCCTGTAGGGAAAGAGATCACTAAACGAGAAAAGATTGAGTTAAACATGAATTCTTGTGTTAATGGCGGCGAAATAGCTTGCAGTTACTCAAGCCATCCTTTGAAGGTATCATTTGTTACTACATCAAACAGCTTTTCAAATTGATACACTATTGGATTGTGTAACGTGTCATCATTTCCAGGTGCTTCGCCGTGAAGCTGGTATGTTAAACTGTGAGTACGAAGCTGAAGTACCATCTTGGTCAAGGGTTGACTTTAGTGTTTCATTCAATGTGAGTGAGATTTTCTTGATTCCTCTCTGAAGCATCTTTGTACTCTTCTTGTTCTTGTTCAGATTGATGATATCAGGATCCTTCCACAGGTTTCCTCTGGTGATCTTAGTGGCCATGTTTTGGTCAAGTCTCCATCACCGTGGGATCCAGATGAAAGGGGAATGTTCTGTTTGTATCTTTTCCCTGGAACCACCAAGCATAAGCAGATCTTCAAGCGAAGAGTCGTGTTTGTGATCGACATAAGTGGAAGCATGAAATGGAAGCCGCTCGAGGATGTAAAGAAGGCGCTATTAGAGTCTTTGGCGAAGCTAGAAGCTGAAGACGTTTTCAACATAATCGCCTTCAATGACGACATTCTAGAGTTCTCAACTTCAATGGAGTTTGCAACAGATGAAACTATCTCTTCTGTGACTGAATGGCTCGATAGTAATCTAATCGCAAGTGGTGGAACAAACATGCTACTTCCACTCCAACAGGTCCTTGTCTAAAACCTCTGTTACTATCTTATCTCTTACCAAGATCTAAGCTAAGACTTGTAGACTCTCTTCATAGGCAATGAAGCTTCTTGAAGGAAGCAAGAATGGAGTTCCTCTTGTATACCTTGTCACTGATGGATCTGTTGACAATGAGAGAGAGATATGTAATGCCATGAAAGAATGTTGTAGCAGAAACGGAAAATCGATTTCTCCTCGGATATCAACCTTTGGCATTGGTAAGTATAAGTTAAAAAGTATACTCTGCTTTTGCTTCTCTTATACAAAATACCAAAATCTTGATTGCAAAACAATTCCCTCGCAGGTTCGTTTTGCAACCATTACTTCTTGCAAATGCTAGCGCGGATAGGGAATGGTTACTATGATGGCACGAACAATACAGGTAAGTTGTAATGTGCGCAGTGGTTTATTTCTGGTTTATATTCAGAATCAAGAAACTAAAAAACGTTTTCTTGATTTGTGTTAAACAATACACCTAGCCAGATTCATTCGAGCATCAGATGAGTAGACTATTCGATTCAGCTTCTTCAACGATTGTAGCCAATACCACTTTCGATGCTCTTAAACTACTCCGTTCAGTCGAGGTACTTTTACAGCTTCAGTACAAAACAAATCAAGTTTTTGGATTTCTTTCTTGACATTCATCTTTGTCTTTTGCAGCTGTTTCCTTCTAAGGTTCCAGACATTACGCTGGGCCAACCATTGATCTTGTCTGGAAGATACAAAGGAGAGTTCCCAGATGAAGTTGAACTCAGAGGCACATTGGCTGATATGAGCTGTTTCACAATTGAGTTAACAGTGCAGAAAGCTAAGGACATTCCTCTAGATAAGGTTACTTAATTACTGTCATATAACCTCGAAGTATACTACGAAACCTCCTTTTTCTAACTTTAAAATTAAAAAAAAAAAACAGGTTATTGCAAGGAGACAAATCGATGAACTCACTGCTCGAGCATGGTACGAAGACAAGAAAGAGCTAGAAGAGAAGGTGCAGGAGTTTGTCATTTGACAGTACTGATGGTCTTGTGTTCTTTTAAGTAACTTTACATCTTTTTTTTTTCACTTGATCAACAACAGGTCACGAGACTGAGTATACAAACAGGGTTTCCTAGTGAGTACACGCAAATGGTTCTATCACTCAAACAAAACGAGGAAGAGAAGACTATGGAGAGACCAGTTTCAATCAAAGAGATTCTCAGGAACCCATCGTACCAAATCCACAAACAGATGCAAAGGAACAGCGAGAGGACGAGTTTGCTTGGGAAGCAAGGGTTTGGGTTCGGTAACGTGTTGGCGACGTTAAAGAACGTGCCGCCGTGGATGGAGGAGCCCAAGGAGCCGGAAGGAACTGAGATTCTGATAAGAGCGGCGTCGGGAGTGGTGGATCGCGTTTGCTGTATGTGTTGCTTGCGGTGCCTTTCGAGGGTTAGTGATCAGTGCACAATCGTCTTCTCACAGCTTTGTGCAGCATTGGCTTGTTTCCAGTGTATTGGTTGCTGTTTCGAAGTCTGTGGCTGTCTTGATCTCTAATAAAATCCAGGACATTGTATTGTGTAACTTGTAATAGACACAAAATAAAATCAAGGAAATGTAAATCAAATAATGGATTTACTTTCTTGAGGCAAAAAAAAAAAGTGAAAATAATACAACTATAATGTGTAATTAACATTGGAATTCTGATGTAAGCCAAGTTTGAAAATACAAGACTAATGGAGTTGACTAGTAAATATACAGTTCTTGCTTTTTGTCTGAGATGGTCGAGTAGGAAATTGCAAACACATCTGAACAAGAAGACACAGCATCTATGTATGTACTGAATCAAATGTTCCAATTTTGTATATTGCAATTTTGTAACCTTATTGGCTGCCATGTCTGTGATTTTGTGAACGGTACAAGGAGACAAGCTTCTTCATTTTAGGCTCAGCATTCATCAAATTGCCTACTTTTGAGAAACCTTGACAAAAGCTCAAATCTATGATAAATGATAAACACATATCTAAATATGGATTGATTAAAGTCTATGTGTAGTTACATATATATGCTGCCATTTATAACGTAGCAGAACATAAAATCTGATACATTTGAATCCAGCTGTATTAAGATCTTGATTAGCAAGATATATGATTTACAAATACAACTAGGCAAATATTTTAGTTTAGTATTTGTAAAAGAAATATTGGAAAGAGGATCATGATCAGTATTCAAAATTCGGTGCTCAGGTTCAAAGATAGACGAAGAACAAGTACCAATAAACCAATAGGCAGTAAACAAATTCCAACATTGTTTTCTTTATACTACCTCCTAATAAGATTGGATTGTACAGTAATTTTGGACTAAGAGACAAACAGATTTCAGATCCAATGAGAATGAGTGTTTTTGTACATATATTTTTTTAAAAAAATAATAATAACAGTAATTTTAAATTGGTAAAAAAAGGTTATATATTAAAGGGCGTTGAAGAAGGGAGAGTTGAATAGATTTAGAAAGGAAACGGAAGAGAGAAAACATTCCAGAAATGGAAAGATTTGGTAGACTAATGGAAAGATTACAAAACACAAAGAGACCTCGTCATGCTAACTCCATGTGCTTCCCCGTTTTCTTCTTCTTTCTTCTCTGTTTTTCTCTTCTCGATGCTTCTCTCTCTCTAATTACGTAATTTGGACCCTTTATCTTCATTTGACAAGTACTAGACCGTCTGTCAAATTCAAAACTAAATAAAATCAAATGTTGCCGAAAAAGAAAGAGTTGAAATCTTAAACTCCCCTCCACTTGAAATTAATTGTCGTTTTGAAGTTCTTTCACATGATATTATTAGTACACCTATTATACTCTTTATCAGTTTTGAATTTGACAGACGGTCTAGTAGTTTTCAAATTAAGATATATGGGTGTAAACCTTTTTACTAATAAAATTATTTGAAAATTGTTTTTTTGTGAAAATTTTAAGATTCATCATCTTAAATTAGTTGTAACAATACATGCATAAATATTTTAGCTTTGTTTAACATTAATCTATCATAAGATCTTGGAAGCTTTTCTTTGATTATTTTGGATTTTTTTTACGTAAAATGGGATAACAATTACTTTCGATGTATCAAACTAAAATCTGTTACAGGTTCTAGTGTACGTACATATTTTTAAGAATTTTATTTTTCCTTATATTAAAACATTATTAAACATCTACATATAAATAATTCAACAAATAGAAAGAAAAACAGTAGAATACAAAATACAACTAGTTTAATTGAAAAATTGAAATGGAAAAAATTTCTTAAACATCATTTAAATGATAAGGAGAGAGTACATAATTAGAATAATTTGAGCATAAGAGTATATTTTTCTTCTTTGACAAAAGTCACAAAACACACGCTGACGAGTTGCATGACGATTAATTTATGTCAATATAGTACAGTAGTACTTTTGTGCTAAGTTATATAGTACATTTATAATACTTGCAGTAGTTTCATGAAATACAAATTTATAATTCAGATGTCTTACACGTGTTCTGTTTAAAATCACAAAACATCTGAAAACCTCACTTTTTGTTGTTAATCACGATTAGCAAATGTTTAAGAGAACGTAGTAACCATATAAACCACACATTCGTTTCAATAATGACTGTTTAAGTGGTCCCTAATCCATTAATTATCCTTATTTTCCTCCCATTTTATAAACCAATGCAACCATTTATAAACTGTAATGACTCTTAATGCATGCGTGTAAGAGTCAAGTCGCCACAAACACACCGAAAATTAATATAAATTTAATTATTCTCGATTTTGCTAAAGATACTGTTAATTAAATAACAGTACAATCAAAGGAGATCAAAGAGAAGAAGGCGAGAGAAGAAGTTGAAGTAAAAACAAAGTTTCATGGGGACAAATAAGATATGCATGTTTCCTCCAATGATGTTAGTTCATTTGGTAACATGAAACGCCATTGGATTTTGATAGCTTTTGAATTATCTATTTTACATGTAATACGAACACGAGCTTTAACTTACCAGTATTAATCCCGATAGTAGTTGAAATTTATATTGAATATTATTCTGAAATATTTAATCAACAAAAAAAAATTTATTTGAATTTTTATATATAGGTAGATCCATCGATGTTATAAAATAGTAAAAAAAATCTGAATTTAATAAAGATACAGTAAAAAAACGTGAAAACGATGTATTTAGAAAAAATATACAACATGAAATCAGAAATGAAACCACCATAGAAATAGCAGAAATGTAAAAACAAAAAAGATATATTGCTTATCGAGTGCGAAAATTTATACTCTTTCGGTTTTTTGAAATATGTTCTTTTAATTTTTTTTTTATTAAATATGAACGTTATAATTTATAATTAATGTTTTTTATTTTCCAAGAAAAATTAATCAAAAACATATATTATTTTTATGCTGAGTAACGATATTTAAATATCGACTTAAAAAGAGAAAAGGTATTTGGAGTATATTTAATATAGGATTTAAAAGTAAGAAAAAAAATTAAAAAATAAAAGAAACAGATAAAAAAATATTTTAATATATATGTAATGTCTAAAACGACATACTTCAAATAAATAAAGAAAGAATTTGATTCTATCGAATCAAGAGAAAGAATTTGATTCCATCGAATCAATTTTAGGTTACAACTTACAACCATAGTTTCTTTTATGTAAAGGGATGTCTATGAAAATGCATATTTCGATATAAAATATTTGGTATCAAAATGTATATTTCTTTTATGTTAAAGAAGGTGAAATCAAGTAAGTTTTGCCAAAAAAAAAAAAAACTAGTATCAAACAATATAGTAGTAATAAAAAGTCACCAATCAAATACAGTAGAAATAAACCTATGAAAGTAATGTGAATCTCTTGGATTATGTATGGCTAGTGCACGTGGAAGTGAGAGTAGCCGTTGAAAGTCAACCAGACATGTTTGGGAAAAGTTTGCACATTTGGACCCACCAAGATTATCCCAGGGAGGCTACCTTTTAAGTTTTACCTCAAGAGTGTCTCTCTCTCTCACCATTTTACTTTTGGTCATAGTAAAACTGTAACTTTCATGCAAAGGTAAAATTAATTAGCATAACTAAATTCGATCTATGACAAGTGGACAATACATGGGTAGGCACAACGTGGCGACTGTCGATTGGACCTAAGTTCACGTGGTTGGGAATGGTGTGGTGGGCTCAACTCTCCGATGATAAAGCGAGTCTGCTTTTTATTGCTTTCCCTTTGTCTCCTTCTTCTTCTGTTTTCCTCAGTGCTGCTTCTTTCATTTTCTTTTCTTCTTTTTAATTTTTATATTCCTACTTCACTATTAAAGTAACAACGAGAAAAAATGTGGGTGATAATCCAATGGCTTAGTTAGACCATTAAATCAAAATTACACAAATTTGGCGGAAGAGTTTTGATGTACTTATGAAATAAATGTACACATATACACAGCTTTGTAACACTAATGTGAGTGTAAATGTGTAATATTCGGATGATTGGTTAGATTAGATGAAAAGTGTTACACGTACGCCCATATAATTTATTAACATATATGACTCAATTATTTGATGGACAATAATGTGTAGAGAGACTATATAAGCTCTGAGAAATCCAGAGGGCAAGGGGACAATGGCATGAGTTCCTTCGTGGGGTTTGCTTGTTTTAATATTTCACTCTTTCTCATCGTCTCTTTCCCGCTTAGAACTTTCTGAATTTCTCTATAATTTGATGTTAGCCATACAATAATAGTGTGCATATTCTATAGTCTTCTATTGATGATAAGATTTACGTACGAGTGGATGAAAAAAATTAAAGTGCAACTATTTTTGGTCAAGAATACGTTTCGCAACGACGATTCATAAAAAATGTTTTTTTGAGGATTGATTTGTACGGTAACTAGAACATTTGAAAGCTGTTTTAGAAACTTTCTTTCCCATATTCTTTTCCATTACTACGTTTTGACGTAATAATCATATCATTAGTTCTAAAAATGACGATTTGCGTCTGCATTAGACGAATTTAACATTCTACAAATAGTTAATTTAACCGCAGCACGTGGAACCAAAGCGAATGGTTGAATACAGTAATAATACTGAACTTGGATATATATAGTATCAAGCTGTCAGTAAATCACACAAACAGCATATTAATTATAATAATTTAGGGTAGCAAATAATTCATCTCCAGTATATAATGCACAAATAGCTAGGTTTGCAATTGCAAGTGAAAGATCACATAAATAAGTTTTTCTTCATCGTTCTTATTGTTGATTTGTCATGTGGTATATATCCACATCACTTCAAGCAACAACAAAAAGATATCTATATATAGTGACTTCTTCAGCATTTTTCAATGTTATATCTCTAATTTTCTCTTATAATTTAAAAACTATATTTCATCCAAGCACACCCACTAGAAATTAAGTAATCTATATACACCGAATCTATTAAAATGAATAAATGATAAATAATCCATGGAAAGTCACACACAAATTACAAAATGTGTAGAAACCTCTATATCTTCGTGTCAGCATAGTAACCATCCAACGACGATACAATTTTATTTCTAGGGATTCAATCTAATTTTTTCTCTCCTTTTATGGATCGTCGGAAAATGCTAAAAAGAGATTTGAGACTTTATGATGAATCGAAGTGCCGTTATATGAATCGTGATCAAAGCCGTGACGTTCTCTCCGATACAAAATTTAATATTGTTATAATACTCCATTAGATATTAATTATGCTATAATACAAATTAAATACGCACAGAAGAATGTTTCTTTGGGCCTCCATCGTTTTGCATGGGGATATGAGCCGTACGTCGTGAGCTGTATAAAGAAGAGTGTGAGAAAAAAGTTTTATCTGAATAGAAGTTAAACCAAAACCACCCAACCAACTCGGAGATTATTTTAGAAAAACAAAGCTTTTCTTTTTCTTCTTCCTTAGTTTTGAAGAAGTGAATCTGGACGCAGAACTAAGACAGTCCATTTTGGAACTTGAACCATCAATTTCATCAAGAAAGAAAGTTCAAAAATCTTAATTTCTACTTGTATTTAAGCTTCTTGATTCATCAGAAACTCGATTATTTCGTTTCTTTTTTACAATTTTCTCCTCTTCTTAATCTTCTTTTCTTGAGAAACATCTACTCTTATTAATCTTCTGGATCAATAAGACATGAAGGTTCGTTTAATCACTCATATGATCTGTTTAATTAAAATTTCAGATAATGTAACATAATTTACTCATAATGGTTTTTTTTTTTTTTTTTGGTCCAGTTCTTCGGGTGGATGCAGAACAAGCTACATGGGAAACAAGGAAATACTCATAGACCAAGCATATCCTCTACTTCTTCTCGTAAGTTCAAGATTACACAAAACTAGATTCTATTGTCTGCTTATTCGTTGAAAATAAAATAAAATTTTGATAACCAAAGTTGTCTACTTGGGACATGTGCAATTGGAAAATACCCTTCGTCCCTTCCCAACATTTCTCCTTCCCATTGATTGGCTTTCTAAATTTTTTTATTTTGTTTGTTGTAAACAAGATCAACCGCGAGAGGAGTTTAGTGATTGGCCTCACGGATTACTAGCGATTGGAACGTTCGGTAGTGTGAACAAAGAGCAAACACCACAAAAACTTAATCAAGAAGTGATCCAAGAGGAAGAGACGTCGGCTAACGTGCACGTGGAAGATCATGCGCAAGATAGAGATCAAGAACTTTCTTCCTCCGATGATTTAGAAGATTTCACTCCCGAGGAAGTTGGGAAACTGCAAAAGGAGCTGACGAAACTCTTGACGAGAAGGACCAAGAAGAGGAAGTCCGATGTGAACAGAGAACTTGCGAATCTTCCTTTAGATAGATTCTTGAATTGTCCTTCGAGTCTCGAAGTCGATAGACGAATCAGCAACGCGCTTTCTGGTGGTGGAGATTCTGATGAGAAGGAAGAAGACATTGAGCGTACGATCAGTGTTATTTTGGGGAGATGCAAAGCGATTTCGACAGAGAGCAAGAATAATAAGAAGAAGAGTAAGAGAGACTTGAGTAAAAACTCTGTCTCTTATCTTCTCAAGAAGATGTTTGTCTGTACAGAGGGTTTCGCTCCTGCTCCTACTCCTAGCTTGAGAGACCCGTTTCACGAATCGAGAATGGAGAAGGTACTTCTAAAGCTCATAAACACGATCTCGAATACTTTCCTATTTTTAAAGCTAGTGTTTAGTTTTGTTCATGTGTATATATATCTTATTATTTTGATGGTACATGCAGTTGCTGAGAATGATGCTACACAAGAAGATTAACGCTCAAGCTTCTTCCAAGCAAACATCAACGAAGTATCACTTGCAAGACAAGCAACAGCTTTCGTTGAAGAATGAGGAAGAAGAAGGAAGAAGTAGTAGCGATGGGGGTAAATGGGTGAAGACAGATTCTGATTGTGAGTTTCGGATCTTTTGATTTCTTAAAAAATTTAACAAGAAAAAAGACACGAACTAACTCGATTTTCTTCTTTTTTATTTATTTTTTGTTTGCAGTCATTGTTCTTGAGATATGATCCACTTTTTCCCCTTTCCATGTTCTTACAAGAAAGTACAGGTAATATAAACAACCTGTTAGTTTCATTAGCTTTGCTTCTTCTGATGGTGAATCTAATATCAGATCTTCTGCTGTTTTTGCAGATAGAGAATCTTCACTGATATCAAGACAAACAAGATTATAGAAGAAATGATCCATCAATTTTCTTTTTCTTTCTGATGAAAGTTTTTGGGTATCTGGAGAGCCCATGAGTTTCTTTTTTTTTGCATGGTTGGGTCCATAAAGCCGAACATGTTCTGGAAACTAAACATCAGATATTTATATTCGTACATGCATGTGTATGTATATATAAAGAGAGAAATATATATATATATATACATACATGTATGTATAGCTGTGTAATTTTCAGGTGGATAACCTTGGTTTATATAAAGAAGTCCTCATTTTCTTTACACTCTTCTATGTCATTCTTCATTCATTTTACATGCTTTGTTCTTCGTCTTGTCACACAGACAAGAAAAGAAGCTAACATCAGATCACTAATAATGCTTTTCTCTAAGCCTTGTAATTAATGTTACCATTTTGTAATTTCTTTCTAGGAACAGATAGTTCTAAAATCATGTTATCTTTTACAAACGAGAAGATAACTTGTGACCCTATACGAGACATGTTAACAATAATTAACTCAATTTTTTTCTTCCACTTGGAAAATTTATATAAACAGTAGCAAACAGATATAAGAAACTCATGACTTAGATAGGGGAAATGTAAAAGAATCATGGCAGGTTCAAGCCATTTATAGTCGGGTTTTGAATGGGATCAAAGAATTTTTTTTTTATGATAGTTAAATTTAATTTTCTTTTGTTTATCCTAATTAATACTTTAAATTGAAGATTCTATAAACGATAAAAATTAATATATAGATTATATATTTCAAAAATTAAAACATAAATAGTGTAATTTACACACACAAACAATCCCTCATTTCTTAGGCCTAATCTCCCAAAAAAGTAAAATCTATTTAAAGGCCCATTCTTGAAATATAGTATAATTTTAGCAGCAAAACCCTCTGGCTGGCATAGAGTCTTCACGCTACTCGAAATACTTTCCATAGAAACCTCCTTCGAACATCTGGGACGATCAAGGAGCAACCTTTAACAGCCGTACGATCGATCTCCCCATTGACACACATCTCAGTTTCTCACTGACTTCCTCAGTCATCAACTCTCTTCTCCTCTCTTTCTCCAGATCTCTGCGCAAAAAGTCGGTTATCAATGTTGCTCCATCTTCTTCTGCTATGCCTGACGCCTTCTCTGGTCCAAGCGTCGGTGCATGAGTACCGAGGCGAGAGATTTATGTCCAAAGGCAACGCCTTCGTCTTCCATGGCGGCAGCGAAGGCATCTACTCCTCTTCTCCCTCCGATAACTTCACCTCCGACTCCGATTCCGTTTCCTTTATCCGGTAATTTGTTGGGTTTTTTTTTCCCAGCTTTCTGATTCCATTTCTCAATTCAAGTTTCCTCTTTTAAAGCTGCTTAGGATCTGAATCGTAATCAGAATTTCATTAGGGTAATGTTCGTCGACCTCCTCATTATGAGCTGCAAAATTCCTAGTAGACATTAGATCTTTAGAGTAAACAAGTAATTTCTTCTTCATCATCGAGTTTCAAGCTGATTCAGCTCTTCGTCCTGTTTTAGTAACTTCTTTAGCTGTTTTCTTGTGAAAGTTTCTTGCTTGAAACCTTAATTCCACTGTGAAATGCATTTGACAGTTTCGAGAAGATCACATTCCGGAGGCCAGAAGAAGTTTCAAACAGATCCTCATTGCCAATCCACGCCGTCGTGTTTGAGGTAGAAGACCGGGAAAACATTGGGGGATCAGCTTATGGTGGGCAGAGAGCTGTGTGTTGCACATCTGATCTTGCGAAGCTCGGTGTTTGCTCTCACGGAGAGATCATTCATCATCCTTCCGCTAAAGATTTAGGTTGGCCACAAGTGTTTGGTGTTTCGTTGAACGAGAACGACTTGTCTGGTACGTTGCCAACAAGATCGATCCAGATCACCAGAACCGGAATGTACAACCTCTACTTCATCCATTGCGATGCTGATCTCAAGGATCTGGTTGTTGAAGGGAAAACCATCTGGAAAAACCCTAGCGGATACCTACCGGGTAGGATGGCTCCGTTGATGTACTTTTACGGCTGCATGTCCCTTGCCTTTGTGCTTCTTGGCATCTTCTGGTTCTCGCAGTGTGCAAGATTCTGGAAGGAAGTGCTTCCGTTGCAGAACTGCTTAACGCTGGTGATAACATTGGGGATGTGTGAGATGGCGCTTTGGTACTTCGATTACGCGGAGTTCAACGAGACCGGGGTTAGACCAACCGTGATCACCATCTGGGCGGTCACGTTTGGTTCCATCAAGCGTACAAGTGCTCGTATTATCATCCTGATGGTTTCGATGGGATACGGTGTTGTGAGACCTACGCTTGGAGGATTTACGTCGAAGGTTGTCATGCTTGGGGTCACTTTCTTTGTTGCATCCGAAGGTCTTGAGCTGATGGAGAACGTCGGTGCTATTAGCGATTTCTCCGGGAAGGCTCGGCTGTTTTTCGTTCTCCCCGTTGCGATATTGGATGCTTTCTTCATCATATGGATATTCAAATCGCTCTCCGCTACGTTCAAGAAGCTTCAGGCTAGAAGGTTGTTGGTCAAGTTGGATATATACAGAAAGTTCACAAATGCTTTGGGTGTGTCCATTTTGGTTTCCGTGGGTTGGATTTGCTACGAGGTAATATAATAAACAAACTGTGTTTAATCTCAATAGTGCGAGTACCACTGAATCGAAAATCAGCATAAAGATCTGTTGTGCTAAAGTTTTTTTTGCTAAAACTTTTGGCAGCTTTATTTCAAGTCGAAGGATGTTTACAACGAACATTGGCAAAACGCTTGGATCATCCCGGCCTTTTGGCAACTTCTCTCCTTCTCACTCCTAATTGTTATCTGTTCTCTGTGGGCTCCATCGCAGAACTCGACTAGGTAACGCTATATCCAAGAAACACATTTCAAAATGTGATGTGAAGTTTGATGTTGTCGGCAGTACGAATTAGACTGCAGATTAGCAAATAGCATGGCGTCTAATTGGTTTTGTACTGTCTTTTGTATTCTTATAGGTATGCATTCTCTGGATCTTCTGGTGATTCAAGCGGGGAGTTTGAGAAGGACGATTACACGCTGACCCTCATTAAACCATCTCCGATTCCTTCTCACGAAGTCAAGAACCTCTCAGAAACCAGATCTTTACAAGCTGACAACGAAGAATCAGACAAAGATTTGGAAGAAGACAAAAGGGAGTAAAGTAATGATGAGACAACAACAGTCACAGTCCATCCTTTTCTACTTGACACTTCTTTCTCTTTATCGACACCTCAAATTTTACTATTTGTATTCATTTAGGTCACGTGAGTTTAGTTTGTACAATACAAATGTCAAAGAGACCAAAGCAGCCTTTGTCTTCGGTGGTGTTGTAGTGTTAGTTTGTGTACCATGTTTTTGTCGCAGTGTAATGTTTAAGTTTTCGTTTCCTAAGTTGCAGCATTTTACACTAAATTGGTTTTTGCTTTTAGTCTATGAAGGACAAGAATGGATAAAACCAAAACCAAAACCAAAACTAACCATAGCATATAATCGTACAAAGGGATATGACATTGACACAATACAGTTTCATCATATGAACAATTGAAGAAAAAAAGATTTAAGCAAGAAAATTTGGCAAGTAACCAAACAGATATATTATAAGTTCATACAACATTACAGCTCATGAATCTGAAAATTTGAAATCAAAGTCGTATCAATCCTTTTATCTTTCTTGCTCGGTTTTTTGGCTCTCCCGCGAAGAACCAGAATTTGCGAAAAGAATTCAAAGAATCTGTTTCCGTAAAAACTATAAAACACAGAAGGGTTGTTAAAAAAAAAAACACTTATCTCTCATTCTGATCGTCTTCTTAGATGCTGAGTTGCAGATAACCCCTCGAACAAGTCAAGAACCTCGGTCTCTAGCTCTTCAACTGTGATCTTGATGTAATTTTCCGGGTGTTTCCCGCTCTCTATGTGGCTCCTGAACCGCCCGAGAAACGATCTGTAAGCCGGACTTAGCTTCTCCAGTATCGAGATCTTCAGCTCTTCCCTCAGCTGAGAATCTGGTACCAACCATTGTGATTGAACCCTATGAACTTCCTCAAACAGAGCATTAAAAGATTTGAACCTCTCCCTCAATGCGCTTCTGGAGACACCTGATGCGAAGCTTCCTTTCGTGCGTAGCCCTTCGTCTCTTAAGCAATACAAGACTTTGACCCAAGCGGCTCTTTGGTAGTACGTCGCGGCTTGCCTGAACTTACCCGTTAGCTTTCTCAGGTAGAGATCTCCGATCATTTCCCGTAGCTCCGGCGACCCTTTAATCTTCTGGACAATGTAGTGCACGTTGTTCATGACGAAGAGATGCGACAAAGCCGCGTCTCTGTAGTACTTTGATTTTCCTTCCAGGTTGAATTGCAGGACCAGTATGATCCAGATGAGATGGAGGGCTAATGGGCCTTTGTTCTCAAGCTCCGAGAAATCGATTTCAGGTGTGTTTGTATCGGTGGGGTTTCTCGATGGTTTCGACATGATGAGATCGATCAGTGTTGGCCTGTACTCTGAGATCAAGCTAATGTAGTTCATGACGTACCTCGTCAACGGATGTATCGTTCCTCCGGGAACGGGGACTCTAGAAGGTTCGCGGAGGACGGCGTTTTCGAATTCGGATAGTATCCCTCTCGCCGCTTCCGCCAATCTCGACAGTATCTCCGCCGCCTGGACCCGAATCGAATCGGAAGATTTCAGATCGAAAACCGACTCGATGTCTGGCAAAAGCTCGATCAGAGCGTCGTGGAGATCGAGGATCTTGAATAGCTTCTCCGGCGACCTCCGGCTGATGCTGATCGCCTCCGCGAAGTTGAACAGCTGGATCGCCGGACCTTTGACGGTTTCCATGAAACAGGCCTCGTGGATGTTCACGGCTCCGACGCTTTCGAATACGTGCTCGCAGAGCAGTTTCTCGCTGGCGAACACAACTCTCACGCAGATCTTAGCGGCTCGGATCCATCGACGGATCTTCTGCTCCAGCGCCTCCCAATTCAACCTCTGAACATCGCCGATGCTCAGTTTCTCGATCCCTAGCCGCCGGAAGCTCGAATCGACGGCGGATTTGCGCACGCTACCGTACACCTGAATGCACTCACGGAGGTAACCGGCGGAGACCATACGCCGAGCAATCCAGCTCAGATACACCACCGCATCGATCGGAATCAGCTCGATCTCGCGTATGCTGCTAGTGGATCTACTGTAGCTGCCACGTCCGGTCGGCAACCGAACCGTCCCCGAACTTGAACCGGAACTCGAGCCGGTTCGTTTCAGAAGATCCGTCTCTTCTTCCTCCTGCTGATCATCTTCCTCGTTGCAGTTACCATTACTCCCATCTTCTTCAACCTCCAGCTGAGCAGAAGAGGAAGAAGACATTAGAGAATCAGAGTTGATCGGAGAGCTGTGGCAGACGAGAATATTCCGAAACTCGTCCTCGAGACGAGCCATGGCGATCTGGATTGCCGAATTCGCCCGGTTTTCAATCTCTCCGCCGGATGAAACATACCGTTGGATTTCATCGACGGCGTGGAGGTAGAGCTTCACCTCCTGCGGATCGCTGAATATCATCTTCTCCCTCGCTTCTTCCGAAGCCGTCGCGTCCCACCGCATAATCACCTTCTCCGCCGAATCAAACCCGGAAACCGAACAGTCTCCTCCGTCGCCGCCGTGACTTTGCTCCTGTGGCTCCATGGTTTCATACGAAAACACAAACACAGAGAAACAAACAAAAAGCGTAAAATAGAGAGATTTGCTTTCTAATGGTGGGGACTGGAAAAAGCAACAGTAGAATTTAGATGCTTTTCATTATTTATTGATAAAAAAATACAAATACATCCAAATTTTATTTGTAGATGCTTTTAACAGCTCTTAACCGCCATGCGGGGCGCCTTTTTCAAGTTTTTTCTCGAACACTTTGATCGATACCAGAAATGTAAATACTGTAAGTAAAATGTTAATTTGAAAATCACTAATATCATAAGTCCTTTTGCAAATTAAAATAATGCAAGCTCTACTGTAGTTTTGTATTTGTATTTCCTGGTTAAACGGAAAGAAATGCGTTTTATAAAAAACTTATCAGAAACATATGAGTTTAAGTCAACTATTCGACTGCTACAATGGGCCGACGTTCACGTGCTTGCACCCGATTTCCCATGCATTATGCCTTTTTAAAAGATTCACGGTGACAAAATATATTTATAACTTAGACAACAAACAGAAAAATCCCAATTATTTTTCCTGGATTTGCAAACATTGATGATTGTTTTTGTGATTTGAAATACTATTAGTTTATGCTTGCTCTTAGGTGGATAGAATATTAATTCAGAATTATCATTTTAAATAAATTAATAATAGTGTTGAGCCATATAATTTGTGGACAAAAATTAATTAAAAACTAATCATTTCGTTTCCTTAAGTTACCGTCGGAAACATTACTAATTATCATCTGTTATTGATAATGGACATTGGACAGTCTAGAAACATGAAGTCAATATACATATAGAAGAAAAATAATGTTGCACGAGTGCTGCTCTGCTGGATTCAGCCAGTGAGAGAATTACTAAAGTTCTTTTTAATGTAAATAAATACGAATACGAGTTCAATTCGAGGACATTTATATATATATATATATATGTATATAGCAAATGTACTTTTAAAACTAAATATGAATGTGAACAGCTCACCTTATGCAAAACATTTATTGGGTAAGCAAATGTCATTAGATGTGTCGATTTAATAATCATCACGTATTTTTTTATATGTTGATATGATGTTTGGGAAATTCACTATATTAATCTTTATTTGTCCCGGTTCAGTGTGCATAGATTTATAATTAATGTCACTTCGTTTATTGTATAGTATTGCATGTACTACTAATATCTAATAATAATAATATGTGTTACGACAAAAAAAAATTTGCACTCGTATAATTTTTTTTTGTTCCAATTAAGAATATGAATGATTTTATTAATCAAATGCAGTGATGGGTCTTTTGTTGTCTGCTAAATTAGACGTCCATAAAAATCCTGGCCATAATTAAATTATATCTAAAGAAAAAAAAACAATAATAATTTCACGATTCGCTAACCTCCAGCTGTGTTTAGCTGTCATAAAATTTCTATATATATATATTTTTTTTTCTCATTTGTTTTTTCGTCACGTACGTATACACAAACACGTGATATAGCTATATAGGCATATTATTGGTTCGTTATTCACACTAATATGTGACTTTCATAATCGGTAATGACTTTTTGTGTTCTGATACCGAAGTTTATACAATTTGTAATAAAAACCGCGAAAACAATCTGGTCTTTTTAATCTATGCCCAAACGTTAAAACACACCTTTTTTTACAAGTAACCTCAGTTGAATTTTCAATCATATACAAATAGAAAGCATAATTAAAACAAAAATGGTGAATCTGCGAATCTAACGGTTGGAATTTATCGAATCCCAGAATCAACGGTGAAGCTAAGTTTCTATGGTGATGAAGTCGTCGCTACAATCTTGCATCGTCAATTCGTCGATGACTTCGATCATACTTGGTCGCCGATCAGGATCTTCTCCGGTGCATCTCACACCGATCCGTAAAACGTTCTCGATTTCATCCGACGACATTTTGTCATCGGCGGCGGCAGCGACGACCGTCGGATGGAGCAGATCCATCCATCCACCTTGTTCCGCGGCGGAGCCGATCCACTCCACCAAATTCGTCCCGCCGGCTCTATTTAAACCGGCGTACTGAGACGGGAATTTCCCTGTCAGGATCTCCAAGACCACGACTCCGAAACTGAACACATCGGATTTCGCAGAGACGATTCCGTCGCGTTCCGCTTCGGGAGATTTGTACGCGACGAGAGATTGAAATTGATCGTCGGGATTGATCAGTCTTTGGAGTCCGAACTCGGAGATGAGTGGCTCGCCGTCGTCAGCGAGGAAGATATTGCTCGATTTTAGGTTTCCGTGTGGCAAGCTTAAAAACCCTAATTCTCGGTGGAGATACCACATACCTCTCGCGATTCCCTGAATGATTTTGAGCCGAGAAGGCCAGTCTAATTGAAAATCCTCACGGTGATCGCCGTGTAATCGATGAAGCAAGCTCAGGTTGGGGACGAATTCGAACACCAGCAATTTCTCGTCTCGCCGGAAATGGTAAGCCAGAGGCGGTAACACGTTCCTGTGCCGTAATCTTCCCAAGTTCTTAATCTCCTTATCGAATTCATCTATACTCGCTTGATTCATCACCGTCACACGCTTCACCACCACCGCTACGCCGCTCGCTATCACCGCCTTGTACGCAGATCCCACACCTCCGCTGCTGCTAGGGCGGCTGCTTCCTCCACCGCGATCTCCGAGCACGTGAGCCGCCGCTTTCATCAAGTCCGGTAAACCGAAAACACCCTTTTCCTTGTTCACCATCACCAAATCTGCCGTCCCCGTCGTACCAATTGATTTATTCGTCAGCTCGCCGGAGCTACTAGTCTTACTCTGCCTCGAGCCGCCAGATCTTGATCCGTCAACAGTTACCTGTCAACCACCACATCAAAGAATCTTGTCTTTGTAAGTGACAAAAAACTCTAAATTTGTGAAATTTCATTTAGTGTTGCTATGGAATAACCTGGATTTGTTGGTCGTCACTGCTGTCTTGTTCAGAGGTACGATGCGTCGTCCTCCTCCTCCGTCTCTTCTTCTTCTTCTTCTTCCGGAAGACTAAAGAGATGATGATAATGATAAAAAGGAGCCCTAGTGTACCGAATGCTATATAGTACTTGCTCTTGTTTGCATCTTTCATCGTTCCATCTATTGAAATCGATGCACTCGGGTTTATTCCCTGCGTGCAGCTAGTCGCTAGCTTCGCATCGCAAAGGCCAGCGTTCCCTGCGAAAGTCCCCACGTCGAACTTCGACAAACCGGGCGGTATTTCTCCGGTTAGTCGGTTGTTTGAGAGATCGACATCAGCTAAAGTCCATTGGGTGAAATTCGGTATTGTCCCGATGAACTGGTTGTTCTCTAGGTGTAACTCCATTAGATCTGGTAATGCAGTGGCCAACGAGACGGGAATGAGGCCAGAGAACTCGTTGTTGGACAGCCAAGCTTTCTTCAGCGACACCATCTTCTCGAAATATTCAGAAGGGATCTTACCGGAGAATCGATTGCTTGATATGTAGATCGATTTCAGAGCGGTTAATCGGTTAAACTCCGGTATATTACCGGAGAAGGAGTTGTTCGTTATGCTTATAGTGCGTAAAGCGGGTAAGCCGGTTAAGGGGACGACGTCGATGCTTCCTGAGAGACCCATATGTTCGATCTTGATGCCAAAGACGGAATTTTTATTGCAGAGCAGTCCAACCCATCTCTGTGTCGTTCCGCCGCAAGGCTCTGAATCTGGTGTCCAAGAATCCAGAGGCTTGGCGTTGGTTAGTGACTCCTTGAATTTCAACAATGATTCTGATTCTGTGATTGAATTTGTAGAGAGTGCTGTTAGAGATAGCACGAACGGCCAGATTAGCCAGGCCACGGCCATTTACTCTTAACCGGAGCTAGGCCGCCGGGGAGTTTTTTGAAACTTGGCTTCTTTTTTTTTTTTGATTAATCAAAGTAAGCTTTTTTTTTTTCGTTGATTCGATTTACTAATTTTCTCTAGTCTTCTCTTGTTTCTCGCTCTGTCTCTGTTTCTCTGTCTTTTGTTTTCCTTTGTCATTTGTGTGATCCGTTGGATGAGAGAAACTTATGGCGCGAATATTCGTTGAAAAAGTCAAGATTGAGAAAACCAAAAGCTTTTACGAAATAACTGATAAAAAATGTAATTTTCTTCCGACAGATAGATATGAATTTTTTGGCCCATATTTGCTATGTTCAGTGCTGATAATAGTTGACAAAAAAAAGTGTTGATAGTATTAGTTAGAGTCCAAGCCCAAACCGGAACTGAATCGTTGTCATTTATAAAATTTTATTACAATAATACAACACACGACAAACTTTTGGACAAGTTTGTTGTCCAAAACCACATGAGTGGTCCGAAAGGGTCTGTAAATATATACGGGGTGTATTTTAAAGTAAAATTTAGAATGATTTATATTAAAATTACAAATTTTTAGAATAAAATAATAAAAAGAATGTGAGACAAAAAAAATTAAGTTGGAAGACCAAAGGTAAAAAAGACTAAACACTTCGTAAATAGTAATATCAGTTTTTTTTAACTTGCTAGAAACGATGAAAAGATATAAATAATCACCTCAGAGATTCTTAGTAATACTGGTTTTTGTTTATGTGACATCATGTATCATGTTTATCTCACATTCTCATGATCTCATCCTCCATTTCTTTTTTCTTTTATTTGGAAGAAGGATGTAAGAAGAATTCAATGCTGACTTTGAAGAGTACGAATAGTTAATGGGAATGGAGACGAACAAAGAAGACGAGGAAGGCAAAGGCGGCAACCGAGAGGACAGCGATGTTCTATGACCAAGTCCATTGTACTAAGAATTCTGATTATAATTTTTTATCATTAGAAAAATAATCGATCGATAAACCTAATTCCATTATAGAGCTATGACAATCAAATCCAAACTAACTTTATAGCATGTACACCATGCAATGGAATTGCAGCATATCCTTTATATATAAAATAATCAATGCCATAGAAACGTGTATCTCAAAATGAATTTCGTGTTGAATAATTTTGTCACACGTACATAATATATAACCATAGATCAAAAAAAAATAATCAAAACTATTAATTCTATAACCATTTTCGTATATGACATTATTGAACTTTTTTTTTTTTTGCGGGACCAAAAAAACCTGTTGAGAAAGAATAAAAAAAAGCTGTTAAGATCGTTAGACCATATGTTATTGTCAAGTGAATAAGCTGCAATGTTTTGGTATTCAGTATTCATATCCAAAGCATCCGTCGGTGTCAAAGAACCCTTTGTTTGCTGTAGCCATTGTCGTAACAGACCTACTTCCGTTTCACCCCGATGTTTGAAACGCAAACTTTCTATTTGGCCGTCGCACATTAATGCAAATTAATGAGTGTTTATATTATTCTTAACAAATTTAATTGTAATTTGCAAGTATGGAAGATACGTCAAATGGAAACAGTTACAAACACTTATCAAATTTGGAGTTCATTTTTTCTGCGTACCTTAGCTACAACAATGTAGATATGGATAAGAATATTGCTGTGGTATTATTTGTCTCTTGTGTTAGTAATAGAAGCAGCAATATATGGATGTATATATATTGCATAATTATTATACATATAAAATGTTATAGACTCAAGTTGTTGTTCAACTGCAAGTCTATAATCTAGAAGAGTCTTCAAAGTTACAAATATTATTTTCTCCTCGATATTATCTTGCAAGTTGCGATGAATAATGATTTTTTTTTTCCTTGGCACCATCGTCCACGACATTTATTGTAGAATGATTTTATTTCTCATACATTCTAAATTCTTTAGTCTCTCTCTCTCTGGTTGGTGTTGGGTTTTATTTAAAGAAATTTCAACGCACACCTTCATTAAACAAAATGACTAAAATTTAACTTTTGTCATAATGATATTCAATTGAACACAAAAAATCAATTTGTAGGAGGACTAAAGAAATTCTTAACAAGTACAGATATTTCTCATCAGAACTCATACATACTTAACAAAAGAGAGTTTAGATTGCAACATATTTACAGGTTTTCTTCTTTTTTTTTCACTTCCGATTACAAATTTGTAGTTGTGATATGGTAAAAACGAAAGTTCATTTCGTTAGCAACCAATTATTTTTGGGAAAAGTTGAATATTTTTGGCTCCTTCGTAACAAGAAAAAAAAAAAAAAAAAAGGAGGAAGAAAAAACGCTAATCACGCATGGATTATGGGAATACCGTTAGGATTTTGACACGTCTTAACATCCTAAATGTCAGATTGTCACAGATCCAATACTTTCACGTGTCCTTAAACTCTGTCGGGGATAAGTATTCACTATTCGTCGATAAATAGACAATGCGGGTCCCACAAATTCAATTCTTAAATAGCCGTCAGCCGACGTGAGGATTTCACTCCGTTAAGCTACGGTTATTGAAAACACCCTCAGTTATGCCCTTTAATAACGAACATGCCACATTCGAACGAATTATCTTTGGAGGATAAAATCGTAAATGATAACTAACTTATCGGATCCCGAAGATTTTGAGGGAAAAGTCGTTAACGCCTGTCAGTAACGTCGCCGTCAACTCTTATTGTTTCTTTTTTTAATTTCACGGCATGCGTAAGGAAAACGTGCTGGAAGCTGTAACGAACATTAGTTAGGTTTTTTTAGCTAACAAATCTGTCTATTTTTTTTTTTATTTTGTAATTTCAAAATCCGTGACAAAACAAATAAATTCATAAAGTTTTATCATTTATGTTTAATGATGACATTAAGGAAATTAATAGCCAAAAATATGTTGACCCCATACAAACAAACAAAAAAATTGCCAAAAAAAATGAGTAAGTGTATAGCCGATTAATGATGGTTTAACATAAACTTATAAGAAAAACTATTCATCATAAGTATCTAATCTTGCTCACCAGCCACAATCGGAAGACTTAAACCATCATAAATCTTTAAGAAGTAAGAAAGTTTGTGTTGTGTCAAGTCTAGCGATTTTGCTTGCATACAGGTTAGGTGCAAAAGAAACTCGTGACAAAGGTTCTTTATTGGTTAAACAATAAAAAAGGTTTATTTATTGCGCACGGATCACTGTCAGTTCAAGAAAAAAAAAAAAAAAACACGTTATTTGTTTTCTTATTTGTGTATTTATTTATTCGGTGAAGATTAAAGCCACAGAAACTTTATTGGCTTAAATGGGTTATTTATAAAAGCACATGAGCAAGAATAAGCTCAAGTCATATATCTTCGATTCTACGTCTATAGCCAACACAAGAAACAACAAGAATCTCGAGTTTGTTGTAATCTCTCATCACAAGTATGTCGACCGGAAAAGCGCCGGAGAAGTCCAATTTTTCCCGGAGATGTAGTTTGCTCAGCCGGTACTTGAAGGAGAAGGGGAGTTTCGGGAATATAGATATTGGCTTGGTTCGTAAATCCGATCTTGAACTCGCCGCGAAAACCGATCTCAGAGGTATTTATTTATCTCCTTCTCCTGCACTGACTGCCGCCGCCGAAAAAGACTCAGTTTTTCTATTATTATTTAAGAATCTCTGGTTCGTTGATTATTCTCAGAATATGTGTATAATAAGATTGTGGCCCAAAAATTGAAACTTTAATCCAAATTTCGTGCCTTTGTTGATGAAATGCTAAGAAAAATTAAACATCCGAAGGTATTTTTCTTTGCTTTAATTATGAAATATATTTTGCACGTTTAGATATAGTAAATTAGAAGACTTTGTGAATTTTAACCAACTCGTAATGATCCAGTACTGATTGAATAGTTTACTATAGAGTTGAGTTGAGGAGAGGAACAAGAGTCGAATCCGCTTGAATCAATTTATATCGCGGCTATAGACGTTTTCAATGGAATGAATACATAGTTTTTGTATAGATGTGGAACTAGTTGGGGTTTTGATTCTGATAATGTATTATTTTATATTGTTTTCAGGTCAACAAAATGTGATAAAGATGGCAGAAACCTCGAAAACCAGACCCATGGAGTATTTTCAGAAGCTTTCCGTTGGTGAAGCCTCTACTTCTTCCGGAGGCAAAGCCAGAGATGCCAATCTTAGGTATGTGAAAAGACTACCGGTTTATAGGTGTGTGGATTTTGAACAATGTACCAATGGTTTGATTTGGTTTCCAGTGAATCGGCAAGCGTGGTACCGGAGCCTGGAAACTCTCAGTTGACCATATTCTTCGGCGGAAAAGTTGTAGTTTACAACGAGTTTCCTGAAGACAAAGCCAAGGAGATAATGGAAGCAGCCAAAGAAGCGAATCCAGTTGCTGTTGATCCGAAGAACATGAACAACAGCAACAAAAGCAGCGTGGAGATTCCTGATCTGAACGAGCCAACGAGTTCTGGGAACAACGATGATCATCACGAAACGAAACAGCAACATCAAGTCGTGGAACGCATTGCAAGAAGAGCCTCTCTTCATCGGTTCTTTGCTAAACGAAAAGACAGGTAAACCAAACTGGAATTAAGCTGTTTTGTCTTAACCTGAATTAGTCATGATACAGAGACTTAGCTGCTTACACTTTACTTGAGGCTCTGTTTTGGAAATATATGCGTACATATAGATTATGACAACATTTTTTTTTAATAGAGCTACATGTAAAATAGTTCATGAGCTAAACTTATTAGAAGAGTAATGTTTCATTGCTCGTGTTATGATTTCACCTGGAACAGTAAAGAGGATTTTATATTGTACTAAACACATATATATATATATATACAAGACCGATATGATTTACAAGTTTAAGGATGTTTGAATTTCAGGGCTGTGGCTAGAGCTCCATATCAAGTGAACCAAACCGGTAGCCATCTTCCTCCCAAGCCACAGATGGTCGGTCCATCGGTAGAACCAGGACAATCCTCGCGACAGCCTGCGTCTCCTCCTCCAAAATCAAAGACACATAACGACGATATGTCGATGGAAGTTGACGAAGAACAAGGACAACGTTCAAAAGATCTCGAACTCAAGCTTTAGGACATATATATATTATTCATGAGTTCACGTTTGCAGTTTTGACTTCTTTAGGATTTGAATTCAAAGATTGATGATTTATTTATATATAATTGTCTTTTCTTTTTGTCATGGTATATTAATATATTATCCCATAAAAGATTTATATTTCTAGTGTACGTAGTCATTATACTCCAATGAACTCATTTTTCAATGTGGTTTGTTTTTAAAATTTTCGTGAACATGAACAATTTATAAAATCTGAACGTTAAAACCGAAGTTGTAATCAATTAACCGAGAAAACCGAATAGAATTTCCACAGAAACCAGACCAATTTTTCAATTTTTTTATAAGCCTCCGTACCGAACCGAACCGATTTTAATTCCGGTCTAACTTCGGCTAAGTTTCTTCTAAAGCGAGTAACCCGAATTTCTTGCCCCGTAGAAATGTAGAATATCAAATTACCCTAATGCCATTCTCGCTGTCTGCTTTCTCTGTGCCGTTTTCTAAAACCCTAGCAAAGCTCGTAGAACCCCTTTATCGAAATTGTGTTTCTTCCTAAAGTGTTGCTGATCTCAAAGCACAGAGATTAAACCTAATATAGTCTCTGCCTATCAGAGCTCTGTTCATATGCTTTGAAAGAAAAATAAAAAAAATGTCGAAATCAAATCCATCGATGGACGTGAGTGCCCTCACAGCCGAGGTCGCATCATTCGTTTCCTCTATCGGTTTGGCTTCGTCTCTTCCTTCTTCTGGTTTCAACGACACCGATTTCCGGAAAAGCGGTAAACCCAAAATCCAGAAACGGAAAAAGCCGAAGAAGGACAGCTCCGATCAGAAGAACCGGAAAGAGGGTGGTGGTCAGGGAGACGCAAGGAAGCCGAAATCGACAATTGGGAACGAAGCCGGCAAGAATTCGGGAGCGAAGAATCAAACCCCCAAAGATACGCCGGCGAAACAAGCCATTAACCCGAAGCCAAAGCCTGATTTTTTGTCGATTGACGATGAGAATACTGGGTTTAAGGCGAAGCGTTTCGACAAGTACAAGGCTTTGCCGAAGCTACCGTTGGTGAAGGCGAGTCTATTGAGCTCGGAGTGGTACAATGATGCACAGGAGCTGGAGGAGAAGGTCTTTGGCGGAGGAGATAACAAGAGAGTGGCGATGACGAACAAGGAGGATTTGAAGGGTGTGGTGGAGAAGAAGAGGGAACTAGGAGAGAGATTGATGTGGCAATACGCAGAGGACTTTGTAACGTCTCAAGGAAAGACCGGAGACATGAAGATGGTGATTTCTGCTCAAAAGTCAGGGACAGTAGCAGATAAAATCACTGCCTTTGAGATCATGGTGGGAGAGAACCCCATTGCAAACATGAGGTCTCTTGATGCCTTATTGGGTATGTTCCTTTAGTTTCTTTTTGATTTTGGCATTGGTGAAAATCCTCTGAAGCATTTTTGATGATGTCTCGTTCATGTTATCCAATTCAAACACTTGTTGACTTGTTGGCGCTGTTCATTGCAGGAATGGTTACCTCAAAGGTTGGAAAACGATATGCATTCAAGGGTCTTAAGGCTCTATCAGAAATTCTGATCAGGTACATTTTTTCTTACTCTCCCACTGTGCTATGAATCTATGTATATGCGTCCAGAATCATATCGTTCTTGCACTTTGTGTTTACTCTCACTAACTGAGGCTTTCTTTCTTCCAGGCTATTACCTGATCGCAAGCTGAAGACACTCTTACAGCGACCCTTAAACAGCATTCCGGAAAATAAGGATGGTTACTCGCTTTTGCTGTTTTGGTACTGGGAGGAATGCTTGAAACAGAGGTAAATAAAATCTTACCATTAGGCTTTCAATTGTATGCTCCCCCATCACGTTGTTTGTTAGGCTTTTCTTACGGTCTTCTTACTGCCATAGAGAATGTTCTTCTTAAGTTATGCCACGAGGGATGTGTCCAGGATCTGTATCTTTTATCGGTATAGTTGTTCTGGATCGATGGTTCACTTAACAGCTTACTATGCTGACTTTGTAGGTATGAGCGCTTTGTCACCGCTCTTGATGAATCATCTAAGGATATGCTCCCAGAGCTTAAAGACAAGGCTTTAAAGGTATATTCAGGATTTTTGGGAAATGTTCAGGATCTTTACTATTGTTATTGATATTTGTTTTTTTTTTTGGTTTCAGACTATATATTTCATGTTGACAAGTAAATCAGAACAGGAGCGGAAATTGCTTGTGTCATTGGTGAATAAGGTATTGTCAATTGTTCTTTGGAATATGTGTATGCAATCAAGTTTTATCAACTGTGATCCCTTTCTTTAATTGTTCCCTGGATTTACTTTACGCAGTTGGGGGATCCTCAAAACAAGAGTGCATCTAATGCTGATTATCACCTGACAAATCTTTTGGCTGATCATCCTAATATGAAGGTGAGGCTATTCAACCTTCTTATCCCCAGTTTCGAGATTTCGTTAATTATTTGTTTATTTTCGGTTCTTCTCTTTGGTTTAAACATATAGTTGTTTTTGCAGGCCGTGGTGATCGATGAAGTTGACTCCTTTCTCTTTCGTCCCCATCTTGGGATACGTGCAAAGTATCACGCTGTATGTCCTATTTATTTACTGTTCAAATTTTCATACAAATTTCGTTTTCCATTGTTCTACTCTGATTTCTTGCTCGGTTCTTTAAAAAGATTCACGGTTATGTCATCAGAAATTATTATATTTTGGCTTGAATGGGAAACTGAAGAAGAAGTATAAAGTTTATCCATGTTTTGATTTTCTGAAACCATGCTTATTAACCCCCACTTGTAAATTTCACAGGTTAACTTTCTGAGTCAGATTCGATTGAGCCACAAAGGAGATGACCCGAAGGTGGCAAAACGCCTAATTGATGTTTATTTTGCCCTATTTAAGGTACATGCAACTGGCATCTAAAGTCTATATGAGTGAGAAATCAAAGATTTTTTGATGATCTTCTCAAAAGTTTTTGTCCCTCGATTTTTCACCTTCCTTTCATGATCTCGACTTGTACTGCCCCTATATGTTTTCTTTTGGGGTGTCATTAGTCATAACATGGCATCTTTCACCCGTTGGATTATGACTCAAGTCTGAGAGGAGTGTGTTTCCATTCTTGTAGGTTTTAACCACAGAAGCAAATAGGAAACCAGGCGCAGATAACAAAGTGGCTGAAAAGAAAAAACCCAACCCAAAGGACACAAAAGAAGAGAAGCCTTCTGATGCACCTGTTGAATTGGATTCCAGAATTCTATCAGCTCTACTGACGGTTAGTCCGGATGTGTTTTTTGTGGGGATGTATACGTGATATATGTAACTTTATAGCATTGAGACTATTACGGATCAGCTTATTTCTTAGTACTTCGTTATTGCAGGGAGTTAACAGAGCTTTTCCATATGTTTCCACTGACGAGGCCGATGATATAATTGAATCCCAGACGCCGGTGCTTTTTAAACTGGTAACTCCTAAAGCTTGCTTCATCACATAAGTTAAGTTTCGTTAGCTGCAACCAGAAACCAAAAGTTAAGAAAATGGGATCTTGGATGTATGCAGGTACACTCGAAGAATTTCAATGTGGGAGTTCAATCACTGATGCTTCTTGACAAGATCTCATCCAAGAATAAGATTGTCAGTGACAGGTTTTACCGTGCATTGTACTCGAAACTTCTACTGCCCTCCGCAATGAACTCTTCCAAGGCAAGCCAATTTTTGAACCTTCTGTTTCCCTACTTTTCTATCACGTCTGTTTATCCTTATCGAATAGATCATTATCTTCATAATTTGGTAGAGCCCGTAATTGGTTTCAGAATGTTGGCATAAGTACAATTCATATATTTCTAATCTTGCAAAAGCCACTTTATCTTGTGAGCATCATATAATTATGTATCGACTGGTATGCCATATTCTTTTGTCCATAACCCTGATCAATAATCTGCCATTCCTAATTTCCAGGCTGAGATGTTTATTGGGCTTCTTCTCAGAGCCATGAAAAACGATATAAATGTGAAGCGTGTGGCTGCCTTCTCCAAAAGAATCTTGCAGGTTGGTAACGTGAATATAGGATGCATCAACCCCATCTTTGGTCGCTCTAGTTTCATTGAAAGTGATGACAATATTCGTATCAGTGTGTTCTATACATGGATTTTGATTCTTTTGTTATCTTTATTAGCGATGTTAACACATAAAAGAGTGATGGCATTAGCGCACTGTATAGGAAATTTGTCTGTTACATCTCTAAATTTCACTCTTGAATACTTGAGTAGGTTGCGCTACAGCAGCCTCCACAGTACGCATGTGGATGCCTTTTCCTTCTGTCTGAGGTGCTAAAAGCAAGACCTCCTCTGTGGTAAGCTATTTTTCGTTCTGTTAACCATATTTATCCATGGTTACGTCCGGTTATTAAATGGGTCCTGTTACTCACCATACAGGAACATGGTTGTTCAGAGGGAATCAGTTGAGGAAGATGAAGATGTAGAACATTTTGAGGATGTGAAAGAGGAGGATGATATTGATCCGAACAAAGAAGTAGAGAAAGAAGCGAATGATATTGAAGTTGATAATGACAAAATCGCAAGTAGGGATGGTGATTCCTCTTCAGATGACGAAGAAGCTTTGGCGGTCAGGCAGTCTGATGAAGAAGGTGTTTATGCTTCTGATGATGCTGAGGATCTGGTTATAAAAGAACCCTCCCATGAGCTTAAAGATACCATGGAGGTTTCTAATGATAGCGAGAAAAAAAGCCAACCGCCATCAAAATCAAGTTGTCTTCCAGGAGGATACGATCCTCGCCATAGAGAACCCTCTTACTGGTCAGTTAATCTCATCTTATCATAGAAGCCAACATATACTGTTTTTGTCCCAATGAAATCTTAGAAGCTATGTTTGTAACAGCGATAATTACGTATCACCTCTGAATAGTGAAGCATTTTTCTTGATGTTGTAGCCTTCTTTGATTGGAACTGAGTCATTTATCTTAAATTAACAGTAACGGAGACCGCGTGAGTTGGTCCGAGTTGGTGGTTCTTTCTTCACACGCTCACCCCTCGGTTGCTACGATGGCTGGAACTCTTCTCTCAGGAACTACTATAGTTTACAATGGAAACCCTTTGAACGATTTATCTCTAACTGCTTTCTTGGATAAGTTTATGGAGAAGAAACCAAAGCAAAACACTTGGCATGGTGGCTCCCAGATCGAACCTTCCAAGAAGGTAAAAAGCTCAAGCTTCAACAACACGAGCTTGAAACCATTTTGTCATCTACTCTCACCTGTAACGGTTTTCTTCTTCTTCTTCATGTGCAGCTTGACATGTCAAACCATATGATTGGTTCTGAGATTATCTCGTTAGCAGAAGAAGATGTGTCACCTGAAGATCTAGTCTTCCACAAGTTCTACGTGAACAAAATGAGTAGTACAAAACCATCAAAGAAAAAGAAGAAGAAGAAGCTACCTGAAGAAGAAGATGCCGAAGAACTTTACGATGTGAATGATGGTGATGGTGGAGGGAACTACGATAGTGATGTTGAATTCGAGGCTGGTGATGAGAGTGACAATGAGGAGATTGAGAATATGTTGGATGATGTTGACGATGATGCAGTGGAAGAAGAGGGTGGTGAATATGATTATGATGATCTAGATGGAGTAGTGGGCGATGATGATGAAGAGCTTGTGGCTGATGCGAGGGATGCAGAGATGGACACAGAAATGGATATGCTTGATGGTGAAGAAGATGTTGATGATGATGATGGTGGTGGTGATGATAGTGATGGTGATGATGGTCGCGGTAACAAGAAAAAGAAAGAAAAAGGAAAACGAAAATCTCCATTTGCGAGTCTTGAAGAGTACGAGCATTTGATAGACCGAGATGAGAAGGATGATTCAAAGTCTAAAAAGAAAGAAACATCAGAGCCCAAAAAGAAGAAGAAGAAGAAGACCAAAGCATCAGATTAAAGAAAAGGTTTATTGGCGTTGATAGCTTGAAGCAAAAAGTAAGACTCGTTGCTTCTTATGCAAGGCTTCTTGTGTTGTTGAGTACTGTACTGAAACGCTAGAGATAATTACTCCAATTTTGTGGTGTTTTGTTGTTTCTTTTCTTTCTTTCTTCTCCTTAAAAGTTTTCACCTTTGAAGAATTTTTTTGTACGTTTATATTTTAATTTAATCACTTTGAGACTTGAAACCGTTGTTCAAATTTTTTGTTGCCCTTCTCATAGTGATGGCATCATTTTAGGCGTGCGAGTCCAAGTTGACATAGTGGTAATTGGGTAGTTAGTTAAATCATCTTATATCTTTAATTGAGTGATATGATTAAGACATGCTTAGTTTATATGTAACCTTAAAATCCTACTATTTTTTGGGGAAGAAGCGAACCTTAAAATCTTGTTGAAACTTGAACTCATTATCAGAATATAAAACTTAAAACATTTTTTGTCTGAAACATTTCCAAACCCATGAACGGATTAGGTCAAAATAAAAACCACTAGACCATCGCCATTTTAAAAATGAATAAATAATCAATCTATAAATGCGTCATAACATACATATCCGGCAACATACTGGTTGATAAAAACTAAAACAATTACAACTACGTACTACGTTAACTATTTATAGACAAGATGCTTTAAGAAAATAACTTATAAGTTATAACGGTGCTTTATGCTATTTCTTTTCTTCTTCTTTTCTGCTAAAATGCTTTCAATATTTGTAAGAAGTTTTGAAATACAGATTATTATACATTAGACGAAGTTTGAGAAAATTAAAGTAGATTAGTTGCACAATTGTCGCGCACTTACATGAACAACACCATCCCAACTGGCTTGTCTCTACTTTAATTTTGGACTCTAGCTTTTAATATAATCTAAGAATTTCTTTTAAATACATTCTAATCTTTTAAGTAATATATAAATCTCTAAGACAATCAAATAATAATGCTAAATGTATTGTACCTTAGAATAATAAATATGGTGTTACTTTTTAATAACTAAAATATAGCATAACTCAATTTCATCAAATCATTACAATGATTACGAATCGGAAGTAATTAGTATTCCAAAATTCGGGTTGCTTGTCTGTTTCGTGTAATGTGTGTGTGTATTAAGCATACTGCATGCATATATATGTGCGTGTGTCATTTTATTTTTTTCGAAAACAATAATCAATCTTCAATGAAATCACTATTTAAAAAAAAAATCACTATTTTAAAAAGAAACTCCCTTGCAAATATTGTTAGGTGTAGACATCTAGTTTGATGTCTACATAAGTATATATGACATTGGACAGTTATCTAATGTCTAATGATGAGTGAGTACTATCTTACTATTTGATTTATTTTGCCTTTAACAAGTATATGTTCGACCATTTATAAAAAGAAGTATTTAAAATTCATTAAATGATTAGCTTACCCTCCACAACTTTTTTGTTCAATAAAGACAGACGATAAGGTACTAAGGTCACCTCTACCTAATTTCTCGGAAATGCCAAACTAACTAACTTTAAGAATTTTCTTTTAGAAGAATCTGGTAGATATACTACTCTGTAATTCTATATTTATGATTAAAAAATATATGCCTTTGAAATAAAAGGAATCTATATTGTCAAATGAACAAAATTTGCTTTGTGATTGATGGTTCATGGTTGCATGCATCCGTCATAAAAAAATAATTCAGTAAAACCAAAATTTGCTTACATTACGTGTTTTATGAAATGCCGTTAGTTTAATTAGAAGAATATGTTATGTAAATTTTACAAGATCAGGATATATATAGAAGGATGATGGAATTAATATTATATGCTATAGTTTTGAGCATGAAATGAATACATATTTTGGTACTAGAAAAATGAAATACCATCTCTTTATCTACAACATTTTATTCACGTGATTTTTAGATTCCTCATTACTTATATGCTTATGGTTTTAGAATTTTAGATATAATGTACGTTATTCGTATGATTCAAGAAACAAAAACAATAAGTCGACAGATGACGACCATATTTGTTTTTTTCGGTATTATATGAACGACAAACAATTAGCATTATCGGGTAAATTCAACAAAAATGTGGACAAGATGTAATCGTTATCTGAAAAACATCACTCTTTGTCCGATCATTAGACAACAACACGCAATAAGAGGTTGCCAACACATCTACACACACGTATACGTTTATATTATACGAACTTATTATGAATATTAGTTTACATAATAACTAATATACACTAAAATAAATATTGAACAAACATGTATGTTTATAAAGTATTTTCAAAATTTAATTTATAATGTGCGGCATCTTTGTAGACGAAACAAAATGTCATACGTGAGAAAATATTACATAGTGATTCAATAGTTTTGTCATGCTAATCTATCTATTTTTATTTAGATGTTTATTATCAATCAAATTGTTTTAAAACTATGGTCCAAATAATATTAAAAAGTTATCTATTTTATACATGTGGCTCATAGATATTGTTTTTGAGATTCTAGAAATTTCAATGTATTAATAAAAAAGATGTATGTTATATAGTAATAGTTGTATTGTTATCTCGTATATATATCTGTTACGAAATTATATTATCATTCATGACATATGTCATCAACATAACTTTTTTTATACAGTAGTTTTTTGTTTTTTTAAGAGACGTATTATAATATATGAAAGTAAATCAATTAATGTCGCAAATTTTATTACTGAATATATATATTATTACGAATATCTATTTATAAAACTTAAAATCCAATTACAAGATATAAAAAGAAAAACAGTGGGCAAAGAAGATACTAGTTTTGCCATTTATGTCCTCATCTCTCTTAGCTGTTATGCATCAATCGGTGGGTCATGCATCTATACGTTCTCTCTCTCTCCTTTCTCTATCTCACTCGATATATATACACGAACCTTCCTCGTTATTTCCTCCCAAGAACATCTCAAAACATTTCTTCTTCATTCAATATTTTGACCCACACACACTCACATAAACACATAAATTTCCTCATAAACCCTAAACCCTACCTAGTTTCAACAACTCTCTTCTTCCAGTCCAAGAAAATCTCATTAGCAATGGCCAAAGTTGGGAAGCTGACAAAACTCAAGTCGGCGATGAAGAAATGGCCTTCCTTTGCCAAGAACCACCATCACTCATCCTCCTCCGCCGCCGTCTCCGATGAGCTCTCAGAGGACAACAATCTCCATGTGGTTTACGTTGGTCAAACTCGAAGACCTTACATGCTTAGACCAGACATCATCTCTCACCCACTCTTTCAAGAACTCGTGGATCGGTCTTCTAGATCCGTTGAACAAGATCGTGAGATTGTTGTATCTTGTGAAGTTGTTTTGTTCGAGCACTTGCTGTGGATGCTCAAGACTGGTCAAGAAGGAGGATCCGTTGAAGAATTGGCTGAGTTCTATACTTATTGACATCGTGCGACCGATTTAATTTAAACATTTATAATTCGTATAATACATACTTTTTGTTGTTCTTGTTTTTGTTGCTGTTGCTGATTTGTATTTTGATTCGATGCGGTGTGTGATCAAAACGTGATCTCGTAAACCATGTCATTTGCTTCTGTTTTTTTTCCCTCGAGCAATTTTATGATGATGATGAGCATATGTAGCTTCTTGCTTTGTTACGACCAACATATAATTATTTTCTCTTAACTACAACCATAATGTGTCCTTCAAAATGTATGCTAATATATATTTCCCTTCAACTGTAGTATAGACAACTAAATGAATATGATGGCTTCAAACATATATTTATAGTTAATATACATAAGAGAGAGAAACTTATTGGTTGGCTTTGTTTATATTATTCATTTTATTGTGGCGGTTTTGTAACTTTTGTTACTATTTTTTGTAACGGAATATCTTTCTCATGTCCATGAGTCATGAGTCTCATGACATAATAAAAATGGACTTTAATGATGATTGAAATTGCTTGAATTAATACACAGATTAAAAGAAAATGATTTGAGAGTCCAATTAATTAAATTATCTATTTTCTTGCTTTATTTTAAAAATCTGACTAGCAATGATTTATATCATTGATATTCATGGTGTGTTTTTTTTTTGTTTATAATCCGGGACAATACCTAAAATATAAAATCAGCAAAACTGGCAACTAGTCTCGAAGTGACTTAAAATTTTAGAAAATTGAAAGACCCATTTTATACAAAGGAATTACAATTGAAATGAACAATTTTCTTATGTTTTTGCACTGTGCCACTGTGGTTATCGAAAATATATTTTTGGAAAACTTCATTAAAATCCGTTAAAACTTCACATATCTGAGAGACGGTCCTCTGTGTATCATATTCATATGCTGTCCATTTCAAGTATATATATTTTTTGTATAAAACTAAAACATAACTACCGTTCAAATATTTTTTAGTCGAAATAATAATGGTCGCTCTCATGACGCGTTGGTGACCTGGTCCCAATTTCAGGGTCATACTCTCCTTTCTAGTTGCAGATATTATATACTATTTATAATGTTTCTGAATTTCCAGCCATATAAAATATAATAAAGTTTACAGATTAATTACTCAACAGAATTAAACTATACTCCAATAGTTAATAGTACTTGCTTACCATCAGTTCAACTGTTCAACATACTTAAGTACATGTGTATTTAATATATTTAACATTCTTGTAGCCATAAATTTGTTGATAAAAACTGATACAATTGTCGTGGTGGTGACGAAAGGGACGCACGAAAACTAAAGAGTCTCGAGGACTTTATATACTAGAAAAGTAATCAACTACACATAAACAATAATTATATCGATTGATTAAGTACGACGAAGTTCTAATCATTATATGCTCTCTAATAAATAAAACTAATTAATGAAGAGAAGAAGTTTCGTCGTTAAGTTTCTGTTGTTCAAAAAAAAAAAAGAAGTTTAATTAAGTTTCTTAATTGATTCCGACAAACTAATGATTGAGAAGTCACTCGGTGTGTCCTTTCCGCAAACTTCATGCGACTTTCTACTTCTGTCTTGTTCATTACATCTCCTTCGCTAAGTATAGATCGTGTGTGTATAAATTGTGTTGTAAATTAAATTGCTATATGCTCATTCAACTTATATTATATTTTAAAAAATTATAATCTGACAAGAGTTGATTATTCTTGTGTTATGCCTATAATGCCAAACATTCGAATGTCACTTCCAATTTTTGATTGGTTCGAGTGAGACTGTGAGAGAGGTTACAAAAATAGATTTTCTAGAAAAAGAAAACAGGAGAGATATATATAGGAACTATTGGGCCTTAGTGGGCCACATGGTCTAAAATGAAGAAACGAAGGCCATGGTGCAAGGAGACGGGGGGGTCATGAAACGACGGCGTAAGGACTGATTTGGCTCTTCCACGTTGGTCTTCTGAACTTAACTGACGCTAATAAGTGGCCGACGTTGCCAGCGTTTGTGCAACGGCGGCGACGGCGTAACTCAGGTGAAACCAACTATTCCTTTTCCTTACTGATTTGATTTCTCTTGTGTTTGTTTGTGCATCTTCCTGTGATTAATATTCAATTCGATCACACTCCTCTTGATTGGCTTTGAATGTCTTGGTCGTTCGTCGTTCTTTTTTTGTTTTCCCTTGAGTAGATGAATGATTTTAACAATTCTATGTCTTTCAAGTGTTTGATGAAATGCCTCAATGGGTTTAATAGTGTTCTTCCGCAAGTGTAGGTTTTTAAAAAAGAATCCATTGTGGTTTGCTTAATTTCCTTCAGATGAAAGCTGCTGGATTAGATCCTAGCACTTTCATCTCTTTGATGGATAAAATTATATTTCTATCGGTTATGATGTATGAACTTCTGATTTGTGCTGGAGTTGTGAGATTTTTCTGTGGATTTTTATTTTTTATTTTTTATTATAGGGTCTATTGATTGCCAGTGTGAAGTTAGAACTTGCAGCCACCGGTTGAGATCTTGTTACTCAAATGTACAGAGTTTCTCCATTGCCATTTGGGAAAGCTTAGTGTTGTTCTCAGTCGATCTAGGAACTTCAGAAGAAATGTCACGGTTTAGATCATTGTGGCAAGCCTCGGTGAATGCATCAAAGAAGGGTATATTTTCATTTGATTCTGCTCTCACACTTGAGTCAATTAAGATGTTTATCACTTCTTGTGACTTATTGTGTCCTTGTCCTGTAATAAATTGGGTGTGGATATAAAAGTTACGAATACTCAGTATATTCTTATTTGGTCTCATAATCAAATGCCTTTGATTGGAAATAAAGATTATGTTTCAAGACTAGTTTCTCTGGGGATGAAGCTTTGCAGCCTTTAAGCTAGTCTTTTAACATACTTTCACAATGCACACACTTCAGCTCTAACTTGGGAACTCGAAGAGTGGGTACCTCCAGTGGAGAAGAGTATATTCAAGTTCAATTCAAAAGAAGACCTGAAGACATGGCACCTGTATTCTGATTCTGAATATGGAGGTACTTAAAACACACAGGTTCAGGCATCTGCTCATAATCATGTTACAGAACGTTTGTTCTGTTTTGTAAATTTTTATTTGTTTCCATTCCTATTTCTATTGACAGTTATTGAGACGACATATCAATTCTTCCTGTGATCTGCTCATTACTGTGTTGGATATTTATTTTATAGGATTATCTTTTGCTTCATTGGAGATTAAAGATGGAGGAAATGGATCAGATTGCACTGGTTAGTTTATACAGTGGTCAAGTGTTCCTAGCCTTTTCATTTTGTTGCTGCAATTGGGCTGTGACCATTTTCACCTCATATCTCTTCCTAGGTGTTTTCTCCGGGTACCTCTCTACAGACATGAGCGAAGGTTCGAAATGGAATATCAATCGGAGTGGTTTCTGTGGAATGCGCTCGAAGAAGGTTAAACACATAGCTTTTATCTTCTCTTACACATGATCAATCAGAACCAAAGGTTTTAGTCGAGTTTAACGCTTTAAGCACAAACTTAACTCAAAGCACCTTCCTCTTTTTTTGTGTGTGTAGTTTGATGGCTTTATTGATCTCGACGGGTATGACTCCATAGCACTGAGGCTCAGAGGAGATGGAAGATGCTATATCTCTACTGTGAGTCTCTTCTCATGCTCAACACTCGCGTCCTTTTGCTCCACATAAAAAAAAAAACACAGTGTTTATAGGAACACATCTTTTATTCTTAAACTAAAACCGCCATTTTAACTCAGATATATACGGAGAACTGGGTGAACTCGCCAGGACAAGCAGAAGATAACTCATGGCAAGCTTTTGTCTTTGCTCCAAAGGGAAACTGGTATACAGCTAAGGCAAGTCTCATACTTATTCTACAAGGCAACTGGTGTAAAAAGGGTTTTTTATTATGTAACCAACCCCGAGTTCGACAATTTAATCTTCAGGTTCCTCTTGCTCGGTACTTGCCAACATGGAAAGGAAACGTGATAGATGCAGAAATGGAGATGAATCCAGGTCGTGTTGTGGGTATGTCTCTAGCTGTTAATTCACAAGGAGGTGGTTTTATTGGAGCTAAATTAGGCGCAGGCGATTTCCGAGTCGAAATCGACTGGATCAAAGCATTGAGAATGCCATGAATGATGATGAAGAACAAAAAAAGCTTTTTTCTTTTTTTCTTTCTCATTTGAGAACCATGGAGAAGAAACTGATGTTCTCTGGTTTACTTGTAAAACCGGGATTTTGGTTTAATCGGATTAGCCAAGTTGATGGACAGAAACGTTTGTGAATTGACTTTACAGCAAGTTGTTCGGCTTTAATGGAGAAAAGTAAAGAAATAAATTACATGGGCCATTAGCAAGTTGGTCCATTTTGATCATCAAAGTCTATATACCTTAATTTGACGCTTAAGAAAAATAATAAAATTATTGATAACGTAATGATAAATAATTAAATATTGTGACTAGAGCGTTTGGAACGAGAAGAATAGGGTAGGGTATAACGTAGGGTCACGGCTCCACGTCTCTTAATCAAGTGTTTAGCATCTAATTATTGCTTGTCCTTGCAAGTTAATAGTACAAGTTCTCATTCTCAAAACAAAGCTTTTGATCGGAGTTTTGTAAGCTATAGTTTTATATTAACACCGTCGTTGTGTTATATATTGTAATTCATAATCGAATTTGAAAAATTACGTGTGTGAGTTGTTATGATAAAAGAAAAAACACAAGGGTTTGAAGATATAACATGGCTTCTTTTCACTTATTATCTTGTTTTCGTTTTTTTTTCACCCTGTAAGAATAATTTGGTATAGTAATATAATTTCAGAAACAATTTGGCATAATATTCTTAAAACAGACAAAACATATATAAAGATGTATGCTAAAGAAAATAGAAATATTTAAACTTAGTACTTCTACTTTTTTGGTCATTAATTTAAAGTTTAAAAAAGAAGTTGGCTAAAACGAGGATAAATATATATATCAAGTGGCGAGTTTCTCGATCATTCTTTGTGACCGTCCCTCCAATATATATGTATTATACAACACAAAGCACGATACCCAAAATCACAAACTCTGCTTCTTTTCTCTTCTATACTCTTCTTCTCTTCTTCCACGTTTCCGTATCCACTGTATCTGCATATCTATATTCATTTCCATCTATTCTCTTGTTTCTTGCAATAAATTCGTCGACTTGACCATTAACATATTAAAATCAGACAAAGCTCTCTGCTTTTTTTGTTTTCTTCTCTGTAACTCGTTCTCATACCAGCAATGGAGAAGGAAGACTTGTACGCTGTTATGGATTTGAACAACGAATGTACGCAAGGAGATGTCAGACTTGCTTACAAGAACCTTGTTCTGGTTCTGTACATCTTTCTCTTTGTCTTTTGTTTCTTTCTAGTTTTGTTTAGCTTTTAAATGTTATTTGATTCTGCATTTCTGTAATAATTTTGTTTTTGTTTTCTTTAATATGTTGGGTGGTGTAGAAATGGCATCCAGATCGGTTTCGTGAAGAAATTGAGAAAGACAAAGCCAATATGAAATTCCAATCCATTCAACGAGCCTATTCTGGTAAACTTTCTTTTGGTTCTTTCTTCTAAACCGGGTTTGATCGTTTATCGTTATGTTCCGGTTTAGTAACTACAATTGTCTTCTCAACACAGTTTTGTCGGATTCTAACAAGAGGCTGTTGTATGACGTTGGAGCGTATGATAGTGATGACGACGAAACTGTATGTTCTCGTTAGTACTGTATTTTTTTTTTTAATCAAATATATTTTGTTTATGTCAAATTTCACTTATTATTCTAAATAAAAAAAGATATCATTGTGTTGCTGGTTGTAGGGAATGGCTGATTTCATAAATGAGATGGTGACACTAATGGCTCAAACTCAATCCACGGTAACAAATCATTAATGCTTCGTTACTATTAGTAGTGATAACTACTATTCATCTTTATATGTCGATGGTAATAGTGATGGTGATGATGATTTTGCATAATTTGGGAGCAGGGGGACGAAACTTTAGAAGAATTTGAAAAGTTATTTCAAGAATTGTTGAAGGATGATGTGAAGCAATTCAAAACTCATTCATATTCATCTTCATGTGCGCCATATAATGGCAATTCTACTTCGGTTCATAGAGATGACTTATCAAATGATATTCCGAAGAAAAGTAACGCTTACATATGACAACTACTGCTGTTTAAGTTCTAGTGAGGTATTTAATTAACACTCTTTCTCCATCTTAAAAAAATTCCTTGTGTTCTTTGTATGTATTATGTATAAAACAAAAAAAAAACCTTGTAAATGATAATGTATATGGTAGGATACTAGGATTTATTTGTAAAATGATAATGTACATTGTACTATTGTAGATATTATTTCATTTTAAATGATTGTTGACCAATGATGTTTTGATAAAGGTAGGTGGTCCATCGACGAGTTTTCCTGGTTGGCAATAGAAGATCTAAGAAGTAGAGCATACAAGTTTACATTCAATTTTTTCTTGAAACTTCTTCATATAATAACTTTATTTATTTTCGTCGTTGTGGTACTAAAATATGGCATGTAAATTTTTGTATACAACAATGTGTTCAAACTTTTAGGTCGTTCGAAATCTCAATTTTGAGTTTTTTTGTTAAAGAAAATACAACTCAATTTTGAGTTATACCGATGTTTTGATAGAGAGATCAATGGTGGACTAGTTGTTGAACGATTCAATTTGGGATTAGAGACCACAAGTCTAAGTTTATCTATATACTATTTTATCGATTGATCAATACTGATGATTTAAATCAAAAAAATGCGAGAGGAAGTGTAACTATTAGTTTGAATGAATTATCAGTTCAATACAAATATTTGTATTAACTTGTGAAGACGCAAGTAAGAGGATGAGAATGCAAACGTAGAGATTTACAACGTAAAGAACATAAGCCGACAATTTCATGTAATAATTGGAACTACTACAACAGTGTCTTTGTTCACAATAAGGCAAAGTCAATAAAGGTTGTGGAATAGGATATTTTGTGGAAGCTTTTGGGAAGTGGGACCAGGAGACAAAGCTACTCACGTTCACCACAAGTTGTCTTTTGTTTTGTTTTCTGTTTTTCTTCGTAAATCTTTGTCTTTATCTTCTTAAGGCTGCGACGAACGCGAGTCTTCTATTCTCTTCCCTTCTTTTCTTTTTTGAAAGAAAAAAAAAACAAAGTATATATATACATTTGTACAGAAACAAAAATCATGCTATCCACTACTATAACTTTTATACGGTAAACAAAATTACAAGTTGGAAATCAAATAAGAAATAAATGTGATTTATATTTTCCAAGTTGAGAATAATTTAGTGGCCTATATACACTGAATCTGGCCCATTACCTCTTTTTTTCAAACCTGTGAAGGGCCTATGCTTAATTTAGTTTCGTAACTTGACAAAACAGTTTTCCTATGTAATAAGATGTGACATTTTAAGATGACTGGAAACCATTTAACAAAAAAAAAAAGACATTTAAGATGATTAGAGTTTTTCAGATTTTTTTCATTTAATACTGAAATCGATTGAAGGTTTTTCTATATGTTCCTTAAAATTTTAATTGAAAGGTTTCTTAAAATTTTCACACATAAATTCAATATTTTTTGTTGTTACTAAAACAATTTCCACAATTCTACAAACTAGTACTAGCTCAATAAATTCAACTATTTTCAACTAATATTTTTTAAAATTTGATTTATTATCTTTAACAAAGATTTCCAAAGAGACAGTGGTTACATATCAACTACTTAATAATAATGGAACTTTTACATGCAACGCACAACCGATTCTTTACTTTCTCTACAGGCACAGGTCATGAATCTAACTTTAATTTCAATAGTTTGTACACGCAAAACTGAAACTGCGGACTAAATAAAAAAACCCTTTCTATGCTTGTCCTAAGTTAGATTACAAAGCAAGTGGGTTCCTGAAGATAAATGACTTTTGTTACCCAATAATTAATTTCTTGTTTAGGGATTATTACCAGCAGAGTTGTTTTTGGGACCTTGAAGCTCCATTGGGGAATTGGTGATGCTACCAACGGATCCATGTGTCTGAGAACTTAGCTGTGGACTCGCTGGACAAGCCTCGAGGTTGCTGGTGCTCATGGGATGCATCGTGCCCGAGCTAATCTGAGGACTCATAGGAGTTCTTTGGTTCATCTGCTGGGGACTCATAGGAGTTCTCTGGCTCATTTGCTGCGGACTCATAGGAGTTCTCTGGCTCATTTGCTGCGGACTGGACTGTTGCAGCTGCTGCTGGGTAATTCCAGCTGATGGCGAACTTACTTGGGGTGGTGATAGCACAGACTGAAGAGGGGAGGCTGCAGCCTGTTGCTGTTGCTGCTGCTGCTGCTGCTGCTGTGGTTGTTGAGGCAGCTCATGTTGCTGTAACTGCTGCTGCTGAGACTGAGCTAACTGTTGAGGTGGCTGAGACATAGGCTGCTGTAACTGTTGCTGATGGTGCAACTGTTGCTGCTGCTGATGCTGCAGCTGTTGTTGTTGAGGTTGTTGTTGTTGCTGCTGCTGCTGGAGTTGCTGTTGATTCATGTACATATTCATTCCAGGTATCAGCTTAGGTGGGCCCATGTTACCCATAGCAGCAGCTCGCTGCAGGTTAGCTCGGGTTAATGTAGTCTGATCCAACATGGAAAGACCAGCTGAGCTCGGGTGCATCTGCCTGGCACCTGACACGCCACTTATCCCACCTTGTGGAGCACCCATTACACCTCCTCTGTTCGCCAAGCCCATCCTAAGATTTGTAAACACAGCGGCATTTTGGTGTGGTGTTAACGCACCCGATCGGATTTGCTGGCTTATTACATTCAAGTTTGATGCTGGATTCAGATTCATTGGGTTCTGGCCCATATTACTGATGCCAGGAACAGACATTGATGATGAGATTCCGGTTCCCCCAATCCCTCTCCCTGCCATATTCATTTGGTTGCCTAAAGCTCCGAGTGCAGCAATACTGTTGCCCATGCTTCCCATTCCCATACCCATACCACCCATACCCATGCCTACACCTGATCCCAGCCCCATCATTATCTTCTTCTGCATTGCCGCCTGGTGCTGCTGCTGCAACATCTGCAGTTGATGAGGCGAAGGCTTGTTGCCCATCTGACCACCCGGCTGCATACCAGAGCTCTGGTTCATCGAGTTGATAGCTGAAAGCGGGTTTGTAGGCAGCAACATAGATGCTCTCTGCATTTGTGGGTGCTGTTGCTGTGTAAACATCTGATTTTTCTGCTGTAGCTGTGATGACAGCAGCGCTGACTGTTGTGGGTCAAGCTGTTGTGGTTGCATAGGCATGGAGACACCGGACAACAGTCCTTGAGACATTTGCAAGGCTTGAGAATTTGCCGGAGGATGCATCCTTGCATTTGCAAGAATATTCTGGCTTGCGTTTATAGGCGCATTCCCCTGTTTCGATGCCTCACTGGATGCTCCTGCAGCTGCATCTCCATACTGTTGCATATCATTTGCAGAGTTACCCCTTGGAAAACCACCAGACTGGCTGCTGCTTGGCCCAGCATCCCCACGATGTGGCTTTGCCTGAATATGTTCTTCCGTGCGGTATCCTTCACGGATCATCTGCATAAGCAGTTACATCTATCTGTAAGTAGCAAACCCATAGAACCAGGAACCTGATATAAGCGATTCAGAATTCGAGAATTACCAGTGCTTTAAATTCAGCAGCAAGTAGATCGGCGATGTGCTGTGACAAAGTGCGGAAAAATAAGCAAGTCAGCATAATTTCCAGAAAAGAAGTGGTGTGTATGTATATAAGAGAACAATTAATCATCCTTTGTCCATCTCCTTATGATCGCATTAGACGAGAAGGAGAAACAAACAGCATCAACTACGAAGAGAGATGAATCCGTAAACTAACCATGTTCAAAACAACAGAAAGCACTCACTGCAGTGACATAAACCCAAAGACCATGATCCAACAACCAATAAACATTGATGAATGTAAAGTCGGCATTACATTAAATGTTAGTGCATGCAAGCTGAAGATATATTGCTAATAAAATAGGATGCAGGATGTAAAGTCAGCATTACAATACATGCTAGTGCAAGCTGAAAATATATTGCTGATCAAAATAGGATGCAGGGGGAGTTAAATAATTGTCATGAACTTACTGTATTGGGCAACGCTAAGAGATGATCTTCAGACGGAAAAACATCACCATCATCTATGTCCCCTTGATACCATGCTACTGTCCCGTCGACGGGCTTCTCTGACATCACCAGCCGTGTTCTTATTTTAGGGACGATGGAAGACACATTACCTGAAAAGATGCAGAAGTCAGAGTCAATCATATAGAGAAATATCCCAATAGCCAGATTTCTGGTTAGAACAGAAAACAGACCTAGCATTACACACTCTAACTGAAGAAAGTTGATGACTCTCGTTTTGCATGTATTCATGCTGCCCCCAAGAATAGATTTTGATAGTACTTTTTCCTCGTCTTTGAAGTCCTCGTTGTTAGACAGGTTCGAAAGACAACCCATCAGGGACTGTTGAGTATACGAACGAGGTCTTCGGGAGTACTCATCCACCTTATGCTTTTTGCAGTTTAGTTGGTACCTAGAAATAGAACAAATAAACTGGATCAACCAACAAAAAACAAAATCTATGACATACAGCATCAAAAACTTGTTCATGCACCAACACACATAATTGATTCGATAAATGTAACGAGATAAGAAGAGTGGACAATGCCGACAAGGCTCTAGTGTAAAGCCAAAATCAGATGAAGGAGAAGTAATCACATGTGTGAAGGTCAAATTCATAAATAGGATATAATTTCTATACTTGTTTCTCAACTATAGCTGTTATATAATTCAAAGTAAACCACTAGCCACACGAAGAAGAATTTGATGGAATAGCCTCAACAAAACAGGTTTCATAAAATTCATACCTTGCGGCAACTCGTTCAATCTTTGAGAATCTGTCGAGGATTGCGTGATCGCCCAAAGTTTGGGTTCCCATTGAAGGGCTCCTTGCATTAACTGGGACACTCATAGTATTGACACTAACAGGAGAACCAACACTGCTCATAACTTGCGTCTTAGGAAGAGAATTTGTCCTCCGTTTTGCAGGCACTTGGGCTTGGTGTTGCCTTTGCTGCATAGCATCATTAGCACTAGAACCCACTGACTGAGTAGCACCAATAGCAGGAATAGAAGTAACAGCCTTGTCCTTTTGAGCAGCTGCAACTGCTCCATAGTGGGTCCCCATTGAACCACCAGAAAACTCACCTGACTTCGATGAAAGTGGGGACTGTGGTGGAGCACCTGCTGATAAACGAGGACTTTGAGCGGCGATCCTTCTACTGAACTGTTCTTCTTTTCTTGGGTCTTTTTCAATCTGTTGGCCAGGATTAACATTCCAAGACGCTTGAGGGAAATTTGATCTCGTGAATCCATTATGGGGCATCCTTGATTGAAAATCATTTGCATCACTTCCCCCCGGCAAATTGTTCCTGATATTACCATCAATTTTACCACTCTCATATGGCTCCTCTTTAGAGGGGTATCGCAGTGCCCCACCTCCCCGTTGTGGAGCTGGAAATTGCATGGCACCACCTTCTTGATTCATAACTCCTTCAATTTGCTGTGGTGAACATCTCTGAGTACTTGCATTTGGATATTGAATACTTCTACCTAGCATCTCTTGCTGCTGTAGAAGCGCATTTTTCCAATTCGTATCGGTTCCATGAAGGCTATCCATGCGTTGCCGTAACTGTTGCTGTGAAACCCCATCAGGACCCATGTGTGGAACCCTTGCCCGCTTATGCTCAGAAGACATTTGCTCTTGACTTTCTCTCTTTCTATGAATAGATGTACTGGGGTTCATACTATCAGAGGCATAAGACAACATTGCATCTAGTCCACCAGGCGAAGCTCCAGGGACATTGACAGAATTTGATCCTTGATCCTGCATGTTTCTTATATTTCCAGTTCCCAGGTACCTTTGTTGCTGAGGTTGTACCAACGGCAGTGAGGAAGTTGGCGCATCTTGCGAGGTCTGATTTCTTAACCCCACCAACATATTTGTACCAGGATTTTGAATAGCCTGATTGTTATGGATTTGATGCATTAACAAATGTCCCGGCATATTTCCCCGCTCTGAACTTTCCGGAAGCCGATCAATGCAAACCTTTTTCCCATGAATCTTGTTCTGAGACATAACTGTCACTTCTGTCATTTGCCTTAATCTCTTTCTCCGCAAAGTAGAAAAAGACAAGTCGAGCTATGGAGTAGTAACAAACACTTATTAGACTTTGTAAAAGCACTGAGAAGAGAAAGCACAATGAATCTTTTTAATGAGATATTACCTTAGTGGACACAGGGTTTTTACTCAGCCTATCAAGTCTGGGAACAGGATCCAGACAGAGTTCAGGTTGTAGGGCTTTTAATATTCTGGATTCCACTTCCTGCAGTTAAAGCAAGGATCAGTGTAGAAGAAATAGTTTCAGTGCTCAGATATACGACCGATAATCCAAGAGCAACCATGATTACCATGAGATCACCATATGTCCATGAGTTGTCTGACATTGATGGAATATCTTTTACCACATTCTCAAGTGACATCTTAAGGCTCAATTTATTTATCACAGGAGAGACTTGCTCTGGGGTATGTTTCCGATAGTCATGCACCTACAATAGCATGTACCAAATATTTTAAGAAAACACGATGTTGTGATAGATTAAACCTTGAGCAGTCAATTAGAGGAATAATTAAACTAGGTTATTTTATGTTTTCTTCTGATTCCAATTACTCCAATGTTTCAGAAGGTCATGGTAAACATAGAATGAGTAAACCCACAAACAATAAAAAATGGATCTGCCTCAACAAAAAAAAAAAAAGTGCAAATGCTCGGAAGTCAAACTCCCATTTTTGTTCAAGTAATAATTATAGAGATATTTGTGAATATCTGAATAAGTTTAGACTGTTTCCAAGAACTTATGGAAGCAACGCAGGAACTAGAACCATGGTGATGACAACTAATTCTCAAGACAGTAATCAAATAATTTACAGCAGATAACTCACCTCACATATGACCACCCCATCCAGAAATTTACAAGGTATATCTTCCAAAATGTCCCCGGGAAGTCTGCCAGCCTCAATAGCCTATAAAGCATCCATGAGAATTAAAAACATTTACTCAGTCGAATGATAACTTGAAAATGAAAACTAACGAAATTCAACTTGGGGTTGAATGAGTGAAAAGATAAACACCATCTTCACATATACTAAATTAACTACGGAAAATAACATAATAGAGAATTCAGAAACATTTGGAGCAAAAAAAAAACTTAACCAACAACTAAGAATACAGATCTAGTGGCTCTCATTAATAATACAAAGACAAAGTTTCCAAGTACTTTGAATTCATTCACCAAATCATTCAATCCATTTTTCGAATCAGGTAAAACAAAACTGTTCTAATAATATTTACCGAAAGTAGACTCTCTGCTGCCCTATCATACGGATGTAAGACCTTTGGAGCCTCTCGGAAGGATGTATGTTGCACAGCCTGGTTCCCAAGTATCAACAAATTGTTAGATGTTGTTAAAATCAAATACAAGAAATTACACGATGAATAAACTCATATAGGCTCTCATCACATGAAGCTGTACTACATACCTCAGAGGGTTTTCCTACTGAGTACCCACTCGGATACAGGCTCAATATGAAGGAAACTTCATGCTCTGCAGAGGAAGCAAATTCACACAAATTTTAACATTGCTCGAATTTAAGCAAACTACGAGGCGACGAAAGTGGTTGAGATGCTAACCTGGAGATACGTCAGGCAAAGATGACTGCGAAAACCCAGAAACATCGCCAGCATCGCTTACAACAATGGCCTGAATCAAACAGAAATAAATTTATGGATCCATCATTCACAGTGATGTGAGAACATAAATTCACCACGGAAATCTCCTAAAACTCAGATTTCACGATGATCTCAGCTTCCCGAACCAGAACTTTGTTCAGGAAACGAATAATTACCGATTATCACTATTTTCTGAGCGCTAAAATTTAGAAACATTCACAGTAAGTACCTTTGAGTTCCCCGATAGAACGATTGGTTTCGAATTCAGCTCTTCTGGCGAATCGGGAGTAGCCGATTCAGTAGAAATCTTTGGCCGGAACCTTCTCCCAGCCTTGGAAATCTTAAACGTGACACCCATGAATTCTCCTCAGAGATCAAGCTCAACACGTCTGGGTTCTGCCGACACAAAAACGAATGGAGACCCGAAAAATCGAAGAAAAGTAACAAGAATTTCACAAGGAGTAAGAAATTGAAACCTTATGAGCTCGTTTCCGAGAAGATCATAAAAACAAATGCGTTTGGATCGGAGAGAAAGCGAGAGCAATCAAAGAGAGATTAAAGGACCCAGCAATGAAGAATTCACAAAACCTGGACTTTCAAACACAAGTTGGAAAATTGGAAGTAGATAAGATCGGAAGACATCATTAGGGTTCTAACTTCTATACGTAGCGAGAAAAGAAAAAAAATGAAGAAGTCATAGAGAGAAAGAGAGATCTTTTTGTTTGCTGTTGCTAATCCGGTTAAGAAACACAAACCGGGTATTAAACTAAACCAGTGATCATTGGTAAAGAGGAGGGTATAATAGACTTTACAATAAATAAGGGTTTTGCGTTCCCCTTGATGTCCGTCTCCTTCACAAGCTCTTTTAGTTTCCTCGCCGTTTGTGTGTGATTTTACACAGCAAAAAAAAGCAGCTTTAGCTCCCGGAGAAGAAGAAGAGAGAAACAGAATGGCGACTAACGGATCTGCTAGCTCGGCTCAGAGGGAAGCTGACATCAAGATGATGTGTGCTGCTGAGGTTCACCTTGGAACCAAAAATTGCAACTACCAGATGGAGCGTTACGTCTTCAAGAGACGCAACGACGGTAATATCTCGTGTATTTTTATTTATTTTCTTTACTTGTATATACATGAAATATATATTATGTTTGTATATAGAGAACATTGTGATTCTGTGTTGATATTGCGGATTTGTATGTTTGTGTGTCTTTTGAGTTTTTTTGTTTGCCCATTGATTGAGTTTTTGTTCCTCACACCTTTATCCCCAACCTAGAGTTTAGCCGTCACCATGGATCTAAATATCAGCTGAAAAAAAATTGCTTGAACTCTTCATATATCCATTTCTAACACTTTTAGATAACAACAAAGGAGCTGGTTTGTGTTTGTTCTTGTGTTCTTGTTTACGAGAGTGTTTTTGGTGTTTTATTGATTCTAAGCTTATGAATGTTAACTTTTTTGCCTATTGAAGCTAACCCTTTTTGTTTCTCTGTTCTTGTATCAGTATTGGGTTAAAACGTGACTAATGTTTGACACTGTATTTGATGCTAAAATTTGTTATTTTTTGTTACTCTTATCGAGTAGTACTCTTTTACTTCCTTGAGCTCTGCTGCTTTAGATGGTCTGACATTCTTCTCCCTTATTTCGTCAACGCTGCTTATAGAAATTTTGAATCTTGATTTCTCCTTTTTCAGGTATCTACATATTCAACCTCGGCAAAACATGGGAGAAGCTGCAGATGGCTGCTCGAGTCATCGTTGCTATTGAGAACCCACAGGACATCATTGTGCAGTCCGCTAGGCCCTATGGTCAGAGAGCCGTCCTGAAGTTCGCTCAGTACACTGGAGCCAACGCCATCGCTGGAAGGCACACTCCTGGTACCTTCACCAATCAGATGCAAACCTCTTTCAGCGAGCCCAGGCTCCTGATCCTCACTGATCCTCGTACCGACCACCAGGTAAACTCTTTTACTAAATCTGTACTGATGAGTCTTTTCTCGAATACTAGTGATGGTTACGTTATGTGTTGACAACTTTTGTGTGTGTTGTGCAGCCCATCAAGGAAGGTGCTTTGGGAAACATTCCAATCATTGCTTTCTGCGACACAGACTCTCCCATGAGGTTTGTGGACATCGGTATCCCCGCCAACAACAAGGGAAAGCACAGCATTGGTTGTCTTTTCTGGCTTCTTGCTCGCATGGTCCTTCAGATGCGTGGAACCATCCGCCCTCAACAGAAGTGGGATGTCATGGTAAGATGAATATCTTTTTACCTTCTTGCAAAGGGTTAAATTATTTGTCCAGTATATGAATTCATTTCATACTGTTCATGGTTGGTGTGGTGACTTTGTTTCAAATGTTGTGTTGTACACAGGTGGATCTGTTCTTCTACAGGGAGCCGGAGGAGTCAAAGCCAGAGGATGAGGATGAGTCTGCTCCTCAGGTGGACTTTGGACTACCTGCTCCTGAATATGGAATGGGTGGTGGAGACCAGTGGACCACTGCTGCGATCCCTGATGCTGCATGGCCAGGAGAAGCCCAGCAGCCAATCGCTGCTGCTCCCGCCGCTGCTTCTTGGAACGAATCTGGCGGTGAGTTTTTTTTATTGACAGATATATTGATCTACCATCTTGATTATAATGGTTTTTTTTTTTCTTTTTTTTTGCGGTTTTTAGTTGCTGCAGCAGAAGGTGGATGGGACGCTGCTGTGCCACCTCCAACCGCTCCAGGTTCCAGCTGGGAGTAAAGTCGATAGGCTTTTTACAGTGGTTGTTCTAGACATGGCTTTTTTTGTTACTGTTTGGGGATTCAAGAGTTATAACTGTTTTTCCTCTATCTCTCAAGACACTTAGATTATTGTGTTTCGCACTCGTTTTTTTTTTGTTTTAAATGGAATTTTTCTATCTACAATCAGCTCTTTTTTATCACAAATATAGATTGAGTTTCTGGGTTTGGTTCCTTTCAACAATTCTCTACATTCTGATCAATTGTTTCTTGAAAATCGTACTGTAAGCAAAACAAATAAAAGTCTTTGTTTTTTTTAAAATTCAATACTGATAATTAACATTTTGTTATATTGAATTGAACTTTCAAGTAGAGTTAACAAAATAGAGGATAGTGCAACATTGACAAGAGTGAAAGAACAACAAGCACTTCAAGACACAGTAGACATAAACAGAACAAGAACTTATTGTCATTTGTGTACAACATGACACCAAAGACTTTGCAATAGAACCCGTTCAGGACCAAAGATCCATGATATTGGCTCCATCCAAGAGACTGCTCAGAGAGATCGAGGAACCACAGTTTCTCTCCAATACAGGCATCTGGGAGAAACACTCGGTCTGGTTCTCGAAAGCTAGAAGCTCTTCCGAAAGCTGAGCAGCATTCACGTTAGCTCCTTCATCACCATCACAACATCTCTGCTTCTTCCTCGCGTCGTCGTCAACAATGACATCTTCGAGCCACTGTGTATCGACCTGAAGCGTGTCCGCGTTGTTAGTCTCCTCCCACAGGAAATCAAGACATCTCTCAAATCCAAGATCATCAGCCTCGTGCTTCTCTTCCATCTTCTGAACAGTCTTGGCCTGAGGTTGTTGTGGCGGTGAGGCTTTACGTTTCCTAGAGAATGATTCGTTTGGGAAATTGAGCTTGGCCTTGGCTCCTCTGATTCTCTTAGCCTCGAGATCATAAGCTCTTGCAGCGTCCTCTGCTGTGCTGAATGTCCCGAGCCAGACTCGAACTCCTTTGATGGGGTCACGAATCTCAGCCGCCCATCTTCCCCAAGGACGTCTCCTGATTCCTCTGTACCGACTAGTCGTCTTCTTGCTATTCACGGTACTATTTGAACCTGCCATTGATAAAAGAAGAATTCAAGGATTTGAGACCTAGGAACTAAGAGATGAACAAAATCCCAGAAAACTCTAAAATACGAAAGGATCGAATCGGAGAAACTTACCAGCAGGTTTGCAGGTTGAGGAGAAGAGCTTTGCTGTAGGAATCGTTTCATCGTTTTCCGATCGGAACTCATCGAAATCGTGAAAATCTCCCCAGTAATCGTCGACTGTCAGGTCAACGACGTCGTCGCGTCTCCAGGAAGACTTCCCAGCTCTCGCGTTCTTCGCCTGATCGGACCACAGGTTGTCGGCTGTCGATCTGCCGGACCGCGACGGCGCTATGTAATCGGAAATTACTGCTCCTCCGCACATTTTTCCGAGATATTTTTTAACAGGGTGTGAATAATAATTAAATTCAAAAAGTTTTTGGGTTCAAAATACAATTGTTGTTAATCTTTTCATTCTTTCTTCGTTGCACTATCTTCTTATATGCAAAACGGCTAGGCGTGTTCCTCGAACGACAATTGGGCCAAGTGGGCATTTGCCAAATAAATTACTGTTTTGCCTTCGGCGTAGGTCCATTGTAAAATCTTAAATTATTTACATGTTGGCGTCTGTAATGTTACGCAATTAGCCAATTTATGATTTGAGTTATTATTTTGTAATATTCGATGTTATCTTTAATCACATCACACACTAATGAACTGTGGAATAACATTGATGAAAAAAATATATTACAGTTGTTAATTACAACTTGATATTTGTAACAAATAATCAAGTGTAGTGCTAGGCTATAGGGGATGTCGTTTGGTAGCTGTGGCTTTTAATTTTGAAACCAGAAGTAGTCTTTAATACTGACTAATCGGCCCATGGTTTTCTCCACTAACCATTTTTGAATTCCAATTTATTCTATCAACCTTGCTTTGAATCTCTTTTAGGAAGCCAAATTATATAATATGTATGCGTTGTTGAGTGGGTTGATTAAAGACTAATTGATATATTGACCGAGGGAAATTTAATTTAAACGGAACAAAATTTGGATTTGTGGATGAACCTTTGATATGGCAACCAGTTTGTAATAAATATTGATATGCATATATTTGGTTAGCATCTTCATTAATGTTTTTTTTAACGAACAAGTAAAATATAAAGGGGTAAGTATATCTCGTAAATCTGGGAGATAATATCACGAAACTTCGATTAGAACAAATATAACTTTGGTTTTTATGGAATCATTTCCATAAACAAGTTAAATTACTGATGACGTGCATTTAATACCATAATTAACATATATTATGAAGAAGCAACTATTCCTTATTTACTTCAAACTATGTATATACATATATGAATCTGAATTTTTTTTCCTCAGAGAACTTTCGTGAGCTCACAATCATCTCTCATTCTTGTCGCAAACATGGAGGACGGAAAAGCCTCATCGTCCACTTGCTTCCCGTTCACGGAGCAAAAGCCCCTTCAAAATCCTAACTTGCCGGTGAAGCAAGAAAAAGAGACGAAACTACAAAACCCTAAAACCAGCAAAGGTCGACAGAAGATAGAGATAATAGCGATCAAAGATGAGAACCGAAGGCAAGTGACGTTTACGAAACGCCGAACGGGGCTCTTCAAAAAAGCGGCCGAGTTAAGCGTCCTCTGCGGCGCGCAGATTGGTATCATAACATTTTCACGTTGCGACAGGATCTATTCGTTTGGTAACGTGGAGACACTCATCGAAAAGTACTTGCGTAAGGCCCCGGTGACGCTGAGATCAAATCTCGGCGATGACGTGGCAAGCGGAGGAGAGGACGCCGATGGTCGGAGATGGTGGGAGAGGGCGGTGGAGAGTGTGCCGGAGGAAGAGATGGAAGAGTACATGAAGGGGTTGAGTGGTTTAAGGGAGAATTTGTGGACAAGGATCTGCGAGATGGGTGGTGATCCGACGGTCCAGATGAATGCTCAGGCATTTCCAAATCCGATGGCTCCGTTTGACTGGAAAATGACGGATAGGAACGATCAAGGTCATGCAGGTAACGATGGTTACCTCGAGTTTGCGATTCCGTTTATGTCTCAGAGCCGTAGACAATAATATGGTGTTTTCTTTAATATGATATTTACTCATTTACTCTTCGGTGTAACATATAGGTTTATCTAAATTATATTCAAATTCGTTTCTAAGATTGATAGTTTTTGGCGGACGTTGGATCGATATATTTCTTATATATGGGATTCATATTTATTTATAGTTACGAATTATGACACTGAAAGTTTAAAGTTTCTTGCAAGTTCTAGATTTTCGTCTTTCTTACTGTTATTAAAAGCAACATTACAGGTTAAAGATTACTGCACTTGAACGCAAATGTTGTGTTATGACAACACCGCCTAAGGAAACAATCTTTGTCTTTTTTGGTATTTGTATTGCAAATTGACAATTTAATTCTTTTTTTTACTCAATTATTCTACTTTTCCTTGGTTACATGCAATACAAAATACAGATTTTAAAAAGTGACAAAAAAATAGCGTTCTATCAAATGCTGACCGTTCAAAACTAAATATATAATTAAACGTGAGGCAACAACGAAATCAACACATGAACTTTGACGATTCTTGAAGGAACAAAAATTTATAATTTCCAAATTTAAATTTCGTAAGCAAAGCAAAATTAAATTTAGGGAGTTAAAAGAGTTAGAGATAGAGTTGAATAAGCTCATCGCTAACTACGGAGGGAGAGAGAACACCAAGATCAGTGAAGAGGAGCGTTAGGTACAGAGGCGGAGTATAATCTCTAGCCGACCTTTCTACTTCCACCTTTGCATGAATCTTTATACCAAACTCGATCGGTCTCAGCGCCGGTGCCATGTCCTTTTGGTCTAATGGGTAAAGCCTAGCGAACTGCAAAACAACAACAACTTCATATCACTAACCTCTCTCTCTCTTTCTCTCTTGGATCTTTTAAAAACCGTTTCAATTACCTTGTAACTTTCGGCGGCGACATAGACAGGTTTGTTCATGCTGTGTGCGACGAGTGCGATCTGGTATGTTCCCATCATGTTGATAATACCGCCACTCTCTACAACTCCATCTGCCCCGAAAAACACCATATCAACCTCGTCCATGCTATACGCCACAGCTGAATCCAGAAGCAGTTTCACCGGGATATCGAGCTTCGATAGCTCATTCGATAACAAAACTCCTGTTCCATCGGGTCTTCCCTCTGTAATTTTTGTCACTAAAAGAGTTCAGCGAGAGGCTATACCAATACTGAGAAGAAGCGTCACGATTATGTAGATCACAAGCACCAAAATGTCTCAAAAACATCGTATAAAGCAAGAAGAAACGTATTAAAATAGAAACAGAGAGATAAAGAGAGTGCAGAAACGTATATATATAGAAAGAGAGAACCTGTGCATAGAACTCGAAAGAGCTTGTTGTTTTGTGCAGCTGTCTTTAGTATCTCCAGAACAACTCTAGAGAGTCCATGAACCAATATCGTACAACCATCGAATATAAAATCTTGACTAAGCATTGCAATAATCTTACGAGCCTGCGCAATAGTGAACATTTTTTCAAAAATCTACCTCATTGATTACTTATAAAGGCGTAAAAGCTACTGAATTGAGCAATGAAGGTCAAGAAAATGAAGCACCTTGCAAGATATCTCCCCAAATTTCTCAGCACGTTCAAGGAGACGAGACTTCGCTGAATTGAAATCCTCGTATTCTAAAGCAGACGTCCTCGTGACGTATCTGATGAACAGATCGCACCCAGCAGTCAAGGAGATTGATGTTTTGTCCCATGACTGGACAAAAAAAATTTGAACAAGAAACAAGTTTTCATCAAACAGTGCCCATAAAAATCGATCACGAATAGGGAAAAGTAATGAATCGACATTGGCGTAAGATTGAGAAATGAATTTCACCTTCAGTGTATCGGAAGCCTTTTTGAGCTCAATCTCAAGCTCCATCATGGTGGTGGCCTCGCTCGCACGAATAACCGCAGCCAGAGCTCTGATAGCCGCGACGGCCTCCGCCAGATCCGGCTGTTTTCGCCAGCTGTTGAACTCCTCAATTACACTAAACGCCTTCTCCTTCCCGAGCTCAGCGACCGCCGACGCAGGCTGCTCCTCGCCGGAGACGTCTCCCACGGCGGCTTGAGCCTGGGCTAGCCAGTCGCTTGTAATGACGACGTGGTGCGCCGCGCGGGTCTGGTAGTAAGCGGAGATGGCGTCAGTGTTTTGAAATGGGCCTCGCGTCGTGTCGGCCATGGCTTCCGGTGAATTCGAGCTCCGTCGCTCGTCGAGGATAAACGACGCTGATCTTCGCCACATTGATTTTGTTTTTCTTTCTCAGTTTTTGAGAAAATTCCTCAAATTGGGAGAATTGATAATTTACTCTCACTTCAGGTCAGATTATCCATTAAGGCCCATTACTAAGCCCAATGTTCGTTTTCAATTTCGGAGACTTTATCAAAATTAATTTATAGTTTATATATTCAACTCAACTGCAGAACTGTTTTGCCAAAATCACAAGTGCTTTGATTAAACAAACAGAGACTCTTGACCCCTTTTTTTTTGTTAAATAACTTTATTAATCACGCTTTAAAGATCTCTCTATAAAGGTCATGGCGCTCATTCTTCAAGTGCCTTTAGTCGCGGAACTCGTCCATGAAGCTCTTGTGGAAATCTGTGAGACGATTCACTATCGCCGGAATCTTGTCTTCTTGCGGAAGTATTGTGCACCTGAAGTGCCATGTTCCAGGAACCTAACCACAAGTGAATGCAAAACACAACAGATTCAACTTCTATTTTGTGAAAACATTAAAACTTTTTCATTTGGTGAAAAAAGATTTGGTTCTTTTTTTACCTGTCCGAAGCCAGAACCAGGGACAACAACTATTCCAGTGGCGTTGAGAAGGCGTTTGCAGTAGAACGCATCTGGTGCTGTCTTTGCTGCCTCTGCAGCTTCAATCGCCTTTCTAGGAAGATTAACACGTGGAAACAGATACATCGCTCCTTCGGCTCTGTTACATGTTACGCCTTCTAAGTTGTTAAGAGCGTCTTCAAGAGTCTGCACACATTCATTGTCAAAGCTTATGTTAACATTATACAAGAGACCCCCCCCAAAAATATGTCTTCCATTGTAATCTTTGACTAACCTTTGCACGTTTTGCCATGGAAGAGAGGATTCCATCTCTTTCTACCATGTATGAGTCATATGAGTCATCGCCAGGCTGATCAAATATATAAAAGACTGATTAGCCAATTGGCGAAAACCAAAGACTGGTTAAGAGAGAACTGTAATGTTGTTGTTGATTTACCTTGGGTGGGCTCATGACAAGGCTAGCAAGAACTTGACCAGAGATGTTTGAACAAAGATTCACAGAAGCAACTTTGTATATCTGCTCTCTTACATCGGAAGTGAATCCGGTAACCTCCATGTAACCTCCTCTCTTCCCACATTCTCCATAGTAACCTATATCAAACAGAAAAGTCGGTAAAAACAAAACCCCATGAGTGAGATGACAAGCTTTCTGACAGTAAAGATATTTGTTAATGTACCTTTGGAGACTGATTGGAACGAGACTAAGGCGATATCCTTCTCGCCATATTCCAAGGATCGGGCTACTTTCTTGAAAGAATGGAACTTTTTGTCAGGGACGTAAACATTTTCTTGGTAGACCTCGTCAGCTAAAAGAACCAAACCCTCTTGCTTGCAGAATTTAACAATGTCACGCTGGTTTTCTTCCGCAAGAACCTTAAACCAGTACAAGTACACAAAACGTTACATTTCGGCATTGAAATCGCTAAAATTTGTTAAGTTTTTCTAAGTCTTGAAAATATGTTTTTACCTGCCCAGTTGGGTTACCGGGGTTTATGACAACCAATGCTCTTACAGTGATTCCTTTAGACCTAGCTTCCTCTAGCTGCTTCTTAAGGTCAGAGATTTCCAGTCCCCAGCCTGTTGCTTCATCAAGATAGTACGGAACCTAAGCAGAAAAAAAGACAGTGAAAAGATAGAGAAATGAAGAATATAAAAAGCAAAGATCATTCTATAATGATTAGATATAAAACATACCAGAGATCCACCATGGAGGGCAATTGAAGCAGAGTATAATGGATACTGAGGAATTGGGCAGAGAATTCCATCTTTCTCTGAGCTTAAAAGAAGTTGCATCATCATGTGAACCTATACAATGAAAGACACATAGCATTAGCCCTTTGAAAGAAACTTGCTCTCTAACTCTTATGAGAAAATGTTTTTGGTTTTGACTGTTACCGCAGGACTTGCACCATCGGTCAAGAAAATATCATTCGGATCAGCAGGGTAACCATCACGAGCTTCGATTCCAGCTGCAATTGTATCACGTAACCCCTTGATACCCTGAGCCAGAATTGGACTCATTCAGCAACACAAGGGTCATCTAAAAATAAAACTAAGGACTTTGTAACTAGACCCTCATGATGACAAACCTGGCTGTGACTGTAAGCACCAGTAGCTCTTCCAGGAATTTGGTCCAAAATCTTCCATGCTCGGTCAATTGAATCGGTACTGATAAACAGATAAGAAACCAAAATGTGAAGCAATCTTGTTCTTTAAAGTCCCAAAGACTAAAATATAGCGAGAAAAAACCTCAGAAACATGTCATATACCTGAACAAAGCATGTGTTTCAGACTCGTCCAAAAGGCTTGTGTGATCGCACAACGCGAGAACCTGAGACATATTATGGATGATTAAGTTATATTTATCTCTCTGGGGGCTGCCGATATGACAAAAACAAATGAGCACCAAAAACGTTCTCTTACCTCTCGGAAGAACTTTATAGGCAGCTGACCAAGAGACTGAGGATTCCCAATATTGCAATAGATTATCTATGCCAAAAGCAGTGAAGACTTGTAAGTTTCTTTCTTCTTTCGAATAAATATAGAGTTCGTAGGATCAACACTTAAACTATCCACTCTACAAAACTCATATCAAAAGTACCATATACACATGACTATTTGTCGATAAAGAAGGAGTTTTTACCTCATCAAAAGGATACGCATCCTTATTGGTTTTCAAGTCTTCTTGCAACTTCTGCAAGATGGAAGCAAAACACAAAACACAGTTAATGAGCTTTTAAAAAAAAAAACAATTTCACAGATTATTGTTAGTAATTTCAACTGGAGAAAGCACAAGTATATCTGACCTGAGCGATGTTGACAATCTCTCCACGAACAGCATACTCACATTTCAGAACCTGCCAATAAACCTCTTTGTTAAATTAAATAAAAAAAAAAAGAACAAAAGAGAGACAGTTCCATATCAATCCGAGAGAAAAAAGAAAAACACAAAATCAAACAGCAAGCCGACAAATCAATTCGAACCCACCTTGGGGTTGATGGAGTCAAGAGTAACGGGAAGAGAGGAAGTGGAATCAGAAGCAGACATATTCGAAGCAGAAGACAAGAAACGAGACAGAGAAAGAAGAGGAGAAGGAACAGGAGGAGACAGAGATGGAAGAAGAGAGAGAAAGCGTCGGCTTGTGTGATGTTGACGACGAATTTGGTCGGCGAGAGTTTTAGCTTGGCTAATCAAGAATCTCCGCATCTTGTGAGTGATCAGCTTTATAGGAGAACGTGCTGCTCAAGCCCAAACACTAAAATTCTCGGTAAGGACGAAGGGTCCCAATATTCCTCTAAACCACTGCCTGCCTGCACACCGATTTCGGAACCTTTATTTTGCCTTGTTTTCCACGGATTTTTTTTTTTTTTTTTTTTTTGTCAAATCTCGAAATTGCTCTTCAAAGAAAAAAAAAAAGGGTCAAATTAGTCAAAAATGGATTTTCTCCTCTGAAAAATCTTAATGTAGTGAGAGATATTTGTAGAGTTTTTAGCTGGCTAAATCTCTTTTTATTAATTTTAACTTTTCGTTAAAACCCGGCTAATCCGAAAAAAAGACATGAGTTGTCTGAAGTCTATCTTCTAAACAGGTCATTGACTGAAATCCAAAATTACCAAAACCGGATAATCCAATCACTACTGATATCTTATTTGGGATAGATATAAAAAAAAAAATTTACATCCTTACAGCTCATTTGACAAAATTTTGAAGTTTTTCTTATTTAAGTGAATTTTTTTTTTTGTGGGCTCTTATTTAAGTGAATAAGTTTAGAAAACTCTCCAAGTTTTTCATTTTTGATTAAAGATATGTAGTATTTTATCATTATATGACAGTCTTATATTTTAAACAATTACTTTTTTGTATTACAAAACCTAATTTCTAAAAAGTAAAATACAGTTAATATCATATGTTGCAAAATGAGATAATATTTTTTTCCGTCGAGTTAAAAAAATACCAGAGATGGGTCGGGCTACTTGACTAAGAAAGCCCAGTCGACTCCCCAGGCACTAACGGCGTCGTTTTATTAGGATGAGAATAAACCCTAGTAGAGAAATTAGAATTTTTTTGTACACATTTAATTTTTGATTTAAACAAACGTATACTGAGAGTAGGAGTAAGTGAAAGAAACGACATCGTTCCTTTCGTCCCTCTGATTTTCCGATTGTGATTCTTCTTCTTCATCTGTTTGCGCCGCGTTCTCTGTCTCATTACCTCTCCCAAGTACAAAGCTTCATACGGGTTTCCTCATACACCAAACTGTGTTTTCGCATCCTCAGGTTTGTGTTCCGGTTCTATTGTGCAAACTTTCGCCTTGATTAGTGTAAAGTGTTAGCTTTTGGAATCGAAATTTATGGTTATGGTTTAGACTTAGTTGACGCAAACCCAGTTATGGTACCTCGAGTTGAAGTAGAAACCCTAATTTTGGGGTTAGAATCTAGAGCTGTGTAGGTTGTTTGGAGCTTCACCGTATTTCCCATGCATGTCTCTATGAACATGATGTACTCCTATGGGTTTATATATCTTTGGGGAAATTTTTTTTGTAGGATTTAACTAGGGGATTCACATGGTTTCAGTTGGTTCCAAATCACTGCCATCTAAGAGGCACAGGATCATTGAGGAAGATAGCTTGATGGGTGAACGTGAAAAGTCTAGCAACAATCACAGTTCGAGGAGAAAAGGAATGGGTAGGAAGGCCCAGAGAGGTGACCGTGGATTTGATGGCGATAGTAGCAAGAGGAACCAGTCCGGTGGTGCCGCCAATGTAAAGCCAGCGTCAAAGAGACAATCCGAGTTTGAGCATCAGAATCAATTTGTCAGGTAATGATAAGAGACTTTAAACCCGAGGGACTAACTAGGTTTTGCCTGCGCCGTTGCTCTAAGATTTGCTAGTGTGTAATCGAGCTTACCTTTTTTTTTTTTTTTGCAGGAAAGAGATTGATCCAGAAACTTCAAAGTATTTCTCTGAGATTGCCAATCTCTTTGATAGTAATGAAGTTGATTTAGAGGAACGGTCAGTAATATGTGGAAATGCGCTTGAGGAGACAAAAGGCAGGGAGTATGAAATTGCGACAGACTATATCATCAGTCATGTCATACAAACTCTGCTCGAGGGATGTGAACTTGACCAACTTTGCTGTTTCCTGCGAAATTCTGCGAAGGTGTTCCCAGCCATTGCAATGGATAGATCTGGTTCTCATGTTGCAGAGTCTGCTCTCAAATCCCTGGCCACACATTTGGAAAACCCAGATGCATATTCTGTTATTGAGGAAGCTTTGGGTTCTATATGCAAGGTACTTCTAAAGTTTTTTTTTTTTTTTTTGTTTTGTTATGAAAAGCGTATTAAGGTATCCAGATTCCAGAAGCTTACTTCTAGCTATGACCTTGATCGTAACTGCAAAATATTTCCCTTGGTCAGGCGATTGTGGATAATCCTCTTGATATGATGTGCAACTGCTATGGTTCGCATGTTCTCCGAAGGCTTCTATGTCTTTGCAAAGGAGTCTCTTTAGATTCCCCTGAGCTTTATGGCGCGAAATCATCAAAAGCTCTGGCGAAACGTTTGAATTTGAAGATGTCTCAATTTGATGAGAATAATCTACAATTCTCTCACCAAGGGTTTCCAGATGTGCTCACTGACCTTTTATCTGGGCTACTAAATTGTAGCAGAGAGGACATGAAGTATCTTCAAGTCGATCAGTATAGCAGTTTGGTCTTGCAGGTATGTTTTATGTCCCTGTCTAATCTTTTTATTTTATTTTTATTAGCACTCAACTTCTTTAGTATTGATTGTTATTTATCTTGATCTCTCTGGCTCCTGGTAGTGCTAACTAATCTTCTCATGACAGACGGCTCTAAGACTAATGCTGAAACAAGATGAGATGTTACTTGAGATGATTCCTCTTATCCTGGGCTGCAACTCTACAAATGAAAATGGAGAGGGAGTTCATATAGAGACTGATGTTGCCAAGGAAATTTTAGAGTCAATGAAGGATAATTCATTCAGTCATTTGATGGAGGTAACTGAGTTTAACCTCTGAGGAGTTGTTTATATCAAAATTGTGGTACTTCGCAAATAACAACTGATTATGGACATATTCCATGCTTTAAACCTTGCTAAACATTATCTAGAATGTGTGGTTTGTCCTGTATGATCACCAGTTATCTGTTGGGTTCCATGCTGTAATTGGAGTGTTATTTTTCTTAGTCGTCTTCTTAAATGCATTTGCATGCCATTTTCAGGTAATTTTGGAAGTGGCCCCTGAAAGTATTTATAACGAATTGTTCAACAAGGTTTTCAAGAACTCTTTATATGAGCTTTCACTTGATCGGTGTGCAAATTTTGTTGTTCAAGCATTAATCTCCCATGCAAAAAACGAAGAGCAGGTACTCTAATCCTACAGACACTTCATTCTGTTGTGTCAACAACATTTCATTCCAGTTTTTTTAAGCCTTGAACGTATTTGTGCTGTTTCCTTGAAGCCGACAAACTTACGTCCAATTGATTTTGTTTGCAAGATGGGTTTCTTATGGGAAGAGCTAGCTCCAAAATTCAAGGATCTTCTCAAACAAGGGAAGTCAGGTGTTGTAGCTTCTCTGATAGCAGTTAGTCAAAGGCTTCAAAGTCATGAACATAAGGTTTAAAATGTTTTATAAATTCAGCTGAAAGTTTGCTTGTTCTCGTCTTTAAGATAATAATTTAGACAGATAATTCTTGATGATGTGACAGTGTTGTGAGGCCCTTACTGGTGCATTATGCTCCACAAATGAATCCCGTATCTCCATTGTTCCAAGGTTGTTGTTTCTTGATAACTACTTTGGTTGCCAAGATAAGTCTTCATGGGAGTGGTCACCTGGTGCAAAGATGCATGTCATGGGTTCTATGATCCTTCAGGAGATTTTCAAGTTCTCTAGCGTAAGTTTCCTTTTCTTCTTGTGTTGACAAAAATAGTTTCATTGGTTTTAACTTCCAAGTTTGGCGCGTTCACGGTATCTTATACTTGCAAACTTTTGCTCAATTCTCACAGGATCTTGTACAGCCATACATAACAAGCTTAACTTCTATGAAACCGGAGCATACCATTGAAACAGCGAAAGATTCCAGCGGAGCGCGTGTCATCGAGGCCTTTCTTGCCTCAAATGCTAATACAAAACAGAAGCGCAAACTAATAATAAAGTATGCTCTGCTTCTTTATGTTATATGTCTATTTTTAAAACGGTAGATTCCACAGTGTAGCTATGTTTATCTGAAACTGAAGCATAGGGAATTATATTGGGAAAGTTGGAGTTTATGCTTCATTCTGTTTTTGCTTCTGTAGTTCTGTGTTTTTTTTCCTCCTTCAGTCTCTTGGCTATTTTTCAGTTTTCTTCAAGCAATTGTTCTTTATTCTGATGATGTTTCTTTTCACCGATGACTTCCTGACAGGTTACGTGGACACTTTGGCGAGCTCTCGTTACACACATCGGGCTCATTTACTGTTGAGAAGTGCTTCGATGCATGTAACTTGACATTAAAGGAAGCCATAGCAGCTGAACTGTTGGATGTGAAAGCTGATCTCTCAAAAGCAAAGCAAGGGCCTTTTCTGCTTAGGAAACTAGATATCGATGGGTAAGATCTTAATCACACAAAACATACCTTGCTTTGTGCGATGGAAAAAGGCCTAAGAGAATAACCATAGAGATTTAGTGACTATAATGCGATTGAAAGGTGGCATATATCTCTAGTGTGGATGCATGCATGTATTCTTTTGCATCTGTTACCTCGTTAATGATTTTGAAATGCTACGGTGTTTTCTTTGTTGCAGTTATGCCAGCAGACCTGATTACTGGAAAACGAGACAAGAAGCTAAGCAAACTACATACAACGAATTTATCTCTGCATTTGGGTCCACCAAATCAAATTTTCCAAAGAACACCTTTGTTTCTGACGCATCTGAGGATGCAGCTGAGGATGCATCTGAGGAAATAGAACTAAAGAACACAAGCAAAGAGATTGGCCATCGTCCAACTTCTGGGGTCAAGCGCCACCGAGAAGAACACGCTAGGGATAATAATGAACCTTCTGCTGTTGAAAAAAGGACGAAACAGAAGAAGAACAAAACTAGTGATGCAACAGATAAGCCAGTTACCAAGAAAAGACCTTTCCTCTCTGGTGAGATGACTGGAAAGAATCGGCACTCAAATAAATTTAGAATTTGATGTATTTCATCTTTGGTCAAGCTGCATCTTTACTCTCTGTGCCATACTTTTTTCTCTCTCTAAATTTTGATCGGAGATGACAGCATCGTTGAAACCTTCCCGGCTAGATCTACCCTTAAAGAATTCTTTTTGTATTACATTCCAAAAAACTTATAAAGGTCTAAGCTTGTAAGATGATTTCTTATGTTTAAAATACATCACAGCAACCCAAAAGTAAGTGTAAATACTCTATACTACAAAAAAAAAAAACTAAAAAATTAGAAATGTTCAAGAGCGAAAGAAAAATTCAAATCTATGGTTCTCCTGCTGTGACACTCTGTTTTCTACTTCTTCCTACATCTGATAGGGGACCGTTCCTGGTACAAAAGGACACAATCTTTGGTGTCAATTATAAACACTCACAGAGAGATAAGTAAATAAAAAAAAAACCATTTGAGATGTGTGAAGATCGAAAATTGATTGATGTGGTATTTGTGTTTTACCTGTTCTGTATAGGGCTGGAGCCACTCCTTGGGATTCCTCGGAAGCTATCTTTCTCACCTCTGAGAGACTCCTCCTTCATCTCCTTGCTTATCTCCAAATCTCTCACAGCTTTGCTATTTGCTAAATCCATGGAAGTTGGCGCCATCTGACGACCCTCTACATTATTCTTGCTGCTAAACAAAGCTAGAAGAAACAGAATCAGAGCTGCTGAAATCGTCACAGATGTATGGAATCTCTTCATTGTGAATTCTCTTTTTTTGATCTGTTCCTAAGACTGCAACTGAGAAAACGTTTGGGTTTGTATGCTATGTTTGAGTTTAAAGAAAAGGAAAGAAAGAGAGTGAAACTCTTGTTGCTTTGTAGATTAATATTATTGTTCTAAGATACTTTTTTGGGATCTAATCACGTGATCTAGTTTGACTGCTGTGCCAATAATTTTGATATTTATCCCAAATCTAATGATTTTCTAGGCTATTCACTGATGACTAAGTCCTCACAATGCTACACACATTCGTTCTCACACGTTATAGCCATGGAAATAATATGTCACTGGGATGAGGATCATGTGATAGGGCACGTGGTTACTGATGCTGTTTCAATTAGTATTAGTTAAGTCCAACTTCATGAGACGAGAGATTTTGCAGGTTTAACAGCTCATGTCTTTATAATAATCACCAACTATCTTTTTGTTCCTGTTTTTTTTTTTTTTTTTTTTTTTATAATTGTATAGCTTAAGAACATATGATTTAACATTATCATGCTAATGTTGAGGAGCTTTCTGCAATTATTTGATGTTTAAATCCGCAGCAATAATAAAAACAGCTTTTGTCATTGTATTATTCTTGTTAAAGAGAAAAGATGAATTTGGTTTTGACAGGCATTTTTGATGCAGCTAGTGAAATAAACTTTCTGGCTACATTTTCGGGAACACCACCCATCTCATAAAGGATCTTGCCCGGTTTAACCACAGCGACCATAACCTCTGGTGATCCTTTGCCACGACCCATACGCGTTGCAGGTGGTCTTACAGTAACTGGTTTGTCTGGAACAACACGTACCCAGATCTTGCCACCGAGTCGACCACTTCTTGTCAATGCTTTTCTCCCTGATTCTATCTGTCTCGACGTGATCCAAGCAGGCTCAAGTGTCTGAAGAGCATAGCTGCCAAAACTGACACGGTTCCCGCGGAAAGATATTCCGCTTACTCTTCCTCGACGTTGTTTAGGAAACCTTCTTGGGCTATAGGCACTGGTGATGCAACTCTTTTTGGAACTCTTCTTGGCACTCTTTTTGCGGGCCGCTTGTGCACTCTTTCTGCGAGCCTCTTTGGCCGCTTTGGTGCTCTTTTGGACCGCTGCTTCGGAGCTCTTTTGCGCCGCTTGGGAACTCTTGTGGACCTCTCTGGAACGGTTCAGTATCGCCGGAATCTTGTCTTGTTGCGCAAGTATTGTCACGCATCTCATGTGCCATGTTCCAGGAACCTAAACCACAACAAGCCAATGTAAAACAGATTCAACTTGCAAAAAGTTTTTATTTTGAGAAGATTTTTAAATACCAGTCCGAAGCCAGAACCAGTGGCGTTAAGAAGGCGTTTGCTGTACAACGCATCTGGTGCTGTCTCTGCCGCTTTAATCGCCTTTTGAGGAAAGAAATGCATCGCTCCTTCAAGATTCTGCACATTCATTTTCATGCTTACCAAACATTATACAAAGAGACTGATAACCACCAACACAAAGGTCATCTAAAAATAGGGTTTAGGACTTTTTTAAACTAGACCCTCATGACAAACCTGGCTGTGACTGTAAGCACCAGTTGTAGATCTTTGAGGAATTTGGTCTAGAATCTTCCATGCTCGGTCAACAGAATCGGTACTAATATATATAACAGATATGAAATCAAATGTGAAGCAATCTTATACCGTACATGTCACAAAGCTAAAAGTATAGAGAGAGAGAGAGGAAAACCTCAGAATCATATCATTACCTGAAGAAAGCTTGTGTTTCAGACTGGTCCGAAAGGCTTGCGTGATCAAGAGTAACGGGAAGAGAGGAAATGGAATCAGCCATCTTCGAAGGAACAGGGGGAGATCGAGATGGAACAAGAGAGAGAAAGCGTCGGCTAAAGACGAATCTCTGCATCTTTGTAGGAGGACGTGCTGCTCAAGCCCAAGACTTAACACTTATGGCGAGTACCAAGGGTCCCAAATTTTGGAGCATTAAAAAAAAAAAAATTAAAATTGGAGCATTTATTTTGCCTTGTTTTCCACGGATTTTTTCATTTTGCTTTTTTTTTTAATCTTATTTTTCCTTTGCTTTTGTCAAATCTCAAAACTATTAAAAAAAAGGTCAAAATGGGTTTTTAGTAGCTCCGGTCTGATCTGGTTCAAGAGTATATACTATTATACTCTCCCCCAAATTCTAACTAATGATTAGTATAAACAGTATTTTGGTTAGGTATTTACATTCCAAACGAAACGAACTTATAGAAACAGTAGCAAACTTAAATCAGTTACATTACAGGTTTGTATGGATCTATGGTTTGACACTCTGTTTTCTACTTCCTCCTATTCTGGAAGCTATCTTTCTCACCTCTTAGAGACTCGTCTTTCATCTCCTTGCTTATCTGCAACTCTCACAGCTTTACTATATGCTAAATCCATGGAAGCTCCTCTACATTATTTTTGCTGCTAAACAAAGCTGAATCAGAGCTGCTGAGATCGTCACAGATGTATGGAATCTCTTCATTGTGACCTCTTCTTATCTTGGAGCTTTTAGGCTCTTCTGTTCATGAGGCTGCAATTGAGAGAACGTTTTGGTAGTATAAGCTATGTTTGAGTTAAAAAAAAAAAAAAGAGAGATTGAAACTCTTGTTGCTTTGTAGATTATATTATTCTTCTTGGGATCTAACCACGTGATCTAGTTTGACTGTTGTGCCAATAATTTAATAGACCCTTCACTGATGATTAGTCCTTACATACACACACATGACTACACCATTCATTCACACCTATTAGCCATGAAGATATATGCGAGTTAGATGTGATAGGGCACGTGGTCACTGATGCTGTTTCTAAAAGTATTTAGTTAAGTCCAACTTCATGAGAAGAACATTTGCAGGTTTTCAGCTCATGTCTTGTCTCTATAATAATAATAAACGCTTGCTACTTCTCTTGTCTCGTTCATGGTTAACTTGTTCTAGTTCTAGAGCTTCTTGAAGCATTTCTCCGTCATGTCTTGCTTTAGCTCAAGATCATATGATTTAAGCATTACAAAAACTCTGTTATTGTATGTTATTGTAGTGGACCTTCTTGCAATCACTTAATCTCAGAAGTTGATTAGAGAACTATATAGTATATAGTAGGACTCTTGTGTTGATCTGACTATGCAAAAGAAAAAAGATTCGAATTTCAAAACCCCCTTGGAATAGATAAAAGATATTACTTGGATGACAAAGAAAGCTCTCAAAACACAAAAGCCAATAAGAGCCGAGACCAATACACAGTTTAACACATCTTCAGGCAATCTTTTTTACTCAGCTTATCTAATCACAAATCTTCAAGGATCAACGGAAGAAGAAGCAGCAGCATTGGAGCTACTACCACTACTAGTATTGCTACAAGAGACTCGCTTGTCTCTGCTCAGGAACCTCCTTAATGACCTCAGCCTCGTTGTCATTGGAGATTTTGGTTCTTCCTCCTCAACAATAAACCTCATCGATGACGAAGACGGAACATTCTGACTTCTAGTTGTACTAGAATCATTGATATCCACAACAACAGCTTCTTGACTCTGAGAAGCAACATTACCAGGACCATCTTCTTGAGACCCGACATTGGAGTTTCCGGTACTTACCTGATCTTGGCGACCCCATACCAAGACGTTGGTGGGGAATTCCGGAGAAGAATTGGAGACAGAACTTGAATTTTGAGACAAAGCATCATTGGTGGTGCTACCAAGATCTGCATTGTCCGGAAGTTGCTCGGTTCTCTTTGTGCTACCTTGCTCAGGACCAAGAACCGTGTTTCTACAGATGGGACAAGTCGAGTGAGACTGAAACCACATGTCGATACACTCAACATGGAAGCTGTGGTTACACTTTGGGAGAAGCCTGGATTTGTCTCCTTTGACAAGCTCAGACAAGCAAATAGCACATTCCAAACCATCTTTGCAACTATCTTGCCTGAAAAAGACAATTGGTAAGGCACTGAGCTCAAAAGGGGAAAGTCCAGTGTTGGATAGAGCGTCTTGCCCAGGGACGAAGATGAAACGGCGTCGTTGTCGGCGAGTGATTACCGGTGGAGCAACGGTTGATTGGTCTTCTTGTTCTTGCTGCTGCTGTTGTTGCTGCTGCAGCTGTTGCTGTTGGAGCTGATCCATTCGCCACCAGTAGATTTTGGCGTAGAGGTGGAGGATAAGGACAAAGAGAACCGCCATGAACAGAACAATGATCGCTGTGAGAATGATCTTGCTTGTGACCTCTTCCGTTGATAGGTCTCCGAACAATGAGCTATGAGCAGATCCATCGTCGTCCATTGATGTGCGATGCGGTGTTTTCTCGGTTAGATCAGAGCTCTTCTGTTCTTACTTAAGCTTCCTTCGAGAAAAATTCAACACAATCAGCTTGATTTTCTGAAGGAAAACGATAATCCAGAAGCAGAAATTGCGAGTTGAGCAGAGTAAAACATGTAAAAGGATGGGACTTTGTGAAAGACTTCTTTGAAATTAGGGTTTTGGAAGGGATGAGCTAGCACCCAAAAAGCAAGAAACTTTACTGTTTTTGTTGGGTACCCAAATGGAAGAAAATCGAATTATAAACAAACAAAGAAAAACCCAGAAAGCTTTTTTGTTTTTGCAGCAAACAGAGACTCAGGATGGAGACGAGACGTGTTAATGGTGGAGCAGAGAGATTTATCGAAATGTTTAGGGTTTTTTGGAGGTAGTAGCAAAATAAGACAAAGGCCAAAACAAAAATGAGAGAAGCTGTTTTGTGTGAAGGTCTCTCTCTGTTTCAATCTATATGACTCTGACAATAGTCATGATGGAAGAAGGAAGAAGGCAGTGAAAGAAGAGAGGATGATAAGAAGAAAGAAGCAATTGAAGAAGATGACATCGAGGAGTGGGGCCCACACCAGCTCTTGGGGTTTGGGGAGCTACTCTGCCTACAAAATATCTCTCTCTACTCCACAATAATCCTTTCTTAATTTCCCTTAATTTCGTCATCATCCTTCTCCATTAACTCAGTTTTTCTGGTATGCTTGCTTCTCTCGCCATTACATTACATAAATTATTAATTACTATTCATTTCTCACTAATTAGTTATTGAAAATTGGAATCCAAACTGTAAAATGTTAGATTAGTAAGTAAAGACACTTCATATGAACTAACAAAACATTTCTAATTTTAGCTGCAGGATGATGCTTGATCACGTTGTTACTAAACATTTAGTAAGATTTCTTAAAAATTAAATTTGTAAGAATGTGTATGTAGTGCATTATAAGCTAAAATGATGGTATGCACTGTGATTTACACATCTTTTAAGTTTATTTTAGTCTTTTCACGATTTTTGCTAATCCTCCACCATTATAACATTTCTGTTTTGTACTCTCATGTCTGCGTCAGAACTTTGAATAAACAAGCAAAGTAAGTCAAAGGTAATACAGTAGAACCTTTATAAATTAATATTCGATAAATTAATAATTACTATAAATTAATAATATATATTGGTCTCAAGTCGGGTCAGTATAAAAATTGATAAAATTCGATAATATAATAAAATAATACTTTTTTTTAAAGTTCTATGTAAAAATATGGTTCCAATAGTAATATAAATTAATAATTATATATTTATATATATATATATTAATAATATAATATAGTAAAGTATGATAATATTATTGTTTCAAGTTTAGAAAATTTATTTGATTTATCTTCTAGATTCATTATTATAATATTTTTTGAATGAATTTTATATTGTTGAAAATATTGATTTTGTTTTTTGATAAATATTAAAAATTTAAACTCAAAATATCTCTATAAATTAATAAAATATTAATTTATCTATAAATTATTAATTATTAATTTATCGATTAATTAATAACTTTATAAATTAATAAAATTCGAGAATCCCAATATTATTAATTTATAGAGGTTTTACTGTAAATGACAATTATATGACATGCACTAACTTTTGAATAAACAGATGATTAAAATCATATCATGTCTACATATTTGAGAGCTTTTTATTCTTAATTGAAAACAATCCTCCTGCTCGAGTCCTATGTTTAAGGATCTTGTCTTTTCATGAAGTGGAACCTTAAATATATTTGTAATTTTAAACACTCATAAATGTACAGAAAACAAACTATTACTGGAAAAGTAGTTTATAAAAGTTCAAAATGGTGTAAATAAACCTTTGATATTAACTTAGTATATTCCAAAAACGTTTTAGCAAAAAAATAAAAATAATAATCCAAAAACGTTATTTCAATCTTTTAAACCTTGGGTTAATTTTTTCGTTAGAAGTCATATCATAATCAAAGTTCGACCTACAACACATCAACATGATTTCTTGGTTAACAAAAGCAACAAATATTTTAAAAAGTGTCTTAAGTCCTCATTACTCAAAATGCTCATTAACCGAAAGGAATTAGGAAACTGTTACATTATCTTTGCCTTAAAAGTCAAAAGATTATGGTTACTAGGCAAAATGATGAGAGAAAAATTATGACCTCCTTCACCCTCTCCTTCCTATAATTAACATACAGTATTCTACTCTTTAATCTTTTCAATGATTCTCCCTAGTTCCTATGGCAAACACATTCTTATATCATAATTAATAAACACCAATTCCTATATATATTCAAACGTTGCGATAAAAGTTACTTTTGGCTAAAAATTATCTTGTTATATAAATTCAAAATAAATATGTACCCATGCATGCCATTGGACCTTTTGCGCATTTTTTTAACTAATAATTACGGCAGCACTGTTATTTTTCAACAACCCACTTGAATAAAAAATATGTTGTACGAAGAGAAGCACTTGGATTTTAGTTTTTTTTTTTGGGCTTTAGAATGAATATTTATAAGCTAATTCCACTAGTGGCAATGGGTATCGCAATTAAGGGCCGCATCTTATTTATTG